CGCGCGAGTTGTCCGCCAACGCGACCCGCTCCGCCAACAACGCCTCGCAGATCGCCGCCCCCTTGCCGACCAAGGCCAAGGACGAGCTGTTCGAGCGCGTCGGCTCCTCCGCCAACAAGTACGACCGCCTCTCGGTCGTCCTGTCCGACATGGCCCGCTTCGTCCTCACGCACCGCTTCGGCGGCGTCTACCTCGACGCCGACACGATCCTCCTCCGCGACTGGACCGAACTGTGGAACTGGCATGGCGCGTTCGCGTACCGCTGGTCCCGCCTCGAGAAGTACAACACGGCCGTCCTCAAGATGCAGCGCGGGTCGGCGATCGGACACTTTATCTTCCGCACCGCTGTCGCCAACGGCCTCGACTTTCACCCGATGACCGTCAGCCGGTACACGAAGGATGCGAACCTCGAAGGCCTGCTCCTTCGCTTGCCGGACGCGCTCTTTGACCCTGCCTGGCTCAACACGTGCGTTGCGCGTCTCTTCGGCTCGCTTTGACGCTCGCTGACTCTCCTTGCACGCGCAGCGAATACTACCAGCGCGACCGCCCGCCTCAGCCGTACTTCAAGCGCTTCGAGGACTTTTTTGATACGCCAAAGGACATTGGCGCAGCGCCCGTCGCGACTGGCTTTGACGGCTTCTTCAAGGGTGCCTTTTCGTACCACTTCCATAACTTCTGGTGCGCCCGCCCTTTCCCTTTGCTTACTTCCGGGACTAACGCAGCTCGTGCTCAGGTGGATCCCCTTCGACCCGTCCCGCAACTTCCCCGACCTCGGCCCGCGCTTCCAGTCTGGGGAGCGCACCGCTCGAGGACGGTTGCTCGCCGCCAAGCTCGCCTCGCAGCCCGCCGGCAACGATGCGACGACTGCGACCGGCTCTTCCGGCGGCCCGTCGCCCACGAAGCCTGGCGAGACTCGCGGCCTTCCCTCTCCCCCAACGCAGATTGCGCGACGAGAAGGGTACAAGTGGGGCGACGACGAGCGCGACTTTGCCGAGCTCGACTGGAGCGACGAGCGCGTCGAGGAGGACGAGCGGGACCTCAGCTGGGCGGCGGTGCTCAAGCGCACGTTCGAGGCGTACGTGCGTGGCGAGCGGCCGAACTTGTACGGCGAGTGGATCAACTGGGACGAGGCGGGAGCGGACGAGTACTGAGCGGCTGGGGGGCGCGGGGACACCGCCGCGTCAAAATGGACATTCCTTCGAGCTTGCGCTCGACTAGCACCCTTGCATCGTTAAGCCGTATACCCTTGCGTCCTTCTCCGGACGCACGTATCATCCCCCTCGGCGGAACCTTCGTTCGTTTTTCCCTTCGTCTTTTCCCTCGCTCGTTACCGATGTACTGCAAACCCGTATCAGACGCGCTTCCTCGCGAGGTGAATGACTTGCGGAGTCGGTAAGAGCTCGCACTAAAGGAAGCCAAGAACAGTCCAGAGCGGAGGCGGCCAAGACGACCATCGTTTCGAGCCGACTACTACTTCTTCGCCTCTTGCGCTGCCACAACACCCTCGAGAACCTTGTTGAGGATGACCGAGCCGCCGACGAGGTGCTCGTCTTTCATTAGCTCAAGCGCGCGAGTCCAGCCGGCCGACTTGCGTACGTCGTCCTGCGTAGCGACCACGAAGAGTTGGTGACCAAGTCGACAGAGCGTACAGACGAGGACGCACGAGGTTCTTGACAATGTAGTTGACGATTTTGTCTTGCACGTCTGTGTAGGTCCGGCCGAGCGAGGAAAAGGCTTCGTAGGCGGCCTGCGACGTATGGTCGCGGACATCAATGCAAAGCTGACGACGCAGCTTGATGGAGGGAACGCACGGTCTCGGGAGTCAGGCTTTCGACGATGAAGTTTTTGGCCGCGTCGCGCAAGTCATTGGAGGTAGCGGTCCGCGAGACGGTAGAGAGCGCGCGGGTCGCAAGGAGGAGCATCATCGATGCTGCCCGTCTCAACGAAAGTCACGATGGTGGACGAGTCGTCAGGAGAGGCCGTCTCCGGCGCGGACAGAGCGAACGCGCGGGAAGGGGCGAAGGAAATCTCGTCGTAATAGATCCAGTACAGGTACGAGAAGAAGGTCGAGTAGCTGTGTAGGTACAGATGAGAACGACCTCTCGTTGACGGAACGGAGAGCGGTTCAGCTTGAGACGCACCTGCAGTCTGCCACCTCGACGCGATGGTATTGAGCTGTAGCGTTGGAACGTCTGCTCGAGGCACGAGTGGCCGATGAGTCGAGCAACTCGACGGGGCTGTGAGGCTCGGAGACTGCGTTCGCTGAGGGAGTTGGCGCCGCTTCGTCTGCATCACCCGACTGAACGTCCTTCATCAGGCTAACTTCTTCGTCGGCTGCCATCGACTCGTGCAGCAAAGCCAGTTCTGCAAACTCGTCGAGGTCGCCCGCATGCAGATTCGACGGGAGCTCGCGAGCGAAGTCTCGTTCGAGAACGGTGTCGGCGGAGCCTTCCGCAAAGTCGGATGAAAGCACTGCACGAGCGAAGCAGGTCAGATACTCCCGGCGCACGATGCAACAGCAGAGCAGACTCACAGGTTCGCAGATGAGCAGACTTCTCGATGAGGATGGGCTTCAAGGAGAAGATCCAAGCATCGATACCGGGAAGGTGAAAAGCGACGTCGCCATAGCGCGAGCTGTTGAAGAGCGCGAGCGGAATCCGTGTAGGCGACGATGAGTTGCCCTCGTGCAGAGTGATCGAGATGACCAAGTTCGCCTGCAAGACCGCCGAAACTCAGTCAGCGGCGTGCGTCGGGAGGGTGCCTGGGACCGACTTGCGGAGGATGGAAGAGCGTCTATCATCGACCACCCGAGAACGGAGCCGAAACCCCAGCCCTGGCCGTCTGGTACATACTCGCCGCAGTCGCACGACTCATCCGACCAGACCTTTGGACTGTTTGGCACGTCCGTACGGAACTGGAGATATCGAGATGAGCAACGAGGGGTTGCGCAGTAGTACAGCTCTGCGCACCTGCAAGTTGTAGCTCAGGGTAATCTTCTGCGCCAGTGATGCAGTCGGACAAAGGAAGAAGTCGCAGGACTGCGAACCTGCCCCTTCGTCGCTGAGCTGCTGGACATGTGTCAGTACGCGTTAACCTTGAGGACCCAATGGTGACGCACGAGACTTATCCTCATCTTCCATCGTCCCGCGTCAAAATCTGGCGAGTAAACGGAGGGACCGTCTAGCTCGGATGTCGCTGTCCTTGCTTCGCTCAGCTGCGTCTGCAGCGTTGCCACGCTCATGCTCCACACAAAAGTATCGCACTGCCGATGGAACGTCAGCGGGCGAAGCAGAGCCGTTTCGAGGGAGCGAGCGTACTCGTGAAGCGGTCAAGACTGACCCAGCGATCGACATGGCGGCGTAGCAGACCGCTGAATGCCAGCAGAAACGATAACAGCGAACGGCAGCCTCCTCGAGCGCAGCCGGGGCGAAGTGAGCGCGGTTGAGGGAAGAGAAGGAGGCGAACAAAGAGGAGAAAGGGGAGCGAGCGAGGGTTGGCAAGCTCGACATCGCTCAAGTCGCTCGAAACGCTGTGCTGAGCGTGCCTCAGGTCTTCAACTATCCAGTTCGACCCGCTTTTAGCCCCACGACGCCTCCCATCGCCGTCACGCTCGTCCAGCTTAACCAGACGAACCCCCTCATCAAAACCGCTTCACCGCGCCGCTTCAGGACTGCCGAGAACCTTGAGATCGCCAGTACAGACTGCAGGGAGCTTCTCGGATGCTCGGGCGTGCCCAGCGTCCCACCGGTCGGGCTGTACGCGCTGGAGGACGCGGCCGACCCGCTGAGCGATGAAGTCGGATGGAGCGCGCACGGCGGGTCGGGCGGGCAGCAGCGCATCGCTGAGCAATGCTCCGGTCGGTACAGGAGCAGTCGGAAGTGCGGATCAGCCCAGGGGCGCGGCGAGCGATGCGAGAGGACTCGTTCGGGACGAAGCGACTCGCGGGCACTCGCGGATTGCGTTGATCTCCCCAAGACTGGTTCAGCGCTCAGTCTACTGCTACAGGGGCGCCTCGACGCAGCCCAAACTGGCGGCGGCGCGTCCTGCTGTCACCCAGCATACCTCGCCTCGTCCACCCTGCATGTGACGGTGACGGCCGCCCGCACGATCCGATCTACTGTACCTCGCAAATGCTCTCCTCGCAGGCGCGAAGCAGCTCCTTGAGCAGGCGAATTACTTGCGCCTGTCCCAGCTCCACTTGCCGCCGCCTGTCCTTGAGTTCTCGACCGCCCAGGATCACCTGTCGCTCCCGCTCCCCACTTTCCCATTCTCTCGCTTTTCACGAGCTTAAGCAGACTCGTGACGCCTGCTCGACGCAGACGCGGGAAGGGCACAGCCTTCCCGAGATCTTTCTCGCGTCCTCGTGCCGCTTCTCCCTCTCTTGGCCTCCTTCTGCCCGCTCCTTGCTCGTACAAAGCGCCCAACAGACGCTCTTCGACTCTCGCACGCCTCGCCCATTTACTGTGCACCGCACGCAGGTCGTCTAGGTGCGTCCGTGCCGTCCCGTTCCTTTCGAAGGACTGTCACTCATCTTGCCTGCTCACAGCTCCTCCCCTTCCCCCGCTCAGAAGCTCATCCTAGACGCATTCGTCGATGTCCGTCACGTCTGAGAAACCGACAGTCATGCAGCAGCCGTCGGCAACGGCGCCCATGACGTTCACCAACAACGCTCCTCCCGCTGCGAACGCTGCACCGGCGGGTCAGCCGCGCGACTGGTCGACGGGCGTGTGCGGCTGCCTCGACGGAGACTTTGGCGGGTTCTGCTTGTCTTGCTGGTGCCCATGCATCGGTGCGTCCTGCAACTCGTCAACTCAGCCTGGTCCAAACTAACACGCCCTCGTTCGCAGTCTACTCGCAATACAAGTCGCGCCTCGACCACCTCAAGGCGACTGGCAGGGCGATGCCGCCCGAGCAAGTCGGTGCGTTCGCGACTTACCGCCTGAAGTCTCGCTCGAAGCTGATCTTTCGCTCCTGCTAGAAACGTTCGGCACGCCCGGCGTCCTCTGGCTCGCACTCAACTGCTGCGCCGGATTCGCCTGGATCCTCGACTTCATGGCTCGCGACGAGATCCGCAGTGCGTTGGCACTCGCTGTTCTCGAGTTGTCCCTGAGATTGACGCCTCTCCTCGCGCAGAGCGCTACAACATCCGCGGCGACGGCATAACCGACTGCCTCACGTCGTGCTGCTGCTTGCCGTGCGCGCAGAGGCAGCACCACCGCGAGCTGCTTGTCGAGGAGCAGCACCAGTGGGGCGCGGACACGAACGGAATGCAGCAGCACGCCCCGACGCTCGACCAGCACTATCCGGCTACGCAGGAGCCTGCGCAGCAGCCGCATTACACCACGCACCCGCCGCCTTCGACCAACTGAGCACCATTCCTTCGCCGTCCCTCCGCGACGGACCACCTCCTCGTTCTGCCTAAGTCCAGTTGTCCGTCTCTTCCGCCGTTGCTCTAATGAAGGCTGTACGTCACCGCCATGCGCTGTATTCTGTAATGAAGTTAAGCCTAGCCTTGCGCACCATTCGTGAGCGAAAGCTGAGAAGGTCGTCCCGACTCTTTTCGAGCGAGAGCAGCGACTTCCGCCTGCCGCTCACACAACGTCGACTCGCCACGTAAGCGATCCGTTCGCACACACCGCACCGCAGGCGAACGTTGGACAACCACTGTATTCCTTGTGCGTCTAATCGGTGTGAGTCTAGGTGAATGAGGAGTGTATCGAGTCTAAGCGGAGGAATGCGAATGTCTAGAACTAGATGCGAGATGCGAAGAGAAAGGTCGAAGACGAGAGGCGAGCGAGAGACTTAGACGTCCTCAGCGAGGTTGCGCTTGGTTGGGACGTTCTCGTGGTGAGACGCCTCGGTGCCGAGCTTGAGGCGCTTTGCCTCGTCGCGCTCCTTCTGGTTGCGGGTGGTCGCGCCGCCGTACGGAGTCCAGCTCGCCGAACGCCAGGCAGGAACGCCGCTGTGAAGTTGCCAGGAGTCAGCCAAGGCGCGCAAGCGAAGGCATTCGTTCGCGACTCACGTAAGGTAGAGTTCGTCGACCTGAACGAGCGAGAGACCTGAGAAGCGGAGAGAGGCGAAGGCGTTAGGGCGTTTGCGGCCTTCGAGCGGAGAGAGCGAACGCACCCTTGGTCTCGGGGATGAAGAAGAACGTGTAGGCGGCGAAGAGCGCCTCCGTTCCAGCCCACATGAAGGTGATCTTGGTGCCAAGGTTGCCGTAGCCGGGGTCGGTGATGTACTGCAAAGACGGAGAAGGTGAGTAAAGTGACGAGGCGACGGTAGGAGTAAAGGGCAACCTACAGGAACGATGATGGCAATGATGAAGTTGTTGAGCCAGTTTGACGCGGTGGCGAGCGAGACGCAGAGAGGGGCGATCTTGAGCGGGAACTGCTCAGCGGCGACGACCCATCTGGAGGCGAAGGAAGGGTCAAGTCGTTCTTGTCGGTTTGGACGTCGTCTCAACGCACCCGAGAGGTCCCCACGAGCTAGCGAAACCAGCGATAAACCAGCACGAGGCGAAGATCAACGCCCTTCCAGCAGCGGGGTCGTCCGGCTTGGCCGTCGAGACGGAACCAGCGATAATCTGACCCGAGAACATCATGGCAGATCCGATGAAGAGGAGCGTCCTGCGGCCGAGGCGGTCGACGGCGAGGATACCGGGGAAGGTAGCGATAACGTTGATGCCACTGAGGATGAGTTGAGTCTGGTACGGGTCCTTGATGCCGGAGGTGGCGAAGAACTTGTTGCCGTAGCTGAAGAAGAACTGTTTGTGCGCCGGGGCGTTCCGAAGTCAGCGGTGGTCGTCCCAACAGTCCAGAAGCGATACGCACGTTGACGCCAGTCCATTGCTGGCCCATCTGGATTGCCAGGCCGTTCATCGTGCGAAGGAGCATGCGGTCCTTCATGCGGAAGCAGTCGAGGTAGGTCGCGTCGGCCGCGAGCCTCTCGTCCTCGACGCCCTGGACGATCACGTCGAGTTCAGCAAGGAGCTCGGGGTCCTGCTCGTCGAGACCACGAAGCTTGGCGAGGTTGACGCGGGCGCGGTCGATGTTGTTGCGCTGGACGTAGTAACGCGGCGACTCGGGGGCGAGGACGGTCCCGACAAAGACGATGGCAGCCCAGATGAACTGGATGGCGATGGGGAAACGCCACGAGAAATCGGTGCCCTTGTCGTGCTGGGCGTAGTTCACGGCATTGGCCAGGAAGATGCCGATCGTCGCCATGAGCTGGTAGGTACTCGTGATCAGGCCGCGCAGGTGCTTCGGCGAGCACTCTGCCTGGTACAGCGGCGCGAGGAGCGAGAGCGACCCGACGCCGAAACCGGTGACGAAGCGACCTGCGATCTCTTGTCCGTATTGCGACTGACCCGACGTCTCGATGGCAATGCCGGCCGCATAGATCACGAGCGAGACGATGATGGCAATCTTGATACCGGTGCGGCGAAGGAGCTGGCCGATGAGGAGCGCGCCGAAGAGGGCGCCGAGGGACATGAAACCGGTGATGAGGGACTGGCGGGTCGAGGTCAGGGAGTAGCCGGACGGCGAAGTCGGGTCAACCTCGCCAAAGCGACGTTGGTAGACCGGGTTCGTGATCAAGCCCGAGATCACACCCTGCTCCCATCTGAACAGCAGAGAAGAAGCCAAGGTCAGCTTCGCTTCCAGGTCCGCGTCCGCTGCCACCCCACGGACGTCGGTCAACGCACCCGAATAGGAGACCAGCGAGCGACTGGAAGAGGCAGAGCGCCACCACGAACGGCGGCGCGCGGTCCTTCGAGGGAACGCCATCGAGCTCGTCCTGGGGGTGGAAGGTGGATCCCGGTCGCGACGAGGGCGCAGAGTGCCCCTCCTTCTTGACGGACGCCGCACGACTGGGCGCAGCTGAGCCAGCGAGCGTAGTCGCCTTGGAGGCGGGAACCGACTCGTTCTCCGGGTTCATAGCGGCGGCGGAAGAGGAGCACAAGCGGCGCACGCCCGGGGAGATGGCAAGGGGGTGGAGAAAGAGGGAGAGAGAGGTTTTCGTTCGTGCCCCAGCCCAACGCTAGCCACTCAGCAAGCTGATGGCGGGGAGATGCTCCGTGCGCCGAAGTCGCGGGGCCTCATCAGCTCAACTCGCCTGCAGCGGGTCGTCAAGCATGGTGCGGCCAAGCCAAAGAGTCGTGTGCGCCTGTGCATCGCGCGCGAGGTGTCGACGAGCCAAGCGACATCGTGCGAGGCGGGAGTTGGTCGGTTGTGAAGGTGAGCTTGGTCAAAGGCGGAACGGCGAGCACGGCGGTGCGGAGCTCAGTGCGGGTGGAGCGGAGGCGCGGCAAGCGAGTCCTTCCGAACGGAGCTCGGAGTAACTTGCGAGAAACGCCGCAGAACTTGTCAGCATCGTGCCGAAGAGCCAGCGGGTCCCGTCCGCGAACACGAGCGACCGTTTCCTCATCCATTGCGCGTGATACCGTGACTACACCGCGGACAGCGCAGGGCAGATTTCCTGCGGGAACGCTGAACGATCGCGAAGCGAGAAAGGCGGCGGAGAATCGATGCGTTCCCGCCTCCTCGTCTGCTGGGCTCCGCCCCCGTCTCTCCCTCGTCTCCGTGCGAGTGCGAGGAGGCGGGAAGCACGTCCGCGCGACCTCGGGAAAGTGGCCGGCGTGGCGTGGGCGTCGGTGGAGTAGCCGCGGCTGAAGAGAGGGGATGAAGCCTGGTTCGTCGAGGCAAACGGGGAGGGCTGAGGGAATCTGCGACGCCAACAACAGTCCCTAGTCGTGGGGATGTGTTTCTTCAGTAAGCTCAGCGCTGCGAGAGCGAGAGTGCGTACTGGAACCGAGTCGGGCGTCGGGAAAGGGGATGCAGCGAGGAGGAGGCGAGAAGGGAGACGGAGCGGCATCGTGGAGGGGACTCTGTGCGACACTGGCAGTGCCAAGAGCACGCAATTCAGTCTCGTTAGCGTTCAGCGGGACCAGCGCAGACCCGTCGTGACGGCTGCAAGCCGGTCATCCTGGTCTGACAAGAGAACAGGCGTCAGTTTGCCCGTCTCTAACGCTGGCACGGCCTCGCAATCATGTGGGCGCATTGAATAGATCCGCTTGAGCCACCTGCAAGGCCGCCCAGGTCCCAAATCGCTCTTGTCGCGCCTCGCGAACCGTCGAGCTGATGAGAAAGCAGGCGGGTCTGTCGGTGCGGGAGAGCGGTGGGTTCGCGGGCGAACGAGCGGCCGGTCAGAAGGAAGCGCATAAGAGGCCATGCAAGCAAAGACGGAGAGAATGCAGCGATGTGAAAGCGAAGAGAAGAGGAAGAGCCTGCTGGAGAAACCGCGAACAGGGTTGGCGGCACCCTCTCGCTTTCGTTGCGCTTCTGTGCTTGTTCGACGGATAGAAGAGTGACCAAGGAACATTGTAGCGCCCATACAAATACGCAACTGCGAGACAGGACCCGCCCGCATCCATGTCGCCCGCTCCTTCCGCCCTCCTCATCCCTGCGCCCATTGCTGCCTGTAGATCCATTGCTGACGTTCACTCAGCGGCACCTTGCCGATACTCGACTGCTTCGTGTCGGCCTGCGGGAGAAGAGCGGGAGGTAAAACGCGTATCGGCGAGGTGAGGGAGGGATCAGGCGCACCTGGTCCTTCGGCGGCGAGTAGACGACCTGATTCCCATTGTGGACCGTAAAGTGCCCTGTGTCCCGGCGATGGAACTCTGGGAACTGGTGGAATTCCTGCTCGAAGGTGGATTTGCGCTTTGGAGGGGCCGGTGCGGGTGGTTCTTTCTTGGGCGGCGGATCCGTGTTGCTCCGAGAGAAGACGTTCGGGAAGGGCATTGTCGTGAGGTGGAGCGGATCGAGCCGGAGGGAGTGATGGGGATGAGGGCGTACAGGAGCGGAAGGAAGAGAGCAAGTTGCGCTTCGCTTCACCAGCAACTCACACAGCCTCCTTTGCGGGATGCAGTCGATCTGGTCGCGTGTTCGGCGGTTTGTCGTGCCGGCGAGACTCCTGAGCGGAAGCAGCGGACAATCCGCCTGGAGAATCAGCGCGGGGTGAAGCGAAGGCGGAGAAGAGGAGCAATGAGCGAGCGGGATTGCGTCTGACTGGATGCTTGAGCGCGTGTTTATGAGTGAACGGTGTTGCTTGAAGTCACAGGCGACATGAAGTAGCTTGGAGCGAGGCGACCACGAGTTGCGAAGGTCAACTTGCTTCCTTCCTCCTCACGCTTGTCCTCCGCCCTTCGTGCCCGCCAACGTCTTCTACTTCCTCATGTAGACCTCTCATCCCGCTCCCGCTCCCTAGGCCACCGACGCCTGACCTCTTGCGAGGAAGTCGGTGAAGTGGAGCTGTCGTCTTCTGCAGGGCGGTCCTGGTTGATAGGCGGTCGTGTACGAGAGGCAGGTAGCAGGGTGTCAGAACAAGTAACGCGATAGAGGGGACAGAGCGGAACCCACCGTGCGAGGCGCTTGCGCATAGCGGCCGTTGTGCATCCACTCAGGCGCAGCAGGCTGAACGGCGTAGTTGCTGGTGGTGGTGAAGGGGTCGGGGTCTGCGAGGGGCATTGTCAGATTTCAATTGCCTCAAGAAGCGGGATGGATGCTCGCTGCGAGTGTCTGCGAGGTTGAGCGGCCAGGTTGGGGGTGGTCTGCACGGAATGATCGTCAGCCTTGCAGTCTCGACGACTCTTTTGAGCGTGCACGCACCCTGCTGTAGCCGTAAGACTCGGCTGAGGCATCGCCTGATCGACGACGACGTGCTGAGACGGCAAGTTGTGCGTGACCGGCCAGCCATAGTCATCCGGCGATGACGGCGGACCTCGGGCGTCGTTTTGATGCACTCGATAGCGTTCTCCGCGCCGCCTGACACCCGGTCTGCCAACCAGATCGGTCAGCCATTGTCACAAGAACGGGGGAGATGAGTTCCTACGCACACAAACGGATCGAAGCGCCTTGCTGGAGGTCTGCGGCGGTCCTGACCTGGCCGTGGGTACCCTTCGCCGTCGCCTGAGTCGCCGCCATCGTCGTCTGAAGAGCTGTCGTGCTCGATGGACGGACGAAGCATCTGAACCAGGTCGGCTCGAGGGTTTCCGTGTGTCGCCGCGCGACGAAAGCTCAGATTGGGTACGGGCGCGGTGACGGTCGTTAGCGCATTTCGACGGCGGCGGTGGAAGGCGCGAGGGGGAGTACTGGGCCAGCCAGCTTCGTCCTCTGGAAGCTCGGGCGCTGCGGGTCGCACAGTCGGCGACGAAGAGTCCCCGTCTCTGTCGGGACTGGGCGTTTGAAAGATCCGTCCCGGCATGCTTTTCGCGAGGGTGCGAGGCGAGCAAAAAGGAGGATAGGGCGGCGAAGAAAAGAAGTCGAGTCGCGAAGGGAAGCAGGCAAAGTTGAGCGAATCTTGCCTCGACGCGGACATTCCGCGGACATTGTACCCCGCGTCGGTCTGCGAGAAGGAACGAGCTCGCAAGCGACGCATGCGCAGAAAGGTGAGGGGACGAGAATGTCGGGGATTGAGAAAAAGCCGACCAAGACCCGTCGTTCTCAACAGGTTGTGGCTGTGTTCCCTCCGTCCGCCGCACCCAGAAATACTCCAATCATCGAAGCAACGCGTCCTGCCTTGTTACGCCGTAGCTGGCGGATCGAGCGTCATCGAGCGAAGAGAGGAAGCACGGCGTTTGAGCGCGACACCAGCTCGCGGGCTGCTGGCGAGCCTGCTCAGCAATTCAAGGACCGGCACACGTCTCGTCCGCCTGTGCAAGCGTCCCCAGCCGAGCGCGTGGGAACGAGAGCAGCGCGAGAAAGGGTTGGCAAGGACAACAACGCTGCGACTCTGCTTGAAGGCGTAGAGACTGGTTAGCGGTGCTCAGGAGACCGTGCAGGATGGCTATCACGCCGCCAGGGCCGTCAACTCGCCCAACACTGTCACCTTCACCTCCTCCTCAGACCGCCTCGACCCCACCTCGATCCAGCACGGCACACACTCCACTGCAGACTGCGCCGCCACCCCACAGGCACTTAGATGGCAGAGTACAACGGGTGCTCGCAGGTCTTGTCGAATTTGGCGTCGTCGTTGGCGAGATCGTTGATGAAGCCTCTGCGGACTCTCGCTACTCTCCTCGCATCGGATCGGACTCGGTCGGTGTTGCGGACGGTGCAGATGGGTCTGTGCAAGGGCAGGGGCGGGCTTTCGAACCGGTACGAGGTGTCGAGGAAGTCGGTACTTCCGACGAATCTCCTCGACCGATGGCTGCGGAACGACGACCACGGGCGAGGGAACGGCGGAGGATGGAGAAGCGACAATGGCAGCTACCGCACGCGGATGGATGTGAGTTGGGCCGCAATCCACATCGCAACCTCGCTCGTCCTCCTGTTTCCGTTTCAGCTGACCCTTCCCTTCGACAGACCCCAACTGCAACTACGTCGACAACTCCATCTTCACCTGCTACCCCGAATCGAACACGACCCTCGTCCAGAGTGACTACTCGCTCGTCATCTGGAACGCGATGCAGCCCTCCTTCATCAACCGCCAATACGTCGACGTCTACCTCTACAACGCCGACACGCAGGACATTGCAACGTCCTGGAAGAACGAGTCGAATGCGCAGGGCATGATCGGCATTGTGCCGAGCGATCCTTGGTGGCCGGGACCGCAGTCGGCGCAGTCTTGGTTTGGCTCGAACGCGCAGAACCGCACGACGCCCTACTTCTTCGTCGTCGTGCCGGCAGGTCAGCAGCTCACGGGCGGAGAGGTGCACGGCGCGACTTTCCGAGCTATCCGTAAGTTGCGATTCTGCGAGGACTCTCGTTCGCATGTTGAGCTTGCTTTCCGCAGAAACCGCCGCACCTTCCTCGCTCTCCTCTTCGCTCGCCGCCCTCACTGCCTCATCCGTCTCTTCAGCATCGTCAGCTTCCGTCGCGTCTGCTTCGTCCTCCCTCTCCGCCCTCTCCGCCCTCTCCGCCTCATCCGCCTCGGCCCTCGCCAGCCGCAACGGTTCTTCTACCGGCTCCTCCAGTCCAAGCGGCACCTCTCGCTCCGGCTCTCTGCAAAACGAGTCTAGCTCCGGCCCCGCTATCCCTCGCTACGCCATCGCCTTGATCGTGATTCTCGGCTTCCTCGCTCTTGTGGGTGGCGCAATCGCGCTGTACCTCCTCGGTCGCGCACGACGAAGGAGACGCGAGCGCGAGGCGGCTTTAGCGGCTGGAGCGGCCGGAGCAGGTGCAGGAGCGAGTCGAAGCGGAGACTTCATGTCGGAGGACGACTTTACGCATGGCTCGCAGGATCCGATCCTTGGTGCGGGCGGAGCGAGGGGTAGCGCGTCGTCAGGTCGACCGAGGGCGTCGAGCTCAGTTGCCGGAGCGGGTGCGGGCACAGCTGGCGGTTCGGCAGCCGGAGCAGCAGCCGCGCCGCTCATGTCCGAGCGGGACGAGTCGATGCTTTCGCATTCGGACGCGGCAAGGATGGCCGAAGCGTTTCGCGCTGCCTTGCGCAGACCGGACTTCCCTGCGCCTGGTCCCGGAGTGGAGGGTGCAGCAGCTGCGGGAGTCGCGGCGGCGGGCCCTGGAGCGGGTCCTTCGCCTACTGGTGCAGCGGGAGGGGACGACTCGAACGGAAGTGGCGAGGGGAACGGAGTCGGACGCGGATTGCTGGAGGACGAGCTGCGCGGCGAGGGAAAGAGCATGAGGCAGGTCGAGGGTCGAGGAAAAGGATGGGGGGCTGGTACGGGCGGAGGTGCGGGTCCTTCGGCGGGCGGTGCGGCTGCGTGAGCGCGCGCAGGACAGACTATCTCGTTATACACTCGTTGTCTCCACTTATATACGGCTTTCTCGCTTCCCATACCCTTTCCTCTCGCACAGACACTTTTCGCCTGATTCCTCTCGACTTAGCTGACTTAGCTGGATTTCACGTAATGCTGTCATCCTTCTTCCGTTCCGCAAGCTTGCGTCTTTGAACAGCGGCAGCGAAGCGTGTCCCAGGCGCACTCTTCTCACGAAGCGAACTCGAGGATGGCAAACGTCCGCGGCGTCGTTCTCAGGCCGTAAAAGCGGCAATGGTTCGTGTAGGGTATCGTTGTACGACAGGGTGGGAACGGGTCACAAGATGGGCGATAGTCGAGAGCGGGTAAGCGGGCGGGATCGGGGATCAAGGGTTGCTGGCGTTCCGGATGAGCATGCCTGCCAGAGCTCCCGTCAGCGGGCACGCACATAGCAGAAGAAGGAATGCGGCGGACTCACGGATGTTGTTGAGCAACACCTGTACCATCTCGAGGTACTTGTTCTCCTCGCCGCGCTGCTCCTTCGCCGCCTCTTCTAACAGGCCTCTCGCGCGCTTGAACTCGATCTCGAGTTCGTGAGTCGGTTTCGGCGAGGAAGGGACGGTGACTTGCGTCAGGTCGACTTGGAAGAGCTGGTGCGAGTAGGAGATGCGGTCTTTGTAGCGCGAGTGGGTCGGAGGGGTGTCTGGTATGGGCGCTGCGCGGGCGGAGGCAAGTCAGCGACGCCTCGAGAATGATCGAGGAAGCGCGAACGCACCGGGCATTTCCAAACTGACGCTCACCCTCCAGTCGAACAGTCGCTTCGGGCTGAAGATGTTCATATCCGCCACCCTGACCTTCTCCACCGCAATAGGCGGCTTGCTCTTATCCTTTTGGTCCCTCGTGACGCGCACCTTGCGCTTCGGCTGCCCTTGCATCGCGGGGATCTCATGGAAGGTGTCGAGTTCGCGGGTGTGGGAGTAACGGACGGGTGCGAAGGCATAGCTTGGGTGGGCTGACTCTTCGACGCGAGAGTTGAGGAGTTGATTGAAGGCCTTGTGTTGGTTCTGTGCAATCAGGCGTGCGGCGGGAAAGGACAATAGGTTGAGAAGGTCAATTCGGAGAGTCAGCTTTCCTCTTCGTTCAAAGCCCTCAAAGCGCGCGAGACGCACGACGGTCATGTTGCTCTCAAATCGTAAGCCGCTGTCGTCGGTAAGGACTGCGGAGGGGAAGCGAGTCAGCAAGGAAGCACTGCCGCCCGTCCGTTCGACTGAGACGCACTCGTTTCTATTGGTACTGGCAAGTTCACGCGCATCCCGCCATTCCGGTCGACAAGCAAGCCAATCTTGGCTTCGATCTGCGCGGAACAGGAAGCCCGCTCAGCAAGCCTCTCCTTCGGGTCAAGACGGCCTGACAGACGAAACGGCCACGCACCTCGACGGTGTCCCAGTCTAGCTGCGCGCAGAATCCCCACAGCCAATCTGCCACCTCGCGCGTAAACTCGTCGATCGGCTCGACGTTGAAGATGCTCGGTTCGAGGGCGAGGCTGCCTCTTCGAGCCGGTGCAGGAGGCGGAGGAGGAGGGGCTGATCGGGCGGTTGAGGTGGATGCAACAGGTGCGGGAGCTGGAGGGTTCTGTCGGGTCGGAGAAGCGGAGCGGCGGGGAATAGTCGGGGTCGAGGGTGCAGGAGCTGGAGTCGAGGAAGTCGAGCTGGATCGTCGGACGCGCGTCGCTGGCGGCTGCATCGCCCCTTCTTCTTCGTCTTCCGCAGCGCGACTCCCGTTTGGCCCATCGAACGCTCCTGCTCCCGTACTGAAAGACCCGATTGACGAACTGCTGCTCGTCGGCCTCGCCCGCTTGTGAGGCCGCTGCGCTGCTTCTCCGCCGTACGTATGCGCCGGGTCGGGCGTCAAGAGGTTTCGGAAGCCGACTGGGCCAGGTGAAGCTGTTGCGGCTGCAGAAGGAGGCATTGCCGTTGGACTCGGCGAAGAGGCCTTCCTCGACCCGTTCGAACCCTCGGCGGCGAACAACGAGCTCGCATCCTGTCCTCCTGGCGCACCAAAGTAGTCGCTGTCGAACGGCGTGTCGACTTCGGACGGGTTGTTGAGCAAGGAGTGGATCGAGGGGGAGAGGGACGGCGAGGCTTTGGGCGACTGCTTGGGCGGCAGTTGGCCAGCGCGAGAGAACGGCGACGGCATCCTGAACCAGCTGCACCACCGCCAGACCGAGCCAGAGCGCGGCAAGTGGGATGGTGGAGAAGGAGTTGTTCGATTACAAAGTTTGTATTCAGCGGGTGTCTATCAATACAAAGTTGTAATCGCTCGCTTCTTATCCCACGTCTGCTCGCTTCTCTCGCTTCTTCTGGCTAGCCGACCATGGCGAGCAAGGCAGAAGAGCTCAAGGCAGCTGTACGTCCAGCTCTCGTGCTCCCTCGTCTGGCCGCGCAAGTTGACATCGTCGCTCTCCTCGAACGCAGGGGAACGCCGCCTTCAAGGCTGGCAACTTCGACCTGGCCCTCGCGAACTACTCGACTGCCATCCAACTTGATCCTTCTGTCTCGACATACGCTCTGAATCGCGCGGCAGTGCACCTGAAGCTGTCGAACTGGAGGGACGCAGAACGAGACTCGACGACGGCACTCGAGCTGGACGGTGGGGCGAACCCAAAGGCGCTGTACAGACGAGGACTGGCCAGGAAAGGGCTGGGAAAGCTGAGCGGGGCGAAAGAAGGTGTGTGGGCGGTTCTCTCGCTTTCTCTCCCAGGCTGCACGGCTAACCCTCTTGCACTCTCGCTCGCAGACTTTGAAGAAGCTCGAAGGCAAGGCGCCGGAGATGATGTTGCCAAGGAGCTAGCGGCGCTTGTCAAGCAGCTGAGTCTGAGCGGGACGCAGGCGAACGGAGCGAAGACGAATGGTGCCGCCGCCAAGGTACGCCCTCTTGCCTTTTCGAACGCTCGCAGAAGGTTGACCCGAGTGTACAGCCTGCCGCTGCGTCTAAGCCCTTACCCTCACCCTCGCCGGTCGCTTCGTCCTCCTCTTCCCCATCGACAGAACGCCTTCGCGCTGCTCTCGCACCACCCGCCTCCTCGTCTTCTTCATTCAGTCAGTCTACTAAGTCAGATGGACTCCTCACGCCCGTATCTACCCGCCGCCTCACTCCCGCCGACCGCTTCGCACCTTCGCCCTCGCCCGTTCCTTCCAATCCTCCCGCCTCGACCTCGCCGTCCAAGTCTGAGCCGGTCCGAACGAACTGCTTTGCGGCGAAAAAGGAGGCTCGTCAGGCGCGCGAGCAGCAGCCGTACAGGGCGCAGCCTCCGCCCACGAGCTCGCCATCCGCGACTGCTTCTTCGCCTCCTCCCCCGGATCCTTGTTCCGAATCTGCCGCCGCCGCATCCCTCGCATCGTTCGCACCTTCGACAGCCGCCTCCTTCCTCCGCCCTCCTCCACCGCCAGCCCCTCGCGCCGCCGCCTCCCCAACCTCTCTCGAAACGCACTTCTTCTCAACCGCACCAGGCGACCCCTCCCGTCTCGCTATCCTCCGTGCACTCGACTCGCACCGCATGCGAGACTGGATGGGCGACGGCTTGACGCCTGATTTGCTCAGTGCGATGCTGGGTGAGGTATTGCCTTTGTTCCAAGGTGACGCAGCGACGGATGCGGCGCAACGTAAGAGGGACGGAGAACTGGATTGGGTCGTGCCGCTGCTGCAGGGGCTGACGGAGTGCAGGAGGTGGGATAGCGCAGTCATGTTCCTGGAGGAGCGGGAGAGGGAAGGCGTCAAGCGTGTGCTGGACGAGGCGCAGGGGCGGATAGCGAGGGTGAGGAAGGGGTGGGGCCTGTAGGTAGGCTTGCTGCGACGCGCATCTTGCTTTCGTCCTCAGCGAAAGCGTCGCTGCTGGCTCCAGCTTCTCTGGCATTTCTCGGTCGCGCTCGACTCCTTGCGATGTTGGGATGCTTCAGTCATACGTTGCGTTGGCTACAGACTGATATGGACGGCACAACAGATGGATGGCACAGATGGGTACGGATCGCGGACTCTCACAGCTGCTCTTCCTCCATCTCCTCATCTTCCTCCGACTCGTACTCCGACTCTTCCTCGTCGCTCTCTCCGCTGCCCCACCCAGCCTCCTCCTCTTGCTCCACTGCGATCCCCTCCCTCGCCAGATTCCATTCCTCCCTCATTGCACTCCACAGCTCCTCTCCTTCGCTCGTCTCAATCCCTAACTCGACACACGTCTTCCACAGCGCCTCGACCGCTTTTGCTCGACTTGTCGAATGTAGAGCAGGCGAGAAGAGCGAGGGAGAGGGAAGAGTACGGGTGTAGATGTAGGTGTGGATGAGTTGGAAGGCTGGAGGAGAGGGAAGACGGAGGTGGACGAGCGGGAGGGAAAGGGTCGAAAGCTTGTCGGCGGATAGAGAAGGAGGTGAGGCGGGTAAGGGCGCAGAGGTGCTTTGAGGCGTCGCGGGAGGCGTGAGGAGGGATGTAGTGGTGTCCTTTCGGACAGCCGGCGCTTCGCAGACTGCCTCCGTTTCTTTGCAATCCGGCACCGACACTGCGTCTCGACATTGTAGCAGCGGTCTGAGGCGGGAACAGGCAAGGCCCCATGGCAGTGCGTGAATCGGGACGAGGACATGCTGAGGATCCGGTCGTGCTGGACTTGCCGGAGGGAAGCTGACAGCGAGAAGGTGCGTAGGTGGGATGCAGTAGCCGGCGGGAAGATGCGCGGGAGGGTCGAAGGAGCAGGAGAGGCGGGACTTCGCGGGAGAGGAAGGCTGGGACGACTCTGTCGAGGGGTATTCGAGGGGAGTGACGGAGTCGGCGCCGGCGAGGAGACGAGGAGCTGTAGATGCGCAACGCTTTGTCAATTCGAGTCGCTACGAATCATCAGACGAAGATCTCGAGACGCACCGAGGGTGACCAGGGAGTCGCGGATGAAGGGCACCGGGACGCCTCGGAGGTCCTCGTCGCCCAGTCCTGATAGATCCACCGGCATTTTGACGTATCGTTGTCGAGTGAAAGCTCGCGGCAGAGAGAGCCTTCAAGCCGTGGGATGTAGACGCGAGGGAGCGACGAAGACGAGAGTTGGCGGCCAACGCGGAGAACGGAGGAGGATCGTCGCGCTCGAATGTTCGCTGCCCACAGTCGTCGAGCCAGGCGCTCAAGTGTGTGTGTGGGTGCGTCGACAGCACGAACAGCGTCGAGGGGGGAGAGACGCGTGCTGTTGTGTGAAATACGAAGTTGGGGGGCCGCGGACAACAGCTGTCCGGGCAAGGGGACGCTCGAGGCAGCGACTGCGAAGCCTCCATGATCGCAGTGTCCGATCGGCTAAAGAACAGAGGCACAGCTCGTCCATCGGGGGGCGTGAGATGATGTGAGACCAGGAGAACAAAGGCGACGGAGAGTTGACCTCCGCACAGGGTTGCAAGATCTGCAGGGCCGTACAGCACCGTGCACAGCTCTGATTATTACTGTCCGAAGCTCTGCCGCGACTTGACGCTCGCCAAGTCGAGAGCGTCCGGTCGGAGGAGGAGGAGGAAGCGAGGCGCGGGTTTGTTCTCCACTGTCTCCGCTCCATGCGGCGCTGCATGCAGACACCACTAGTCCGCGCGCGTCGTGGAGGCGGTGCGGGGTCTTCCAAAGGCCGCATGGCGCCGCCGCGGAGGGGAGGACGTCGTATCTCTCTTCCGCTGAGAAGGCCCAGATTGTCGAACGTCCGCTGCGAGAGCGGACGGGCGTAGCATGACCCTCTCAGGCATCCCACTACAGGCTGTCAGGGTTTGCTAAGTCTCGAGCACCTCGCCGGATGCAAGTGTGGTTGGCCTTTGTAACGAGGCTTGCTGGTGCTCCGGCTAGGCGAGTGGAGACGATGGCAACGATGAGAAGGAGAGAGAGAGCCATCGAGCAGAAACGTCTAGGGTCGTGTGCGAAAGAAGGGTCGGTCCGAACGAGTGGAACGAGTGACAAGGGTGAAAGAAACTGTGGGGTCGGAGATCTGCGCTTCGCTCGGAGAACCTCGAGGTAGCGCTGCGTCCAACACTTTGTCCCGCCACAGAGGCTCACACCGCTCGACCGCGGTTACGGACGAAGGCTGCATTCAAATGCATGTAGAGCCCGCGCTAGTCAAGAGAGTTGTCTGACATGGAGATCAAGGTCGACGCCCCATCGACAAATTGCGCCCGTGGAAGAAGAGGCGATCATTGGTGTTTCGGCGCGGCGTCTTGACAAGGCGCGGAAGAGGTGCAATCGTGAGCGTCCCTATCGCTTGTGAGGTCGACGACGCCGAGAGACCCAAGAGCAGAAGCGGCGCGAATCTACGAGCGAGGATTCGCAAGAGGACGAGCGACACTTCACACGGAGCAGTCATTCCTTTGTCCGGGCCGAACAGCGAGAGCCAGCAGAGTGAAGGGACCACTCGCGCAAGCAGACGAGAGACCACAACATCAGCAGCAGCCAAAGTCGAGACGCCGCGAGGTCGTGGATTTCGCAGCGTTTCTCCGCCTGCGATCCTCGTTGTCCCAGTCTCGTGGCCCGCTTCCTCCGACGATCAAGCCCTGTAAGCTCGTATCCCGCGTTCGGTACAGTACCTGATCTGGCACAAGCGTCGACGAGAGGGAGGAAGCGGAGGTCAAGTAACGCCCCGTCGACCAGCGTTGCCGCTTGTTACGAGCATACCTGCTTCGTGCATCGTACACAGCGCCTTCCCAGGGCACTCTGCGCTCGCCTTGCCCGTCTTCGACCAGATCCTCCTCGAGCGGGCGACGACTGGAAGAGGCAAGCGCGCGAGCAGTTGAAGCTACGCCAGTGTCGATGGTAGCGATGTCTAAGCGCAATGACAGCAGCAGCAAGCCTCCAGGCGATCGAGGACCAGTCACAGGCAGCTGAGTCGAGGGCAAGAGGTTGAGCGGCAGGTTGGACTCGCCCTCTCACCCCGTCACACTCGCTGGACAGGCTTGCACACGCTCAGACGCTCTCAGACTAGCTCGCAATGGGCTCACACTCGCGGTCGGACGAGCGCGACTCGAAGAAACACTCTCGCTCTTCTCAACGCGACGACCGGGACTCGAAGCGGCATCGCTCGAGCAGGGACGAGGGGAGCAGCAGGGACAAGGACCGGCACAAGAGCAGCAGCAGCAGTAGTCGCTCGCACCGCGACCGCGACCGCGAACGGAGCAGTCACTCGTCCTCCTCGAAGCGAAGGCATGACGTCTCGAAGGGCGAAGAGGACGACGAAAACGAGTGGGTGGAGAAGGCGCCGTCTCCCGGAGCGCAGCAGCAGAAGGATGGACAGCCACGGCCGCCAGTCGACACTGTCGGCACTTTCGAGGTCGGCTCGATGCCCACCGCTGCTGGCTTGAGGCGTCTCGAGGGCGAAGACATGACGGACGGCTTTGGCGAGGGCGACGTTGGCGGCAGCTCGAGCAGAGGCGGAGGTCTGTTTGGCTTGCCCGGCGACGGGACGGAGGGACAGGACGAGGCGGACTTCTTTGGCTCGTTCGGGACGGAGAGGCGCAGGAAGGAACCGAAGGAAAAGGTCGACCCGACGGTGCGTGCAGCTTGATCTCTTGCTTCTTGATTAAGTGCTCACGGGGTGTTGGCATCACAGCAAATGATGGGCCAGTCGTCTCGTGAGTTGAACAAGGCCTACTGGCAAGGCGCGCCCAACCCCGCCACCGCTTCTTCCGCCGCGGCTGCTCCCCCGACTCCTTCAACCGGCTCTCCCGCACCAGGCTCGTCCGGCTCGGCATGGCGCATGACCAAGCTTCGCCGGACATACGAAGCTGCGGAGGAGGAAGGGCGGCCGATCGAGGAGGTTGCGCTCGAGCGGTACGGCTCGCTTGAGGCTTTTGAGGAGGCGAAGGAGGAGCGACGAGTATTGGACGAGCGCGGTGATAGGCGGAAGAGTCGACGCGAGAGCGGGTTTGGCGGAGGTCCGCCTCGAGACGGTGCGAGGACGCCCACAGGCATGGCGGCAGATGGTGGAGGTCGGCGATTCGTCTTTACCGAGATGGACGCCGCAGGAGATGGCTCTCGTCCTTCGTCGCGGCAGTCCTTCCGACGACCTGGCGAAGCGCCGCCTGGTATCGCCCGATCCAGCTCGACCTCGTCAGTTGCTGGCGCAACTTCCGGTTCTCGCGGTTCGACGCCCATCCCGTCCGTCCTCACTCCGCCCGTCGCGCGCCGCATGCCCTCCGCCCTCTCGCAGTCAACGCTGGTCAACCCCGATCCGACCTCGACTGGTCCTGCCGTCTCGTCGAACTCCTCTGCGCCTCTCGGTTCTACCAAGCCTGTCCTCTCGCAGTCGGAGCTCAACAAGCTCCAAGCTCGTGTCTTGAAGGCCAAGTTGATGGAGTCGGACGACGCAGCGGACCTCGAAGCGGAGTACGAGCGCGAGCTGAAGCGCTCGATGGACGCTGGGCCTGCGGTAGCCGAAAAAGAAGGGATGGAGCAGACGCTTGGTGGTAGTCGGGCGCAGGGTGAGGACGTCCAGGTGTTGCCGACTGTTGATGGTCGAGGAAGGATGTACGATGTTGGTGTTGGGACGGCCATGGCGGATAAGCATGAGGAGGAGCGGAAGGCAAAGGGCCGACGCGCGAAGAAGGAGATGGTGCGATCGCTTTCGCTCCCCAGACGGCACAGCGATGCTGATGCAGCTTCGTCGTGCAGGCCTTCCAATCGCACGACCCGCAGACGGGCGAAGTCATACGCAACAATGCCGACGACGACGCCCTCTCGCTGCAAGACCTCGTCCGGCAAGAACGCTTTTCGGGCGGCCAAGACGACGCTCGCGCGCTCGACGCATCGTTCGCGAATCGGATCGCGACCGACGCGCGGTTCACGATGGACCTCGACTATATCGACGAGAATGCGGAGAAGCTTGCGAGGGCCAAGATGAAGAGCGAGGCGATGAAGCGGCAGTTTGCGATCAACGACTATGCGCGGACGAAGAAGGCACTCGACTCGTGCGTTAGCCTGCGTGCCTCCCCTTCGCATCGTCTCCTCACCCGCCTCCTTCACGCACAGCTGTACGATGTGCTACTCGGACGAAGGCGCTCCGCCGAAAGCCCCCGTCGTCGCGCTCGGCACACGCGTTTACCTCGCCCTGATGGAGAATGAGGAACTCGTGCCGGGTCACTGCCGCATTGTGCCGGTCCAGCACTATCTCAGCTGCTTGGAGATTGATGAGGAGGAGGGATGGGATGAGATCAAGGTGGGTCTGGCTCGCCCACTCGGCAGTTTTCGCCGCCTTGAGCAGCTCAAGGCTGATGTTGGCGAATGTCGGAACCCACAGAACTTCATGAAGACACTCATGCAGATGTTTGCCGCGCAAGACAAGGGCGTCGTCTTCTTCGAGACGATCATCAACCACAAGCAGCAGCGACACGGCTACATCGAAGCGATCCCCGTCTCGTTCGACCTCTTCGACCAGCTGCCAATCTACTTCCAGGTGCGTTCGCTTGGCTCGCGTCATGGTTCTCCGCTGATGAAGGCTTGTCGTCGTACCCGCAGGAAGCCATCTCGACGTCCGAGAGCGAGTGGTCGCAGCACAAGAAGCTCATCACCTTCACGCCGGCCCGCCCCTTCCGCCGCTCGCTCGTCCCGAATCTGCCTTACTTTGCCGTCCAGTTCGACTACAAAGGCGAGAAGGGGTACGGCCACGTCATTGAGGGCGTTGACGATGCGCCAGACCGCGATCTGGACGGCGAGGAGCGGAGGGGAGACTTGGGCGACAAGGGCGGCGGCGAGTTCCCTCGGTGTGTTCGCTCGCGCCTCTCGTGGTTCTCCGGTACCTGCTGATGCTCCTCGCCGCGGCTACAGCTACTTCGCGCAGGAGATCATCGGCAACCTCCTCTCGCTCGAACCGCGCAAGTGGCGCAAACCTCGCCGCCTCGACCGACGGGACAACCCGAAGCGCATTGCCGACTTCCGCAAGATGTACGACGCGTACGACTGGACCAAGATGCTGCCGGGCGGTTCGGGAGGGCCACAGTGAGCGGAGGAGGAGCGAGCGAACGGCGTTGTACGATTCCGACGATACTCCTGGGCGCACTTGTACATGCAGTTGTATCACATACGCTACCATGCACTCTCTCTTCTTGCCTCTGCTCGTGGACGCCGCCTCGAACGGCCTTCCCAGCGTACCGGTGTGTTCAAACCTCGCTCGCTTGCGTCGAACTCGACTCGCTGACTTGCTTGCTCGTTGAGCTGTCTACCGTCAGTCGAACGACTTCTCGCCACCCGTTAGCGCGAGTCCGCTCGCCTCCGCGGACCCTCTCCTCCTCTCTCGCCTCGACCTCTAACTCGCTCCGACTGCTCGTGCGCTCTGACCGGCCAGACTTGGTTGAATGGCTTGATCGGCATCTGTGCATGCACGCTGATCCCGACCGAAGCCATCCCGACGTTGTGACCTGGTCATTCCGCCTCCTGTTCCCCTCTCACTCGTTCCCTTCACACCCTGTCCCGCTCTCGCAACATTCGGCTCTCCACCGGCGCTTGAGCACTCTTTCATTGATCCAGCAACTCGCCATGTCGACCCACCATGCCGTCCGAGCGCCGTATGAGGGCGTACCGTCGGGAGGAGGAGATGCGAGTGGATCGGGCACAACGGCCGGAGATCAGCTCGGAGGGGGTGGCGAGCCCAAATGGTGGACTCCGGAGGACCTCAGAAAGCGGCAGAGGGCGGGCAACGGCGGGACGAGCGCGGTTGGCGGGGCAGCTGCGGCTGGAGGAGGACTCGCTCGAGGTGCTCAAGGTGAGTCGCAGCGTCCTGCAATCTGAGGCTGGATGGTGACCTTGCTTACGCTGATTCTCGCTCGCAGGACACGTACGCGCGTCCGGCACGAATCCGAACACCAGCTTCTCGTCTCCTCCCTACCCCATCCAGCCGTCGCCAAACGCACCGCCCGCTCGCCAGTTCGGCTCGTCCTTCGTCGACCAAGGCTTCGTGCCTACCGGCCTCTACCTCTCGCCCAATGCGTCGACCTTCACTCCTCTCGGTCCGACAACCTTCACTCCGCTCGGCCCGATGCCTCCTCACCCAGCCGCGACTATCCCGGACCAGCCTTCCGCACCGCCATCTTCCGGCTTCTACGTCAATCACGAAGAGTACCGCGGGCAGGAGGAAGATCTGCACGTCCAGTCCGACGGCTCGTACGCCGCTTTTCCGGCTCCTCGGCTCGCGCACAAGGTCGTTCTCTCCTGGTCGACATCGCAAGGCGGCAGTACGGTGGCCGGAGACGTGCGTGGAGAGACTGAGGGTATGCTGAGCGCCGCAGAGAAGGAGCGCATTTTTGCGGAGGCGAGGCAGAAGAAAGGTAGTCGCGCGGTTGAGATCAAGCGTCCACCCCCGAGGCCGCCATCGGCTCCTCCCGCCCTCGACAAGGTCGCCGAACCTGCCGCCGACATCAAGAAGAGCGCTTCGCCAACTCCGTCGAACAAATCGTCGACCTTCACCTTCTCCCCCCAAGTCGCCAACTTCCGCCCACGCACTTCCCTCTCCGATGCCGCATTGACCGTCGACCCTCCTTCACCCGTACCGTCTGCTGCGAAGCCCGTGGACGACCCGCCTACCTCGCCGCCGTTGACCTCCAACTCGACCCGCGCCATGCCCACTTTCGGCCTTCTCAAGTCGCTCAAAGCGCCTTCCTCGAGCGCCGTCTCCCTCGCCGGCTCGTCCGCCGCCTCACTCGTTCCTTACGGCGACTCGGACGAGGAGAGCAGCGAAGAGTCTGACTCAAACGCCTACGCGACGCCGCCGACTATCTCGAAGACGCCGACTTCGGTAAGGGCTATGTCGCCTGAGCCGCAGAAGGAACTGCAGCGCTCGAGTGCCCCGTCGCCGCCGTCGAGCGCCTCGAGCCGGGCTGAGAAGGAGCAGCTGCCGTCGAGCGAGGGAGGCGCGTCGAAGCAGGGGGAGGCGAAGGAGGCGGAGCGGGACGAGTTTGTCAAGGTCATGGACTCGCGCGCCAGCAGCTCGACGGACGATGGAGACGAACCCGCCAATACAACCGAAGAGCTCATTGTCTTCATTGCGGAGGCGAGCGTCGAGGCAGACGTCGCTTCGTCGGCAACCTCCGCCTCAAAAGCGTCCGCGTCGAGCGATGAGCCCCCGATGAAGCGAGTCAGGACGGGGCATGTTGAGGAGGAGACGCCGGTGGAGGAGAGGTCGGTCAAGCCGGAGGTGCGCTGCACTTCGTCCTGCGTCTCGCCACAAGAAGCTGACCATGACATGGCATATACAGCTCCTCTACACCTCGTCGGCTTCTACCGTTGACGTCCGCCCCAACGCTCTCGTCCACGCTCCGCGCGCCAACGCTTCCTTCAGCCCGCCGCCGCTTGGCAGGACCGGAAACTGGGAATCTTTCCCTTCCTTCCACCTCACGTCGTCACCCTTCACCCGCTCGCTGCTCAACCCTTCCGTCTCGCCCTTCAACCCTTCCACCGCCGCGCCATTCGTTCCCGGTCTCGCCTGGGGCAACGGTTCCTTCTCGGTGCCGCCTCACTTCGGCCCCGTTCCGCCGCCGAATGCGCAGCGAGAGATCCGCTTGCGCACGGTCGAGAGCCTCCTCAAGGACACGATGGAGGAGAACGGTGTCCTTCGTCGCAAGGTCGAGAAGTTCAAGGTCGCGCACAAGGACCAGGCCGAGAAGCTCGCCGCGAAGGATGCCGAGCTCGAGTCGGCCCGCAAGGAGCTTGTCGACAAGCTCGCAGCCACCGCTGCCGACCTCGAGGAGGCGCGTCGCTCGTCGCCGTCGTCGTTCTCGGTCGCCCGCTACAACTCGGAGGAGACGAAGCGTGCGCTTCTCGAGCAGCGCAAGGAGATGCTGACCGAGAAGGAGGCGGCGGTCAAGAAGGTCCAGCTCTTGCTCGACATCGAGACGAAGCGGGCACAGAGCCTCAAGGACGCCGTCCAAATGCGGGACGACCAGCTTCGCGCTAAGGATGACGCCCTTCGCAGCATCGACGGGAGGATTAAGAAGTCGGAACAGCGTGCGGACGACGCCGTCCGTGCCGCTCGCGCTACGGAGAAGCAGTATCGCGAGGACTTTGAGCGACGTCTTCGCGCCGAAGAAGCCGAGCGTCGCAAGGAGCTCGAGACGCGCATGGTCGTCGAGAAGAAGGCGCTCGAGGCGAAGATCAAGTCGCTTGAGGAGAAGATCGAGGCGGGCGAGGAGGAATTGTTGCAGGCGAGTGCGTCGATTGAGCTGATGCAGAGCAAGACGGAGGACGCGACGGGGGAGCTGAAGGCGCTTTCTGCCGAGCTCAAGGAGACGGTAGCCTCGCGGGACGCTGCTCTCGCCGACGCGAAGAAGGTCAAGGATGAGTTGTCCCAGACTCACGCGGCCATCGCGGACTGGAAGAGGTGCGCCGAGGAGAAGGCGAACGAGGTCAAGACGGTCTCAGAGGAGCTGAAGGAGATGGTCGTCGCGCGTGACGCTGCGCTCGGTCGCTGCAGGGACGTCAAGAACCAGCTCGGTACGTCCCGCGCACTCCTCGCCTCGTCGCCCGAGCTGACGAGTTCGGAGCAGACTTGAGGAGCCGCGAACTTGAAGAGGCGAGGGAGGCGTCGAAGAAGGCTCAGGAGGCAGAGACGCAGGCTACTCTGGCCCTCGCTTCGATCAAGACGACGCTCAAGGAAAAGGAGGCAGAGTTGGCTACCGCAGAGGAGCACCGAGGTGCGTTCCCGCTTGCCCGTGCTGCTTTGTGGGGTTTTCGCTGAGTCTGTCATCGGCGCAGACGACGCGATCCGCGAGATTATCGCCCTTGAGCGCGCCGTGACTTTGCCTTCCGAGGCGCTCCTTGCCGCCAACAAGACCTGCGACGACCTGCGCGCCGTCAAGCAGTCGCTCGAAGACCGCGTCGCCTCGCTTGACAAGGAGCTCTCGACGCACAAGACCGAGGCCGAGACGTTCCGCAACAAGGCGCTCAAGGAGATGAAGCGCTTGACGACTCAAGTCAAGGAGGCGCAGGAGTCCCAGGCGCGCGTGTCGAAGCTCGAGCGAGACCTTGCCGATGCGCAACAGAAGGTCGAGGGCGCCGAGATTGCTCAGAAGCAGGTCAAGCTCGAGCTGGACGAGGCGAAGCAGAAGCTCGAGGCGGAGCAGAACGCGCGGACGGCGCTCGAGGGGTTGTTCAGGCAGAAGAACGAGTACAAGGACGCGGAGCTCAAGAGGGTGCAGGAGCGTGCGAAGAGCGAGCAGGACGAGCTGAGGCAGCGAGTGCGTTTGGCGATTCCAACCCGCTTCTCAAACTGACTTTCGCGGCTTCTCCGCTGATCCGCGTCTTCTTACCCTGCTCGCAGGTCCAACGCCTCGAGGAGGAGGTCGTCAAGGCGGAGCAGACGCACGAAGAGGCGGGCCAGCACGTCGACGCCGTCCTCGCCGAGTGCGCCGATCTCAAGCAGGAGAAGCACGAGCTCGAGAAGCGCGTCGCCGAGCTCGAGCAGAACAAGGCGGAGAGCGCGTCGAAGGCGTCGACGGACCACACCCGCGCAGAGGTCGAGAGGAGGAGCGAGGCGGCGTCCGAGAAGGCTTCGACGAGTGCGTCCGTCGTCTTCGCTACCCTCGCGTCAGCTCATCCTCCTCGTCGCAAGCAGGCTCCGTCGTCCACGCCGCGTTCGCGCGCAGGCCGGTCACGTCCAAGACGCTCGAGCTGCTCTCGAAGACGCGGAAGGGTTGAAAAGGAGGAGCCGCTTGGATCGGTGGAACGGGTCTCGCTTGTCGCTTCCCTGTCTTTGCAACAGCCGTTCGTCGTCGTCGTCGTGCTCGTTCACTCGTCGTCGCCATTCCCTCGGGCTTTGTCAACTTCGCCGTCTTGCGTCGGCCCCACCGCTCTCTGGCTTCAACTCTTCACTCTCACGCTCACGATGCCTCTCTCGACCGCTAGCAAAGCTTTCTGCGCCCACTTCAGATGCTCACTCCCGCTCGTGTGTCCGCCCATGGCTGCAGTCGCGGGAGGAGTGCTCGCAGCTGAGGTTCATCAAGCTGGAGGAGTCGGGTTCATCGGGGGTGTGAGTCGCTTCGCACAGGGTGTGGGCACGGTTGGCATACTGACAGACTTGCTACAGGGCCACACGCCGCTCGAGAACCTCAAGCAAGAGGTGCAGAAGGCGCGCGAGACGCTCTCCCTCCCTCCCGACGCAGACCTCCCGTGCGTTGCTCTCCTCGTTCCGCCCGTCTTCCCTAAGCTGACAAGCCCTCGCTTGCAGCATCGGCATCGGCTTGATCCTCTGGCGCCTCGAAGAACCGCACCTCTCGACCTCGCTCGCCCAGTACGAACCCGACACCTGGCTCCGCTACATCCTCCACGAGGCGCGCGCCTCCGCCGTGTGGCTGTCTTTCACGAATGGGAGTTTGGGGGAGTGGGTCAAGAGGGTGAGGAGGGTGGAGAAGGAGGGCGAGAGGAGGGAGAGGGTGAGGGTCGTTGCGATGGTGCAGACGGAGAAGGCGGCGAGGGAGTTGCTTGCGACTGAAGGGGTGGACGCGATCGTCGCGCAAGGTCAGTTCTGATACCTCGTCTCGGCGGATCAGGCGGAGAACCTCCTCCTTCGTCTTGCTGGACATCTTGGGAGAAGGACTGACTTTACGCTCGCTCGTTCCACAGGCACCGAATCCGGCGGCCACGGACCCACCGACTCCGTCGGCTCTCCCCTCCACACGCTCCTGACCACCCTCTCCCCCCTCTTCCTCCGCTCCTCGCCCCCCTTCCTCCTCGCAGCCGGAGGGCTCGCCTCCCCCTCCACCATCCGCTCCGCCCTCGCAATCTCGCCCGTGGCGGGCATCGTTCCAGGCACCGCCCTCTCAGTCTCTCGCTCCTCGCTCCTTCCTCTCGCGCAAAAAGAGCTCCTCGTTTGCACCCCCTCCGGAGCAGAGACGACGCGCGGATTGAAGTGGGACGAAGCGAGGGGTACGAATGGCTGGCCGGGGTGGTGCGATGGACGGGGAGTGAGGAATTTGACTAGCGACGATGCGGAGGAGGAGAAGGGTTTGACGAGCGAGGAGAGGGTGGAGAGGTATAAGAGGGCTGTGAGGGAGGGAGATGTACGGAGGGTGGTGACCTGGGCTGGTGCGTTCGCTCGCTCTGTCTTTCTCGAGTTCGGGTTCTGAGCGAGGGGTGCTGATGGTGAGGACGTGCGCGCAGGGACGGGCGTGGGGGATGTGAAGCGGATCGCTTCGGCGGGCGAGATCGTCCAGGAACTCATGTCGTCCGTCGTGTAGCGCAGCCTTCGCTCGAGGTCTGTACAAACTCTACAATCGCAATGCAGTCGTCGCTGTCACGCTACCGGCGAGCCCACCGCCCGCGCTACCTGTCGCACCAACGCGCTCACCTCCTCCCTCACCCACTCATGCCCTCCTTGGCCCGCACACCACCCTACAACGAGTCCCAGCACCACCGCGACCCCAACTCTGTGCTCGCTCCACCCCTTCCTTTCCCTCTCCCTAACAGCCTCGGCGCCATACGCCACGCTGACCCCCTTCCTCGCTTTCCGAATCGCCCCCTCGTTGGGCGGGTACCCAGCCGCCTCGAGTCCCGGCAGTCCATCGACCGATTCCGAGTTCTTGAGGGCCCAGTAGGACTGGAGTTTCGGAGTTGGGGTGAGGGGAAAGCTGGAGAGAGAGGGGGACGGGGAGGGGAGGTGTTCGAAGGGCGTGAAGTAGTCTTTGAGTCGAGGTCTGCAGTCGCGGAACGTGAGCGCGGCGAGAAAGAGAGAGAAGGAGAGGGATGTACGCACCGCTCGCCGACAAACTCGAAAAAGGGGACCGAATACCCACAACTAGTCCCGACCCTCTCGACCTCCATCCAAACCACCGCTCTCGCACCAGGCAACCGACGCGGGTCGTCGGGCGGGAGGAGGGCGTTGAATTGGGGAGTGTCGCGTGGGTGGATCGTGGCGTGGCCGTAGAGGCGGAGGATGCGGGGTGGGCCTTCGAAGGCGTTGAATACTACCTCTCTAGAAACGGTTAGTGCAGGCAAGAGGGGGAGAAAGGAAAGGGAAGGGAAAGGACGCACGGATTGTCAAGCGCCCGTTTCCCGGCTCGCGCATGTGAGAAATCGTCTCGTTCCCTGAGCCGGTCATGTCGACGTACCAGACTGCAGTGGGTGAGTCGATGGTGAAGCAGTCGTAGCCTGCTCCGTGATCCTTGTCAGTGCGCAATTCGGGAGAAGGGAGGGGAAGGGGCACGGGCCTTTGGGAGAGACGTTGACTGTTCCTGCTGCTGACAATGGCGCCGAAGCGACCCAGAAGACTTTCTGTTCCCTGCGTCGCGGGCCAAGTCATCCCCAGTCAGCAAGGAGAGGGAGAGAAGAGGGGGTGGGGACACACTTGATCCAGGGTATGAGGGACTCGGGGATCTCGTCGTAGAATGCGCCCATGGTGGACCGCGTGCGTTTGGGTGTGAGGGAGGGTGAGGATGAGGCCGGTCGAGGCGTGAGGATGTGGGGGTTGCGAAGGGGATGAGGCGAGGAGACAGCGGAGAGAGTCGAGCGACTTGCTGTGTGCGGCGGGTTGCGCAAGCAGTCCCACAGAGACCAGCAATGACAGCAAGGAGGACGAACGAAGCAACGGAGCGAGCGGTGAGCGGTGAGCGAGTTTCGTGGGAGACGCGCGAGTCAAGCGAGACCGCGTGGGACGAGCGGGCGAGTCTGGCGGGGTGGTGTAAAGTCGAGCGGGTTGCTTGAGTCGTGTGCAGTCGTCAGCGAGTGGCAGCTAGCCGTACGATGGCGTTCAAGACGGAGAACGAGCTGCTTTCCTGCTGGTGAGCGTGTTTGCTCTCCGCGTTGCGACGCCAAGTCGACGCGCGCTGTGCGAAGTTGATGAGCGAGTTGCGAGATTGTGGTCTGGGACGAGTACTGCACACGCTGACTGACTGGCAAGTTGTCCTGCCAGACACTCACTGCCACCCTCGCTCGCTCACCCTTTGACCCGCACAGACCCACCCACCCTCGCACTCTCGCTCGCACCGCTCTCTCCCTCCTCTCTCCTCTCGCTCACTCTCATCGCCTGGCTGGTCCCACGCACTCTCTCCCTCTCACACACGCCCAACCCACGTCACTCGTTCCAACCAACCTACCCACTCTCCTTCCTCTCTCTCCTCGTACCTCCCGCTCAACCGCCCGCCCACCATGCGCACGCCCCTCTCCCTCTTGCTCGCCCTCGCCCTCGCACTCGCCACCCTCTCCCTCACAGACGCAAAGAAGACCGGGAACGTGCTCACCACCAACGACAAGCAAGCGGCGGGTCTTCGTGCGTTTCCCTCCCTTCCCTCTTTTCCTGGGGGTGCGTGCGCTGATGGATGGTGAGTGAGCGTGAGCAGAGGCAGCTGCAGTCCGCTTGAAGCCGGGGAACTACGTCTTCCAGAACGTCCAGACCAAGCAGAAACTCGTTGCGTTCCCCTCCTCCTCCCTCTCCTCAAAAGCTCCCGCTCACGCCTGTTCTTTTTTCCCCAGCTCTACACGACCAACAAGAACAACATCTACCCGGGCAAGAAGGGCACGGTCGGGAGCGTGACGGCGTACCCGAACAACGGAGTCGCCTGGCACCGGTAAGCGAGCACTCCTGGGTCTGTCAAACAGAGAGGGGCGCATGCTCATTCGCTCCCTTTCCTCGCGCAGCCTCGAATTCGGACCCAAGTGCGTTCCTCCATCCTCCCCATTCCCCCTCCTTCCCCTCCTTTCCCGAAATCCCGCTCACGAACTCGCTGACGCTCGCTCGCTCGCTCAGGAACAAATGCCTCTCGTCGGCCTGGGGCGGCAACGGCAACAACGCCGCCGTGATGTACGTCTGTGCGTCCGGCAAAGGGTCGGAGAAGACTACCCTCGAGAAGACCAAGCAGTGCGTACCCGCTCGCCTCTCGATTCGCTCTCGGAGCTGAGGTGTGCCCGCGCACGCAGGTGGTGGATCTTTGTCCCGACGAACAAGCCCATCGCGAAAGCCCCCGCCAACTCTAAAGCGAACCAGGTCCTCCTCGCCGCCCAAGCCGACTCGATCGCGACCCGCAAGAAGAAGATTGCGGCTCAGAAAGCCGCGTTCCATAGGAAGCGATCGGGGTTGGTCAAGGAGGTTAGGAGGAGGGCGTTGGAGAAGAGGGGGATCAAGACTGTGTGCGTTCTTTCCGGCCTCTGGCTTTCTCGTCGTCTTTCGAGAGCGAGAGCTCACGAGTTCTTATCGGCGTACGCACACAGTTCCGGCGGTACCTTCTACATCATCCCGTCCGTCTCCCTCCCTCTCCCTCTCCTCCCTTCTCCCGCTAACCCCCTCCCGCTCGCGCAGGACCGACCACCTCCTCGACCGCACCGCGGCCCTGACAGGCAAATCCGTCACGCAGCGCGGTGTCAAGAACACGGTCGTGACGGACTGGAAGAAGGGGAACCGGTTGCAGCAGTGGAAGGTCACTAGGGTCAAGTAGGCCCCTCGTCAAGCTTTCGCAGGTTCTTGTGTTCGGCTCGTCTTATTCCACCCGGTTTTCGTTCGCTGTGCCCATACCCTCTTCTCGTTTGATTCTCCACTTAGTCTCGTTCACGCGCTAGTCGCCCTCCCTCCCCTTCGTTCCCTTGACGCTAGTCGTCCCCTCTTCGTTCCGTTTCGTTCCTTCTTCGCAGAACCCCTCCTCTCATCGCACTTCGCACTTCGCACTTCGTTCTTTGCAACCCACTTCGTCGTTTCACCCTTTCACAAGCGTCCCGAGCGCAGCGAGACGAAAGACCGAGAGAGAAGAGAGAGGGTGGGGCTACCAAACGTCCCGCGCTTCTTCTTCCAGCCCCGTAACAGCTTCACTCCAACTATCGGTCGCACCGGCTTGGGAGATCCACTCGGGGCACGTCGAGGTCATGGAAGTGGAAGGTGAGGGCGGAGGGAGGGGAGGGAGAGGAGGGGCAGGGGGAGGGGAGAGGAGGAGGGATGAGCCTAGCTGGTTCGCTGGCTCGTCGTGACGGCGATGGCGAGGGCGGGTGTGAGGCGTCGATGGGGAAGAAGGGTGGTGAGTTTGGGATGTCGAGGAGAAGTTGGCGGGCGGCGAGAGGGAGTCGAGCTGCGCTCCGTCCTCCTCTTGCTCGTTGTGCTGCGCCTCACGAAAGCCCTTGAGCATCCTCAACATCGCTCCTCATCAAGCGGAACCCCCAGACTCACCTCCCTCCCGCTTCCCCTCGGGCGGGTCGCAGCCCACCCCCTCGCCTGCCAAACCATGTGCGCGATGACGCCCGCTACGAACGTCGTAGCCGCGAGGAGGAGGAGCGCTTCGGGTGTGGCCATCTCCTGAGCGGGAGGAGGGAGAAAGTAAGGGAGAGAAGGGAGCGGAAGCGACCTTCTCAAGCGAGAGTGGGGCATCGAAACGCTTCAAGAGGCTCGCGAGAAGTCGACTCCAGTATTCGTACACTGTACTACACCCACCCACACGCGCTCACTCCCCCGTCCTTTCCCTCGCCGCCACTCGTTCCCTCAAGTTCCTAAACCCCTCTCCCTCGCCCATCCACTCCCTTTCCCTCTCGCCATCCCCCGCCCATCCAGCTTCAAAGACGGTCCCGAGTGCACCGAGGAAGAACGTCTCGAGCGAGAGGCCGGGGGAGGGGAAGCAGTAGCGGGTACAGTCGCCGCTTGTCGGGCTGCGCAGACCCTTGCCCGCTCCTGCTAGGACGGTCTGCGCGGCGTGAGAGGCGGTGGAAGAGGAGGAGAAAGGAGAGGCGGAGGAAGAGCCGACCATCCCACTGCGCCAGACGGAGAGGGGGGAGTCAAGGTCGAGGAAGGGCACGCCAAATGCCGGCAGGACGACCCGCCGAGCGAGGTCGTTCTGGAAGAAGAGTTGGGTGTTGTGGTAGATGATGTGTGGGGGGAGGAGCGAGCCGTCGACGCGGAAGAGGAGGTCGGAGAGCGAGGGCTGGGAAGAGCGGGGAGGGGGGCCGTCGCCTGGCGAGGTGGGTAGCTCGTCGGTGTCGGTGTCGGTGTCAGTTTGGGACGCGGCACAATCGGCGTGCTGACGCCACCCGCCGCGGTAGACGACGAGCTGGTCGGGCGGACTCGGCGGTGCGCGGATAGCCCGCAACGCCTCGACCAATTCCGGCACCCAGACATTCCTGGTCGTTTCCGCCGCCGCCTCGACTATCCTCAGCGCCTTCTGCTCCACCTCGACCCGCTCATCACTCAGCAACCCCCTGACCCACTCATCCCAAGTCTCGTTGAACCCCTTTCTCGGCAGCGGCAACGGCGGCTTATTGAGCACGACAATATCCGACCTGCGCGAATCGGCGAGCCATTGCTGGTTCACCTCGCGCACGCCGGTCGAGGGGTGTGTGTAGGTTGGGAGGGTCTGCGCAGAGGACGGGCGCAGGCCGTCTGTGCGGCGGTAGCGGAGGAGGGTGCCGTACGAGGGGGAGCGGGTGGACGATTGGCGCTTGGTGTGAGTATGCGAGTGAGACGTCGAGTCATGCGCGTCGGACGAGGGTGTCGAGTCGCGCTTCTCCACGTCGGCAGGCGCCCGCTCCTCCCTTCTCCGCAGCTCCTCCCCACCGGGCGACAACGGCAGCCTATGATACACCCTCTCGTCCCCTTCCCAGTCCTCCACCCCCTCGCCCTTCTCACTCCTCAAAATATTCCCACACAGGGCATGCTCCTTGCAATACAAGTCGCCATAGCAGCTCTGCGGCTCGGTGGTCGTCCAGTCGAGGAGGAGGTCGTGCAAGGAGTACTGCGTCGAGTCGCCGAGGAGGAGGGTGGATTTGTGGGCGAGGAGGCGGCAGAAGCGGGAGCGAGAAGGCGGGCCGGAGAGCCGGAGTGAGGGGGAGAGTGACGCAGGTGCGAGGTTGGCGCAGGCGGGAGAGGAAGCCCAGCGCCACTTGAGCGACTCGCGCACGCCCCAGCCGCCTTCGACCTCATCCGCTGCGGATCCAGGTTCGCGACCCTTGTAGAACCGCTTGTCGCATGCCGCATATCGACTCTCCTGCTTGTGGACTGTCAGGCCCCGGCCTTGTGAGGCAAGCCACTCGCCTGACGCGTCGTAGATCCACGAGCCCGACGAGGAGGAGCAGTCGAGGAAGGATTGGAGGTCGCGAGCTTCGGAGGAGGAGGCGATGGCTGTGCCGGGGATGCCGCGAAGGCGGAACGAGAGGGACGAGGTGGCGGAGGAGACGAGGGATTTGATGTCGGAGGCGAGAGACTCGAAAAGCGAGTCGTAGGTTGCGGAAAAGGCGGGAGAGAGGGAGTCGGCGGAAGGAAGCGAGGAGGCAATGGCGATGGTCCGTGGCAATTGGCGCCCCGCTCGCTCGTTCAAGGCGCCTCCCTTCGTCTCGCCGTCTGCCGCAATGCTCGCCAGCTCCTTCACCGGTGTCGCCAATCCTCTTATTGTCCCTTCCGCGCCAACCTCGCTTACTGATCCCGCAACCGCATCTATCGTCTCGCCTCGCCCATCAAGCCCTCCTGCAGCATCTTTCGCAGCACTAGCGACCGCGAACAGCACGAACGAGCAGCCGAGAGCGAATGTGGAGCAGCGCGAGCGTCTCGAGCGGGCTGGCATGGTCGCCTCGCAGCTCTGCGGGCGGTGCGAGCGTGTGAGCAAGAATATGCAATCCTGGAGAGAGAGTCTGCGAGGCTCACCAGGCTGACCGGAGGAAGCTGAGGTCGTCGTGTCCGTCAGACTTCGCGTTCATCAAACTCTCGCTTCGTCTTCTCGGTCGCTCTCGCTAGAAAGGCTCAACTAGCCGCCTACAGCGCCCAATGCCCTTTCAGCAACCGCTCGTACCCTCCCCGACGCTCTCCGCCGCGTCCCCACACCTCCCCTCCTCCTCGACTTCGCGATCCGCATCGCCTGCGCTCGCAACGCAGACAACGGTCGGGCTCGGCGTGATCGGTGCAGAAGGACTGGACGTGCATAAGGATCAGGAAGAACAGGTCGCAAAGGCGGAAGTGACCAGTCCGCTTGAGTTGACCCAGTTCGTGAGTGGTCGTGGGCTTGTCCTCGTTCGTGCAAGGCTCATTGTAGCTGCAGCGCTGACGTTGCGAGGCGTTCCCCTTCTCACAGGTGGACAACCTCCTGAACGACCTCGAATCACGCTTCGACGCCCTCTCCTCCGACGTTCTCTCCCGCCGTGCGTCCTCCTTGCCCTTGTCGCGTCGTCTTTCCCAGCTGACAGTTCCTAAGCCCACGCAGTCAACTCCCTCTCCACCCGTGTCGACTCGCTCGAGACGAGTCTCTCAGACTTGATGAGCGGAACGGCGCTCCCTCCTCCTTCGGCTCCCCCTTCCGTGACAAGCCCAACAAGCGCCTCCTGATCGACCCATCGCCTCTTCCCTATGCCCTCCGACTGTCCTAACGTCTTTGTTGTATCGCCTACGCAGCTCCCCGCCGTCCAGTGCCTGTATTGCCTGTCCATTTCGCCTGCCCATTCATTCGACTCGTCTCGCGCAAGCGTCTCTATCGCGACGAGATCCCAACGGAGAGAATCCTTTTGTCCGAGTTCCATTTTAGCGTTTGCGAGCGAGTCGAAGCGGGCGGGAGGGTAAAGAGAAGGAGGGAGGAACCGGACTACACAAAGCGAGGAGGAAGGAGAGGGATAATATCGTACAGAACGAAAGCAAAAAGCGCGAGCATCTAGTCTTCATACCTCCCTCAAAGCGCCTCGACGCCCTTGGTGACTTCCTCGACCTCACCTCCCTCGCTCTTACCCGCAACGTTCGAGTAACTGAACCCGTCCTTCCTCATCGCGGGCTTCTCAATCTTCGCTCCCTGCTGAGCGGGAGCAGCGGCATGGGGCGGCGTGTCCTTCTCGACAGGAGGCAAAGGGGGCGCAACGTCCTTGGGCTTAGCCGCAGCCGGTGCGAGCGGGCCCTTCCTGACCCACGCGCCCTCGCCCCTCTCCCCACCCGCACCCGCACCCGCGAAACCCTCCTTACGCTCCTTCTTCTCCGGCAACGTAGGCGCAGGACGCGCAGCGAGTTTCTCCTCGACTTCGCGCTCTTTCGACGCGGTGTCGATGGGCTTGGCGGCGCCGAAGGGACTGGCGCGCGACGAGCTGCCGGCGGGAGTGGAGGGAGTCGAGGAGGGAGGAGAGGCGCCGGGCGTGCCGGTGGCGGAGCGGGCGGAGAGCTGCAGAGGGCGGCGGGTCATAGGCGGGTCCGAGGCTGCGCGTGTGCATTGAACGCCTGTCAGTTCCTCACTTCCCCGTCAAGAAGAGCAACAGTGGCAACGCACGAGTCCTCGATCCAAAGCCACTTCCAAAGCCCTTCCTCTCCTGCCCAGGAAGCGGTCCCCTCCTCTCCCAAGTCTGCGCCTCATCCGCACCGGGACCCGTCCTCTCGCGATCCGCAAACATCTGCCTCCTCTCGCCGCGCTCGGCAGGCGGCGCCGAGGGGATGAACTTGCCTCCGCGGATGGGGGCGTCGCGCTCGATCTCCGGTGCGGGCTCGAACGAGCGAGGCGGACGTCCTCCTTCGCCGCCTGGTCCAGCGGGCGCGCCATAGCCCGAGAACCCACGACGGGGCTCAGAAGGCGCAGAAGGCGTGAACTTTCCACCGCGGATCGGGGCGTCGCGCTCGATTTCCTCGAAGCCGCCCGGTCCGTCACGAGGGGGTCCACGGTCCCTCGACATTCCGCCGAACCCGCCCGAGCGGCCAGGGAGACCCGGAAGAGGCCCAGTGCGCTCCCACGTGCTCGCCTCGTCTGCGCGGCCCATCCGGCTCGTCTGCGCTTCGGCGACTGAGATGCGGACGACGCGACCGCCGAGGTCGTGGCCCGACGCGGAGAGAGCCTGCGAGAGGTGGTCGGCCGTCTCGAACTCGACGTAGCCGAATCCGCGGGGCTTGCCGTCCATGCCGGTGACGAGGCGGACCGACTTGACCTGCGCAGCCAAGTTTCTGATCAGTAAGTCCTCCCGTTCAGTTGAGAGCAAGCGAGACTTACGCCGAGACCGGTGAAGAAGTCCTCCAAGTCCGCCTCGGTCGTCTCGAAGCTCAAGTTGCCCACGAACGCGGTGTAAGGCGGCGCAGTCGGGAAGGGGACCTCGGCGCGGGGCGGACGCCCGTCGTCGCGGTCGCCGAAGCCGCCTGGTCCGCCGGAGCGGGGGCCGTAGCGGTCTGCGCGCGCGCAATGGCATTAGAGGCAGCGGGAGGAAAGGGAGGAAGGGAGGGGACGAACCGCCTTGGCCCATTCCGCGGGTGAGGTGCGAGCCGCCGAGTCCGGGTCCCTCGCCAAAGGTAGGGCCGGCCGAGGCTGCGCGCGAGAACAGAGTCAGGTCAGACGAGCAAGCGAGCGAGGAGAAGGGCAATGTGGACGCACGTCCGGTCGGGAGCTCGTCCATCTCGTCAGCCCACGATCCACCAGTGGCTGCGGGCGTGCGTCAAGTCGGAGCAGAGAGCATAAATGTCGAGAGCAGCGGCGGAAACACGAGCGAGAAGAGCGAGGACAAGGTCAAGAGGGTGGGGTGTCAGCGTGCGGGTCAGTCCTCGAGCGAGAGAGTGGGTACGGACTGGTGTCGGCCAAGAACGAGTTCAAGTCCATCTTCTGTCCCTTTTTCTGCGGTCATCGCGCGCGTGTGCGTCGAGTGCGAGCGGGTGGAGGGTGTGAATGGCGAGGGAGATGAGGAGAGGGCGTGAGTGAGCGCGGCGCGGCGGGACAAAGACGGGCGGGTGCGTACCTTGGGTGCCATCGTTGCTGTCTGTGAGTCTGGTCGACCTGTGAGAGCGCTGTGGTGCTGGAAAGCGAGAGCCTCGTCTCGTCCTCGACCAGCGACAAGCTCACCCTCGACGACGACGACGACACCCTCTCGCAGGCGGACTAGACACGGTACTACAGTCAGACAGACACTACAACGATGCTCCGAACACTCTGCGCACACCTCGCACCGCGGCGACCACTCCGCACCCCCTCGTCGACCACCACCCGCCTCATCTCGTCGTCCTCGCCCGCCTCCGCACCCGTACAAGCAGCAGCAGCCTCCCGAGCACGACCATCCACACCCAAGAACAAAGGCAAGGGGAAAGCCGCCGCCGCAGCCGCCGCTCCCGCCCCCTCGCACTACCTCATCACCCTCCTCCGTTCGCCCAACCACCTCGGCGCGACAGTCTACTCGACCACGCGCGTGCTCGGGCTCACCAAGCGCCTCTCGTCCGTCATCGTCCCCATCAACCCCGTCAACGCGGGATACATCCTCCGCATCAAGGAACTCGTCGGAGTGCGCCTGGTCTCGGGCGAGGATGTGCAGAGGTGGGCGAGCAAGGAGTGGAGGGAGCGGCCGGGAGAGGGCAACCAGGGCAGCGGGTTGAGGGTCATGGGCGGCGCAGGACCGAACGCGGTCATTCGCGTCGGGAGCGAGCGCGCGAGGGGCGACGAGCGCGGGTTCAAGGTCGTCGGGCGGGCGTCGCCGTTGTGAGCGGGCGGGGCATTCTCTGCGGTTGTACAGGGAGCGGACGTAGTGGCGGAAGAGGGAACGGCCGGTCTCGCATTGCAACACTCGACTCGGTTCTAACGACGAAACTGCTCGCCGTCGACACTCGCTGTCGCCTTCCCGTCGCCTACCTTCTCTTCCCTTTCTTCCTCTGCTGGCCGCGACGCCAGCCCACACCGTCGCCGTCGCTGCCCCGTACCACGCTATCTCCCTGACGATGCTTGAGTGTCCTCACGCCCCACGCCTTGTCCGCGACGTGCTCTTCTCCTTCCGGCCCTTTTTCTCTCTCTTTGCATGTTTGAGAGACTCCAACTACGCTGCGCTCTCACGGGCTCGACTATCCGGGCATCTCCGCTGACCGCAGACTACACAACGACAAGACTTATCAACTTTCCTCCTCCTCGCCATCCGCCGCTGTCGCCTTGCGCCGTCCCTTCCTCTTGCAGCGCTCGCCCACCAAACGAACCAGACTCAGCGGTCCTTGAACGGTCTCGCTGAAGCAGGTCTTCGGTCTCGCGAGGATCACTTCGCCTTCTTGCTGCCTGGCGTCCGCTCGTCGTGCGTCGCTCTCTACGCGACAAAATCAAGTGTAGAAGGGGTACTGCAGTTTCAGACAATTCACAAAAACCTCGCTCAAGCCAGACCCTCGAAATCCTCAAAGCGCTCCCTCTCCTAGTGCTGAGCACTCTCCTCCTTTCCCAACCCCATCATCTCCCTCTTCCTAACCCCCTCGACGGCCTTCTCCTTAGCCTGCACGACCTGTTCCGAGGGGGAGCGGAACATCTCGCGCGGGTTTTGGGGCGGGTTCGAGGCGCGCGAGGACCAGAAGTCGCGGTTGGAGGAGAAGAGCTGCGCGACGAGCGTTAGCGAGGGGTGGAAGCGGAGGAGGAGTTAGGGCGTGTGAGCGACAGAGGGAGTGGGGCCAGAGCGGAGAGTAAGGAAGGACAGAGAGGGAGGAGAGGGAGGAAACGAGGCGACAAACCTTGGTGTTCTTGTGCTGCTCGACGTCGTTCCTGCACACGCACAAACCATCGCGAGTCAGTCCTACAGCTCTAGACACGGGGGAAGAAGAGCGAAATCGTGGGGGAGGAGGAGGACCAAGTCGGGACTCGAGACGCACCAAGGCTCGGGGTGGCGTTTCTTGTCTACGATAACATCGCTCTAATTGACGTTTAAAGACCGTAGAAAGCGTCAGCAACCTCCCAGACGTCTCGAGACTCGCTCCTGACCCTCCAGCGCGCTCCCAGCCTTCCAAACGCCTCCGCTCGCCCGGCTCGCCTTACAACGACGCAGGAGACAGTAGGGTGGGCCGCACCGAGTTCCTGAGGTAGTGAGCGCCGAACGCGAGGGCGCCGACGACTCCGCCTCCGACGGCGACGCTGCGAGGTGCGAGGGAAGGACACGTGGTCAGTGGGGAAGGAGGGTTGCTCGACTCGCTCCTCGAGCTGACGCTGCTGTAGAGTCCACAGCGCGTCGTACGCGATGCCAGAGCAGACACCCCGCAGGATAGAGCGGGAACGAAGCGGGGGATAAGGTGGCGAGGTGTGCGGGGATGGCTGGGGTCGCTGCGGGGCGAGCGAGGGAGAGAGTGGGACAGTACTGGGACGTACAAGAGAGGCGTGAGGGAAGGGTCACGGCGGACGAGGCGGGCGACGGAGGCCATCTTGTGTGCTTGTGCGTGTGGGAGTGAGTGTGTGAGGAGAAGGAGCGAGAGGAAGTGGGGCAAGTGGTCGGGACTCGCACAGGGGGAGGAGAGCGGCGTGCACAGGCAGCGAGTCGAACGCTCTCTTCTGACGATGCAGACAGCTGAGAGAGCGCAGAGTCGACCAGGAAGAATGAAGCAGACGAGGCGAGTCCAAGGAAAGGCAGACGCGCAGACGGAGATGCTCGAGGACGACTGTTTGGCTTGCTATGGACAGATCCCCTTCAATACCTTACTCCCTCCTCTCATACAACCTCCTCAGCCCTCCGAGGGCGACGCGGAACCCGCCGGCTCAGCAGTGAAAGTCGTACGGAAGCCACTTGCCCTCGTAGGTGATGCGGACTGTGTCGGCGCCGTTCTTCTGGACTTTCTCCACCTGCGGGCACGCGTGAGGCGTCAGTGAGATGTTGGTGAGAGGCGGGTAAGCCGCAGGGGTTGAGAGGTGGATAGGGAGGAAGGAGGAAGACCTGCGGACGGACCTTTGCGCTGAAGTTGATGGCGGACATGCTGGCACCCGCGCGAGGCGTGCGTCAGCTTCACAGATTGTCAGCGTACTTGGCGAGCGTGTACGCACATCCCGTCTCCGAACTCTGCGGGCGCAACAACCGCAAAAGTCAGCCTGTGCTTCTCCCCTCCTCCATCCAAAACTCGGTACTCACTCTCATGAATCACGCTCTTGAGTGCATACCCATACACTCCGATGATCTCGTAAAGCCTGTACAGAGTCGGGTCGGTCGGAGGCATGGGCGTGAGTTGGCCGCGTTCGGGGAAGAAGTGTGGGTTGAAGTGGCGTTTCATGGCCTGCGGACCAGGGTGGGCGTCAGTGAGCTCGCGATTGCATATGCGCATGCGAAGGAAGGAAGGGCAGGACGAAGCGAACGAACCTTTGCGTCGATCCAGGGTCCAAGAACATCAATCAGCTTGTCGACCTCCTCATCCGTCGGCTTCGCCTGGCCATAGAAGAGCGCTGCGACCCAGACTTCGTCGCGTCCCATCCGTTGGGCGATCTGTTCGAAGGAGAGTTCTGCGATGAGGGAGGGGGGTCAGTTTCGAGGGGTACTTGGCAGGACGGATGGAGAGCGGAGCGGGGTGAAGACGCAGTGAGCGGCTCGAAGGGACTCACTCTTCGTCTTCTTCGCCTCGAAGAGTTGCTGCGATCCGCACCAAACCGCTCAGCGACGACCGTCCTCGAGGTGGGGAGCAACGAAGCGCGCAGCGCACCTGGTTGACGTCGGCGAGACTCTGGACTACCGAGGCCATCTTTCGCGACTTGCGTGAGTAGAGAGAGGGCAAGGGGAGGGAGAGGGAGGATGGATAAGAGAGGTGTTCGCTCGAGACAGGTGACGGAGCGAAGAGGGCGGTGGAGGTGGGGCAAAGCAAGCGTGATCAGCTGGAGAGCGAATACAAAGCTGGAATACGCCCGTCGTAAGGCGCGAGTTAAGGCGAGGTTGACCTTCCTGACTTGCCACTGTCCTTGCGCTCGAAGCGAATCGTCAAGGTGCCGTGCGATACAGAGTTGACACGTTATTCTACTGCGCCTGCTGCTCACCTCGCAGCCACTCCTGGACGTTCCGAGCGCGCATCTCCTCCGGCGAGACTTTGCCCTCCTTCGGTGCGTGCGAGGGGAAGACTGTTCAAGCACTTCGTCAGCTGCTTCGAGGCTTGTTGGAGAAGAGACGGCCACGCACGAAGTCGCATAGTCCCCTGCACGCCCTTCTTGAAACTCCCCTTCCTCCTGACCGTCCGAAGCGCCGGATCGTCCCGTCCCTTCACTCCTCCATCCTCCCTCTCGCGCTCCCGCTCCGAATCGCTCTCTCCTCCGCCAAAGAACTTGCCGCGCGAGACGCCCGCGACAGGCGGTGCACGACGAGGACGGGTATGCGAGTCGGGCATTCCGGGAGGCTCGCTGTCGAGGTTTCCGAAGACCGGGGTGGGAGGAGGCGGAGCGCGACGAGTTGTGCTTTGCGTTGGAGCTTCAGAGGACCGGTCGCGGTGAGGCGTGTCGTGCTTGGAGGGGGACTGCTGGACTGCCGGCAGTGTGCGCGACTTGCTCAACTTGCGAGGGCGCTTCGAGACGCCTGCTTCGCCCGTCGCGACCGTCGAGCCAGCCGAAGGAGTCGAGCCAGCAACCGTCGTCAGGCGCGGACTCGTCGGAAGAGGCGGTTTCGGAATAGCAACGTTGCTCGCGACCGTCCCGTACGCCGCAAGGTGCGTGTCGACTCGTCGCTTCAGGCTGAGTCCGCGACGGAATGCGAGAGCCGAGAACTTGGACTTGTCGGTGTTTAGCTCGGGGGCGCCGGCGGAGGGTGCGGAGGAGGTGCTGGAGGTTAAGGCGGAGGGGTCAAAGGCTGTGACGACGGGCGCACGGTGCTTGACGGCGTCAGCGGTGGCGGACGAGAGAAGGTCGAGGTACTCGCGGGCGGCCTGCGCGAGAATGAATTAGACTCATTTTCAGGAAAGGGCAGACCGAACTCCGGCGCACCTCTTCGTCCAGCTCGTGAGCCAAGTCTAGCTCGTGTCGGACTTCGTCTAGCTCGGCGCGGAGGTTGGCGATAATCTGCTCCTGCTGCTCTAAAGTCGTAGCGAATCTGCGAGAGGCGGGTGGTCAGCGAAAAGATGGAGCAGCGAGCAGGACTGCGACCCACTTCTCCTTCAGGACGTCTAGGTTCTTGTCGATTTCGGCGAGCTGCAGCATCAAGTTTCAGCGGAAGCCGCAAAGGCAGAGTCGCCGTCGCGCACCTCCCCCTCGCCCTGCTCGCACTCGCGCTTGTACGCCTCGGCGCGCTTCCTCTCCTTCTTGATCGCGTCCGCCAGCTGGCCGAGCACCTCGTCCTTGCTGATACTCGCCGTCGAGTCGGTACTCGCACGCCTGGACCTGCCCCCGTTCGAAGCGCTCGACGGCTCGGCCTTGCTGTTCAGGCCCGCGACAGGCGGTCGACGATGAGGGCGCTTCGACATTTCGCTCGGCGACTGGGCGAAAGGTGAGCCGAGCCCTGCGCCGCTAGCCTTGCTCAGACTCGCCTTGCGCCGACGTTGCGCCTCCTCGTCCTCCTTCGTAAGCTCTTCCTCCTGCGACGCCCGGCGAGTGAGGTCATGGATGCTCTTCTCGCGGCGGGGCTGGTCCATCGCGCGAGACTCGGCAGGGTCGAGAGGCGGGACAGGGACGCGCTTGATCGAGTGGTTCGTCTGGCTCGACGACTTGCTCTGCGCGCCCGAGCTGCTGTTCGCTCGGTCGCGGCCTCGCTCATCCTTCGCCTCGGTCTGCGCACCCGTGACGGTACTCAGTCGCCCATCCTCTCTCCACGGCACCGTCTCGCGAATCGAGAACTCCTCGCCATCCGCCGTGACGATCACCTCGTCTGCCTTTCGCATCGCCCTCTGCGCCTCTCGACTCGCCAACAACCGCGCTCCTGCCTTGGGACCGATGGCGACGGACATGCCGCGCTCCATGGGTGAGCGAGCGGGCGGAGAGTCGCGGAACGGGTCGGGTGAGTTGGAGAGCGGGAGTGGGCGAGGAGGCGGTTGCGGGAAGAGCGGGGACGAGATGAGTGGGAGGTCGCTTGTTGAAGCGGACGCGGACAGATTTGAGACGAGTTTGCGCGAGCGCGAGCGTGTGAAGGGCCCGAAGAACGAGTTTGAGCGAGTTGCGGAGGAGGAGGGAACGTCGCTGACCGAGTTGGAGCGGCGACGGAAGAAGTTTGGCATTGACGCGGGGTGATTGGGTTGTGGTTCGGCGGAGAGGGCGGAGAGCGAGTCGGGGAGGGGACTGAGGGGAGGAGGATGCGGCAGCGAAGGCCTCGACGAGTTCGGTTGGAAGGCGAGCTCGTCGGACGCGGTGGACGGCGAGTAGGCGGAAGGTGAGTTGGCGTGGTTCGGCGTGCGGGACGCGAGTTGAGGCGGGTCAGAGGATGAGACGGCGGTTGTGAAGCTGGTGGCAGAGTAAAGCGCTCGCTGATTCGACAAGACCTGCGGCAAAGTTGGCGCGAGTCGCTCCTGTGCGAGCGAGGTCGATGATGTTGGGCGAGTGAGAGGGTAAACAACCTCTTCGACGGGCGAGTTGGAGTCGGTGCGGCGGCGGCTGGACGGGGACGAGTCGGGTGTCGAGGCAGACCAAGCAGAACTAGGCAGCCGCTGTGCCATGAGATGGCGGAAGGGAGAGAAGGAGCAACAGCGTGGAGCCAAACAAAGGAACGGTCGGGCCGTGCGGGGTCCTGGACCTCCTGTCCGCAGCGATCGAGGAGCGAGAGGGAGAGGAGAGGCAAGCGGGGGTTGCTGCCTTCCCCTCTCCCTCTCGTTGCCTGTCGTCCAAGGTGGGACGTCGATTGAGAAAGCGTTGCGGACTAGAGGAAAGAAGAAGCGGGAGGAGAAGAAGAGCGAGAGAGGAGACACGGAACACGAGACGAAGCACAACGCCCTCACACCCTGGTCCTCGAGCTGCTCCTGCGCCTGACCATCGCAGGCAGCATCTTCGACCACCTTCCCTGCCCAGTCCCGCCGCGCTGCGCATCATCAACCGACTCGTGCCAGATGGACCGCTCAAGCTGGAGGTCCGACGAAGTCGGCAGACCTTGCGGGACCGATGTGCCGAGCGGCATTGTCGGTGCGTAGGATTGGAGCGGGTGAGAGGTGACAGCTGACGTTGGGTTGACGGGGTGAGGCAGGTGCGAGAGAGTTGGCGAGGTTGGAGAGTCCGGGTGGAAGGCGACCATCCCAGACGAGACGGGCGGGCGAGTCGTCCCGTCATGCGCGACTCCCGCCGAGCTCTTGCGTTGGACAGGCGAGTGCCCGTCGTCTGCCTCGGTCGGGACCGCACTCCTCCCCGTCCTGTCAGGCGGACTTCCGTCCTCTTCGGCCCCCTCGCGCCCCGCAAGCAACTCCAAGTACGCCCTCGCCTCTTCCTCATCCACATGCTGCGCCTCCTCCAGTGCCCTGCGAGCTTTCGCAAGTTCGCGGCGGAGAGAGGCGATAGTTGCGGTGTTCTGGTCGCGCAGGGAAGAGAGGCGGGTCTCTTCGTCGAGGAACTCGCGGTGTTTCGCTTCGACCTGCGTGCAAGCGGTAGTCAGTCACCGTCTCCCACGCCAGCCCGCAAAGCGTTCGCTCGAGAGGTCTTCGACAGGTGAAACGCACCAAATCCTCAACCTCGACCATCCTCTCCGCCCAATACTCCGCCCTGCCCTTCTCACTCTTCAACTCCCCTGCCAGCGCCTCCAGAAGAGCTTTCTTGCTTGTGCGGGTCGCGGAAGAGGAGCGCGAGAGGGAGGTGGTGGGGGGGTTGGGTGATGAGGAGAGGGAGGGCATTGGATGAGTGTGGGTGGGCTGAGGCGGAAGGAGTAAGGACGCGTAACTTGTGGATGCAAAAGCAAGCCTGACGAGCGAGGTTGGCGAGGAGCGAGCCGAGCGTTCTGGAGAGACCTGTGAGTTCACCTCCTCGCGAGACTTGTGCAGCATCGTCGACCTTCCTTTCCTTCTCTAGCCTCTCGGCAGACGTACAAGAGCGAGAAGAAGAGCGGAGACGAATCGCAATACCAGAATACGGCAAAACCCCCTTCCCTCTCCTCCTCCTCGCGCGTGTCCAAGAAGCGATGTACAACAAGGTCGCACGAATAAGAAGCGGTGTCAAGAGTATAGTCGTGCAAGCCTCCGTATGGCGAGAAGGCGATAAGTCGGCGTGAAGAGCGTGGGTAATCGACGGGGCTTGTAAGGCGAGGAAGGCTGTAGAGGGTCGAGAACGGGTCGTCTACTTCGTCTTGCGGTGTTCCTGCCCCTCCCAACACCGTCTCAGCTCACCTGTAGTAGAAGGAAGAGGGAAAGGGAAGGAAGGAACGCACCGGCTTGTGACTCGTCTCATGGTCGACGTGCACGAACGCCCTGTCGACCTGCGGGAGTTCCTCGAGCTTGTCCTGCAACGCTTGGCTCCTGCGCTCCCACAAAAACCCAACCGAATCAGCCCACAAGCTCCGCCGCTCGAGAAAGCGGACCGTCGCACGCACACATCATGCGCCACTTTGAGCGTCGTCTCCCCCTTCATGACCAGATCAACCTCGACAACGTAGCGCGGCCCGTTGTGATAGACGATGCACGAGTCGATCTGCTCGATTTGTTCGGCGAAGGTCATGGCTTTGTAGGTGATCAGGTTCTGTCACCGCACGAGCATGAGCGTCAGCGAGTGCGAGTGCGACGTGGGGATTGTTATGCGCTCTCTCTCTCTCGCTCCGAGGGCGGTTGCGCGCAAGAAAAGGGAGAGAAAGAGGTGTAGGAGCGGACGAACCTGGAAATCCAAAGGCGCCGCCTTGCCCGCCAAGTACCCAAAGTGCGTTGCGCAAGTCGAGCCCCAAGTTGCTATGAGGACGACTGTGCGCGGAGTGGGCGAGTGTCAGCGAGCGCCAGGAAGGAAGGAGGAAGGGGGGGCGTAGGGGGGACGAACAGGAGATTACGAGCGCGCCGGTCGGGTCCTGCGTACGCCGCCGCGACGCGGGGTGTCAGTACCACTGTACTCATTTTGGGCCGAACGACGGCGGACATCGCCTCGAGAAGCGACAAAAGCCTTTCGAAAGTCGACTTTCGGCGAAAAAGGCCAACTCACCAACCACCAGACGATCTTTGCGCCCGCCGCAGACGTGAACAACCCGAATCCGTTGATGAAGAGATCATTTCGGCTGCGTGGGAGCAACCTTGGTGAGCATCGAGAAGAAGAGAGGAGGAGGAAGCGAGGGGACGGACTGGTCTTCCCACAAGACGCGGACTTGAGAGTTCTTGTTCCGGAGCGGGTGGCACCAACAAAACAGGGCGAATTTGGTCACTGTCTCGCGCACACCAGGCGGGAGTCAGCCTTCGGAGGCAGACGGGAGGGAAAGGGAGGAAGGGGGATGCACCGAATGCGATACCGACGACGACCAGAGCAGGAATATGCAGCTTCTTGTCCCCTTCTCCGCGGGCGAGGTCTTGGATCGAGAAGGCCTGCGTATGCGCGTGCAGTGAGCGGGGGATTTGCGAGGGTATGGGCAGGAAAGGGAGGGGTGGACGCACGACGAGAATCACTGAGACGGCGCCCATCACGCCCGAGTAGACGATGTCGCCTGCACGATCATCCGCACCTTGGCATCAGCGGCCGCATCAAAAAGACAGGACGGACAGCGATTCGTCGCGCACCAATCGTCTCAAACTTGCTCCCCCCGCTCGGATACTTTCTCAAATCGACCCGCCTCGCCTTGCGGTGACAATAATACAGCACTCCATTCGCGAGCGGGTCAAAGACCGAGTCGATTGCGGTGCCGAAGATGGAGAGCGAGAGGGAGGAGATGGCGGCGTAGAGTTGGAGGATCGCGAGGATGCTGCCCGGTGTGAACGAGAGGGGTCAGTAGAGTGCTTTTAGAGGCTCGGGGAGGGAAAGGGTGGAGTAGGAGGGAGGAAAGCGGAACGAACCAGTTGGCGATGAGGGATCCGTACACGGCGATTTTAATCTGCGCAACGAGGAGTGAGACGGTAAGCCCTCGCTCACACTCCGAAGAGTACTCCAGCACTCACGGGCAGGCGATTGTTGTCCTCCTCCTCCTCTGCCTCGCGGACATGGTCGTCGAGGTGTTTCAACAACCCATGGATGTGCTTGTTCTGTCGCTGGTAGAAGTCGCTGCTCTTGTCACCCTTGCGTTTCCTGAGCGAGCTGATGTGGTCCTCTGTCTGCAATCGCGAGCGGAGGAGGAGCGGGTCGTGGGATGCGACGGGGGTGAGGGCGGGGAAGTAGGCCGTGTCGAGGCCGGGCGAGGGCGTCAAGAGTGTCGTTGTCGGTGGTGGTGCTGCTTCGAGGGATGCGGGTGCGTGGTCAAGCGGTCTGCTGTCCTCGGCTGAGTGTGAGGATGGGCGGAGGTGCGGTGAGCGCGGTGGGGTTGGGAGCGACTCTGCGCTCGACCCTGCCTTGTCCTGGAGTGGGTGTGCGAGCGTGGCCATCGCGTGTAAGCTCCAATAGCAAGTTGTAACGAGACGAGGAGGAGGCGAGGCTTGGCTTCGGCTCCGGGTGAGATCGATCAAGCGGGCGGAGTGGCGGTGCTATTCCTTCAACCATTACACTCCGAGTTGTATTCAACTTTGTAATCCTTTGCCATCACCGCCCCCTTCGCCATTTCAAGCTGCCCTTGCACCTCGTCGTCAGCACTCTGCTGCGACTGTAGACTGCTCAGCTCGACTCAGACCCTCCCACAGCTACCCTTGCTCACATTCCAGTCTCACAACCGCACCCTCGCCAACTTGCCTCTCCTCGCGACGTCACCTCCTCACCTCCTCACACTCCCTCGCCACCGTGACCCGCGATGACCTCGTACATCACCAAGAAAGTCGGCCGCCGTCTCGCAGGCCAAAACCTCGCCCAGTACGAGCCCGCAGACCCGCACTACGGTCCGTTCTCTCCCTCCCCTCCTTCCTTCCCCTCCCCTCACCTTTTCGAACCACACAGAGACGTACACGGATGCGAAAGGCAGGCAGAAGAAGCGCAAGCGCGCGATCCCCGCCGGACTGAGCAAGCGCGATGAGAGGATCTTGAGGTCCGTCAGGCGGAGGGCGCATTACCTCGACAAGGGGTTCTCGTTGTGCGGGTTCAGGTTCGGGTGGACCGCGAGTGCGTTCGCTCGCTCCCTCTCTCCTTCGACTCCTCGACTGATCTTGACGCGCCGCAGTCCTGGGATTGATCCCGTTCGTCCTTCCCCTGCATCCTCCCGCAAACTCCCTCGCTAACCTCGATGTGCGTGTGCCACAGCGGAGCAGGCGACATCGCGCAATTCATACTCGGGTACTCGCTCGTCCTCCGCAAATGCCGCGAAGCCGAGTGCGTCTGCCCTTCCTCCCTGCCCTTCCTCTCCCCTTCCTCTCCCCTTCCCTGATTGAGCGCGACTGACGGTCCGGTGCGCGGGGGAAATAGGTTGCCCGCAACTCTTGCACAACGAATGCTCTTCAGTCCGTCCTCTCTCCCTCTCCTCCTCACTCTTTCTCCAAGAAACCCTAACGCTCGCTCGCTGCGCTCCCTCGCGTACAGACCAACTCGTCGGCCTCGGCATCGGTTTAATCCCCCTTGTAGGGGACATCACAATGGCCGTATGGAAGGTCCGCCCCTCTCCATCCGCTCTCCCTTCTCCTCTCTCCCTCTCCCTCGCTCTTCTTCAACGAGCTGACGGCTGTATTGGACAGGCCAACTCGCGCAACGCCGCACTACTCGAAGAATTCCTCCTCCGCCGCGCCCAATCCTCATCCTCCTCCACCTCCGCCACCTCGGGTGCTCATCAGTTGACGGCAGCAGAAGAAGAAGAACTCGCGAACCAAGCCCTGGTGGCGGGTCGGATCGATAAGCGGACGGGTGAGCCTACTGCTTCTACCGCGGATTTGGTGGGAGCTGGAGGGACGGGGGCTGTGGGAGGGGAGGGTGAAGGAGCGCGAGCGGCTGCGGAGGCGAGCCGCGCGAGCGGAACTGGTGCGGGAGGGGGACAAGGAGGGGGAAGGAAGTTCTATGGGTGGGGGAAGGGGGCGGAACCGGCTGCTGAGACGGCGGCGGTGAAGCGGTGAGGAGCGGAGGGGATTGGAGGGAGGAGGGAAGGTGTGAGGTGTGAGGGGAAGGAGGGGCGGAGGGAGCAGATGAGATGTACGACTCGAAGTGTATTCTACGAGCGGTGATATTCCTTTGCGAGCCGGCTTTGGGCCTTGGAAGCAGAGTTCCGGGAGGAGGAAAATAGCGATGCTACGGGAGAAGGACGCTTCTAGGATGGTCGTTGACTGCGTTCGAGCGGCGTACTGGTCTAGAAAGAAAGCCAGAGTGACCGCCACGCCGGCTACAGCGAAACCAAACACGAGCGTTCAAAGGTCGCCAGCAACCTTGACTTCAGTCGTTTTCCGCTGTACTGACGAACCTCAATTTTCTCTTCCTTAGTTCGCCTGCGGTGAAGGTCTGCGCATTGAGGAGTGCAAGCTGCGTACAAAGCTGGGGAAGACGCAGGTGTGAGAGGGACAGTAAGCCTTTGAATCGCTCAAGGTCGAACGATGGCGAGGCGAGTAGTCGTGAAGACCAGCGATCTTTCTCAAACCAATGGCGCCGGTCGTTCGCGGCGCCCTCGAAGCGGTCTTCTGCATGGCCCATGAGATTTGAGAGGTCGAGAAGCGCAGCCGAGGTATTGACAGAAGCAATGAACGTCTTCCTGCCTTCGCTGGCTGCGAAGTTAGCTTCAGCCTATACCGGCGTACGCATTACTCGAACGAGTCTCCCACCTCCAAGGAGACGAGAAAGCGTATGCAGACGAGGTTGGCGGGCGGAGAGAACCTGCGGAAGTCGCAGCGCTTCGTGCGGGAGAGTTCTCGCGCGATGGAGGGGCGAAGCTCGGAAAGCGAGACAGAAGAGTTGTGAGCCTTGGTCTGAGCGTCTAGGGTAACGGGGAAACGTGCGCATTGAGCACGCCCGGAGCCACAGTTTCATGAGGTTAGTCGAAGGGGAGGCAGGTGGTAGGATGAGCAGAGCGAGTCGGAGGAGTTGTCGGAGGAGAACCCGGCGACCTCCAGAGAAGCACGAAGCCCATGCTTCAGCGACTTCTAGGGGTGAGAGCGAGAGCGAAAGACGTGCAGAGCGAGCGGAAGTTGAATCTCCTCCTTGCCCGTCCCGCGCATCCGCCCAGCTCCGTTCACAGCCGTTCGCGCAGTCCACAGCAACCTCTGAAGATGCGACTCAGGTTCAGTCCAAGCGTTGCGGAAGAAGTGAGAGCGGCGAGGAGCAGAACGCAGGGCGAGATGGTCCGCAGGTTGGCGGCTGAGCAACCAGCGGGATGGTGAGCGCAAGAGGCCCTCCCCAGCAGGCCCGCTTGAGTTTCCAGAGTTGCTACAACGACTCCATGTCGTCGTTGATGCCACGAACGCAGACGAGAGCGGTGGGCGGGCGAGTTGAGGCCTGAGCGGCCCCTTGTCCTCCTCCCGCCATGTCCACAGGCGCTCGCAACAGCTGGCTACGACTGCTGCGCCCTGCTGCGGTACTGAAAAGCCCGGCGGCACCGTCAGTCCGTCCTGCGACGCCGCCCTCGCGCAGCTGCTGTTCTCATCAGTTTGATGAGGAGTGGGAGGTCGAGTCCTCCGTGACGACGGAACGCGGGCTTCCAGCGAGCAGCAGTCGCGGAAGCGAGTACCACTTGATCAGCATATGAGGCGGGACGAGCGTCCCAAAGGGTTGCAGAGGGGCCAGCCGACCAGCTCGAGGGCGCCCGCCGCTCGCTTGAGCATCTTCCGCTCGCCAACATTCCTCGTTCCCTGCGCTCGGCGGCTGGGGTCTGGGCCTCGACGGTGGAGAGGAAGATGGCGTTCCACGGGCGGGCTGCACGAGCGACGGAACGGATCGTCAGCTGAGGCCCAGGTCGTCGAAGTGTTCCCTGCTCGATTGCACGGGTTCCTGGCACCCACTATTCTCGCCCGACGCCCCCACGCCTGCTCGTATCGCAGTCTCCTAGCGGATGAAGGACTCCGGGGCGCCTTGGGGCCGCTGCAAACCCTTCCGTTGCGGGGAGACGGACTCCGCCTCGTCCTCTTCGCTCGCTCGCTCGCTTCTTCGTTGACTCCGTTTCTTCTCACGCTCGACCGCTACACTCTACTGTGCACACGACCTGACGCGCCAACGATGATGCTCAAGCCGTTTACGCACCCTTGGGGTGAGGGCCTCGAAGGGACGCCGCTCAAGGTGCGCTGGCGCTTCCTCGGCCACTTTCGGCGCGTGCTGACGCTGACTACTCCATCTCGACAGATTATCTCGATGATTGGCGCCTGCGCCGGGTTCCTCACGTTCGGGTGAGTCCGCCTTCTTCACCGTCTCCTCCTGCCTTATTCGCGGTCGGCTGCGCAGGCTGCTGGCCCTGTGCGCCTCAAAGACTCTGTGAATGCGTGGACGACGGAAGACGACCCTGACTGGCCTCTCCGTCGCCAGCTACGATCAAGGCATCGCCAATGCCCTGACGCAGAACCCCGACTTCTTCAAAACCATGCCTCGCCTGGCAGACGATACTACTGTCCTCGGTACCGTCCTCGCCCTCTTCGTGCTCGGCGCCATGTTCGGCTGCTTGACGATGAGCGCCATTGGAAACAAGTACGGACGGCGACCCCTAATCCTCTTCGCGACGGTCACAACGCTCGTCGGTGCCGGAGGAATGGCAGGAGCGAACGGCTTGGCGTGCTTCTGCGTCATGGTGCGTTCCACTCTTCACTCTGTGGCATGCGGCGCTGTTCAGTCGAGGCGAGGTGCGGAGGAGCGGGCGGAGGAGCGGCTGACTGACTGTCGCCTCGTTTCACAGCGAATTGTCAATGGTTTCGGGGTCGGTATACTCACCAGCATCGTACCAACCTACGTCGGGGAGATCTCGAAGCCCAGGATCCGCGGAATGATGATGAGTCTCGAGCTGGTCGCCGTACGTTCTCCTCCCTTGCTCCGGCTCAACTCGTCCTGATCGCTCGCGCTCCACAGGCCGCTACAGGACTCGCAACTAGCTTTTGGGTAGCATGGGGTTTTCGTCATGAGAAAGGGCCCCTCGGATGGCGCCTCAGTATCGCGATCCAGGCCTTCATCCTTCTGTTCACCCTCGTGACGATGCTCTTTGCCCCCGAATCGCCTCGATGTACGTCCAGTCGCTCCTCTGAGGCAACAGGACTGACCCCAATCCCTCCCTAGGGCTTATGGAGGCCGGCCGCGTCGAGGAAGGCCGCCGAGTTCTCGCCCGTCTCCATGGCCAAGCCTTCGCCGACGCCGCTACTCTCGAGATTCAGGATGCTATCGCCGTCGAGCACGCCGCTCAGCGCGGGAAGGGATACGCTGAGTGCTTCGCGAAGTGCGTCCGCCCTCGCGAGCGCGTGCTCCCTTTCGTTGTCGCGCAGCGTCGCCTCCGTCAAGCGCTGGCTGACAGAAGGCTCCCTGCAGCAACGACCAATGTTTCCGCTACCGCACCTTCCTCGCAATCGGCGTCAACGCAGCTCAACAGCTGACCGGGTTCGTCTTCTCGCCCTCTGAGTCTTCCTCGAGCCTCATCGTTGACAACCCTCACGCATACTCCAGCATCAACATGGCGACTTACTACAGCGGTACGTCATCGGAAGCTTCTATCGCGTCGGAATATCGCTGACGACGTTCTTTCTTCCGACGCCTTTCTTTCCAACTGACGACCTCTGCCATATCCACCTCGGACAACCTACAGCCAACATCCTTATCAACTCGGTCGGAATGACGCCCGACAAGGCTGTCTTCGTTCTAGGATTCCTTGGCGTTGCAGGCTGGGTCTTCATGCTCGGAGGCGCATTCGTCCTCATGGAAGGTGTTGGTCGCGTCCGGACGATGATAATAGGCGCAGCTGGATGTTGTGTGGGCCAAATCCTGCTCGCTGCCGGCGTAGCGCACCAGGAGTCGAAGGCGGCGGGATACGTCGCGACCGCTGGTCTCTGTGCGTCCGCCTCCGTCCATACTCTCGTCCACTTCGAGCTTGCGCTGACGACTGTCATACAGTCTTGTTCCTGTGCATCTTCTCAGGTGTGTAGCCCATTGTGCTCCGCCGTCATCGCGCACTGACGACGAGTGCGGACTTGATCGTTCAGCCACGCATCTCCCAACCGCTTTGTACGTCTTCTGCACTCGCACCGATACTCAAGAGTTCTCGTGCTGACCTTCGTCCGCGTCGACAGCGTCTACTCGAGCGAGATCGTTCCTCTCGCCGTAGGTTCCCTTTCCTACCTTCTCCTTGCTATTGCTGCTGATTCTGGTTCTCTTCATAGATCCGCACCCGCTCAGCGACACTCGGAGTTGCTGTACAGTACATCCTCAACTTGTACGTACATGGTGGCCCCAGCCTTGCCGGCATCTTCCTCCGCGGGCCGCTGACGACTGGGTCTCCTCCGCTACCTTCGTCTGCTGCAGCGTCGTCGTAATGGTCGTTCCCACAGCCATTCCAGGCATGGGAGGCTGGGGCTTCTACGCCTTGTTCGCCGGAATCAACGGCTTGATGGTACCAGTCCTCTACTTCCTGTGCCCAGAGGTCTCAGGCCTTACTCTGGAGGGCGTAGACGAACTCTTCGCTGGAGGCAAGGTTGTCATGAGGCGCACGGTCAAGGTCGACGACAACGGACGCATCGGCGGCAAGACGCTGCACCAGCTCGAGGCGAACAAGGAGCAGGGCTCGTTCGAGCACGTCGAGAAGGTGGAGTCTGGCTACTGAGCGGGCACGCAAGTCGCTGCGAGGCCGGTAGCGAAGGCGCTTCTCCGCGGAGGATTGAAAGGAGTCGAGGAGGTTGACCGGGTCTTGTTGTTCTTCCCCTCCTTGTACGCTGTATCTTCGTAGTCTGCAATACGGGCTAAATGGACGTCTTTACCGAGCCTTGGAGTACCCGGCTCGCAGCGAGCGGTTCCGGACTTCACAACTTGAAGTCGAGGTCCTTCCCGCTCTTCGCGCTTCGCAGTCGCTTGGTCAAAGTCGATGGAGACGCTCAAATAGCATGGCTGACGATCGCACTACTCATCCAACGCCACCTCGCGCTTCGCCCTCTTCGCCGGCCGCTCGCCCTTCGACTCGCTCGCCTTGTCCGCCTTGCCCTCCTCCCCCTTCTTGCCCTTCTTGAAGACGCCTCTCTTCCCGCCCATGATTCGCTCGCGCTTCTTCGACTTCTCCCTCTTCGCTCCGCCCTCATCGCCGGCGTTACCAGACCCAAGCGTCTTCGAGATGTCCTTGCGACCGAGCGGACGCATCTTGAGCGCCTTCTTCGCGTCTTGCGACGGGTTCGGGAGGGCGAGCATCCAGTCGGGGACGGTGCAGCCGGATTGACGCATGACGTTGACGATGCTGTGCGGCAAGATGGGGTGAGCGGGAGACAAAGCGAGGAGGAAGCCGAATCACGCACGTCTTAAGGTGACCCGCATCCGCCTTGGTGAAAAACGTCACGGCGCGACCAGCCTTGCCCGCGCGACCCGTTCGACCTGGAGAAACAAAGTCAGCGGAGCGTTCGAGGGGCCTGAGCGGAACGAGACTCCTCGCACCGATGCGGTGAATGTAGCTCATCGCGCTCTGCGGAAAGTCGTAGTTGATGACGAGCTTGACGCCCTTGAAGTCGACTCCTCGCGCCATGACGTCCGTACAGATGAGGCACCAGACCTGCCCGGCCGCAAACTTGCGAACAAGCTCGTCGCGCTCTTGCGGAGTACGGTCGGCGTGGATCGCGTCGGCGTTGATTCCGTCGAAGACGAGCTCGTTCGCAAGCTCCTTGGCGCGCTGGATCGACTGGACGAAGACAAGGACCGGCGGAGTGAACTGGCCGCCCTGGATCATCGAGCGGAGCGAGAGGAGCTTGTGATCCTCGGTGTTGACGAAGGACAAGGTCTGGTCGATAGTCGAGGTCGCCGCCTCCCTACCCGCGGCCGAGTCAGCGGCAGAACGAGGCGAAGGACGCGACAAACGCACTTATGCCCGACGATGGCCCGCACCATGCCCGACCCAGCTCCCGCCATGACACCCTTCGCAAGCTCCTCAACACTACTCGGCATCGTCGCGCTGAACATGCCCTTCCTAATCTCGCCCGCCTCGGCAGGCCTGTCCTTTGCGCACGCAGCGAGGATCTCGTCTGTCTGCTCGAGAAAGTTGAGCTCGAAAAGCTTGTCGGCTTCGTCGAGGATGAGATGTGAAGTCGTCGAGAGCGAGACGGCGCCGGACTTGATCGCAAAGACGAGGCGGAGAGGCGTCGTGATGAGGATGTCTGCGGGAGGAGTTGCGTCAGAGGACGCCTGGAAGGTTCGCGATGGCGTCGCTACGCACCGATAGGTACCTTGTACGCCTCGGCGCCGCTCGCACCGTCCTCTGCCGGCTCAGGCGCATCGACCTGGGCAGCCGGCACCTCTTCCGCATCTGCCTCGCCCGCCTGCTTCTTCTCCTTCTTGCCCTTCTTTCCCTTCCCCTTCTTCCCCTCCTTTCCCTTGCCCTTAGCCAGACCAACGCCTTCCTCACCCAACACCGCTGCCTTCCACCCACCTCCTCCGGCCAACCTCCTCGTCTCCCGCAAGACCTGGACCGCCAACTCTCGAGTGGGCTCGATGATGACCGCCTGAGGCCGGATGACAGAGTCGTCAGGAGAGGCGGAAGAAGGCGAAAGGAGAGCGAGGAGGGGGTAGATGAAGGAGAAGGTCTTGCCGGAACCGGTTGGCGCGCAGGCGAGGACGTCGCGGCCCTGCGTTCGAGCGTCAGCAGTGGAATAAGTGAAAAGAGAGAGCTCCACCCACCGCCAGCATTGTCCCCCAAGCCGCCATCTGCACGCCCGTCGGATCCTTCAGTCCCAGCGACTTCCAATTCTGAGCGAGGACCTCCGCCCCTTCCGCAGCAGTGTCCCCTCCAACGGCTCTCCGGCGTCGAACAACATCGTCGACGGAGGCAACGGGGTCAGGGAGGTCGAGGCCGGTCAGCTTGATCTTGTGTCGGCGGAGGAGGGCAGGGTAGTCGGCGGGAGTCGAAGCAGCCGAGTCTGCGCGCAATGCTCGTCAGCGCACGCTTCCCAGGGCGCTCGCCGTCGCACACACCTGCACCGGCAGCCTCTTCTGCCCGTTTCCACTTCCGTTCCTTCTTCTTCGCCTTGCGGTCTTCGGCAGACCCGACAGCTCCATCACCTGCAGTTGCGCCAAAGAAGTCGAGCTCGGATGGTAGTGCAGTCGACGTAGAAGCGACTGGATCAGCCTTGGGCGCCTGCAGAGCGTTCAAGCGTCAGCATCACCCTCGCAAGCGATTCGAAGAAGGCGGTGCGCACCTCGAAGTGGGCGACGTCGGCCTGGAAGCGCTTCTTGTCGAGGCGAGTGCCGCCCGTGAGGATCCTGAAAGCGTCCATGCCAGCAAGAAAGCACCAGCAGCAGTGCGAGCGTGAGCAAGCGAACAGCAGGAGGGTGAGCTCGAGTTTGGCGAGTTGACATTCGACGACTCCCGCTTGATTCGCGTTAGACAGTGCTAGAGCTACTCAGACCATGCTCCCGAGATTGGCAGCGAGGCAGCAGTGCGCGCTGTGCGTTGCTGCCGCTCCTTCGCCCGCTCTCCGGACCCTGCCAATCATCGCGACATCATTCGCACGGACACGGCAGCAGGACTCGCTTGCGACGGTGTGGAAGGGCAAAGGAAGGGCGTACGGGACTATCGCGACTGCGAACGGTGCGGCGGGACGAGCGGGAGCGGGACTGGCGGGACCAACTCGACGGACCCGAGGATCGCTTGCAGTGGGACTGGCGGGGGGACGAACAGGCTTGTGGGAGGCACGGCGATGGGCATCGTCGCAGGTGAAGCAGACAAGCGTGGCGAGCGGCGGCAGTCCCGTCTACGCCCACGAGGACTTGCTCCTCCCGTCGTCGACAGGTCGGCGGATACCCAGTCGACCAGCCTCGCCTGCGCGGCAAAGAGACTCAAAAGCCTTCTTCTCACCGTCGTACCTCGTCGCCGAAGAACCGCCGCTTCCTCCACCCTCGACTTCGCCTCTCGTCCCTCTCTCGACACCCATTCCTGCCGCTCTCCCGCCTACAGTCCTCTCGAACGGCCTGCCCAATCCCGACATCCGATGGCGCGCACCACCGCAGACGACCATTCGCGACGACGTCCAGCTGTACAAGGCGCTCGGCAAGTTCAAGTTGTCGAGCCTCGTCGTCTTGACAACCATGGCGGGCTACGCGATGTGTCCAGTCGACCCGTCGACGACTGCCGCAGCGATGGATGCGTTCGCACAATCTCTCGGCTCCTCACTCCCAAGCGACACTTCTCTTCTTCCGTCCGCAACCAACACCCTCGGCGCATCTCCCGCCAACAACCTCACTCTCTCCGTCCTTCTCCCCACGACTGTCGGCACTACTCTCTGCGCCTTCTCTGCGGCCGCCTTCAACCAGCTTATTGAGGCGCCATATGATGCGCAAATGGCGCGCACCCGAAATCGCCCTCTCCCGAAGCGAACAGTCACGCCTCTTCACGCCGCGACCTACGGCGCCTTGACCGGCTCGGTCGGTCTTGCGACCCTGTACGCCATGAACCCTCTCTCCGCCTTTCTCGGCCTCTTCACCATCGTCCTCTACTGCCCTCTCTACACCATCTCGAAGCGCCACTCGGTCTACAATACCTGGATCGGCAGCGTCGTCGGCGCCATCCCTCCCTTGATCGGCTGGGCAGCGTGCACGGCTTCGGTCGACCCCATCTCGCAGCCGGGCGCATGGGCTCTCTTCGGCCTCATGTTTGCCTGGCAGTTCCCGCACTTCATGTCGCTCGCCCACACCCTCCGTTCGTCGTACGCCTCGTCAGGGTACCGGATGCTCGCCGTCCTCGACCCGCCCAAGAACGCCCTCGTCTCGCTCCGGTACTCGCTCGCGCTCGTCCCGCTCTGCGCGGTGTTCCCCTACCTCGGCTTAACCAACGCCGCGTTCGCCTACCTCAGCCTGTTGCCGAATGGGTTGCTCGCCGTCGCTGCGTGGCGGTTCTGGAAGAAGAGGGAGGAGCGAAGGGCCAAGGAGCTGTTCTGGGCGAGTCTGGTCCAGCTCCCGGTCATCCTTGCGCTCGCGATGGCGTGCAAGAAGGGCTTGTGGGGCGAGGACGAGAACGACGAGGAGGTATTGGCGGAAGCAGCGGGGACAGAGATGGAAAAGCGGGAGGAGCGGTGAAGGGTCGAGGTCATCGAGCAGTACCAAAGTCGTAGCATTATCGTTCGCTCGCATCGCGCACCATTCTCACAACTTCTCTCCTCGAGCGCGCGTGTGACAAGTACATTTTGCACGCCTCGAGGCAAGCACAACGATAGGCAGCTTAATACCGCAGCCGCTTCTCGTCCGGGTATCCTCCTCCTCCTCCAGGCGGTCCCATTCCCATACCCGGCCCGCCCATCCCAGGTCCACCCATCCCGGGTCCTCCAGGTCCGCCGCCGTACATCCCCGGACCCTCGCCAAACGACCGCTTCTCGCCCTGCGCAAACATTCCAGGTCCGCCGTGTCCGCCCGGTCCGCTGGGAGGAGGCCCGCCACCGTAACCGCCTCGACCACCCGACATCCCTCCGTATCCGACTCCTCCACCGCCGAACCCTCCTCGGTTGCCGTAGCCTTGACCAGGCGGACCAAAGTTCGGACCTCCAGGAGGTGGACCACCAAAGCCGCCGCCGGGGCCGCCGAACCCGCCCCGTCCGCCGAAGCCGCCCCGTCCACCGAAGCCGCCTCGTCCGCCGCGGAATCCGCCGCCTCGGCCGCCCATGAAGCCTCCTCGGGGTGCGAAGCCGGAGGGAGCGAAGGCGACGGGCTCGGGTGCGGGGATGCCGCCTGTTGGACGGTGAAGGCAGTGTCGTAGAGATGCGTTGTAAGGGCGGAGAGCGTAAGAGAGAGGGAGCGTCGGGACGACAGAGAGGAGAGTAGGGAAGGCGAACAAAAGCGAAAGTCAGCTTTGCTTTGACACACAACGACACTCGCGCGCACCCTTGAGCTTCTTGATCCTGCCACCGAGCCCGCCACCAAGCCTGCGCGGCTTCCAGCCCTTGACGGTCCGTCCCCTCTCGACATCAATCAAGACCCTCTTGCCCTTCATCTTGAGCCCGTCGGCGTCCTTGTACGCAGCCTTCATGTCGCGCTCGCGCTCGTAGACGATGAATGCGTAGCCCTTGCTCTTGCCCGTGTGAACGTCGGTGACGAGGCGGAGACGCTCGATTGGGCCGTAGATCTCAAACTCGCGCTGAAGGTCCTTCTCGGTCACCTCGAGCGGAAGCCGGCCGACGAAGAGCGTCTTGTACGGGTCGCCGCAGATCTCCTCGTCGTCTTGAGGGGCGACTGCGAGTGAAGAACAAGGTCAGCCAAAGTGTGAATAGGCAAGGAGACAAGCGGAACGCACAAGGCTTGGACATGGCCTCCTCCCTCTTCCGCTGCCGTTCACGCTTGCGCAGCTGGAACTTTTCCTCCTCGCACAGGTCGACCGTGACGGCGTCGGTTGGCTGCGACGCCTTGACAGCCTTCTTGCCGTCCTTGGCTGACGCCGCGATCGCTTCTGCCGCCGCTCGTTCGGGTTCTTCGCCCTCCTCCTTGTCTTCTGCCATTGCCGACGAATCGTCGCCCTTGACGCCGGCATCGCCATCGGGTTTCGCGGGGACCTCTCCTCCAGTCACCTCCTCGACCTTGACTTCCGCCTCTTCCGCCTGCTGCTTCGTCTCCGCTCCTACACCCTCATCTTCTGTCTCGCCTCGATCAGGTCTCTCGCCTTTCTCTATCGCCTCTCGTTCCTTCTCATCTCGCTCCTCCCGTATCTGCCGCAGCGTCTCGCTGACAACGATGGGTTTCGGCGCGCGTCGTGTAGAGAGCGACTTGAGAGGGAGGTCGGGGTCGCGGCCTGTCGGCTTGAGGTACGGGAGGGGCGGGCGTGGGGCAAAGAGCTTGAGGAGGTTGGGCGGGAGGAGGTGGGTCTGCGGGATGGGTCACGGCGCGGTGGACGGCGGCCGGCGGAACGACAAGGGTTCAAGAATGCGTGCGAGCAGGTCAGTAATCTGTCAGTACTGCTCGTGCGGGTCTCTGTCAAGATGCGAGAGTCGACGCACCCCGACCATGTTGGCGGCAGCGACAAGCGCTCGGCGGAGAGGGCGTCAATGAGCAGGCGCCTGATCTCAAGCACGAAGTCTAGCCGGCGCAGTCACAGCCTGTGCGCGTCTCGTAGCGAGGTCGTGGGGAGCGAGCCTCGAGCGATGAGAAGTCTAATGCAGAAGATTACAACCGAGTTTGTATTGCGTGCAAATACAAATTCCAGCTCGAGGGGAGGCTTGACCAGTGCCCGACTCTGCCGCAGCCAGCCTGCACTCTCTCTCGCTCACCCACCTCACGACCCCGCTGGTAGGATGAAGCTCTCTGTTGCTGCGCTTGCTGCTCTCTTCGCGGCTCTCCCGACTGCGCTTGCTGGCCTCGAGGACGCGCGCTACTCGGTACGTCCTCCCCACTTCGTCATCAGACTCGCTGGGACTTGCAGGAGTGCGGACGGGTGCTTTGAGCTCGACGAGCGCTCCGTGCAACACGTCCAGCGACGTGCGATACGAGGGCGTAAGCTGATCTGCTCGGCTTGCGTTCACAGACGGTTCTCACTCCCTCGAACTTCGATGGGTGTGTCTCGCTCGCTTGTCCGCTTTGAAGCGATCCTGCAGCTAACGTTTCACTCCTTCCCTTAGCGTGATTGCTAGCCAGTCCGAGGGAACGCTCGTGGCCTTCTTTGCGCCGTGGTCCGTACCCTTTCACCCTCCCCTTCGCTTTCAACTTTCGCTGACCTCGTTTCGTCCGCGCAGGTGCGGCCACTGTAAGGCGAGTCGAGGAATGATGCTGGCTGTGCGGTGAGAAGTTGATAGCTAACTCTCTGAAGCATGCAGAGTCTCGAGCCGGTGTGGACCAAGATCGCTGAGGCGTTCGACGGCGACGACCGCGTGAGTCGCCAGTCTTTTTCACGCAGACCAACGACTCATGCACGATGCGCCCGCAGTGCAAGGTCGCCCACTTCAACGCCGACGACGCTGCCGCCCGCCCTCTCGCGTCCAAGTACGGCGTCTCCGGCTTCCCAACGATCAAGTTCATCCCTCCCCCTTCCAAAGGCGGCCAGGCCGAAGCTTACCAGGGTCCTCGCACCGAGCAAGCCTTCCTCGAGTTCCTCAACGAGCACTGCGGGACGCACAAGCTCCCTGGCGGGCTCTTGAGCGACCTCGCCGGCCGCATCCCCTCGCTCGACTCGCTCGCGGCTTCTTACCTGGTGCCCACCGCGACGAGGCCTTCGATCCTTGAATCCGCCTTTGCCATCGTCTCGTCCCTCACCTCAGCCTCGTCGTCCGACCAGCTTGCGAACTACTACGTCAAGGTCATGAACCGCTTCAAGGACGTTGCAGACGCGAGTGGCGTGGATGAGGCGCGCGCGTGGGTCGAGAAGGAGCGGATCAGGCTCGGCAAGATTGCGTCAAAGCGGGGACAGGTCGCGGCTAAGAAGCTCGAGGAGGCGCGCATGAAGCAGAACGTGCGTGCGCGGTCACTTCGATGTCTCGACTCTCTGGCCCATATGGGATCCGCTGACATACTCGATTGTGTCCCATGCACAGATCCTGGCTGCCTTCGCCTCTGCTTCCGCCTCGGCCTCCTCCCTTTCCTCCGTCGCCTCCGCCACAGCCTCCTCCCTCTCATCCGCCGGCTCATCCGCCGCATCCGCCGCATCCGTCGCTTCCAACTCCGCCTCCTCCGCCGCGTCCGTCGCCTCCAACTCTGCCTCGTCTCTCGCGGCCGAGGCAACCGCCAGCGCGACGAGTCTCGCAAGCGAGGCGAGCAAGACGGTTGGCAGCGTTGCGGATGAAGCGAGCGCCACCGTTGTCAGTGCGTACCAGAAGGTGAAGGGGGAGCTGTGAAGGATCGTACGCACGCTGTAGGCGCAACGGACTTTGAGAACTTGCAAGAAAAGGAGTTGGATCTCGCTTCGCTGCGCTCGCGGAGCTCTCGTCTTTCGGTCCGCTTCGCCCGCTACCTTCCTCGCCGCGCAACACGCCCTTAGGACTGTCTGCATCAGCCGGAACGCGCGCTCGAGGCTGTCGGACTTTGCGGATATGACGCTTCTCAGTCGAGTGAAGGGTTGTCCTCCTCCTCCTCACCTCGTCTCGCTTGCTGGACTCGCTGACTTGCTTGCTAGCTCGCCATGGCGTCTTACGGAGCCAGGTGCGCACCCACGGCTGCACGCACCGCTTTCTTGCTGACCTTACTCCCCACTCCCTCGCAGCTTACCCGACTCCGAACCGCTCGTTCACGGCCGCACGACGACGCACCTCGCCCTCCTGCCTTCCTTCGCACACTTTCTCTCGACCCTCACAACCCTCCAGCGCGACTTCTCGCAGAAAGCCTCGTCTCACATCGGCTCCTTTCGACTGCAAATTGCGCGAAGTGCGAGTGAGCGAGGAGGGGAGGCGGCGAGTCTTGAGAGGGCAATGAGCGGCGTGTTGGAACAGGTGGATTTGATGAGTCGTGAGGTGGGAGAGTGTGCGGACAAGGTTGCCAAGGAGGTTGCGGCACGGTTGGACGAGGTTGGCGGACGGCTCGACGCGGTGCGGAAGAAGGTGCGGTTCCAGTACCGCGCATGTAAATCAGAAAGGGCGCTGACCGCCTCTGTGGCCCACAGCACCACTCCTTCTACGGCCAACTCATGACGCAGCGCGACAAAGCCTATGAAAAGCGGGACCGCTCTCGTGCCGCTTACTTCTCCGCTTGCGAGACGCTCGAGTCGGCGCGGCAGAAGAAGACGTCGGCGAAGGAGGGGCGGGAAACGGAGAAGGCGACGAGAGCGTACGAGCAGGCTTACGAGGAGATGCGAGTTCCTCGCTTCTCGCTTGCCTGATCCAGTCTGACCACTTCGCTCGCAGGCTTCTCGCAAAGGACCAGTACCTCCTCGACATCGACATGGCGAACGTCGCGAAACAGCGGATCTACGAGGTCCACCTGCCAATGCTGCACGACGAGTTCCAGTCTCTCGAAGCAAGCGGGATCCGACAACTCGAAGACCTGCTAGGCCGACTGCTTGCGATCCAGCAAGAGTCGGGCGAGAAGTTCTTGCAGGCCGTCGGAAAGGCGAAGGACGTGTTGAGCGTTGTGGACGTCGAGGCAGACCAGCAGAAATTTGTGGATCAGCATTCGGCGACGTTGACGGCTGCGTACGAGCACCCTGTCGACCTCATATTCGAGGAGTGCCCGGTCTGGCACGATACGGTGCGTCCTGCTCAACTCGCTTCATCGACCTGAACTGACGGGCTTCCGCTCGCAGGACGAGTTCGCGACGACTCCTGCCGCCATCACCTACCTCCAGAACGTCAAGGTGAAGGCTTTGACGCGCGTCGCCGAGATCTCGCCTGCGATCGAGACGAAGCGGCGCGATATCTCGGGCTTGCGGAACTTGCGCGAGACGTACGAGCAGGCAAAGGGTCTGGGTGGAGACACAGTGGCGGTCATCGAGGTGCGCAGAGTCCACCAACGGCTCCTCTGCGACTGCTGACAAGCTGCTGCCGCAGAACTTGTACAACGTTACACACGAGACGACCCTCCTCGAGTTGCAGCAGAGCGAACTGCAAGCTTCGGTCGAGCTGATCGACGCGACTCTTGGTGGTTCGTATCACGCTTCCTTCTCCTTCTTCGTTGCTTGCTCACGCATCGTTATCGCAGACGACGCCTCTTCCGACCTCCGACCACACGAATTCAAGTCGTCCTCCTTCGTCACACCATCGACTTGCGCCGTCTGCGAGTCCTCCGTCTGGGGCAAGGGTATGTCGTGCAAGAAGTGCAACATGGCGGTGCACGTCAAGTGCGAGCTGAAGGTGCGTGACCTCGATCCACGCGATGGTTGCATGCAGTCTCGTCATCCTTGGGCTTGCGCTCGACCTCATAGCCGTTCATTTCGTCACCCTTACACATTGCCTGCAGGTTCCTCCCGGCTGCGCGGCGCGACCAGGTGCCGGCGTCGTGCGGCACAAGTCGAAAAAGTCCGCGCCGCCGCCGGCCGGTACAGGAGCGTCATCCAGCACCAGCTCGCTCACACGGACATCCAGCCGGCTATCCAGTCCGCCCGCGGTCGTTACCTCGAGATGAGTGATCCGCTGACAAGCCTGCCTCGCAGACTCCTCCGTCGCCTCCTCCGCCGCTCCGCCACGCCGAACCGTCCCTCCCCTAACGTCTTCCTCTCCGGCAATCACCCCTCAGCCTCAGTCATCCCATACCGAAACAGCAACGCTCCTCTACCCGTACGAAGCGCAGTCTTCGTTCGAACTCTCGGTGGATGCCGGCGCGGTTGTCGAGGTTGTCGAGCCGGAGGACGAGAATGGATGGGTCAAGGTGCGGGTGCCGGCGGATGGGAGGGTAGGGCTCGTGCCTGCAAGCTATATCCAGCTTGGAGGAGCGGTCGGGAACGGCTCAGCTGGCGGTGCGGCCGCTACTGGAGGGAGCGGTCAACGAGGTGCGTCCCTGCCGCGCTTCTCTCGAGACACTGCCTGACTGACCCTGACATGCGATGCTGCAGTTCGCGCGCTGTACGACTACTCACCTCAGACGGCCGACGAACTTGCGCTGGTCGAGGGCGAGGAGCTCGAGTTGACGAGCGTCGGGATGGACTTTGGCGAAGGTTGGGCAGAGGTACGTTCTTCTCGCAGGTATGTTCAGCCCGGTTTGCTGATTAACGCTCGTTACGCTGGGCAGGCGACGAAGGACGGCCGGACGGGAATCGTTCCCGCTTCTTATGTATGTCAGCAATAGTCTCGTCCTTCGCACAACGCGTTGCTGACCGTCGTGCGACAACACAGATCCAGCTGTTGTGAGAAGGTGCAGCATGACCACGTAGCGAACGATACCTCTAGAACAGACACTCGATATCTCGGCCCTTTTTTCCACCTTCGTTCCCTCGCAACGCTTCACTCAGCCACAGACACAGTCAATATTAGCAGGAGAAGGGCAGAAGTCTATCGAGGGGCTACAGCAGGCGTGAAATCGTGCGATGTGAGCGGGCGCAGAGTCTAAGCGGCAAACTTGCTCCTCCGCCGCAGCTCCGGCCCCTTCCTCTTGAACACGAAAGGAATGGGCGCGAGGATGCACGCGATGCCGGCGAAGAGGCAGGTTGCGCCTTGAACGGTCGCGGCGTGGTAGAGCTGGAGGGCGAAGAGGGGCTGTCCGGGAATGAAGGCGAGGGTCAGCATCTTCAGCCCGCCCGTCTGGATGGTTGAACGCACGAAGACGCTGCCGATGAGCGCACGAGAAGCCATACCCGCCGCGAGAGCGGACGCGGCGTGCGTTTCTGCAGGGCATGGGAAAGTCAGCGCCAATCGACGTTCAGGGGAGCAAGCGACGCACGGTAGACGTCCGTCAAGTAAGGTATGAACGCCGTGAAGACGAGCAGGACGCCCAAGCCGAAGAAGAACTCGGCGATGCAGGGCACGATCCAGTGGACGTCTGTCCGGCAGGTCAAGGAGGGGTTAGCGGGGTTGATCCGTCAAGGAGAACGTAGGACGCTTACGAGGGTACGGCGCGGTGAAAGCAAAGAGGAACAGGGAGCTGCCAGGCGAGATGTCAGGTGCGGCAACGAGAAGGGAAAGGAAACGAAACGAAACGGACAGAGGAACGGTGATAGCGCCCGGGTAGCCGAGCGTCAGCCTCGCCTCGGCTGGGATTGTTGTTTGACCGCGCGCTTGAGCAGCAGCGAGGGCCTTGGTGTACGCTTTGGCTGTGAGCGCGAGTTGCGAAGGTCAGCCCTCCTCGAGTCTGGCCGTCTCGTTGGGACTCAGGCGCGACGTACTCGATACGAGGATCAGGCCGACTGCGCCGACGAGGAAGCCGAGGCCGAGCGAGATGTAGGTGAGGCCGTAAGAGGTGATGGAGAAGTGCCTCTTCTCGAGCCAGACGACGGTGAAGGCCTGTGAGAGGGAGCCAGTCGTGAGCTATGCGATCTTCAAGGTGAGAAGTAAGGAATGCGCACTTCGAAGAAGCCATAGCTGAGGCAGGAGAGTCGATCGAAATAAGTCAGCACAGTCCTGCCATCGCGCGAAGTAGCGCGACTTACAGGACGCCGTAAAGCACGCTCAGATAGATCGACACGAACAGCACGACGGGTTCTGCAGGTGCCGCGAGGTCAGTGAGCTCGTGAAGGATGGACTCGGCAACAAGCGCTCGCACCGGTGAAGAGGAAGACGAACGGCCGAGCGAGCGCCTGCTTGTACACGCCGAGAATAACTCGCCATCCACCAGACTTGACCTCGACCGACGCCTCCTTCGCGAGTCGCCAGCGGTGGAGGGTAGGATGATGCGTTTCCGGAACGAAGGCGACGAGGATCGAGGTGACCGTCGAAAAGATGGCCATGACGCGGAGGTTCCAGCTGTCGAGGCATGGATGCGAGGTCAGTCAGGATGGGATGCTGCTACCGTCGCTGAGAGCGCGCAGGACGGTGGGAAGAGAGGTGAAGCGCAACTCACCGGAAGCCAGCATCGTTCTCGATGAAAGCGGAAAGCAAGGGTCCGATCGACGGCCCACCGAAGGCGCACATAGCATCTGCAAGAGACACGCTCAGTGAGTGAGGATGGGCATCGTGAAAGCAGCAACGCACAGAGAACGGTAAAGGGTCCTCGAGTCCGAGGAACGGTAAAGTCGCCAATGGACGCAGGAACGTTATTGATGCTCGCCGAGGCGAAGAAGCCAATCAAGAACCGGAAGACGAGGAGGGCGCCGATGTTGTTTGCGAAGGCGGCTCCCCAGGAGAAAGCTGTGAACGGAGGGTCAGCCAGCCACTAGGTCATGGAGGCGAGGGGGGACTTGCCGACGTAGAAGACTCCGCAGACGATGTAGACCGCCCGACGACCGTAGAGCTCAGACGAAGGAGCGCACAGCAGAGGTCCTGCTGCGAATCCGAGAACGGTGAAGGTCACACCGGCAATGGCGAGTTCCTGGCTGACGTCGAAGCGCTTCATCAAGGCGGGCAGTGAGGCGACATAGGCGGTCGAAGCGTAGGTGAGGGAGAGTACCCAGACGCAGAGTACTGAACGAACGAGAGTCAGCGACGAGGGAAAACGGTCCCGATTCGAGCCTGCTCACCGATATCGACGATCTGGGAGTTGACTAGAGGTTAGCATGCGATAGAGAGACTAGTCAGGAATAGGAGACTTGCAATCTTCTTGCCGGTTGGCCAGGAAGCTGGATTGAGCGGGTCGTCGTGCGGCAGCCGGCCGTTAACGAGCTCGCCGCCTTTGACGACGACGTCAGTTGATGCGGCCCCGTCGTGCGTCGAAGACTGCCCTACGGAGCCTTCAAGCTGCTTCTCAAGGTCGGCGTCGAGTGCGAGGTCCGGGTTCTCGACGCTTGAGGTCGGGGTGGAAGGGAGAGCTGGCGTTTCGTCTCGCAGAGTTGTCATATTGTCGTTCTCGTTGAAAAGGATGCAAAGGAAGCAGAAGCGCGAGCAAGAGAACCCTCAACAGCCCCGCCAGACCGGTCAGTCGAAGCCAGTCAGCCGGAGAGCGTTCCGAGGCGCGGGAGGATGAGCGAGCGAGCTGGCGATGCGCGCCAGAGCTGTCGTCGAGCCGCGCATAGCTACAGAGGTCACGCTGAGCGATGTTTGAAGCGGCAGAGATGCACAGAAAGACCCGGGGCGACGAAGAAGGCGGGGAGACGTTGAACACGGGGAAGTTTGGGAAGGTCAACGAGGTCGAGCGGAGTCCGCAACTTGGTCGCTTCCTTCGGGGCAATCTGTCTGCGCGCTGGGTGACCCTCGCTTCGTATTGACATTGACACGCAGCGTCAGCTCAAAGAGCGGTTCCTTGACGAGGCAGAGGAGAGCCCTTCAAGTCTTGTCCCTCGAGCGCCCTGGACGACGTCAACAGCATGACGTAGTTGAGCAGGCGCGAATGAAGCGGGGTCATAATGAGAAAGCAAATGCACCCGCAATCGGCGAGTTCCTTCTGTCAGGGAGTGCGGAGAGTTGGCGGAGAGCGAAAGTGCGCTCACCTGGAATTGGGATTCGCTCACAGACGATCAACTGTGGCCCCGACCGACGCAAGCACCGCAGCGCAACGAGTGTCGTCGTCGTGTCGAAGCCAGCGGACGCTTTCCTGCTTTTCTCCTTTCACAGCACCAGGCTCTCTTCGCTCTTCACGCTCTCACCGCGACACCCCGCCTGCAGTGCGTCCCTGCCAGAGCCCAAGACTCGTCGTCGCTGAACTTCCTTGCTCACCTGTTCTTCCCGGGCAGCCCGCCCACTCGCACTTCGTCCCCGACCGACCCCCTCCCCCTCCGTCGCCGTTCGCCATGATCAACGCATTCCACTGGCTCGGGACTTTCCTCTTCCTCAGCGCGATGGCGCTGCTCATCGTCGCATCCGTACGTAGTCGCCGCCGGAGCCTCTGCAGAGTCGCGAGACTTTCGCTGACCTCGTCACGCCTCGTCTCGTTCACAGGTCAGTAGCCCCATCTGGGACAACGGTGCGCTCCTTTCCCTCGTTCTGACATCCTCAACGTACTGAGCGTCGTCGCCCTTGCAGTCGGATTCTTGCACGGCTCCTTGAACGGCCAGCGATTCACCTTCGGAAACTGGTGCGCCCAGGCGCTCTTCCCGCTTCACCAGCGACGGCGATTGACGTTTGAGGTTCGTCTCCAGGGGCTACTGCATTGCCGGACGATGCTCCAAGACGATGCTCGGATACGACCGCGGCATGCTCAACAGCGCCGCCGGTACCAACCTCGCGGGCAACGCCATCGTCTCGAAGCTCTCCAAGACGCTCATCCTCACCCCGATCTGCGCCGGCCTCGCCTTCATCGCCCTCCTCTTCTCTCTCTCGACCCACCTCGTCATGGGCATCCTCGCGTCCCTCTGGGGCCTCCTCGCCCTCGTCGCGACCTGCGTCGCCCTCGGACTCGAGCTGGGCCTCTTCATCACCGCCAAGAGGCGCATCAACCGCATCCCCAACTCGCACGCCTCGCTCGCGTCGTGCATCTGGCTCGTCGTTGCCGCCGCCGGATGCCTCCTCATCGGCTCCTTCCTCGTCTGCTTCACCCGTCACCGCCGCTCCCGCCGTGACCGCGACGTCGACTACGCCGCGTCGTACCCTGCCATGCGCTCGACCGCCGAGGAGCCTGTCGCTGCCCCCGTCGCCTCGGAGACGTACTCGACCGGCGCGCGCACCAGCACCGTCGGCTCGACTGGCCCGCTCATGGCCGACACGACGCACCACCACCACCACACCGGTGTCGCCGACTCGACCGACTACAACAACATGGGCGCGGGATACAACTCGAACCACACCGCCGGCGCGGGATACAACACGGGCGCAGGCTACGACAACGGCGCAAACTATGCGAGCGAAGGCACCCAGCCTCTTGGCCCGACCACCGAGTCCGGCGTCAAGGGCCACTGGTGGCAGCGCAGCCGCTACTAATCGCCTCCCAACACTAGCACTCCGTTCCTCTTTCGTTCTTTCTCCCGCTTGAACCCGTCCTATTACCCTTAGTCACCCTTTCTGTTCTGGCTTTGTCCTCTCCCCCCAGCTCCCCTTAATCGCCGGACATTCCTCACCCTCGCTCTGTACATAGCAGCCTCATCGCCCTGTTGATCCATAACTTGTCTCGTCGCCTACCTTGCAGTGCAGGACTCGCTTTCACACACGCATGCACACCCTGGAGACTGAGAAGGTCGATGCGAAAGCGGCACTACATCTTGCAAGGATGAAGGCGAACAACAACAGCGTAACGAACGAGAAATGTACTACTTGAACCACATGCGGTCTGTCTTGAACCGCCAGCGGACTTTTTGCGCCCCTTCATCTCGCACCGCATCAACGACGACGTCCCAAGCCGGTCCAACATCGCCTGCTTGGACGCCGTCAGGTCCTGAGCGAGCGTAGACGGTAGTGAGGTTGCCGAGGCTGCCGCGGAAAAGGCCGGCGGTGAGTTGGGTGAGGAGGACGGGGTCGCCTGAGCGGAGGAGCTTGAGGTGGTCGGAACTTGCGAGGGTCGGGAAGAGGCGGGCCTATACGAAGGGAAGTCAGCCCGACATTGAGATTTGCGTGAAGAGCGGTACGCACCCCGTCTGCCTGGTCAACGTGCACGAGGATCCGACTCGAAGGATCCGTCTCGTCTGCGAGGGCGAGCACAAAGTCCCATTCGTAGCGGACCTCGCCGTGATCGATGCAGGCAAGCTCAGTCGCTTGTAGCCTGGCCAATGAGTTAATCAGCACGAGGCATGCGAGGTGAAGCAAGATAGGACCCACTCGCGCTCGCATTTCGGACACGTTGCAAGGATCCACTCCTCGATCTTCTGCGGCATGTAGCCGACGACGCGGACCTTGAAGCAGTACGTTCCCTCGCTGTTGAGCTGGACGGCGGGAGCGATAGGCTGGACGGACAGGCCGGTGGTGTCGGCGATGGGAGCTGCTCGGGCGAAGGTCAGCTTCACGTCGGACATGGATGCACGAACGCGCGTACCAGGCGCAAGCGCTGCTGTCGGAGCGCTGAAGACGGGCGCGAGAGCGTCGCTCAGACCCGCAAGCGAGTTCCAGTAGGCTTCGCGGCGCCTGAAGGAAAGAAGGTTAGCGTCGGCCGAGTCTCCAGAAATTGAGCACACGCACATCTTGAGCTCTTTATACCAGACTCGGTCGACGCCGCTCCCGTCAAGCAGCGTGACATCGCGGTTGTGAGGATACTTCTCGTCCTCGACCATCGTCGCCTCGAGCAAGTCGCTCCCGTTGAGCTTCGGGCGGATATTGCGCAAGCTCACCAACCGTCCCTTGAGTTTGTCCTCGTGAAATGCGAGCAGCGGGTCGTTCTGCGCGCCAAAGATCGATACCTGAAGGACGCGTTGGCCTGCGACGCGGACGGACGAGTCTGGCTCGTAGTGCATCAGTTGGTCGTTGATGGTGTAGTCGGTGATGTAGAGGATGCAGGCTTCGTTGCGGTGGACTGGCTGGCCGCGGTTCAGGATGTGCGGGTTGTAGAACTTGACGATCTGCGAGCGAGCGAAGGTGAGCGCGAGGATACAGCGAGAAGGCAGCGGACTCACCTCGCCGCGCGTATCGCAGAACTCGTCAGGGTTGATCGCCTCGATCTTCTTCATCTCCCTGCCAGACTTGCCTTTGACGAGCGCCTTGCTGATAACCTTGGCGTCCTTCGCCTCGCCCGTCCCGACGCCCGCCTCCGCCGCATAGTTTGGCAGGACGTTCCCGAGGAGATCGTACGTGCGAGCCCACCGTGCGAGGTCGCGAGCGTAGCGGAGCTCTTCGAACGTGAGGGAGGGAATGGAGCGGACGGTCGAGAGAGGGAAGGACTCGTTTGTCGGAGGCGGGTCGGAGAGGAACTTGTCGGCGGGTAGGACGCGGTAGTTGCCCTTGTCCTTGTAGGCGACGCAGACGTTCTTGTCCTTGTTCCACTGTACGGTGAGCGATTGTCAGCGGCTGCTCGACGATGGCGCTGCGTTTTGTTCTTACGTTCAACTGCTGGATCACCGCGATGTCGCCGTCTTGCATGACCGGCAGGTGCTCCTTCGTCTGACCGAAGAAGCGCACGCGGACGGGCTCTGTCGCCATAGTTGGGTCGTAGAGGTCAAGGAGGATCGTCCAGTCTGTCGCAAGGAACGTCAGCGCTTTCTCCCGGGCATACGAGCTGCGGCTCACCGCCTGTCCCGCCGCGAGCTTGTGTTGGTTCTGCTGCGACGACAGCCATCCCAATCACGCAGATTCCAGGCGAGTTCTTCCGTCCAGGCAGGGTGTTGAGCGCGACGTATTCGCGGTCCGCCTGCGCGCCGAACTATCAGCCTCAACATCACAATCGAGAGACTACTCGCTCAACGCACCGTATTCAACCCCCATTCGGTGCGCTGCACCCTCTGCCTCTTCTGCGGCGGTTCCCTCCCCTCGCCGCTCGCGACACTCGACGCCGACCGCTTCAACTTCCGCTCCTTCTGAGGCGGCGACACACTCTTCCTCAGCACAATCTTCGGATCAAGTGCCGGAACCGCATACTCCGTCTGCGCCGCTTTCGAGTACGCCCCGAGCTGTTTAAGTTTGGCGCGAGCGAGCGAGTCAGGTTGCTGAGAGGGCGACTGGTTCGAGAGTTCCGAGAGGGCTGAGGGGGTGCGAGAGAGAGGTTGACGAGAGGGCGGGAGGGTGTCGGCGGGTTCAGGAGAGTCCGAGGCGAGGTGGAAAGTCGCTTTGGTAGACGCGGGTCGGTGTTTCTTCGTGGCTTTCGCGGCTGTGGCGGTCGTGACAGCGTTAGCGGTCTCATTGTGCCTGTTCTGAGCGAAGAAAACTCACAGGAGAAGCGGAACGTCTCCCCCTTCTTGCCCGTAACCTGATCCACCCAAGCGCCCTCAATAACCTCATCGAAAACAACCTTGAGCTTCCTCGCGCCCGGCACCACATCTCCCTGCCTATCCCTCTGCTGCCTCATGACCTCTACCCGCTCACCCCCTCTGCTCTGGACAACCATCAACCTCCCGATCCTCTCTCCAAACACCTCGAGCGCCTCCTTCGCCCACACCCCGCGCAGCTCGAAGAAGACGGTCAAGCCATCCGAAGCGAGTGAGAAGCCGCCGAGGTTTGTCGAGCGCGAGAAGGGCGAGAGGGAGACGAGTTTGCCCCGGAGTTGGGTGTGGGCGATGAGGGGCTTGTTCGGGACGAGCGTGTCGAACGGGAGCCGCGACACCTGTTTCGCCATGAGAGCGTTGGAATAGAGCTAGCGAGCGGTCTCGCGAGCCCAGCGATGCGAGATGAGCGGAGTGGTCGAAGCCAAACAACTCGACGGACTTCGCGCGGCGCGACGCAAGTCCCGGCCAGGTGACATCGAAAGAAGCTCTTTACAAGTGAGAGTACACCCGCAGACAACGCTATTTGTACAGTGAGAGACAGTCTACAACTTGGCGTTGACCTCGGCGGCGAGGAGGGCCTTGAAGGCGTCCTCGTTCTGCTGCTGCGGACGGCCGATGAGCAGTTGTTCGTCTTGTGCGAGCTGGGCGAGCGCAGGGGCATAGAGCGTCTCCTTCATCGCTCGAAGAACCTGCAAACAAGCGGCCATCAGGACCGTGCGGAAGATGACGAAGCGAAACCGGCACTCACGCCTGTCTCGGACAATGGCGCCAACTGGACCGCCTTCTCGAGCGCCTTCTTGATGGTCTCCTCGCTGCCGGTACCCTCGACGACCTCGTCGACGAGCCCGTCCTTGAGCGCTTCGGCCGAGGTGTACTTGTGCGCTGTGAGCATGACTTTGCGGACGACGGGCTCGGAGAGGCGCGCTTGGAGGACTGAGGCCATGCCGGCGGGGCTGTGGGAGCGGCACGTGGTCAGTTCAGAGTTGTGAGGAGAGCGAGAAGGCGAAGAGTCGAGAGAGACGGGCGGAGAGCGGACAAGCAGGAGAGAGGGAACGCGCGACGCACATGGGCGCGCCGAAGAGGAGCTCGTTCATGCTGAGCCATGTCCGGTCGGGCTGTTCGATGCAAACAGTGTCATGAGGCGACGCGCGAGGACACAAGAAGCGTACGCACCCTGCAGATCCTCCAGTCGCAGGCGAGCGCCAAACACAATCCGCCAGCATAGCAATGCCCATTGATCGCCGCGACCGTCTTGATGGGATAGCTCATCAACCTCGCGAGTAGCTTGTAATAGTAGTCCTTGAAGAAGGTCGGGTACTCGGCGAGACAGGCGAGTTGCAGCCCGTTCGAAAAGAACTTGCCCTTGGTCCGTTCGCCGGTGAGGACGAGCGCGCCGCCTTTGTTCGTCCCCTTGTCGACGGCTTTGTGCCAGGACAATTCCACAAAGTCGAGCGCTGGGAGCATCTATCCGCCGCAACGAAGGATCAGCGAGGGAGACGGGTCGCTTGAGAGTGAGTGAACGCACCGCCTGCTTGATGAACTCTGGCTCGAGCCTATTGTCGGGGAAGTTGTGCATCTCAAGCAGCCACACTCCGCCCTCTGCGCCTACGGGCGTCGTAACCGTGACCCAGGGATCTTTCGCCGAGCGAGGGAAAGCGCGCGATGCCATGGCGAGTGAGTGGGTGTAGCTGAGCGTGCGTGTGCGTGTGTGGAGCGGTGCGAAGAGCAGGCGAGTCGCTGGGCGTCCCAGGAGCATACAAGGGCCGCAGGTGAAAGGGAAGTCGGCAACTCTCGAGTTGGTGGGGCCGGGTCAAGGCCAAGGGGGAACGGCGATGAGGACGAGTTGGTATCCATCTCTGCCCAATACAGCTTGTGCATCTACGCACATTCATCCCTGTAACGCCCACCATCCAACAACACCCGCTACGACTGCCGTACTCAGGAAGTTGACCTGGTTGTTGCTCAGGACGTCCCAGCCCGAGCCCGGCACACGCACGATCTTCTCCTCCGGGTGTGCAGGAGACGGATGAGGAGAGTGGACGACGAGCGAGCGGGTTTGGGAGAAGTAGGTCGGCTGGAGGAGGGCGCCGAGGAGGGAGTCGAGCTGCGAGAGGGTGAAAGCGATGTTAGTTCCGGCCAAGCGTGCTCCCACGCCCTTCTGCCATGATGAGCAGCTAAGAGGGACGAAAAGCAGGTCGCGCCGAACTCACCATACTTCCCCCGAACCCGCTCAACGCCGCGACACCCGCGACCTCGACCAACCTTCCCATCCCGCACGCTTGCGCCTGCCCCTGGACCACCAGGCTCACGACGGCCAACACGCCGACGAGCAATCCTCCGAGAAGAGAGACGAGCGTGCCCCAGGATGATATACCGCCGTTTGTGCCGCGGCGACAGGGGCGGAGGGTGGTGAGGAGGATGGGAGGGCGGGAGGAGAGGATGCCGAGCTGTATACCTAGAGAGTCAGTCTTCTCAACCACGACGACATCGCTGGTCTCCACTACAAAGCCAGAATCAGCGAGAGCGCAGAGGCGAGCGACTGACCTCGCTAGCGAACTGTTGAGCCCGATTGTAGTCAGTCGTCGAGGCTTCAAAAGAACCAGGCGAATCTCGCACCGTATCGCCGCAGCAAGCCGCCCAGAAAGCCACGGCCGCCAATACCAGCGCCCTACTCACCCTCTCTCCTCCCTCCGCTCCATCCGCTACAACACACCACCTCCCATCTTGCTCCCAGTTCCTCCCGCCGACTTCACCCGAGAACAAGTAGCGCCACGAAGCGGCACAGAGCGTGCCGAGTAGAGCGTTGCAGGCTACTTGGGACGCGTTGCGGTTGCCGCCTGTTTTGGCTTTCGGAGGAGGCGCTGAAGAGGGGGATGAGGGTGTGGAGGTGTCGGGTGCTTCGTAGGTTGCTTTAATGGCTGCTTTGACCTGTCATTGCAACGGACGGAGCCCATCAGCTCACACGCACTCCTCCGCCAACGCATCCTCGAACCTGGAAAGACCGCCCGTGGCGAACCAGAGCACGCACCTTCGTAGCCCGACTTCCCGCGAGATAGAATCCGAGCAAGCACACCCCAAACACGCTCAACGGATTCGCCAGCGCCGTGTAGCCGAGAGTAGCCGCTGCGAGGGCTCCGGAGGTGTTGAGCGAGCCGGAGCGGGTGCCGCGATAGGCGACTAGGGTGGCGAGAGCTAGAGAGATGGGGTGGATATGCATGATGCTCGACACGCGTCTTTGAGCGGTGTGCGAGCGAGGAGAAGGTGAGTGGGAGATGTCAAAGTTGCGCGAGGCGAAGCGGCGGCTTCGACAGCTCGTTCGACAGCGTGGACGGGTGTAGCAGCGTTCAGAGCACTCTAAACACTGCTGCAAGCCACGCAATCCCGCCCATCGCAAAAGGCAGCGTCGTTCGCCTCGTCCTCGAAAGTCAACTTGCGGGTTGGCCTCCTCCCGCTCACCACACCCGCTAAACTCGCTCGACGGACGCTGTACCAGCTGTTTCAAGCCCACGAGGCCTCGTAATCGGCCACAAGCCCGAGTCTGACGCGCGCACTCTCAGCCAGAGCCGACCTCACCTGACCCCCCCTCGACTCGGCCTCTCGCTCGCAACCCTCCTCGGCAGGCTGTTCGACTCGCCCAACCTCCTCAACAATGGCCTCTGAGCGTGTCGAGCTAGTCCAGCAGGTGGAAGGAGCTGGGACGGGAGGACAAAGCGAGGCTCGACCACCCTCACGCCCCCACTCTCGTCGCTCGGCATCCCCTTCACCTCCTCGACGCAGCAAGCGAGACGGCACAGACGACGAGGAGGACGTCGACGATACGTACGGGGTGAGAACCGGGCAGGAGGAAGGGGGGGAGGTCGAGAAGAGACCGTTCTTCTTCCCGCCGCTTTGGTTGAGCAGGAGGACGGCATGTGTGATGGAATTGAAGAAGGCGGGCATTCGCAGCGTGCGTGGAGTCCCGAGCTCACTGCGGAGCGAAGCTGACTTTTTCAGCGCAGGTCGCCGACGTGGGATGCGGCGCCGGAACCCTCCTGTCAATTCTCACCCTGCCAGCGTACCACAGAGACGACTTCCCTTCGCTCTACCCACCCGCGCCGTGGGAGTCTCAACCTTCTTCTCCCGCGCCCTTCGACACTCCCGCCCAGCCACCTCAGACGAAGCAAGAAAAGCTCACCGTCCTTCGCTCAATTCCGCGTGTCCCGCCGAACGAGAACGAGCTGCACCTGCGGCGACTCATCGGCATCGACATCGACCGGGCCGAGTGCGAGTTGGCGGCGAAAGTCGTCAAGGCGCCGACTGAATCGTCCGGCTCGTCGCAGCGGTGGGAGGACCTGTTTGTCGAGATTTACGAGGGAGGCGTCGAAGTGCACAACGACGCGCTCCTGAACGTCGAGGCCATCGTCTTGACCGAAGTCGTCGAGCATCTCACGCCTACTGCGCTCGCTCGCCTCCCGAATCTCCTCTTCTCCGTCTACTCGCCCCGCCTGATCGTGATCACCACTCCAAACCACGCCTTCAACCCTTACTTCGTCCCCTCTCCTCCGTCTACCTCTCGCCGACGACCTCGCCATTCGACTACCGGCACCGACGACGAGGAGTCGCATCTCCACCTGGACCCCTCAGGCCGGACGAACCGCGTCTTCCGCGACGCGACCCACCTCTTCGAATGGACGCCCGAAGAGTTTCGCTCGTGGTGCGGAGAGGCTCTCGCGGCTCACTCGAGCGAGGACGAGTACGACTTGCGCTTTACGGGCGTCGGGTCGCTCGCTTCGTACTACTCGAAGACCGAGACGGGCGAGGTCCAGTTCCCTCCGCCGTCGCTCGACAAACACCCTGCCCTCGCGTCGTACCCTACGTCCGTTGCACCCCCCGAAAACCCGCGCGAGTTCTTTGCGACCCAAATCGCCGTTTTCACCAAGCGCTTCTCCGGCGAACCCGAGCGCTCGCCTCGCAGCGCACGACCCGTCCCGCTTCCTTTCTTCACGCCTTCGTCCGCCTCATCCGCGACCACCTCCCCCTCATCCGCCACGATCCCCCTCTCACCCGCCGGCTCGACCCGCCCTCCCCTCGGCTCTCGTCAATCCTCCGCCCTTCCGATCCCTCACAAACTCGTCTACTCGACGACGCACCGTGCCGATCTCGCTTCGTCTTCCCCCGCCTCTTCAGCCGAACTCCTCTCCTCCCTCTCACTAATCTTCCTGCACAAACGCCGTGGAGACACCATCTCCCTCTCGGACCTCTGGCGCAATCTAGAGCTGCGCGAAGCGTGTGGCGGAGAAGTTGGGAGAATGGTGGATGCGCTTGTGGAGGACGACGAGGAGGGCGAGTGGGAGGTTAGTAGGTTGGGAGAGGGGGAGAAGAAGGGGAAGGATGCGTTGGGTGTTAGGTGGAGGGTGTATGAGGAGCGGTTGGAGGAAATGTGTGCGGAGGAGGAGCGGGAGAGGCTGGAGCAGGGAGACGAACAGGAGCAGGACGAGCGGGACGAGGAGGAGCAGCTCGAGCTGAGTGAGGATGAGGGCCACGCTCGTCACGAGGCAGAGAAGCAGGATAGCCCGTGGGGAGGACGAAGCGGCTGGGGTGCGGGTCAAGGGAACGGCGGACAAGAAGGAGGAGCGGCGGGGCAGGATTGGCGCGTAGCGCAGGAGGCGGCGCAGGCGCAGCCGAGGGGGAGCGGCTGGGCAGATGACGAGTGGTAGTCGAGACGTCCTCGACGCAGCGCATCCTTCTTCGCATCGCGTACAGCATTCGCAACTTGCAGACATTCCCTTCGCATCGTTGCCGTCGGGTTCAGCCGTACGGGTTCGACAGTTGTCCTGCTCCTGCGTGTGACGGCGCCATCACCGTCCTCTCCGCGTCAGCGCCAAAGAGAAAAGCGAAGGGTCCGTCAATGTCGAGAGCGGAAGGAGGACGACCTGCTGTTCGTCTCGCACCGCAACTCCGCTTCCTCGCCCCGCTCGCCTGATCCGTCCGCATCGCTCGATCGCTCCCGCTGGAACGAGGGAACGGGCGACGGAAGCTTCGACAGGATACATTGAGCGTCTCGAAGCGGGAAGAGAAGCGATCGAGTTGAGGGTGGTCCAGGGTTGCGCGGCGGGCTGGCGGGCGTGAGCGGGTGACTGTGCGCGACGAAGACGGGTCAGGAGCAGCCCACAAGCTGTTCGAGCAGTCTTGCGCGGCGCCCGTCGACGGGGTTCCTCGCGCCTCCTCCTCGACAGCGCCGCCAGACGCCCAATCTCGCTCGCGTCTCGGCAGGGCTGTTTGCCTGTTCTGCGCACGCGCACTGCGCACGCTGTAGATCCCTGCGCGGGTCAAGGGGCCGTTCATTCCGGATCGCGCAGTTCGCTCCCTTTCCCTTCCTCCTCGGGGAGTTTCTCCTGGCGAACAACTTGTCGCAACCACGCGCGTCTCACGCTGCTCGGACAAGCGGAGGATGGCACAGACTGGGCGCGACAGCGTCCCTCGATGGACAATCCTGCCCGGGCCCTCCTCCTGACCGCTCCTCTCCCGCTCACCACACCTCGAGCGCACGCGGTCGCCGCTCCGCTCGCTCACTCACACGCTCGTTTCTGTCGCCAGCGAGGATCGCCAATCGCGCCTTTTAGAGCCCGTCGCAGCGCCCGTTCACTCAGGCTTCTTCGACCATGCTCCGCTCTTTCCTCCTTCCACTCCTTTGCGCCTGCCTTCTGGCGGCTTCTACTGCCAATGCGGCAGTCTTCAACTGTGTCGGGTGCGTGCGCAGTCCCGACCGTCATATCAGGACACAAGCTGACCTGCCTTCCCTCTGCAGCGGTTCAGTCGTCCGTCCGGCCATCATCTCGCAGCAAAGAACTCTGCTGATCCCTCCTGCCCGCAACAGTACATCACAGCCCACGCCGACGACGACCTTCTCTTCCAGAGCCCGACGGTCCTGCAGGATGTCCAGGCGAAGAACTGCGTGACCAACATCATCCTCACTGCCGGCGACAACGGCGGCGGGCTCGCCTACGCTCAGAGCCGCGAGCAAGGCAATCAGGCGGCGTATGCGTACATGGCCAGCGCGAACAACACGTACACCGAGTTCAAGGCCGTCTTCGGCGGCCAGTCGGTGCTCGTCCGCACGCTCAAAGCCAAGCCTAACGTCCAGAAGGTCTTCTTCCGACTTCCCGACGGCAACCTCGCTGGACAAGGTTACGCCGTCACGGGCTACCAGTCGCTCCGCTCGCTCTACTTCGGCACCATCCCGTCCATCTCGTCCATCTCGGGCGACGCCACCTACACCCTCGCTACGCTCAAGCAGGCCATCGGCCAGATCCTCACCGCTCGCAAGCCCGTCAACATTCGCACGCAGGACTACCTGAGCGCGTATGACGGCGGCGACCACGCCGACCACTTGACGACCGCTCGCTTGGTCAAGGAAATTGCCGCGACGTACGCGTCCTCGGCTAGCCTGTCGGGCTTCATGGGCTACCCGATCCAGGTCCGCGCAGCTTTTTGACGCACAGTCAGACGCTAATCGCTAACGCGACTTTGCAATGCAGAACCTCGCGCCGACTCTCTCGATGAACTCGACCCTCTTTAATCAAAAGTCGACCGCCTTCTTCACCTACACGCCCTACGACCCCGAGGAGTGCCAGTCGCTCAGTGCCTGCTCGAACCGCGGCGAGTACTCCTGGCTCCAGCGGTCTTACGTCGTCACCTCCGCCCTTGCGACGACTTCGAACGACGGCGCGGCTCTCGCCCCGGCAACTGTTCCGAACGGCACCGACATCGCACTTCAGGCTGTTGCGACCGCCAGCTCGGTCGCGCCTGGCTCGTCGGCCGGCGCCGTGAATGACGGCGTCTTTGGCGGCTACCCGGGCAATGAGACGGCGGAGTGGTCGTCGAACGGCGAGAAGGCCGGTGCATGGGTGCGCTTGACTTGGAAGACGCCGGTCGTTGTCAATGCGGTGGTGCTCTACGACAGGTGCGCACGAGCGTGTTCGCCCCGGCGGTTCTCAGCTAATGCTTGCCGCTTCGCGCAGGCCCAACACCGACGACTGGCTCACCGCCGGCACGCTCACCTTCGACGACGGCAGCGTCGTCTCCTTCACCAACCCGATCAACGACGGGACAGCTTCGAAGATCGCTCTTCCGAAGACCAACTACACGACCTCTTCGCTTCTGCTCACGGTCACGGCTACGAGCGCGAGCACCGTAAACATCGGCTTGTCGGAGCTGCAGGTCTTCGGCACCGTTTGCCCGACTTGCGTCGTCGCGTCCCCCTCATCCACCGTCTCAACGGCTAGCTCAGCAGCTTCCTCGCCATCCTCCACGGTGTCGACGTCCTCTGCCGCTCCCACATCTTCCGCCGCCCCGGTCATCTCGGGCGACCTCGCGCTGAACGCGACCGCTGGCGCCTCGAGCTGGAACGACCAGACAACCCAAACTCCGGACAAGGCGATTGACGGCGTTGTTGGCGGGTACACCGCTGCCGGCGGAGACTACACGAAGGAGGCGAGTCTGCCAGCTCTCTTCTTTACCGCAATGAGCTGACGATTGCCGCGCAGTGGGCCACACTCGGCGAAGGCGTCGGCGCTTATCTGACCCTCACCTGGAACGCCCCGATTGTCGCGAATCGCATCGTTCTCAACGATCGTCCAAACCTGAACGACCAGATTCTCGGTGGCAAGCTCAACTTCAGTGACGGCTCGACGCTCGTGACAGGCGTCTTGAACAACGACGGCTCGGACACAACGCTCGAGTTCCCGGCAAAAACGTTCAGTTCGCTCTGGTTCACGGTTACGTCCGTCTCGAATACGACTCTCAACATCGGCTTAAGCGAGTTCCAGGTCTACTACGTCTCAACCGCTGCGCCCAGGTGAGTTGCCTTCGTCTGGGCGCTTCTCAACTGCCGCTCACCGCCCTGCTTCTCCACCAGCAGCAGCGCAAGCGCTTCCTCAACTCAGACTTTGACTTCTTCCGCCGTCACCACGGCGTCCGCAAGCTCGTCCACGTCGAGCGCATCTTCGGCCACCTCGTCCGCGACCAGCGCCACCTCGTCTGCGCCTGCCGCAACCTCCAGTACGCCCTCGGCGACCTCGCTCGACCTCGCGCTCAACGCTACGGCCGGTGCATCAAGCTGGAACGACGCAACGACGCAAACTCCGGCAAAGGCCATTGACGGGGTCATCGGCGGCTACACGGCTGCTGGAGGAGACTACACGAAGGAGGTGCGTCTCGAATCGCTTCTTCTCCCGCATACGGATTGCTTACGGCTGCTCCTGAGCAGTGGGCGACAAACGGACAAGGCGCAGGCGCCTACTTCACCCTCTCTTGGCCGACTAGCATTACTGCGAACCGGATCGTCTTGTACGACCGGCCCAACCCCAACGACCAGGTCAGCGCTTCTTCCTCTCCATCCACCTCGAAAGTCAGCTGATGATTCTCTGCAGATCCTCTCCGGCTCGATCGCCTTCAGCGATGGCTCGACGCTCGCTATTGGTGCGCTCAACAATGACGGATCGGCTGCTACGTTCGACTTTGGCGACAAGTCCTTTAGCTCGCTCAACTTCAGCATCACGTCCGTGTCGAGCACGACCGTCAACATCGGCTTAAGCGAGTTCCAGGTCTACTACGCTTCTGGCTCCTCAGCGTGCGCTCTTTCCCATCCCTCTTCTCGACTTCTTTTCGCTGACATGACCCCGTACTGCCGCAGTGCGCCGAGTATTGCAGCGTCTACGCCCGCGGCGACAACCGCTGCGTCGAGCACAACGTCTGCTTCGGCAACGACGTCTGCAAGCCCGACCCCTTCGCCCGCAACCTCGGCTGCAGCTTCGTCGACTTCGACCCGCACCACGATCGTTTTCTCCTCGACTCCGACCGCATCCTCGAGCGCACCTAGCTCGACAAGCCCGTCGGCGAGCCCGACTTCGAGTTCTGCGCCGGCACCCAGCTCGACCAGCTCATCGGCGAGCCCGACTTCGAGTTCTGCGCCGGCACCCAGCTCGACCCTCTCCATCTCCGGCTCGCCCGACCTCGCGCTCAACGCCATCGCGAGTGCCTCTAGCTGGAGCGCCGCAAATTCGCAGACTCCCGACAAGGCGATCGACGGCGTGATTTCGGGTTACAAGGAAGACGGCACGGGAGATTACACGAAGGAATGGGCGACGAACGGCGAGGCTGTCGGCGCCTGGTTGTCGTTAACCTGGTCGAGCCCGGTCACGATCAACCGACTCGTCTTGAACGACCGCCCGAACCTCAACGACCATATCCTCGGCGGCGTCGTCTCCTTCAGCGACGGCTCGAACGTGACCGTCTCGGCGCTCAACAACGACGGATCCGACACGACCTTCAACATCGCGCAACGAACGATCTCGTCGCTCAAGCTGACCGTCACGAACGCCAGCTCGACAACGCTGAATATCGGTCTCAGCGAGTTCCGAGCGTACTTGATCTAGGCGGACGTTGTGTCTAGTCGTGCTGTGCCGTTCTATAGACTTTCCTGTTGTACTCGTAGTCGGCTCAAGAGCCGCGGAAAAGCATCGTGTGCGAGCCAGACGGATTGAGCGAGAATATCGCGCGAGAGACGAGAGGGAGGAAACGAATGGATACAGCTAACAAGGCGGATCAACAACAAAGAGTGGCGAGCATGGGAAGCTGAAGAGTCATCTTCTAGCGCGAGGCGAGCCGTCTACGACGCTGCACTGCTCCGTCTCCGCCGGTCGCGCAGCTCAATCTCCTCGGCCTTCTTCTCCCCCCTCGTACTCCGTCCCTTCTTCTTCCCGACGCCCTGGAACCACAACCTCCATCCAACACGCAACGCCGCCCTGACGATCCCAACAGGCGGGACGAGCCAGCTAACGACCCAACTCCACCCTGCCCGCTTGTGTAGCTTGGCGACGACCGAGTCGACTTGGTTCTGGAGGTCGCCGATCGGTCCCGAGTTGTCGATCACGTAGTCTGCGTAGTCGAGCTTCTCGGAGAGAGGGCGTTGAGAGGAAAGGCGGGCTTGGGCGTCGGCGAGGGAGAGGTTGTTGCGTGAGCGTAGTCGCTGAAGTTGCAGGATCTCCGAGCTGCATGCAGTAGATCGCCATGGAGAACGCAGGCGTCAGCTGCATGGGCTCATGGACCGCGAAGAGCGAGCGAAACGCACCAATAGACCACGACGATCGCTCCGCACAGCTTCCACAGTCCAGCCTCGATGAGCAGCGGCGCGTCGACGACGCAGATCTTCTCGCCTCTGAGCCACGCCTTTGCGAGTTCCCACGCCAGCAACCGCCTAACAGCCGGATGAACGATCGAGTTGAGGACCTTGCGTTCCTTCTCGTTGTTGAAGACGATCGAGCCGAGCGCTTCTCGGTTGAGCGTCCCGTCTGGTCGCAGAATCGAGTCTCCGAAGTGTCGCACAAGCGCCGAGAGCGCGTACGATTCGGGTTCGACAGCGACGCGAGCGAGGATGTCGAGGTCGATGACGGGGACGGCGTGGGACTTGAGGAGCGAGGTGACCGTCGACTTGCCCGATGCGATGCCGCCGGTCAGACCTACGACGAGCATGAGCGCGGTAGAAGCGGAGGAAGCGAGCTGGTCGAGTTCAAGGGGCGAGTGGGGACAGCCGCCCCGGGTTGGCCTTCGCCTGCTCACTCGTCGCCGCTTGCTGGTGTGTGCGGGCTCTTAGGTCGCTCACAGACGCTCACATGCACAGCCGAATCCACTACCGCGCCGCCGCGAGCTCTCCTCGTTATTCCTCACGATCTCCCGATTCTCATCAGCCGAAGGATGGGAGGCGACAATAGGCGTCTAGCGGGCACAAAGCGGGGCGGCACTACCTTCAGGTAGTGCTAGGATGTACGCGCAGCCAGACTTCGGGTCGCATGCGGCTGAATCAATCGACTCGCCGCCCTCGACTTGCTTGCGGCGAGTCTCGCATCTCGAAGAGCTCTGCAGATTCTTCGCCATTTGACGGCACATCTAGCTCTTACGTCACTGCAGCACGCCGGTCCAGCCGGTAACGCTCAGTACGCCGTACCGAAAGTGTGCACCTGGACCATCTCCGGCCGCTGCTCCTCCTCGCCAATCACGTAGTTCCCGCATGCGCGCATCAACTCGCGCTTCCGTCGCCGCGCTTCCTGCTTCCGCCGGTACATCTCGTCGACGTCGACCAGCTCACCGTACACCTCGCGTTCCTCGAGGCGTGCTGGCGGTGCAAGCGGGAGGGAAACGGGCGAGAGGGAGTCGACGGAGTAGCATTTGGAGAGGCGTGGTCGAGAGAGGGCAGGTGACGAGGGGCGGCTGAAGAGAGTGGACGACAGGGAAGGCGAGGTTGGCCGCGGCAGGGAGAAGGACGAGAAGCTGGACAGGCTCGAGATCGTCGACCAGCGCTTCTGTCGCTTCGAGTTGACGTTGAAGGACAAAGATGACGAAGGGCGCTGCGCCATGAAGCCAAATGGGGTGGAGGGACGAGGCGAAGCGGTGGGAAGAGGAGAAGTTGCTCGTCGTCTGGGTGCCGATGGGAACGGCAGGGGTCGTCCGAGGTAGTAGTGCACGCCCACTGTCACAGAGGAGGTCAGCAGCTGTCGACGACGCTGAGGAGGCCAGCAGAGGAGACGAACCTTCTGAACCGAAGATCTCCCGAGCGACTTCTTCGAAGGTGAGGAGGTCTTCTTGACGAGGTCGCTTCAGCTGGCGGCGATCTTCCATGCTCGAGCGGCAGCGGAGAGGGACGCGGAGGAGGACGCAGTGAGCGAGAGGCAAAGCAGCAGAGGAGGCAGAGGACAACGAGCTGCTCGCCAGCGCGCGTCTTCCCACTTCCTCGTCTCTCTCTTCCGCTTCCGGGCATCAACCGAACACAGTTCGCGACTCCGTCATGCGCATTGAGGATCCGTCGCTCGTCCCGGTGTGTGGACCTCTTTCCGCTTCCAGGAGAGGCGGGCCGTCGCGAAGCAAATGTCGAGGCTGGCTTGTTCTCGACGGCTCGGGCGTACCGAAGGAGCCTCAACTTTATTCGCAAGCAGAACAGAGCGTCGAAGCGGAAGAACGAAGAACTTCGCTCGACGTGAGCTTCTCAGACTTCGCCTCCCACTCTTCAGTCTTGTCGCAGTGCTTGTGGTGCAGAAAAGCAACGTTATCAACAACAACACAGCATTAGACGCGCTGCGAGAAACCTCAATCACCGCGCCTCCGTCGCTAGCGACGTCCGCCTGCCTTTCCGCCGCATCCGCTCTTCTCTCGCTGCATTCCCACTGGACATGACCGTCGCATACTCCGCTGCGCTGATCACCGCGAACTCGGAAACTGGTCGTGGTTTGGGCGCGGGCTTGGCTGGTCGGAGGTATGGGAGCGGAAGGGAGATACGGCGAGAAGGAGATGCTTGTCGCGAGGACTGCCGGGATATGACATCGTGCGGTGTGGCGGTCGATGTGCTGGTGGAGCTTAAGGACGATGAGGTGCTGCTTGCGGACGAGCGGCGGCGGAAGAGCGTTGCTAGCGAGGGGAAGTGTGCGCTTTGAGTGTCGCCAGGAGGCGAGGAGGGGATTTCCGAGTGTGTACCGCTGTAGCTTGATGGTAGAGCCTCGCCGACGTCCTTGTAGAGGTCAACGGCTGCAAGGTGAGCCAAAAAATCAGCGTGAGTCGGGATGCCACTGAGAGAGCAGGCGTACCTCCGCTTCGTCGCTGGTAACCTGAGGAAGCGCTCGTCTCGGGTTTTGTCGCATCGTGCAACGAGGATGGACGTGTGTACTGCATGGATCTTGTGGGCGGGGCGAGGTGCGCGAGGGCAGATGAAGCAGAAGGAGAGCGCGAAGCTCGAAAGAAGCGCAGCGCTTCATTGACCGAGTCTATGAGACGGATCAGCGCGAGTTCGGACCAGCGAAGCGCGAGCAGACGATCCGTCCGAAGCGCATCTAGAGTGATCGACTGTAACCCACGGTAATGACAAGGCCAGTCGACTGCCCGTCCTGGAAATGCGAGCCTCAGGAATTGACGAGGGAACAACGGTGTAGCGAAGAGCTGTCGCCAGCGTCGTCGAGACTCAGATGGGTCGCGAAGGTCGAAGGCGACGAGTAGGGATATGCTCGTTGGCGGTCCCTGGGCAGGCGCGCGAGGGAAGCAGGGGACTGAGCCGCGGACGCGCAGGCTGCGAGACCAGAGAAGCCTTTGCGGGCGGCACTTGGTGGCGGCAAGGGATGCAGATCAATCGGTCGTCTAGGGCGAATAGTCCTGCCAGATCCGACTGTCGAAGTTCTCGACGAGAAGGGGGTCTTTCTGCAGAAGAGGGGGTCAGGCTCAACAGCCCGCCAAAGTAGGCGACGAAGAATAAGGGTCCTCACCCTGTACAGTCCCTGCCAGTTCGAAAAGCCGTCTCGCAGCACGAGCACCTCCTGCCCGCCTGTCTGACCCGTCGATAGATATGGGTTCGGAGAGAAGTTCCTCGCCGACTCTGCGGCCCCTTGCGCGGTCGAGGCGGACGATTGTGACGCAGACGAACCGAGCGCGGGGACAGAAGGTTGTGAGGCGGCGAGAGCTTCGGCGTAGATGCGCGCAGCTTTTGGACCGCGAACTTGCGAGAGCGAGCAGTGGAAGACGACTTTCGGCACGCCTTTCAGTTGCTGGACCAGGTCGGTGACGGACTGCTCAGTTCGCTTCTCGCTTGGTGCACGGATTGCGCCGGGACTGAAGACGAAGGATTGGTCAACGAGGAAGGGAGTGAGACGGGGTGAGGAGAAGAACGCACATATTGCCGCCTCGGTAGTCGTCGTCCCGCACATCGACGACTGCATAGTCCTTCCCAGCTTTCCCGTTCCTCACCAACTCTGCGACCTCGTCGTGGTTGGCGTAGCGGTAGTTCATCGCGCGAGAACGCAAGGCAGTCAACCTGGCGGCGGCGGCGTGAAGGCGTGGAGGGACGAGCGTGGTGTAGGCTGTGCGTCGTAAACGCTGATGAAGATCGCAGCGAGCTGCAAAGCGGTGTTTGGAGCGGATGCAGCGGACGGCAGGAGGGAGAGGGAGAGAAAGCGGGGTCAGGCCTGTCCACACACCTCGCTTGCGGCTAGATTGACTGCCACAGCGCTCTGAGAAGTGCTACTGGCCTGCTTCGTACGGTCTCGCTGCTCCTCAACCGCCGCAACCCTTTCATCGACATCCCTCTCTCTTCTCGTCATCGCTCCCGCCCACCTCGCCAGCAACCCCCTCTGTGAGTGATAGTCTCTGCTTTCACGCTTCGGTCACGGGCCTGAGGAGTATGGACGCGCCGGCGCATTCATCGGAACCGGCGCTGTGGAGCTGGACAACCCGGTCATTGTGCGGGACGAGCCCTCGATGCGGCGGAAGGGGGGCGGAGTGCGACGCATTGGAGGGCAGGGAAAGCGTTCAAACACGCACACGAGCAGCCTAGGACATGAGCTGATCCGCTCTTCACCCTTGCAGCCCGCCCTTCCCGCTCGCTCCCCCACCTCACGCCGCCTTTCGCCTCTCACTGATCCAGCATGGAGGCCCTGTTCTTCAACTCGCACTCGGGATACCTGGAAGGTGTGCTGCGCGGATTCAAGGCGGGGCTGTTGACCCAGGCGCAGTACTCGAACTTGACGCAGTGCGAGACGCTTGATGGTGAGCCTTTCGAGCTGCCTGTCCGTTCTGCAACTGAGCTGACGTTCGCAAACGGTGCAGACTTCCGCATGCAACTGTCCGCGACCGACTACGGCAACTTTCTCGCAAACGAGACTCCCCCCATCTCGACCTCGACAATCGCAGAGAAGGCGACGCAACGGCTAGTCGACGAGTTCAACTACATCCGAAGTAACGCGACAGGACAGTTGCGCAAGTTCCTCGACTACATGACGTGAGTTGCCGGACTTGTCCTGGTCGAGCTTTCTTCCGCTGACCCGCTTGCCTCACCCAGCTACGCCTACATGATCGACAACGTCGTCCTCCTGATCTCCGGTACACTGCACGAGCGCGACACACATGACCTGCTCGAGCGGTGTCACCCTCTCGGGACCTTTGAAACGATGCCGGCGCTATGCGTGGCGACGAACGTTGAGGAGCTGTACAACACGGTGCTCGTGGAGACGCCCTTAGGTGCGAGACTAGCTCACTGAATTATGCGCACAAGCTGATTCGGTCTTTGAGCCGCAGCCCCCTACTTCCGCGACTGCCTCTCCGCACAAGATCTCGACGAGCTGAACATCGAGATCATCCGCAACACCGTTCGTTCCCGCGCTCGGCTCGCTGACGTGGCTCAAGCGTACTGACGTTACGGTCGCGCAGCTGTACCGCTCCTACCTCGAAGACTTTCACGACTTCGTCATGTCCATCGGCGCACCAACAAGCGACTGCATGTCGCCCATCCTCAACTTCGAAGCCGACCGTCGCGCGCTCAACATCACGATCAACTCTTTCGGTACCTCGCTGTCGAAGGAGCAGCGCGGCAAGCTGTTGCCCAAGCTTGGCCGGCTGTACCCCGAGGGCACGCTTGCGCTGAGTCGGGCAGACGATGTCGAGCAAGTCAAGGCCGTCATCGACCCGATCGTCGAGTATCGACCATTCCTCGACTCGGCAGGCGCAGGCGGAGCCGACAGCAACCCCAGCGGGACGGGCGCAGGCGGAGGCGGCGGCGCGTCGGCAGCGAGCCTCGAGGACCACTTCTTCCAGTACGAGGTCGAGCTCAACAAGGACGCGTTCCTCCAGCAATTCCAGTTCGGCGTCTTCTACTCGTTCTTCAAGCTCAAGGAGCAGGAGATTCGGAGCTTGACGTGGATTGCCGAATGCATCGCGCAGAACGCGAAGGACCGGATCAAGTGCGTTCATGCTGGCCGACTCGCTTCCGTGACAGTCACTGACAGTCAGGTGTCCTCACACAGCGACTTCATCCCGACTTTCTAAGCCGGTCTTTCGCCTCGTTCATCGCACGCCTTCCTCGCTTTCTGTCTTCCAGTAGTCTTCGCAGTCACCTGTCATACTCATTGCGCACTCAGTGTTACCTTTGAGGGTCCCGCGACAAAGCAAACCTCGGCTTGCGTGCTCCCAACCGACTCCCAGCTTCGGCCTCTGCAAGCTGGGCACGTCTTCAGCTAATTAGGAGGGACAGCATATTTTGACAACAAAGAGGAGAACAGACATCACGCCCGGTAACTACGTCTGCATGGCCGCCGCATCCTCGCTCTTCTTTACCAGCCCTGCCTCCTGAAGCGACGGAAGCCAGAAAGCCTGCGGGACTAGCAATGGGTCAGCACCCGCACCCGATGAGATCCGCACCGGCTGCGAGCGTCCAGGCGCGCCAAGAGCGAACGAAAAGCCGACTGACCAGCTCGAACCCAGCGCTCGCCATCATCGCCTGCCTCGGGTTGAACGCCAACGCCCTGCTCGGTCCGCCAAGATGGCCCTCGAAGCTCGTCATCGGATGAAGCGTGCACTCGGGACCTGGTGCTGGTCGAGACGGGTACAGCTTGGCGAGTTCGGCTTCGGGAGGAGCTACGTCCCAGACGTGGAGGCGGCCGTCGACGGAGCCTGCACGCGAGCTAAAATCAGCCCAGGCCTGCAGATCGTGTACGAGTACGGGACGCACCTGAAACGACGTAGCGGCCGTCTGGCGTCCATCGGACCTCTTCGCTCGAGATGCCTGCAGCGGGTTCCATCGGACGGTCGTAAGGAGCGGTGATGGCGCGCTCGAGCCCAGTCGCAATCTGCTCAGGCGGACCTGCAAGCGGGAATAGTTGGTCACGAGCTGGAGGTGAAGCAAGGCGAGATAGCTCACATTCGAGACGAGCGACGACAGTTCCCTCGAACGAGTCCAGCACGTAATGCACGTCGCCCGAGGTGCCGACCAGCAGCCACTTGCCGTCGTTGCTGAAGCTAACGCTCGTGTAGATCGGCGTTCGAGGCGGGTACGTCCGTTTGCGCAGTACGGGGTCGTCGATGTGCACGCACAAGAACGGCTGCTTGTCGAACTGCGAGAGGTCGTAGAGCATAACGGTGGAACGGAGGTTGAGGACAACGGCGAAGACGGTGCCAGAGGGGTCGTAGGCGACGCAAGGGTGGCCGGCGACGTTCAGCAGGCCCTGCTCAATCGGAATGGTCAGTCGTCGCTTGGGAGGGGGTTCAGATTCCTGAACGTACCTGGGCGCTAGGTGCTCGCAGGTCCCACAGCCGCACGGTGTCGTCCGTCGCGCCGGAGAGGAAGGTATCGTCGACAGGCGACATTTGCAAGGCGGTGACGCTTTTTGGAGGACGAAAAGGTCAGCTTGACGCCGTTACGGAAGAGCGGCGACACCCACGGCTTCTTGTGGCCCTTGAAATACCGCAGGTAGTTGTTATCATGCAAGCTGAGGTACCGAATGTCGTCTGCGAAGATGTCGAGATCAGCCGGGAAAAGGACGGAAGTATATGTCCACGCCCACCGTTGCCTTTCGTACTCGCGTAAATCACCGTGCTGCTCTTGTGCGTAAAGCGTGCGAGGTGAACGCCGTACTTCTTCGAGTACAGCTGCTTCTTGTGTCTGTCGCGGAGGAAGGGGTCGGATTGCTGGTTGGCGCCTGGCCGAACCCACCGAGTTGCTCCCGCCATCGCGAGAAGGATTGACTCACTTGCCCGTCCGCACGTCGAACAGCTGCATCGTCTCGTCTTCGCCGCTCGTGATGAGCATCTCCCCCCGGTCGTCGAAACTGAGGCTGGTATAGCTCTTCCCTTGCTCGTTGTGGCTCTTGAAGACCTTGGACAGCTTCCAGCTTTTCTGTTGACCGTACGCGCGTCAGCGAACGCCGCTTCAAGCTGTTGTCGAGCAGTAGAAGCTCGCTCACCATGACCGGAGGAGTGAGGAGGACCGACGATGGCAAAGACGTGGGGGCGGCCGCCGTCGATGTGGATGCAATCGCTTCGGTCTCCATAGTTGTAGCAGAGCCTCGGACGAGCAAACGGAGCGGTGGGGACTACCTGGACGCGGCCAACATCCTGCCTCTCGCCTCGACCACTCACAACTTCTCGCTCACTGCTCGCTGGAGACTGCTTTGCTACTTCTGTTGACTCTTTCTCTGCTCGCCGGAACGGTCTGGGAGGTGCGCACGCTTTCCCGCGCTCTCCCTCACCCGCTCGAAATCTCATCAGCTCCCGCTCGCGCAGACCCGCCAAGTCGCCCAAACGATCAGGGAAACGGTCTGGCAAAGCCGCAGTCCTGCAACGCGCTCGGACGTCACGTAGATACTCCGCGCTTGGTACTATGAGGTCCTCGTCCGCTATTCGATAGCACGCCAAGATGCTCCGTGAGTGGACCCGCCGCTGTGTCTGTGACGGGCCGAGAAGGACGCCGTCAAAGAGTCTGCACCAGGGCTGACGTGCAGTCGAACGGTACGCGGCAGCAGGCTCGAGTGCTCGCGCCGACCAGCAGGGCCCTCCAGGATCAGAACTCGTCCGCGAAGGCCAAGCACCGCACGACGTATCGCACATCGACTCTGATATGGCTATCGGCAATTCTGGCGCGGACTTGAGCTTACGCACTCCTGCTGGTCGCCCGCTTCGCACGTCCCAAATGCTTCGGGGAACGCATCGCACTTCGCCCTACAGTCCTACCGATTGTCCAGCCGCTCAGCAGCGCGACGCGTCGTCAACGGCATCGCAGGCGTACACAATGGCCACGAGTTTCGCAGCGCACATTGCGGACACGCTGCCTCCGCCACCCACCCTTCCAACCGCCTCGAATGTTCCTCCTGCCAGCGCAGCTTCGCCGAACGCGTCGGAGCGGCCTCGAAAGGTTGCGCCTCCAGTAAGCCCACCCGTGCGTGCTCCGCTCCTCCAGCCGCCCGACTTGTGCCTCAAGAAGCGTGATGGCGCGTGCCTCACGATCACGCCGCCGAAGCTACAGGGCTTGCGCGTCCATCGCAAGGTCACTGCATACCGTCCTCTCACGATGGACGAGGTTGAAGGAGTGCGGCTCGACTATTCCAAACGTCGTCTGGATCTGCAGACTGATCTTTCGCTCGCCGCAGCTCGACCTGATCCCGCTCGGCGAACGATTTGACAATGGCCATGTCTTATACTCTCCGCCTCTATTCCGCTACGGATCGTCGACTTCGTGCGTTAGCACGCCCGACCTCTCCCCCTCAACTTTCGTCGATACCTCGCCCGCCCCCTGCGGATCGCCTCAGCTGTCACATCGCCCGCCCTCCGAGCCCTCTCTCCTCCTCTTTGACAGCACGCCTCTTGCGACAGGCAGTTCGGCATTCGTCCATGCTCTCGTCACAGAGCTTGCGGTTGTCATGAAGGTGTCGATCCTGGAGGAGGACCGCGCGGCGATCGAGCGGGAGGGGCGCTTTTACGAGCAGATCGGCGGAAAGCTTGACGGTGTATTGCCGAATTTCTTCGGCATGTTCAGGGGTCGTCCAAACGGGAACGACGCGGTGGCGCTCCTGCTGTCCCGCCACGGCAAAGCGCTCGAGGACTTCGAGGTTCTCTTGGCTGAGCAGAGGTTTGTCCCCTTCTCTGTCCAGCTTTCCAGCGCAGCTGGAGACGTCGCCCTCGGATGCATCTTCTCGATCTGGTAGACATGAGCTATACGCCAAACTCGTTCGCGTGCACGAGGTCGGCATCATCCACAACGACCTCGAGCCTTTCAACGTCGTCTACGACCGCAACTCGGGCGACATCCGCATCATTGACCTCTCGCGTGCAACAAGTCATGCTTGCCTCGGCCCGACCGCATGCGCCGAGCTGCAGAGGTTCAAGCGCCTGCTGTGCGTGTCGTAGAGCGCGAAGCGTCCACTCCTCGCCAAGGAACGCGCCGGTCGCTTCCTTTCTGTAGTCTCAATACTCCCTTGTGGTTCGCGCCGAATCTGTTTGCAATCTGCGGTACTTCATTGCCTCGCCAGACTCTGCGCCGCCCAATACTCCCTATGTCTCCGCTGGACCTGCCTCGCGCGCTCGCCCCACCGCTCCTCGTGCGCCTTCCTCCGCAGATCCACAACCTCGACATCCGTCCTCCCCGCAAACTTCTTCTCCTCAACCATCGTGCCCTCCAGCTCGCCCGACTCGTTCGCCTTGATCCGCACGTTCCGAAGGAAGACGAGCGCTCCGCGAGTCGCTTCTCCCGTTCTTGTATTGACGAGCGCGGCGAGAGGCGCGGCTTGCGAGCCGAAGAGCGAGACTTGCAGCGTGAGACGGGAGGGGAGGCCGACGGGTGAGGGGGAGGGGTAGTCGTGCAGGAGAAGGTGGGGCGTGTAATCGGTGATGTAGAGACTGGCGGCTTGATTCGGGGAGAGCGAGGTCAACGCGGTGTCGGAGTGGAGCTTGGTGACCTGCGGAACCGGGTGGCTCAGTTCCCTTTGTAGACGGAGAAAAGCATGACGGGCGCACCATGCCGAGCAAGTCGCAGAACTTGCCCTCCTCAATCTGCTCAATCCGTAACAACTCGCGGCCTGACCCGCCTGCGCTCGTCCGCTTCTTCAGATGGTCAGTCACGGAAGCTGCGAGCGAAGGCGGCAAGATCGCCGCGCCAGGCGGAAGCGTCGGAGCGCCCTTCGCGGCGGAAGGAGTCGACGCTTTCGCTTGGGTAGCGAAGAACCGCGCGACGCGCGCTGCGTACTGCAGCTCCTCCTCGCCAAGCTTGAGCCGCCAGCATCGATTTGAAGTTTTGGTAGCGGGTGCGATGTCGTCGCCCGAAGGAAGGGGATCTTGCGCGGGCGGTTTGGCGAGGAGCGAAGAGGCGGAGCAGAGGGCGTGCGGGATGAGGGAGAAGGAGCCGGCTAGGAGGATCGGCTTCGCAGGCGTAGAGGAGGACTTGAGCTGCGCAGCGAGGGAGTGTCAGCTAGATCGCGCGAATTAAGCGGGAAAGAGACGAACGGCGAGTTGGCGAGCGACAAAGACTTCGCCGAGGCGAGGTTCGGGCAGACCGCCCTCGCCTTTCGCGTACCACTGCACCTCAGTTGACGAGTCCAGCCGAGTCGGATCGGTGATGAGGAAGGAGCGGTACCAGTCTGCGTGAGACGAGGTCTCGGTAAGTTTCGACTCTCCGACGAGCCAACGTAGTGGCAGATGTGACTACACAAGCGCGCGCAGATCGGTACTCACCTCGTCCATCAACTCTGGGCGCCTTGCCCTCCCCAGCATCCACAATCACGCCGACAACGTTAACCCGAAGAGCTTGCAGCTTCGTGCGGTCCGTCTTCTCCACGATGTGGCCGAGCTTGTCTAAGCTTGTGTAGGTGATTTTGTCGGCCTGTGCGGGTTCAAATTCAGCCAGAGGGCAAGCGCAACTGCACGAGAAGACAGACCGGCTCGAAACCCCAGCCGAGCCTCTCTTCCCGCCGCTGACGCTTCTTCGCGCGCGCTCCTTCGTTTGGCGGACTGACTTTGGTCGTCAAGGCGGGGGTTACGGCGGAAGGTCTGGATGTTGGGAGAGGGAGAGGCGAGTCGACGTCCATCGCTTTGAGAGGGTGAGGTCGTTTTGCAGGGACAGTCGGCGCCGGCTTTGGAGTAGCGACTGCCAAGGCAAGAGTATGTAAGCTGAATGGTGCTAGAGGAGCGGTTACGCACCTTTGTACCGCAGGACCTCCTCGGTGCCGTCCTTTCGCCTGATCCAGCCCGTCAAACCCTGACTGTACCGCACCCTGACCGCCAACTCCTTCTCCGCCGCATCCGCAAGCTTCTTGCCCTTCTTCTCAATCAATTCGGCGCCCTTCGCGAGCAGAATCACGATGTCTCCCTTGCGAAACCGCCTCATGGCCTTGTCGGCCCATAGACCCTTCAGCTCGACAACAACAGCATCTCCTGCCTCGCCGCTTATCACCCCGCCCAGAGTAACCTGCCCGAGCCGAGTGTGCGGAGACCAAGGGCGTACGGAGAGGATGCTAGCCCTGTAGACGCCTTGTGGGGGCAGAGAAGATGAGTGCGCGAGCGCGGCGAGCTCGGCGAGCGAGACCGGCTGGAGCGGACGAGGTGTTACTCGATGAGGCAGCATCACTGTGGCGGTCTCAGGAGCGCGTCTTAGCCCGTGACTCCGAGTCAAAGCGAGATGTCAACGGTCAACGCGAGACGGGTGTCCGTCCTCTTCCTTTGCTGACACGTGCTCACTTGACCGTTTGACTCGCTAGACCCTGCTGAGACTCCCTGTTAGAACGCCTGACCCACCCAGCTAACTCGCACACTCGCCCGTCGCTTTCCTCTCTCCCCCTCGTCTCTCACCCGCCCGAACGGACCTCGTCGACCTTACACCGTCGCCAGCTCGACCAGCGATGACGAAGACACACTCGTTGTTCTTTTACGGGACGCTTTGCCACGGCGCAGTGCTTGCACGCGTTCTCGGACACCCGGGCGAGGGGTTGACAAGTCGCGATGCCCTGCTCCTCGACCATGTGCGCTTCCACGTCCAGCAAGAAGGTGCGGCAGCTCTGTCTTCCTTCTCTCGGAGGGCTCGAGCCGCAGCTGATCAGGCAACGCCCCCGCAGACTTCCCCGCCGTCGTCTCTTCTGCCGACGGCACCAGTGTAATGAACCGGTCGCTGTCTGAGGAGGAGTCTACCGTCCGTGGCGTGCTCGTCGAAGGGCTGAGCGACGCTGATGTAGCGCTGCTCGACGAGTTCGAGGGCGACGTGCGTTCCCGACCTTCCCCCTCGTCCTCATTTCGCTCAATGACCGTTCCTCTTCCGCAGGAATACACTCGCGCACCGTGCCCCGTCCGCCTCCTCGACTCTCCCGCCTCTTCGCCTCTCTACGCTCACACCTACCTCTGGACCGCCCCACTCTCGCGCCTCTCGCCTCAAATCTGGTCGTTCGAAGCCTTCCTCCGCGACTCTGCGCATCGCTGGGTCGGCGTCGGAGCCGAGTGGAACCCAGACTATCTCGAGGTCGACAGGAGGCGGAACATGAAAGGTGTCATCACGCCGAGGGGAGTGAGGGAGGCGGCGGGACACCTCGTCCAGGAGCAGGGGGAGCAGCTCAAGAAGGAGCTCGACAAGCTGGCGCTCGAGAATGGGAAGGAGCAAGAGAATGGCGGGGCAGTCCAGTTCGGGCGGAAGCTCGCGGAGAAGTACTGGAGGTTCGCGCCTGGATACGTCAACCTCAACCACGGTGCGTCGCAGCTGAAGTCGCTCCGCCTCTCCTCACTTTCAGCTGAATTAGTTCACTCGCAGGCTCCTACGGCGCCGCCCCCATCCCCGTCGTCGAGGCCCTCGAGCGCATCCAAGCCGAATGCGACTCTGCGCCCGACCGCTTCATGCGCCTCAACTACGAGAGCCAGCTCGTCGCTCTCCGCGCTCGCCTCGCCAAGTTCGTCGACTGCGACACCGACGACCTCGTCATGGTTACTAACGCTACCACCGGCGTTAACGAGGTGTTGAGGGGAATGACTAATGAGTGGAAGAAGGGCGACAGGCTGTTGTGCTTCTCCACGAGCATGTAGGTCCAGCTTCTCTCTGACTTCCCATTCATGCTGACGGCCTTCGGTGCAGCTATCCCGCCTGCGTGCAGACGCTGCAGTACATCGTCGACACCCACCCTCACCTCTCGCTCTCGCTCCTTAACATCCCCGTCTCCTACCCGATCCCGCACGCCGAACTCATCGCCAAGACTCGTGCGGCCATCGAAGAAGCCGAGAACGACGGGACGGGCAGGAAGGTCCGGCTTGCGCTGATCGACTCGATCTCGAGCAACCCTGGCGTCGTCGTTCCGTGGGAAGAGCTTGTCGAGCTCTTCCGCGAGAAGGACATCCTCTCGTGCGCTCGCATTTGCTGTCCCCTTCTTACAGCCACGCTGACCAATCTCTCGCAGACTCGTCGACGGCGCGCACCAAATTGGCCAGCTTCCCGTCTCGCTCAGGACTTCCCGACCCGATTTCTTCGTCTCGAATGCGCACAAATGGCTCATGGCTCACCGCTCGTCCGCCATCCTCTATGTCGACAAGAAGTGCGTCCCTGACTCACGCAAGCTGACGGTATGAGGCGCGGAAACTCACGGCTCCGATCTACCGCCGCCAGATTCCAACACCTCATCCACACCATCCCCATCGGTCACATGTATCGCTCTCGCGAACCCTCGGCTAATGGCTCTCCCGGCTGGGTAGACGAGCACGTTTGGAGCGGTACGATCGACTGGGCGCCATACCTCTCGACGACTGCCGCGCTCGTTTTCCGCCAGAATGTCCTTGGCGGAGAGGAGAGGATCAATGAGTGGTGTCATCAATTGGCGGTTGAGGGAGGAGAAGAGGTCGCGAAGGTTTTGGGAATGAGGACGATGCGGAACGCGAGGCCGGAGGAGGGAGAGTTGGTCGCCAACATGGTGAGTTGCGCGCGCGCTCGACAATCAGAGGCAGAGCTATCGTTGACTGGCTCGATGTCGTTGCTCAGGTCAATGTCGAGCTCCCGATTCCTCGCCCGTCGACCTTCTCGCCCGACGACAAACGTCTTCTCGCCGCTTTCTGGTTCAAGCGTCTCTCGGAGAACCACAACACGATCGTTCCCATCTTCACGTGCGCCCATTACTTGAGCCGACGACCTCCAGCTCTTCTTTCCTCTCGAATGCGCAAGCTAAACCCTCCTTTGGCGCAGTCACGACGACCGTTACTGGACTCGCCTCTCCGCCCAAGTGTACAACGACATGGACGACTTCCGCCACGCAGGACAGGCCGTCAAGCGCGTCTGCGAGCGTATCGTCGGCGGCGAGTTCCGAGGCGCGGATGCGAAGGAGGCGCGGGAACAGCTGACTGACGCGGAGCAGCCGTAGATAAGGGTGAGTGATTATCCAAGTGCTATGTTCAGCGTCTTTGGCGGGCGGTAGGCACGGTGCGAGGTGGACCTGTCAGCCAAGTTGAGGAGGACGGTCGAGCGGTCTTTCCGACTTCGCAGGCGCCGGTCGGAGCTTCCCCTGCCTCTGAGCTATCAGTCTTGCTTGTAGCCCAGCTGAAGGAGCAGGAAGACGTTGTCGACGAGCACCAGCGCAATCGAAGTCCCCACATCGGATCTTCTCCGCGCCGCGTCTCCCGGCCTCCGCTTTGCGCTCCTTTCCCTCCTTTCCCTCACTTACCAGCTGGCTACTCGACACAATGACTGCTTCCAACATCGAGACACGCTCCTTCATCGCTGGCGAGTTCGCCCAGACCTCGGGCGGCTCCTTCACCCTCAAGAACCCGTCAAACGGGGAGACGGTCTGCGAGGTGTCCATCGCGGGCAAGGCCGACGTCGACAGGGCTGTCGCAGCTGCTGCTGCCGCTCAGCCAGGTGCGTTGGCTCGCTTCTAACCCGTCGACTGACGAACTTCGTTGTTGACCTTCTCCTCCTCGAACAGCGTGGGCTGCTCTCCCGGCTGCCCAACGCGCTGCCTGCTTGAACAGGTGGGCGGACTTGATTGACAAGAACGTCGAGAAGATCGTCCATGTGCGTCGCCTCACCTGCTCTCAACCTCCGCGACTGCAGCCTAACTTCTCCTTCTCCAGGTCGACGCAATCTCCGTTGGCAAGCCCGTCGGCCCTCAAACGAATGAGATCGGTATCACGGCCAATCGCATCCGCTACGAGGCATCTCTCACGCTGAGCCTTGTCGGCGAATCCTCGACTTTGACGCCTGGACAGCTTGGCCTCATCCTTCGCGAGCCGTACGGTGTCGTCGCAGGTATTTGCCCGTGGTGCGTAGCTTCCTCTGTTCGCATCGGACGCGCCCTGATTTGCCGTCTCGCACAGGAACGTCCCGACCATCATGTTCGCCGGTAAGGCAGCTCCTGCCGTCGCCGCCGGAAACGCCATCATCATCAAGTCGTCCGAGAAGTCGCCGCTCAGTGTGCGTAGCGCCCACACGCATACTCCCAGCGCTCGAACTGACACAGCGGGCCCGCAGTCGCTCATCCTCGCCGGCTTGACTGTCGAGGCTGGGTTCCCGCCCGGCATCATCCAGGTCCTCTCCGGTTTGGGCGAGACCGGCGCTGCGCTCGCCGAGCACCCTGAGATTCGCAAGATCTCGTTCACCGTGAGTGTCATTTCGCTGAACTCGACTTGCGAACTCGACTTGCGCACCGGGACTGACGGAGACTTGTGCAGGGCTCGACTCGCACCGGCCGTCGCGTCGCCGAGGCTGCCGCCAAGTCGAACCTCAAGGCTGTCTCGCTCGAACTCGGCGGCAAGAGCCCGACAATCCTTTTCGAAGACGCCGACCTGGAGCAAGCCGTCCCGGCCTGCACCTTCTCGCTGCTCTGGAACAGTGGCCAGATCTGCATGGCCAACACGCGACTCTACGTTCACGAGAAGATTGCCGACAAGTTCCTCGAGATGTTCAAGGAGCACTGCGGCAACTTCAAGCAGGGCGATCCGCTCGACCCGCAGACTTTCCTAGGTCCCCAAGCGGACGAGATCCAGGGAAATATCGTCAAGTCGTACCTCGAGGCGGGCAAGAAGGAGGGCAAGATCGCGATGGGCGGCGAGGCTGTCGCGGGCAAGGTGAGGGCCTCCTGTTGCCCCTCTCGTCCGTTCTCTCGCTGACTGTCTTCCCACTCGTTTCCGCAGGGCCACTTCATTCAGCCGACCATCTATACGGACGTCTCGGAGGACGCCAAGATCAACAAGGAGGAGATCTTTGGTCCCGTCGCCGTCGTCCACCGCTTCACTGACGAACACGAAGTGGTTCGTCGTGCGAACGATTCCGAGTGTGAGTCCTGTGAGTCTGTCTGCGTCCTGAAATTTCGCTGACACGTGATGCTCCGTGCAGACGGCCTCTACGCCTCCGTCTGGACGCAAGACATCGACCGCGCCGTGCGAGTCGCTCGCAAGCTCGAAGCCGGCACCGTCGGCGTGAACGCGACGTCGCCTTCGACGGCGAACGAGCTCGTTTTCGGCGGATACAAGCAGTCTGGCTGGGCGCGCGAAGGAGGGTGTGTACAGTCCGCTTCACCCGTCTCGGGCGTGCGCTGACCTTCCCAATCCTCTGGCAGCGTCAACTCGCTCCACCTCTGGACTCAGCAGAAGTCGGTGGTCATCAAGTACAAGAGTGCGCTCTGATGACCGGAAGAACAAGACTCGGGTTATTTTTGGGGATTTGTGCGGTCTTGCTGGTCGTCTAACTTGGCTTCTCTCCGCAATGCGACACTCCGTTTCACCACTTCTCGCTCGCAGGGCAGCTTTGCTGGCGCTCTTCCTGCGTCTCATCCTGACCTCATCGCCACGCCGCACGGCGCTCAGGCCGCGCGAACCTTCATCTCATCTCCTCGTCGCGCTCGAGCGCCGTCCGTCTCTCGTCGCTCACCCGCCGTTGCTACCATCTGGACTACTTCCTGTGTCACTAAGCTGCTTCATAGCCTGTACTGCTCGCTTAAGTGGTCCAGCGAGCCTTGTTCTCCCGCGCCCGTCCTTCTCGCTCGCCGTTCCGCATTCTCGCCCTCGGTCGGTCGACACACCATGCCAGATGCTCTAGCCGGGTGAGTGCAGCCTCTCGTCGCAGATCATCAGAAGCAGCTGACGACAGAGGCTTTCGCAGACTCGGCGCAACCTTGATCGGCCTCTCCCTCACCATCTGGCTCTCCTCGACTTGCTTGCACTACACTAGCTCGTACGCTCGACGAACGCTCGACCATGGAGTTTGGAAGCTCGTGGTGCGGCGCGCCAAAGTTTACCGGGGACAGGAGAGGTGGCCTAACGAGACTTGGGCGTCGCAGATTGGCTTTCTCGCCCTCGTCAACACGGCGCACACGGCGGTCTTATGCTACGAGCTCTACGTGGAGCTCGCCCGCGACCAGCGAGGGAGCGACGTGGTGCCAGGTGGCTGGGCGTACACGGCTCACCTGGCATTCTTGTCGGCATTATGCATGGCGAGTGCACTTCGTCTTCAGCAATGCAGCTAGCGCTGACAGCCGGTGTATACGCAGATCACCCATCTCTATTTTGTCGCGAAGCTGGCAACCTTGTACGACGGACGGCCGCAGAGCATCCTGGTCGCCTCTTCCTTCCTCTTCTCCTGCATTTCCTTAGGTGCGTTCCGCTGCACTTTCTCTTCTGTGGCACACTACTGATCGCTTTGAGTGCAGGATTCGGCATCGTCTCGGCGTACAGCTCAAAGCAGTTCGACGTCTCCCTCTTCGGTTTCGATCTGCACAGCAAGTTTGGCTGGCAGCTGTTCGCCTCGAGCTTGTCAGCAATTCTTGCCGTGAGTCCCCCCGTTCTTGCTTTGTGCACCATCGGCTGATCGTCTGTCCGCAGGACACGGTCATCTCGAGCGGTATGCTCGTCCACATGCGGTCCGGCAAGTACGCTGCGCGGGAAGAGACGGTCCTCGAGGTCATCTCTCGCTACTTCCTGGAGGTGCGTTATTTCAATCGCTGTATGTGAAGCAACGAGACTCACGGATGATCTGGGCAGACCAACTTGCTCGCGACAATCGTCCGCATTCTCTCGCTTGCCTTCCTCCTCGCCTGGAACGCCGAAGGACGGGAAAGCGGAGGCTCTCTTGTACGTTTCTCCCTGCTTCACAAATCACGAATCGCGGAACCTCATTCCGCCCCGCCGCCCAGGCTCTTTCCTTCGTTCTGCCCGGACTGTATCTCCTTTCAATGCTCGCCTCTCTTGACGGTGCGTTCCGCAAGACAGCAGTACGCATGGACTACTGCTGATATCTCCTCCCCACTGCAGCAGTCGAGGATGCCGCTCAAGCCGGGCTTTCTCGAACCATGAAGCACGCTTCGGTGCGCTCCTTGATCCTCCTTCCGCCCATCTTGATTGTCGACCTGCCCGCTAACTTTGTGTGCCGGCTGCAGAGCCTGTCCGATATGTTCAAAGGCGTCCCGCTGAACCGGATGGACAGCCCCGCCACTCGCGAGCGCTACCTCCCGTCGCAAATCTCCGCAACTCCCATCGCAGACCGCTTCGCTGGCGGAGCGACGAGCTCTTCAGACCAACGGAGCTGGCTTAGACGAGTGAGCAGCGAGCCCGTTGCAGGGAAACGGAATCGCGTTGACCTTCCCATCCTCGCACCAGACGTTACAACCCGCCTCGACACCGCTTCAGCCAGGATCCGTTCCTCTTCCGACGAGTCAAGAAACGACCGCGCTTCCAAAGCACGCCAGCCGACCTGTCACTGCCTTCTCCGTATCCGACTACGGCGACTACCTCGGCTTGGAGGGCGAGACGAGCGAGAAGAAGGGTCGTCCCGTCGGCTTGGTCAGCTCTCCTCTCGCCAACGGCGCTATCAGTACGTCGGTGGACGTTCCCGCGCAGACGCCGACTCCGCGGCGAGCGACTTTCGCGCTGGAGGACGAAGGCAAACGAGGGAATCCTGGAACTCCTACCGGCGGCACTGTCGTCGAGACGACGGCGTTCGCGTTGGGACGCAAGCCTGTTGCGTATGGCTATCTGTAGGCGCGCAATGTGGGCTGTATGGAGTGGCTTGACTTGACGAAGCGAAGTGACTTTGCCTGTCAGCCTCGCACTCGCCTTTTCTCCCTCTCTGTCCGCCATACGCCTTTCCGCAACGTCCCTTCAGTCGCTGTCGACGACGTCGACGACGACTTCCTCGCCGTCCGCTGCGGTCCGTCGGAAAGTGTCCGGTGAGACTTTCCTGGCTCCCCGCTCTTCTCCTCGTCGCTATCTTCCCCGCCGCTTGAGCGTTTCCCGCTGCATTATGGCTGCGAGCGCTCTTCCTACAAAGCTGCCACCTCAGCCCAGCTCGTCGCAGCCGTCTCCACCACCTTTCGGCTGCTCTTCGCCTCCACACGCGGGTTTCTTTGAGGACCGGATGAATCGTCGCGACACTCGGGCGGGTCAGGCCGAAGTGGACACACATTCAGGATGGCCTGCGAGCGACCAAGCAACATCCGAGGAGGACCGGGCAGTCGAGCGGGTCGAGCGAGCGTCGTCAGATAGGCGGACCGGAGATGAAGCAAGGGTCGTGGATCTGGGTATCGGGTGCAGCACAGGGCACGGCCATGGACGACAGAACCACTCAAGCGGTACGCAGGCTCCCCTGCGAAACGTACGAAGCGCTTCGAGCTAACCTCGACCTCTTCCCGCAGAACCGCTCCCGTCGCTTCTCTCGCACATCCCCGCCGACTCGTCCTTCGCCGCTCCTTTCTTACCGTCGACTTCTGCTTCCCTTCCTATCTACCTCGATCGTACCATGTCCCGCTCCATCCGCTACCAACTCGCTCCCTGCTCCTGCGGAACGAAACGTGCCTCCTCCGCCGCCGTTCCGCATCCTCACGTCCCCGATCCAACGAACACGAAGAAGCGCAAAGTGTGCCACTCGCACTTCCGTTCCGAAGCGCTTTTCGCCGGTCCACCATCTCCGACAAAACGAACTCGCGCTCGCTCGACGTCGGCCTCGACTTGGTGGCCCTCTGTCTCGCTCTCGCATGGAGAAGGACGCGAGAGCCGTTTTGCGCCGAGCGAGGAAGTGTGGACTGGTAGTGGCGCAGGATGGACGAACCAGCTCGCGCAGCGTTTCTCGTCGCTCAAGCTCAGGTCGGGCTCGTCCTCATCGAAGCGGGCGCGGCAGGACCGCAGTCGCAGTCGGAGCAGGAGTCGCGGTCGTGGTAGGGAGCCGACAACGACAGTGCGAGACCGGCCGAGGGACGTTCGACCGAGAATGCCAGGACGAGCCGCTTCCTCCCCGTCGGTCTTTGGCGTCTCGGGACTCAAGACCCCTTACACTGGGCCTCCTACGCCGTCGACAACGCCTGATCTCGAAGGACCGGCGCTGAAGAAGATCTTGCTCGCGAACTTGAGGACGAGGATGGAAAATGGAGGGTCGGGAAGCAAGGCTGCCGAAGTTGGCTTGCGGTTCAAGAAGTGGGTTCGTTCCAATGCGGTCTTTACTGGTGTCTGACGATTTATGTCCGCGCAGGTTCGCTGTCTGGAACGCCTGGAACAGACGCCCGCAGGAACCGCTCGACGAAGCGGACAACCCAGCGACAGAGCCGATACCCAAAGCTCACGATGCAGACGACCCAGCACTGCTCAACAATGACGACCACGAAGCGGACAACTTCGACCCGGTCGACGTTGACCTCGCGCTGCCAGACCCGCCCGCAGAACTCGTCCAGGAGGAGCCGACAGATCTCCTCCTCGCTTCGGACGAGGCCAGCGTCGTCTTCGACTCATCTCACAACGACGTCGAAGCGCAAGAACCGACTATTTCACCTCCGCTGGGACGACCTAGCCTTCGGCGCACAACTTCGCTTCCAAACATCCCCCTCGGCGAGCAATCCGATGCGAACGACTCGCGCTCGTCGTCGGCCAACAAATACACGTACCGACAAGAGAAGGACCAGCGGAGAAGGAGCATGTGGGAGGCGAGCGGATGGACTTTCGTGTCGTGTGAAGGTTGAGAACGGCTTCCGGGCACTGGTCTCCTCTTCCTCTGGTCGTCCGGTTCCGTAGAGTCGATTGCAAGGACCATTGGGAGCCATAGATGATTGCAGAAAGTAGCACAGCGAGTTGTACGCCCTTTGCCTCTCGTCGGTCGCTCCACCTTGCCCTCTCCGCTTCACTCGTCTACACCGCTTCGCACCTGCACCCGCTCAAACAGCCTCTCCCCGCTCTTCAGACCCTCCCACTACTCCTGCTACCCACCGCGACCGCCCCACGACCATGCAGATCAAGATCAAGGTGCGTCTCGTTCGCTCACGAACAGGCCCTCTCGAGCCCGATGTCAACGACAGAGCTGACCCGCCGCTTGGCTCGTTGCAGACTTTGACTGGCAAGGAGGTCAGTCTGCCGCGCCGCGACCCCGCCGAGCGCCTGTGTCGACCGCTGGAGGTGCCGTCATGCTGACCCTCTCCACTCGCTTTCATCTCCCCTCGCTCGCTCGGATGCGCTGTGCGGCTGGCTGTGCGGCTCTCGGATGCTGGCGGGCAGATTGAGCTGGACATCGAGCCCACACACACGGTGCGTCCAGCGACCTTACCCTCCACTGCCCCCCTGGCTCACCTTGCCAGAGGGAACGATGGTATGGGCTCGGGAGTGTTGAGGCGAACGCTGACGGAGGGTCTCTCACACAGGCGCAAAAGATCAAGGAGCAGCTGGAGGAGAAGGAGGGCATCCCTCCCGCACAGCAACGGCTCATCTTCCTCGGAAAGGCCATGTGCGTAGCGGTTCGCCTGTCTATCCTGCTCGGATATCACCATGCTGTTTGGAGCGGCAGCGAGCCGTGCATCTCGCTGACGTCCGAATTGTTGCAACAGGCCCGACGAGAAGACTGCGCAAGAACTCAAGATCGAAGCCGGCTCGACTCTCCACCTCATCCTCAGTCTCCGAGGCGGTCGCTGCTAGTTGACGGGCGGGTCAGGCGAGAAGCGGGCCTGTCGGCGAGGGACATACGGCTTGTGAAGGGAGAGAGAGGGCTTCGGAGCGGCGAGACGGGGCTTCCTGCATTTCCTACACGCTTTCGACTCTTCCGAGCATCGTCTTGAGTCTTACCGGAGCTGTTGAAGCGATTCAGAGCTAGTATACGCTGCTTCACGCTCTTTGGCCTCGAGGAGGAGCACCACTCGACCACTTAGCTTCTTCCACCTCGCTCACACAATCGTTTCGAGCGGAGACGGCTAGGATCAACTTGCTACACCTCTGAGGGTCCACCAAGCTCGCTCTCCGCTCGCCCCTCGACGGCCTCACTCCTCCCCGCCTCATCGTCATTGCCCAAGTCTGCCGACTCTCTCGCCTCGTCGAAGCATCCGGGAGGCGATGGAGGATGCTCAGCCGCGCCTCAGAGGGATGAAGATCGACGACAGCAGTACAGTCAGAAGCGGCGTCTCGTCAGAGTCGGGCAACGACTTCGCCGACTCGCCTCATCCCCCTCCGCTCCCTCGCACGCCCGCGCCTCTCGCCTACGTCCTGATTCGATGGCTCTTCCGCTTTGTCCTGGGCGTGTTCTACTCGACTGTCGTCGTCGAAGGCGCCGAGAATATCCCTGAGGATGGAGTACCTTGGTGCGCTCGCTTCCTTCCCTTCGAACGGGCGAGAATCCCGTGCTCACCTCCTCGTCACCCGCACAGCATGCTCACAGCAAACCACTGCAACTCGCTCACCGACGCCCTCCTCCTCGTCACGACCGTCCCCTCTTCGCGCCGATCCTTCCTCCGCCTCACCGCAAAAGACACCCAATTCGGCCGCGGGACGTTCACTTCCTGGCTCATCGAGTCCGCCGGTACTCTTCCCATCAAGCGGCCGAAGGACCACAAGGGCGAGAAGGTGGATAACTCGGTTGTCTTTGCGACGCTGATTCGGGCGCTCGAGAAGGGTCATATGACGGTGCTGTTTCCTGAGGGGATGTCGAGGTATTGGCCGCAGATTGCGGAGTTGAAGCAGGGTGTCAGCAGGATTGTGGCGGACACGTTGACGAGGCAGAAGGACAACCCGAAGTTCGAGTTGGCGATTCAGACGGCGTCGATTACCTATCTCCACCGAGTACGTGCTCTCGCTCTCTCTGCCGAAAGCCGAGGACGACTAACGCCCGCTCGCCCGCAGAACCTCTTCCGCAGCGACGTCCTCGTCACCTTCCACAAACCAATCTACGTCTCCGCCCTCACCCACCCCGACCTGATCGCCCCCTCCCTTCCCACCACCCCCTCTCCCACCCCCTCCGCCCACGAGCGCGCGATCCGCTCTCTAACCGCTACGATCGGCACCTCCATCCGCTCGGGGATCCTCGACGCCCCCTCCTGGTCCGTCATCCGTCTTGCGAATACCGCAAGGCGGTTGTATGCTCCGTTGGGGACAAAGTTGAGCCTGGGCGATCATGTGAGGTTGACGCAGAGGTTTGTGGATGCGTTGATGGGGAAGAGGGCGGAGAGGACTTGGGATGAGATCGCTGGGGTACAGGGTGGAGAGGCGGCGAGTGGGTTGAAGGGTGCGCCGGCCGAGAAGAAGAGGGAGAGGGAGACGAGGCCGGATGTGAAGAGGATGTTGACGGAGGAAGTGCTCAAGACGCCGCTGGTCGAGAAGGGTAAGAAGGACGGATTGCAGGCCGGGTACTTCGCGGTTGCCTCACCACCTTCGTCCGTCAAGAACGGGGACGGAGCGCGGACGGAAGACGAGGCAGACGACGAGGAGCTTGAGCGGCTGAGGAGGGACCTTAAGACTTATCAGGTGCCCGGGAATCGACTCAGGTTCTTCTCGAGCCTTTTCGCTGACGTACTTTCTCGCGCAGGACCTGCTATACTTACACGGCATCAAAGGTCCCTCCTCTCCCTCTCTCCCTTCCTCACTCTCACTAACCCACCTCCCTGCATAGACGACCGCATCCGCAACCCGCGCCTTCTCCGGCGCCGAACCCTCCTCAAACGCCTGCTCGTCCGCCTAGTCGGTTCAATCTGTCTCTTCACCATCTCGATACCGGGGTTGTGTCTGTGGTTGCCGATCTTGTGGATGGCGAAGAGGGAGGCAGATAAGTTGGTTCGGAAGGGGCCGGTGTTTGAGTGAGTTCCGGCCGTTTCAGTCGAGCACGTGGAGTTGTGGCGGAAGGGCCGCTGATGATGGGATCTCCTCCGCTGTGCAGTACCTACGACGAGGTGCGCTCCGCCATCCTGCTCCCTCGCTCCCCATCTCCGGCGCTGACTCAGCCCCTTCTTGCGCCCAGATCGCCCAAATCAAACTCACCTACGGCCTCCTGACCGGTCTCGCGGTCCTGACCCTCTCCTCACTCCTCACATTCCCCTTCCTCCCCTTCCTCAACCTCCCCTTCCTCCTCGGGCTAATGTGGCTCACCCTCCGGTTCCTCGAAGACCTCTTCTCTTCTCTCCGGGCACTGCTCGCGCTCGCGAGGCTGTTGATGCTCGGAAAACGCCAACTCGTTCTCCTACGCTCGATGCGAGCGGACCTCCACTCCCGCGTCGAACAACTCGCAGTCGAACGCGCGGGGTTGCCACGTGACGCAGGGGTGTTTGTGAGGGAGAGGGAGAGGAGGTGGAAGAGGATGGGGTTGGGAGCGGTCGAGGGAGGACTGAGGAAGTGGCTTGGGTTCGCGGCGTTTTTCGATCCGAGGAGGAGGAGGAAGAAAGGTGCGTCCGACATCGTCTTTCGAGTACTGTGCGTACTGATGACAGCGCGCGTAGACTGGAACGAGGCGCTCAAGCTGTTTGACCAGACCGAATTTCAGGAGGACGACGTCCTTCCCCCGGGCGTCTCTTGACCGTAGACGGCGGTGTAACGGGGGTCTTCTTATGGCACGGAATCGGGACAGCAAAAGGCAGATCGTCCCAAGTCAACGCAAAGAGGGGAAAAGATATCGATTGCGACGGAGTTGACGGGCGGGGAGAGCAATGAGCGAACAACTCTCTGCTGCATCGCACAGTCCTCCGCACCTCGAGAAGCAAGAGTAGTCAAGCATGCTTCGTGCCTCAGGATCGTTCGCCCGCTCGCTCGCCGCCTCGTCGCGCGCCTCTGCCCGCCTCACCAACAGCGCCGCCTCCCTCGCTCACTCGTCGTCGTCGCCCGCTCACCGCCTCGGCTCGACCAGCGCGGCGTTCTCAACTGCAGCGAGTCAGGCAGGAGGGGTGTCTATCGCGCGGCACTACAGGGCTGAGGGAGCTGTGACGGGTGTTGTCCGAGGAGAGGGGCGGCGGATGGCGAGTTCGACGACAGGTGGAGGGGTGCAGTCTGCGTACGACAACCTCCGCCCTGCGCCTGGTGAGTCTATAGTCTAGTGACTGGATAGTCGAGGAGATAGTAAGAGGGTGGATTAGGGGGAGAAGGGGGGCGGAGAGAGCGCGTGGGACCCGGATGAACTCGCCCGCGCTCTTTCGCCTCGCTCTCCTCCTCACTCTCGTACTCACGCGCACTGGGAACTACTGCAGACATGGCCATCTCTCCAGAGCAGCGCATCAAGGTCCAGAACCCCATCGTCGAGGTACGCCTCTCCCTCTCTCACCGGAGCACGACACGGAGGCAACCCCACCTCGTTGCACCCGCGCTCACCTCAGCCCAACCCGCACGCGCTGACATGGGACACCTGCAATCAGATGGACGGAGACGAGATGACCCGCATCATGTGCGTGCAGCCCGTCCCTCTAACCCGCTGCGTCGCGGCTGGCCGGCGTACAAACTGCCGCGGCTAACGCCTGCCGCTCCGATCGCTCACTCACGGCTCCGGGATGGCACTCTTTGACAGCTGGCACAAGATCAAGAAGGACCTCATCCTCCCCTTCCTCGACGTCGACATCAAGTACTACGACCTCGGACTCGAGTACCGCGACCAGACCGACGATCAGGTCACGGTCGACGCCGCCGAGGCCATCCTCAAGTACGGCGTCGGCGTCAAGGTGCGTGCGTCGCTCGCTCCTGCTCGTACGAGTACTAACGAGTGCGTCGCAGTGCGCGACGATCACCCCGGATGAGGCCCGCGTCGAGGAGTTCAAGCTCAAGAAGATGTGGAAGGTGCGTCCGGTCAACCTCGCCCAGTCTCTCTCCGCACGCACGACGACTGACACTCTCGCACTGACGCGCAGTCCCCGAACGGCACGATCCGCAACATTCTCGGCGGCACCGTCTTCCGCGAGCCGATCATCGTCCAAAAGGTTCCCAAGGCCGTCCCCGGCTGGACCAAGCCCATCATCGTCGGCCGCCACGCGTTCGGTGACCAGTACCGCTCGACCGACATTGTCGTCCCCGAGGCGGGCAAGCTCGAGCTCGTCTACACGCCGGACGACAAGTCGAAGCAGCCCACCAACCTCGAGGTGTTCCACTTCAAGGGCCCGGGAGTCGGACTCGCCATGTACAACACGAAGCAGAGCATCACCGACTTTGCGCAGAGCTCGTTCAAGCTCGCGATTGAGAAGAAGTTGCCGTTGTACATGTCGACCAAGAACACGATCCTCAAGGGCTACGACGGTCAGTGGAAAGACACGTTCCAGCAGATCTACGACACCCAGTACAAGGCCAAGTTCGAGGAGCTCGGCATCTGGTACGAGCACCGCCTGATCGACGACGTTTGTCCCGCATCTCACTCTCTCCTTCCTCGTCTCGTGCTGACGCACTCGGTCCGCACAGATGGTCGCCCAGATGATCAAGTCCTCGGGCGGGTACATCATGGCCCTCAAGAACTACGACGGCGACGTGCAGTCGGACGTGGTCGCTCAGGGCTTCGGCTCGCTCGGCCTCATGTCTTCGGAACTCGTCACGCCCGACGGCAAGATCATCGAGTCGGAGGCCGCGCACGGGACCGTCACGCGCCACTACCGCGAGCACCAGAAGGGCAACGAGACCTCGACGAACAGTATCGCTTCGATCTACGCGTGGACTCGCGGGTTGAAGTTTGCGGGCAAGCGGGATGGGAACGAGCGCCTGGTGCAGTTTGCGAACGACATGGAGCAGGCGTGTGTGGATGCGGTCGACATTGACGGGGTCATGACCAAGGGTGCGTTGGCGACGTTCTCCAGGTCGAGTGGGGACTGACGGGACTTGCGGACGCAGATTTGGCGCTGAGCATCCACGGCAAGAACATGAAGCGGGAACATTACGTTTTGACGCTTGAGTACCTTGACCACATTGCGTAAGTCTAAGGCCCTCTCACAGACTCTGCGACTCCCAAGTCCCGCCTCGCGAACCTTCGGACTGACCCTCTCCATCCCTCTCTCCCTCTTTCCCTCCTTCCGCCTCGGACGAACACAGCGCCAAGGTCACCGAAAAGTTCCTCGCCAACGCTCCCAAGCTCTAGACGCACGCCATCCTTGCACACAAACCTCGCGCATCTCGGTTCTCGGTCCTCTCATATTCGCTCCTCCGCTCCCTCCGTATCTCTCTCGCAGGAATATATTGCAGTTGTTCTCACCCGTTGTCTTTACGTGCCTGCTCAGCAGCAAAAGCGAGAGTTTGTGTGCGCGAGTGACTTCTCGCTCTTGACCTTCGACGACTTCCTGCGCTTCGCACCCGCTCGCTTCCTTTGCTATGGAGACGCCCGACTCGCTCTTCTCGGGTCCACCGACGCCGTCTGCTGCCACGACGGGCTCGCCAGCGCCCGAAGACGGTCCTCCTCCCTCAACCTCGTCGAAACCGATGGCAGCTCCAGCGTTCGTTCCCCGCGCTGTGGGCAAGCGACGAGCACCCGCAGCGAAATCTACCTCTGCAGCGACTCTCGCAAGCCAGTCCATCGGCGCCTCGAAGCCCGCCGTCTCTTCCAGCGGCTCCTCCCTCCCCACCTCTCGACCGATTCCCACCGCCTCAACCAGCACACCTTCGGATGCCAGGCCGCCGAAGCTGTCGCGAGAAGAGCAGGACCGGCTCGAGGCGATCTTGTGCGCGGTCGAGGCGGCGCTGTCGGATTGGGGGATGAGCGCTCATCGAGCGGACGGCGTGTTGGACAAGTTCAGGGAGGCGAAGGAGGCTGGACGGGAAGGCCGTACGTTCGCTTTCCTCTACTGACTCCGCCAAGACTCACGGAGGCCAGAATCATCGACTGACCGGGTTCTCGCTCACTCTGCTCCACCTTCTGCCTCCGACAGTCATTCACGTCTCGCAGATTCTCACCTTCCCGCCTGTCCGTGCGCTCTCGAATACGCTGATGGACGTCCAGCGAGCCGTCAAGCTGCGAGACTCGCACATCATCAAGGTGCGTGCGCACACCCGCTTCTTCAGATCGGCTTCTTTCTCGGAAGAGGCCCAATGTGCTGAGACGCGATGGAGCGCTCTCGCAGGTCGACGACAGTGGCTTCCAGGTCGGCCGGAAGGAGCAGCCTGATGTCGACAGGCTGGCAGCGATGGAGCCGGCAGACTGGGACGAGATGATCATCTACCTTGTGCGTTCGTCTGTCGCTATGGGCGCCTTTTGACGATGCTCACGTACGGCTGCTCCTCTCGTCCGCAGGAAAACATCCCGCTCACCCTCGCCAATACCAACGACCGATCCGCCTCGCTTTTCCTCTCTTCCGCACTCGCAACGCCCGTCCAGCGCCTTCTTCTCCCGCCTCTCTTCGACCCGAACGACCCACCAGATCTGAACGAAGATACGGACGTGCAGACACAAGAGCAAGCTTTCGCCCAGGCCCGTGCAGCAGCCGCAGGGAACCTCAAGAAGCCGCCTCGACCTCTGCCAAAGAGCGGAGGGCCGTTCAAGGGCTTTGCATTTGCTGTGCTGAGGAGCGAGGAAGAGGTCGAGCGGGTGCTGCGAGAGTTCCCCTGGGACCGGAAGGGAGGGGGTCGAACGGAAGACGCTGACGGAGACGAGGCGAATGACGAGAAGGAAGGCGAGGAGGACGAGGCGATGGTGAATGGAGATCCTGAAAAGGCGGAGGATGCGGCTGAAGCGGCGCCGAAGCAGTACAAGAAGAAGGGCAAGAAGGAGAAGTTGTCGCCGACGGAGATCGCGAGACGAAGCGGGACGCGGGCGCTGAGCTAGTGAGTCCGGCGATTCCTTCCACGCTTTTTGACCTGCTGACAGTCCGTCACGCGCAGTACCCGATGGCTCGAGCTGAAGAAGGAATACCTCGCGTACCGACGCACGCTCGAGACGCTTCTCGAAGCGCAAGCGTCCGGCGAGCTCAGCCAGCTTCGATACCCACGAGCTCCCCGCGACATCCCACCACACCTCCAGCAGTCTCGCGAACCGAATCGGCCGGATCCGCCTAGTCGACCGCAGGGTCCCTCGCCTGCTGGTTCCCGCGGGACTAAGCGTGCCCCTTCACCTCCTTCTTCATCTTTCGACACTCCTTCGAACTATACCAAGCGCTCGAAGCGGGCGTCATCGCCGTCAGCAGTCCGCACGCCCTCGCCGTCTCTCGACCTCGAGTCTGACGCAGCACTCGACATCGAGGGCGCTTATCCCGAAGGCGTCGTGTTGTGGATCCGCAACGTGCATGAGAAGAGCAACAAGAACTCGCTCAAGGCACTTTTTGGAGGCTTGCTCGAGCAGTTGCAGGAGGGCAGTGGGAAAGGGATCGAGTTTGTCGATTTTGAGAAGGGGCTGGATACGGTGCGCTTCCGCCCTACACCTTCGCTACGGGCTGCATGCTGATTGTTGTTCTCTCCTTGCAGTGCCACGTACGATGCTCGAACGCCCAGCTCGCCTCCCTCCTGCACGACCACCTCGTCTCCCTTCCCTCGCTCCATCTCTCTCCGCAAGTCCTCACCCCGGTCGGCACGCTCTCGCCGAAATCTCTCGCCGCAGCCGAGAACGACTCGCGACGACCGCTTATGTCTGAGCTGCTGAACGGCGAGCGGGAACGGCGATACTGGTCGAATGTGCCCGAGTCGACAAGGCGGAACGCGCGAAAGGCCGCGGGTGGAAGAGTGGGCTTGTTGAAGGAGCCGAAGGACCGCGTCGGTGCTGGAACGACGGGGAAGAGGAGGAACGGCGACGAGGAGGACGGGCGGACAGGAGGAGGTCAGCCGAAGAAGCGCAAACGACCGTCGCGGCTGTGATACCGTTTACAGTACTGCATTTCACGCCCATTGCATCCTTACTCGCGCCCTCTGCCCGAGTTGTGTCCCCTTCACACTCGCCCCCAAGTTGCCCCCAAGTCCCTCTCCGTCCTCGCTTGTACCGCTCACGCGCTCAAAGGCTTCGGCACCGCTAGATCAGCTTGTTTCTGCCGCCAAGCGCGCCCCAGACACCGCCTACACCGCGCTGCGAAACCGTTCGCGCTTCCCTCCGCATCCGACGAACGACCGAGCCCACCTCGACTCTTCGCAGTCTAACGCACACGATGCCTGCTGCGCGTTTCTATCGCTTTGCTTCGGTCTTCCTGGCAGCTGCCGTCGCAGTCACGGCCCAGCTGGAGACGGTCGTCGACGCGATGTGAGTTCGGTCGTTCGAGGCGTGGTTCGTTGGCAACGACGGGGACACGGGGCGGGCGTAGAGCAGTGCGCGGATGTGAGGGAGTACGTTGGTCCGGCCGCATGCATTTGTGGCGCTGCCTGGGCGTCCGCACTCGCGACCAGGCGACTTGGATGGATCCTGCTGTTCAACACCGTTCCGACTTTCTCGCTAGAGGGAGTTCATACTGACAGGATCTCGTCCTGTGCAACAGCTCGGGCAACACCGTCGTCGTCAGCATCGTGACAGACGCGGCGGGAGACCCCCTCCAGACCCTCATCCTCTCGTTCGTGACGGACCCCGCGGCAGCAGTGGCAGACACGGTGACTGCAACGACTACTTCATCGACTACGACAGCAGCGGCAGTCAACAATCCTGGGGCGGGAGGAGTGCAGGGAGTTGGGCAGCCTGCGAATGGTGCGCCCTTTCGCGAAGTCTGCTCAGCGAGAGGTTATCACTTCCTAATCCGTCCTCTACGCAGTCTTGACGCCTGCAGCGACTTGTACGACTGAAGGGTGCCCGCCCATGCCCAGTGCGTTCCTTCTCGTCTTTCCGCCTCGAAGCTGGTTCTGACGGTTCCGACTTCTCCTTTCTTCACCCTCCTTCTGCCTCAAACAGCCACGTACACTCAGAACGGCGCCATCGTAACCTGGTATGCGACCACGCCCGCAACGCCTATCCCTACTTGGACGTCCAGCGGTCAGATCGAGAGTGCGGCGAAGTGTGAGTCTCCCTTCCCTCAATACGTTCTGGGCGCGAGTGCCTATGTTTGCCCGTCGAGGGCTTACGGTCGGTCTGTTAGAGACTGACAGAGACTAATTAACCCGCTCCTACAGACATCTCCACCGTCTCGAGCGGACAAGGGGGGCGTGCCATCTCGGGCGCCGGCTCTCGCTTCTCGTCCTTCCCGATCGGCACAACAGGCGACTGGGGCATCATGTTCGGCGCGGCTGTCATTGGAGGACTCGTTGGAGCTGTGGCGGTCCTCTGAGCGGAGTAGGGCGGGATTGCGTGCGACAGTCGGACGGGTGTTCTCGCTCGGCGGTCGTCTTCCATCATTTTTCACGGTCTCTCGGGTCTCTGTTGTATCTCCCTCTCGCATGGCTTTTCTCTCAGCTGTCGTTATGCTCGCTCCTTTACCATTTCCCCCTCCTCTTCCTTCTGCAGCAGTTCTCGTTAATCTCGCTCGGCTCAGCCTGCATCTACAGACACTTGATACCCCTATACTGACTGGATCGAACCGAGCAGCAGCCGCCTTTGGCTTTCCTGCGGAGCCTGACCGAGGTTGCGCAGCCTGCGGCGGACTGCGCTTTCACTCTCCTCTGCGGCTCGCCTCGCTTTGCTCCTTCCTTCCTTCGCCGACCTGCCTGCGACAGAGCTTGACCGCTGCCAGCATCGACCTTGAGGACGGCCAGGAGTCGGCTGGCACGACAAGCGCTGGAATCTCTGGATGAACGTCTTCCCCTCGCGACGGGTACGCCTCCCAGCGAGCCTCTACAGCCTCCTTCTGGTCTGTACTTTGCTGCCAGGAGTCGGGGCGCAAAACTCGAGCGTTACGACCATCTACAGTGAGTTCCGCCATCCGCCCTTCGCAATTCCAGGTGGATCCTGCCGTATTCCGCTGACCCATCAACTCGCTCTTTTGGCAGCAACTTACACCGACAACGGCTGTGTCGAGACGTGGTACGCCTCGACTCCGGCAACACCTACGCCGACTTGGTCGAGTATGGGCGGAGTGGAAGCGGCGACGTCCTGTACGTCCGCTGCACCTGCTGTCTCCTCTCCATCTCGAACTTTGATGGCGTCTTCCAATGCAGACTTCTCAAACCTCGAAGCGTATTCGGCGACGGCTGCAGCGACGAGCGACGCAACGTCTCGCGGTGGGTCTCGCCATCCGCCCTCTCTCGCCTGCCTTGCGACCTGCGTGGTCACTGTGGCGGCAGCTTTCGTCGTTGCGACACTGCAACAAGGCTGAGTTCGCGCGACGACAACAGCGACTTCCTCGTCGGCTCCTCCCCTTCCCTCTTCCGCCTTCTCGCGACGACGTCGACCTGAGCAAACCGTCTTTCCTCCTGCGTACCGCCAATCACCCTTATCGCAACGCGCAATCAGCAACGCACAACAGCTCGTCCAGCCAACGCAGCAGCACCCTCAACGTCATTCGAACTTAGCGCGAGATTCGCAATGCGACGGGGACGACCGTTGGAGAGGGAACGTCCCTCTTTTCTGCGTTGCTGCGTTCCGACGTTCGTTCTCGCTTTGTGGAGCAAGCAATCGACGACCTCTCGATGATGCGGTGCTGGCTGCAGACGAGGCGGACGCGAACGGGTCTTCCTCCGCTTCCTCACTTCCTCTCGTCCGTCTAACGGTTCCTCGCGACATCCTGCCTTGCTGTTTCGCCCGCTAGATCCCGTCTTCGACGTTTCGAGCCTGCGCCATGTCTCCCCAACGAACCTTCTCGCTCGTATGGACGGCAACTTTCGCCCTCCTCCTTCTGGGCTTCGCAACAAGCGGAGTGAACGCGCAGGGCTTGACAACTCTGACACAGGAGGACAAGTCCGTTCATTCGACGTTTCTCGCGCTTTTCAACTTCCGCTGACACGCTCCCTCATGTTTGCAGTGGCCAAGTCGTGACAACCTCGATTCCAGCCAGTTCGTCGTGCCCTCTTAGCTCGTCACCTGGCTCGCTTGGACGCTGACGCTCCGTCACTCTGCAGCTGTCTACACGACAGAGAACCAGGTCTTCACATGGCAGCCGACAACGCCTCCCACTCCTACACCTTCAATCGTCTCTCGTGGCTCCGTCCTCAACGTTCAAGACTGTGCGTCCCAAACTGCTTCTCTTCGCGAGACGGAGCTGACTTTGCATTGTCATCAGACATCTCCACGGTCTCGCACGCGACAGGCATGCCCAGTTCAGCGAGTCGACGAGGAGGAGTTCCGCAAGATTTGGTCGGGACAACGGCGGCGGCGGTGGTAGCAGCGTGCGCAGGATGGGCAATGCTGCTATGAGCCGAGACGATGGCGGAGGAGATTGTACATAGACTCGGGGAGATAGACAGGCGTAACGTCCGCTGGCCGGAATAGACAGACACTCGCTCGCATCAGCATACCGTCTCAACGCAAATGCCTTTGAGACGACAACATGGCAATTGAATAGCAGTGTGAGAGGAATGCGGAAACATACGAGGCGACGAGAACTAGACAAATACAACCGCAGAACAGAGACGCGATATCGCAGGGTGCCGCTGAGGACACCTCTCTAAGCTTCTGCCGTTGCCGCTTCTTCCTCCTGGACCGCCTTCGCCTTACCCTTGCCCTTCGGGTCGGACTTCGACTGCTCCTTGACGGTGTTCTCCTTCTCGCCTTCGCTGCCGGACGAGCCCGTCGCCTTCGTCGCGTCGTTCGAGATAGCAGCATCGGCTGAAGCGGTAGCCTTCGCCTTCTTGCGCTTCTTCATCATGGCTGCAGTAGCGGATGCCCAAGGTCAGCGAGACGAGATTGAAAGCGCGAGACGAGCGTCAACGCACCAGCCTTGACAGCGTCCTTGACTCCGCTCACAATCTCCCTACTCTCCTCGACATAGTGCGCATCCAGCTTGCGCTTATTCCCGCCTCCTCCGCCTCCGCCAGTCGATGGCGCACTTCCCGATCCGCTCGCCTCGACTGCTCCGGACTGCGCGGCATCTACGCCCGCTTGCCGCTCGAGACGCTTGATCTCGGCGTTCAGCTCGTCGAGCTTTTGCTGCTTGACGAGGGCGGCGGCGGCGAGGCGGTCGGGTTCGGATTCGAGGAGTTTGGCGAGCCTGCGCAGACGAGAGAGTAAGTCACCCTCTTCTCGACTGCACTCTACACGCATATCAAGCTCAAGTGCATCTCACGCTGAGTGCCGTCCACGACAGCAGCAAGGAATGCGGACTCACTTCTGCGCCTCCTTGATCGTACTCAGCCTCCGCCCGTCAAGGCTGCGGCACGAGTCGGTGTTCTGCGCCTTGTTGCTGCTCATCCGGCCACCCTGCGCCCTCAGCTGACTTGCGAATCCTCCCTTGCCACCAGGCAGCCTAACTCCCAGGCGGAGAGTCACGAATCCACCTTCATCTGTCCGCACTCCGGCGAGACTCGAGACAGGTACGGTCGACGACAGCCGTGGGAGCGACCGTCCACTGGCGTATGAGAGGCGCTGCTGCGATGTCGGGCAGTACTCGTCGAGGAGAGATGGCAGCGAGGCGAGGGGTGTCGCGGCGGGTAGCGCGAGCGATAGGGTGCGCGGGTGCGGGTGGTACAGTTGTACAAGCACTGGAATGAGCTGCTCCGCCATCTTGAAGCCTATCTTGGCGAGTGCGAGTGAAGCGGGGAGGACAACCCACTTCATCGCCGTCGACCACGAACCTCGTCACCCGCTGACAGGCTTGCCAGAGCTCGTGAGGGCGTCTGGAAGAGCATGCATGGCACTGCTACGCTGGCCAGCTTGACCGCGTCCCGCCTCGTCGTCTCCTTGCTGGTCCTGTTCTCCTGGTGTCATGGGGTCGATGCAGCGTTCTACAGCTCGCAGAGGAAGGCAGAATTGCGCGAGATGGCGGCAGAGACTTGGAGGCACGCCTACAACTCGTACAAGCGTGCGCCCTTTCGTTATGTGAGGCTGAACGACCCCCGCTCACCGCTTCCTCCCCCTCGACAGGTGTCGCCTTTCCCGCCGACGAGCTGCTTCCCCTCTCCTGCGGCAAGCAGGGCCATGACCGATCGAATCCGAACAACGGGGCCGTCAACGATGTCCTGGGCGACTATGCCTTGACACTGGTCGACTCACTGGACACTTTCGCCGTGCGTTCCAAGGCCCTCTTCTATCGAGCCACCTCACTCAGTCGTCCGATGACTCTACAGATGCTCAACGACAAGTTCGCCTTTGAGCAGGCGATTAGGGAGACGATCGAGCACGTCTCGTTCGACGTCGACTCGCGGGTTCAGGTCTTCGAGGTCACGATCCGCATGATGGGCGGCTTGGTGAGTCGAACCTGCGTTGAACATGATGTGGATACGCACTCACAGGCATCGCCTTTGCAGCTTTCCGGCCACCTCCTCGCCATGCCCGGCACCTATAACCGTTCCGACCCGTCCACGTATCATTCTTCGATCCGCGGCTTCTCCCTGCCGTGGTACCGCTCCGAGCTCCTCCACATTGCGCACGACCTCGGCCGACGACTGCTGCCGGCATTTGAAACGCCGACGGGGATTCCGTTTGCACGGGTGCACCTGCAGAGGGGGTTGAGGGGAAAAGGCGGGAAGGGTGAGAGTGGAGAGACGTGCAGCGCTGGTGCGGACACCTCTCCATCGCGACGCTAGTAAGTCGCAAGCTTGCTGACTCGCTCGACGGAATTGAGCCCCGCAGGCGCCGGCTCTCTCCTCCTCGAGTTCATCACCCTCTCGCGCCTCACCTCCGATCCCACCTTCGAAGCTCTCGCTCGTCGCGCCTTCTTAGCCATTTGGGACCGACGAAGCGACATCGGCTTGATCGGCAACACGATTGATGCGAGGAGCGGAGCGTGGATGCATGGTGCGGCTGGGACGGGCGCCGGGATTGATTCGTTCTACGAGTGCGTACCGTCTCGGACTCTTCTCGCTCTAATGCGCGGTCTCTTCGCCCTCGCGACAGCAGAGGCTGACCTTCCTAGTCTCCCTCTGTCATCCCGCCTCTTCGCAGATACGCCGCAAAAGCCTACGTGTTGACGGGCGAAGAGGACTACTTTCGAGTGTGGGAGGCCGGGTACGCTGCACTGCAGCGGTACGTACGGACCGGCGACGGGTTCTGGGTGCGCTTCACTGGCCATTCTGCCCGACGACGCCTCGCTGACGAAACTCCCGACATGTCGCGACTGTGTGCGGCGCACAGTACCGCGGCGCCAATATGCAGACCGGCCAACTCACCTCGGTCCTTGTCGACTCGCTCGCGGCGTTCATGCCCGGCGTACAGACCTTGATGGGCGACCTTGACTCAGCCACTCGCTCGCATGCGCCTTACGCTTTCCTCTGGCTGCGTTACGGTGGTCTGCCGGAGCTGTACGATACCCATCGGAGACAGGCTGTCCAGCTAGGGTATCCTCTGCGACCGTGCGTCCTTTCTGACCGGCACTCGAGTGCTTCGCTGACGCTCGAGAACTCGCAGCGAGTACATCGAGTCGAACATGTACCTCTACCAGGCGACCAAGGACGACTGGTACCTCGAGCTCGCCGAGCAAGTCTTGCACGACATCAACAACAAAACTCGCGTTGACTGCGGTCTCGCGGCGGTGTTCAACCTCGAGACGGGCAAGTTAGAAGACAAGATGCCGAGCTTTGTGACCTCCGAGACGCTCAAGTACCTGTACCTGACGTTTGACGAGGTGCGCTTGCGTTTGTTCGTCCCCCGACGCTCATAAGCTGACCGACCCACGCCGCAGAACTCGCCCTTCCTGCGTGACGACTCAGCCTTTGTCTTTACAACCGAGGGCCACCCTCTCGAGATCCCTCTTCCGCCGTTCGACTCAGTCTCCCGCCCGTCTCCATCTCCGCCCGCCAACTCGCCCTCGACCCCAACTTCGGCACTCACCTGCGCCGCTCACGAGCCAGTCTACGACCAACGACACGCGCACTTCCTCTCGCTCTCGATGAATCAGCGCGTCGATTGGGAGCACGCGCGTTGGCTCGCCGGGTACCAGCCGCAAGACGAGCAGCGCGAGGTCGACGAAGGGAGGTGGACTCGGAACGGCTGGTGCGAGATGCCGCTTGGCGAGGTGCGTTTTCTTTCGTCGGTCGTCGGCCCGTGAAGGCATTGACAGAGACTGAATGAAGGATCCTGTTGTCGCTTCCGCTCGCTTCGTCGACCCGCTGCAAACCATCCGCGCGCTCGTCCTTAACTACCTCCGTTCCGCCGCATCCGTCACCTCGAACATCCTACCCGGTCTTGCGCCTTCCGCTCTTTCCGTCTCCCTCACCCCGTCCGCCGATGCCGCGCCTCCTTCTCTCCCCGCCGAACCTTCGCTTCCGCCCTCTCCGAATCCTCCGGCATTCCTCCTCGTTCAACCTTCGGTTTTCGCCAACCTCCACCTCTCCAGGACCAAAGCATCGAGCTCCTCTTTGCCCCCTCAACAAGCCACGAAATCACCCACCCTCGATCCTCGCAACTAAGTCCCCACCCAACCGGTTCAGGCGACATCATCGTCCACTCGATCAACGGTCTGCGATTCACGCTCGTCCGTGCGTCAACGAGCGGAACGGCTGGGTACGTCGTGAGTAAAGTCGGGCCGCTGGTGGTCCCACCTGGACGGAGCGTCGTGATTCGTGATCAGGCGGTGCTGGCGGGGTTGCCGCAGAAGAAACCGGATAGGATCAAGGTGGTTGCGAGAGTTGGGGAGGGGGATGAGCCGCCGAGCGGGGTGGAGGAGGAGAAGCAGGGTGGGAATGGGAAGCTGGATGCGATTTGGGACAAGCTTGTACATCCGCTTGGTGGTGGGTCGTCGGCCAGCGAGTGCTCCAGCGCAGACGCCGACTGCCCCGACGCCGCTCCAACAACCCTCCACATCCCCGCCCTCGCCGCCTCCTTCGGTCCGTCGATCGTCCACCGTCCCTCCGACACGATTCCCTTAGGCCTAACACCCTTCATGCTCGACGGCCCCGCGCTTCCGCTCGTCCTCCCCTCAGTCGACATCTACGGCTGCTCGGCCCTCCACCCTCCCCCTTCCTCCTCCTCCTCCTCTCCCTCCCTGCTCCTCTTACATCGGGGGCACTGTTCCTTCGCTCTCAAATCACACAACGCAGCACTCTCTTCCTACGCCGGCGTCGTACTCATCTCCTCTCCTTCTGCAACGGACGAAGAGGGAGAAGAGGGAGAGGGGTTTGTTGTGCCTAGTGCGGATGAGAGGGAGGAGGAGGAAGAGACGATGAGGAGTTTGGTGCCGCTTGTACTGGTGGGGAATTCGACGGGGGCGGTGTTGGAGGGGTTGGTTAGGAGCGTGGAGGCTGCGGGTGAGAGAGGAGAGGGGGGAGCCGGGCTGGTTGTACAGGACGAGGAGCGGGACAGCGGCGCAGGTACGACGACGCCCCGCCGACACGTCTGGATCTCGATCACGCACGCGGAGGAGGACGAAGAAGAGGAAGAATCGGCTGCGGGACTGATGCTCGGCGGGTACCTCGTGCGCAACATCAAGCTGCATGGGTCGAGTCGAAGAGCAGCAGCGGCGGGAGGGTCGGTACCTTAGACGCGGCAGAACGGGCGACTGGAGGGGTTGAACGAAATGTTGTAGAATATGCAGTTGCGAAAGTCGTTCGCGCCTCGTACAGGTTCTGACACCGCGAGACCCTCCGCTTCGATCTCGATCTCGAGCGAAGCGCACACGGCGTTTCACGCCTCCTCCCCCTCGAGCACCACCTCCCTCACCCACCACTCATGCACTCTCGCATCCTCCTTGTTCAACTCTGGATGCCACGAACTCGCCAACAGTCCTCCCTGGCGATACATGACCACGTCCGCGTGTGGTCCTAAGGTTGTCGAACCACCTGTGACGGCTTTGGCGTGCGGAGGAGAGGGGATTAGAGAGGAGGGGATGCGGGCGAGCGGTTCGACTGGCTGGGAGGACGGTGAGGAGGGGAGGAGGGAGTGCAGGACTGGTGCGCGGATGAAGGTTGCGAGGACGGGGTCAGAGGGACGGGAGATGAAGGGGAGGGAGACGGAATACGAGAAGGATTGGAGCTGGTAGACGAACCATCGAGGGTCAGCGCTTTTCGCAGGTCGAGGGGAAGTGGAAGGACGCACCTGACGACCGTACTGATTCCGCGCGACCTTGACGTCCATCGCGTCGAATCCCTCCCATCCCTCGCTCGTCGGCCCGTCAATCTCCCTCGCGAGGAGGATCATTCCCGCACACGTCCCCCATACGCTCCTCCCCTTGTCCTCCTTTGCTCGCGCAACAAACTCCTTCAGTGGCTCGTAAAGGCCCGATTTGCGAATGAGGAGCGAGATGGTGGTCGACTCTCCTCCTGGGATGATGAGAGCGCGGCATTGCTCGAGGTCTCGGGGTGTGCGGACTGCGACGATTCGCACGGGTGGCTGTATGGACTGGAGAGCGTGGATGTGCTCTGCGAATGAGCCCTGGAGTGCGCTGTTTTCCGTGTACTTCGCCCTGGTCAGCGTGCGTCGATGAAGGTCCGCGGAGGAGGAGGAGTGGCCACTGACAGGACCCCGATGGCTTGCGGCGCTGGGGCTGGCGACATGGTTCCTTGAATGTGAATGGTACAACCGAGTGTGCCCGTTCCAGCCAGCGTGTCAGCCAAGCCGTCACCAGTCGTGCGGCGGGGCGGAGGAAGCCGCGAGCGACGGCGGAAGAGTGCGAACTCGCTCGCCTCGCTCTCGTTCGACCCGCTCTGTTGCACTCTTTACCACCGCACGACACTCTCACTCGCACTCGCAATGGCAGCCAACGGATCAACCACCGCACCCACCGCAAACGGACACTCGAACGGCGCACCTCGCCCGACCTTCGCCGTCAAGGTTTGTACACCGTCATCGCACTCATCGCCGGGGCAAACGGGGTGCGCATGCTGACACTGGACACTCTCGGGACAGGCTGGACTCGCCCAGATGCTCAAGGGCGGCGTCATCAGTGCGTCGTCGACCCTCCTTCCCGCGAGCTGATCAAGGACCGCACGGCGAGAGTAAAGTGCTGACCGCCCGTGCACGCGCCCGCAGTGGACGTCGTCAACGTCGAGCAAGCCAAGATCGCCGAAGCAGCCGGTGCATGCGCAGTCATGGTGCGTTTGCGCTCGCCCGTCCTCGTCCGCCCCTCTCAACTCCGCTCACCTCGCTCGCTGCTCGCAGGCCCTCCAGCGCATCCCGTCCGATATCCGCAAAGACGGCGGAGTCGCGCGCATGAGCGACCCGAAGATGATCAAGGAGATTATGGAGGCTGTCTCGATCCCCGTGCGTCCCCGTCCTCCCTCTACTTTCACCTGGAGACTGACGATCCCCGCTCGCACAGGTCATGGCCAAGTCGCGCATCGGTCACATCGTCGAGGCTGAGATCCTCCAGGCTATCGGGGTCGACTACATCGACGAGTGCGTCGCGCCTTCCTCCTCTTTCTGCGAGATCAGCTGACGAGAGCTTGTTGGTGCGATCAGGTCCGAGGTCCTCACCCCCGCCGACCCTTCTCTGCACCTCGACAAGCACGTACGCTCGCTCTCACTTGCACATTCTCTCCACTCGCTCGACCTGACCCCTCTTGCCCTCTCGCTCGTAGGCTTTCGACGTTCCCTGTCCGTCTTCCTTAGCTCCAGCACCCGTTTGATGCCTCACTGACACAGTTCCTGTGCGCACAGTTGTCTGCGGCTGCAAGGACCTTGGCGAGGCGTTGAGGAGGATCAGCGAAGGCGCTGCGATGATCCGCACGAAGGGTGAGATCGACTCGCCTGCCGCTTCGCTGTCACGAGCGACGAATAGTCGTTGCTCAGCAGCTTCGAGGCTAAGATCAGGAACTGACACTCTCGCTCTCCTCCTCCTCCTCCTCTCAGGCGAAGCCGGCACAGGCAACGTGATCGAAGCCGTCCGGCACGCGCGCAAAGTCTCCTCCCAAATCGCCCTCGCCTCGACCCTCTCCGAAATCGAGCTGTACAACATGGCAAAAGAGATCAGCGCGCCGGTCGACCTCCTCCGCGAAACGGCCAAGTTGGGTCGCTTGCCCGTGGTCATGTTTTCCGCCGGAGGGATCGCGACGCCCGCGGATGCGGCGCTGATGATGAAGTTGGGAATGGACGGGGTATTCGTGTACGTCCCCCTCCCCTCTCCTCGCCCTCCCGTCCCTCCCGCTAACTCCCTCTCTCCCGCCCGCAGCGGCTCAGGAATCTTCAAATCCTCCAACCCCGCCGCCCTCGCACGCGCCATCGTACTCGCCACGACGCATTACAACGACCCTTTCAAACTGGCGGAGGTGTCGGAGGGACTGGGAGAGGGGATGAAGGGCGAGGGGAAGTTGGGGAGGGAAGCGGGGAGGGAGATGACGGCTGATAGGGGATATTAAAGGGGGGAATGTAGGTTGATGTGTTAAAGGCAGTGGTTTGCGTGTGAAGGAGGAGGATGGGAGAGAGAGTGAGGTTGCGAAGGTTCCGGTTTGGCTCGCTCGTTGCGCTACCTGGCGTGTGGCGACGCTTGCTGCCTGGGCCGTATAGCTCGTTGTCGAGGAAGCTTTCATGGAGCGATGCAAGCCGGAAAAGCGGAAAGCGAGAGCGCCAGCGCCGAGGACTTCCCCTCCTCCTCGCGTCCCTCGCTCTCTCTGCTCCCTCGCCATGCGCAAACCGAAAGATGGACCAACGCCACTCCATTGCCAGTCCACCCCTCCCGCCCACAGGCGCTTAGGCAATCATCGTCGAAGCCGACGCTGCCTCGTACTTGAAAGTCGGCGCAAGCTGGCCCTTGGTGCGGTAGTACCTCGCAAGACGGTGGATGCGGGACTCAATCAAGATAAGGCGGAACTTGGAGTCTGCGAGTTTGGGCGTGATCAGCTTCGTTAGGACGGAAGGACGGAGGGGAGAGGGAAGCGAGGGGGGGGGACGAACCCTTGTCGTTGCGGTTGCGCTCGAGGTGCTTGCGAACCTGGACGGCCTTCTTGATCTGTTTGATCGATCGGGGGAGAGGGGCAAAGAAAGAGAGGAGAACGTAAGTCTCGGAGGTTGTACGGGGGCTATGAGGAGAAACTTGCGAGGCAGTAGAGGTCCTCGGGGATCTGGGGAGCGAGGCCATTCGACTTGAGGACACGGAGGATCTGCCGAGCGGAGAAGGTCAGATCCGCACTGAAGAGGCCGATCGGCGAAGAGGTGGGCGTGTCGCGGCCTCGGCAGCCCTCGTCCACGGTTCGAGCTCCGAGGCGCACCTTGCTGCCAAGCACTGCTGCGACGCATCACAAGGCCGCTCACCGCACTCAGGCCATCCCCGGCCAGCCGAAAACGGTGCGCTCCTTATTCAGCTTCGTCACCTCAACCTTGTCGCCAACGGAGACGGCGTGACCTGCGCGGGTCGGCGTAAGCCCAGCTCCCGAGCGAAGGAAGCGGGTTTGGGCCGCACCGACGTCGTGAGAGAAAGCGTAGCGACCCTGTGTGAGCGCATGAGTCAGGACGCTCTGAAGCGGGAGGATAGAAGCGGAACGCACGAAGACGGGCGAGTATGTCCCGCTGTCCACTCGGCGGTCCTTAGCGAGCGTCCTGCGACAGTCATCAGATCGAGAACCCCTAGGGATAACTGGGAAGGGAGACGCACTGCAGCGGAAGACCTTTGCCCTCCAGTCTCTTGCCCGTGTCGTAGTCGATGTTGAGCGAGATACAGCGGACGCAGTTGGCGGTGAGGCGGAAGGTGGCTGTAAGTGTCGTTGGACAAACATCAACACGCAGCTTTCGGCAAAGTAGCGAGACGCGCGCACTCGACCCTCCCACCCGCAGTTCCGCCCAGAAATCCTCGACCCAAGGCTTCAAGCCTCCCTTGCTTGCACGTCCGACGAGAATGTTTGGCCGCAGCGGGAGGATGGGCATCTCGCGACCGAGAGCTTGGGAGAAGGCGCCGAGCGAGGCGGATGAGGCAATCATGTAACTGGCGCTAAGGGTCGAAGTCCGTCAGGGACCCTCACAATGGACAAGCGCTGCAGTTGGCACTCACCAGTCCTGGAAGGCGATGCCGCTGGACACCAAAGCGACCGAGTCAGTTCGCGCCTAGGTACGAAGTGCGAAAGACACGCACCTGTCCTTCCCATCGCTGATCCTCCCAAGCACCTTCCTCGCCCCGCTCTCCTTCTCGTCAAGGTACATCAACCGCGTCTCCTTCCCGTCCGAATGCCTCGTGAAGAATTCGGCCGCCTCGTCGCCCATGTCGAAAGCTTCGACGGGCGAGCGGTGGAGATCGACGACCCGTTTCGTGCGACCTGCTGTCGATGGTTCGAGAGCGATAGAGAATGCTGGGCCGGAGGGAGGGGTGATGGTCAAGGTCTGGCTGTCGAAGTCTATACTCTGGCGGAGGACGGCGTGCTGCAACGAGCGCATGGTCCGTCAGCTCACATCCGGGGCTGTCTGCGAGTCACGATACGCACCGAGGGGTACTTCGCAGCAAGGTGGCACTCGTGCGAGCCGTCCTTCTCTGGCGAGACGAGGACGAATCGACGGTCAAAGCGGAAGCCATGTCGCCCCAGTTCGAGCGTATCGGGGGTGAGCGGTCGGAGACCCTTGATCGGGTACAGGAAGAGCTGTGGGAAAGCTCGTCAGCTTGGGTTTTGAGCCAGAGGCCCGAGGAGAGAGCGGGGAGCGCACCTTTTCGACCTTGAGACGAGGATGCTGGCTCCGCCAATGTCTCCACCGCAGCCAGACCGTGACGCAGACGCATGTCAGTGCCAACGCGATCTCGTGCGAGTTCAAAGCAGCCATCCCAAGCGAGTGTGCGCAGGAGAACAAGCCGAGGCGAGAGAGTCCAGGGAAGGCGACAAACAACTGAAGGGGGCGACTTGGGGTTTGCCTGAACTATGGAAGCAATGAATGCGCGTCGATTTAGCTACTCGGACAGCGCAACGGAGCTTGAGCTGATAGTGTACGCAAGACAACGTCGTCGCCCTCCCCACCTCTTGACCCTGGTCCGCTCCTTCGCTTGTTCTCGTGCGCGCTGATGGCTAAGAAGTCTGCTGCAAAGGGCAAGCAGCCCGCCGACCCGGCCATCGTCCCAGCCGAACCAGGTCCGTCCCGCTTCGCTCACACCGCTCACACCGCTCACCCACGCCTCCCGCTCACCACGTCGCACGAACACAGCTCTCGGAGGTGCGGAGGACGCGCCGGTGGTGCTGCCTGCGAGGGAACCGGCGGCCAAGGTCAACAACGCGAGTTTGACGGAGCTGAAGATTGCGCTGGACGATGTTGTCAAGGAGGTCAGTCCGGTTGCTCCCACATATACTCGTCTTTGCAGTTGTTGGAAGGCCGGTCAAGGATGTTGTTGTGCAGTAGTGAGCGCCCGCTGACCCGCCCATTCCTCCCGCAGTACTTCTGCCTCCCGACACACCGCTTCACCCGCTCGCACGCACACGAAGACGTTCGCCTGGCGCTCGGCTGGACAAGCGTGGCGGTCGCAGCAGCGACAGGGTACTACGGCTACGTAACCGAGTTCCACGAGAGCAAGTACTGGGTTTCCGTCGGGGTCGTCCTGTGAGTTCTTCCTCCCCTCTTTCCGAGTCGCGCGAGCTGACGCCTTTTGCTGTACGCGCAGATACGTCGTGCTGAATACGGTGCTGGCACTGTATGTCGCGTATGTCGAGAAGAATGTCATCTTTGTCGGAAAGCGACGAACGATCGCCTCGAGGGTGAGTCTCGCTCCATCTTTCGCTGCTCGTCTGTCGCGCTTCAGCTGGCGGACGTGCTCTGTGAAGAATTCGCAGCTCACGCTACTCGTGCACCGCAACAGATCTCGACCGAACGCCTCACCATCTCCTCCCTCGCCTTCTCCTCGCCCACCTCGCACACCACCTCCTCCTGGATCCCCTTCCCTCTCTCGCTCCTCGCCTCTCACTCGCATTCTCCTCTTTCTTCCTCTCCCTCCCAAGCAGCAACATACCCGCTCTACTCCCTCACACTTGAATACACCCACTCCTCAAACGCCAACAAATCCCTCCTCGCTTCTTCTTCTTCCACCCTCGCACGGAGCTTCGGGGAGATGGTAGACTCTGAGGGACGAGTCGCGAGGGGAGAAGCGGAGCGTTGGTTGGGAGAGGCTTTTGGGGAGGTCTGCGAGAAGGGGAAGGGCAGTGTGGGCGGGAGCGCGAGCGAGGGGGAGGGCAGGAAGAGTCGGTAGGCTTTTCTTGCGAACGGGTCGGGAGAGGGAAGGACCGCTTCTTTGTGCATTTTCCAGCAGGCTTTTGACATTTCACCTTGCGGCGGGAGAGACGGGACGAGTTCGCCCTTTCGACTGATCGCTGTTTGTCGCTTTCCTCGCTGTCGGGAGCGTCGTGATGTCTCCACCAGGCTGACGAGCGTATTGCGAAGAGAGCGAATGAGGAGAACGAGGGATAGAGTCGCAGGTTCGCCCAGGTCGACCGCCACAAGTCCATGCAAGGCTCTCCACTCTCGCACGCACGACGAGGAAGCCTGCACAACCCGGGTAATTGCACAGAGAACTCGGAAGGAAGAAGGGGGGGATTCCGACACTCGCTCTCGTCGTCCTCCCCCGTCCCCGCCCCTCGACAACCGCCAAACGCACGCGCGCTTACGCACGAGCAGCAGCCTTCTTGGCCTTGACAGCCTTGGCGGACGACTTGCGCTCGGCGAGGCGCTTGGCGACGACGGCCTTGTACTCCTCGACCTGCTCACGCTGCTGCTCGGTCTTGCGGCGCTTGAGCGAGCGGAGGTGGCGGCGACGCTGGAGACGGGTCGGCGTGACGAGACGCTGGCTGTATTGGGGCAACGGGAGATCGTTAGTTTGCGAGTGATTGCGAAAAATTTGGAGGAGAAGCGGAAGCGGACGAACATCTTGGGCGCCTGTTAGTTGTCGAAGCGAGATCATTGAGCAAGGCCAGGATCGACGGCGGCGGTGGGTAAGAGCAATGACAAGTAATATGCGAAGGGCAAGCAGTCAATGACTAGCCCCGTGGTGGACGAACGAGACGGAACGCACCTTGGTGTAAGGCTTGGCGCCCTCCTTCTTGGGGACAACCTCGCGGCGGATAACGAACTTGCGAACGTCGTCCGACTTGTCGAGGTTGAAGAAGCGGCGGATCTTGGTCGCGCGCTTGGGGCCAAGACGCTTCGGGAGGACCTCGTCGGTCAAGCCGGGGATGTCGTTCTCGCCCTGCTTGACGACGACGAGGTGGAGAGCGCGGACGTCCGAGCCGACGATGCAGCCGCGAACCGACTTGCGCTTGCGCTCGCCCGTGCGGCGGGGGCGGTAGCACGAGTGGCCCTTGGCGAGGAGGAGGCGGACACGGTGCGGGACAAGGACTCCCTGCTTGAGAGGGAATCCCTGCTTCTGTATACGCCCAACATGTCCCAGCAAGCACGATACAACCGAGGCGGATAAGCGAGTTCGAGGCGAGGTCGAGTTGAGCGAGGTCGACGGAGAGGGCGAGTCGAGGAGGGGGTACAAGTCGGCGGGGCGGCGAAGAGGGGCGGGTATGCAGGACAGAACGCTGGTGAGCACTCTGAACGAAACGCGAGCGAGAGAGCGGGCGAGACGCACGTCGTTACCACCGGTGATCCTCACGACGTAGCCCTTGAACTCGTCGCCGAGAGCGTCGGCGGCGACCTCCTGGGCCATACGCTTCTCGTAGAAGATGCGACTGGTCCGCCCAATCCACCGAACGAGAGAGAGCGAGACGACATCGGGTTCCGGGTCAGCTCGAGCTCACGCGCCGAGACGGTGAGGACGGACGCACGTCTTGCGCTCGTCATCGATCTCGATGGTCTTCTGCTGCCCGGTGGCAGGGTTGGCGAAGCACAACTTCATGCTGCGAGGCGAGGAGGAGGGTAGCGAGGGGGGAGGGTCAGCGCTCGAAGGTGAGAGTGGGTGGAGTTGCCTGGTTGTCCCGCTCTGCGCGCCTCGCTCCAGTTCCCACTCGCTCGTTCAGCCCCTCCTCGTGCACCCGGTTCCATTCATTCCCGTCTCAGAGCGCTGTGCGAGCGCGTGTGCGGGTGCGGCCCCCAAGTTTTGCGGTCGAGCTGGCGGGGTGGTGTCGTCTCACGCGCGGGTGGTGTCGGTGTGTGTGGGTGTGTCGGGTGGAGCAGAGTGGAGAGAACAGTGTGCAAGGCTGCGCAGCTTACGCGGAAGACTGTCGGGACGAGGAGAGCAGCCCCAGCTGGCGCGCGAGCCCTGGCTCAAGGGGCGAGCCGTTGTAATGAGCTGAATACAACTCGATTTGTATTCACTTTTGTATTCAGTCAAACTCTGCCGCCCTCGTCCTCCTCTCTCTGGCTCTTTGGAACTCGTGCGCTTCAAGTCCCTCGACTCAAGGTCAGCTGCACTGTCTGCCTACTGCTGTCTACCCGCAAGCTGACCACACTCGCCCGCGCAGGTTGTCCGTCTCGCTCGCTCGTCCTCTCTCTCCCTCGTCGTCGAGCTGACCCTCGCTCTGCCTCCTGCCTCACCCAGCTCCTTAGCCGACCTCGCCCCCCTTCCCGTAAGCACCCACCACACACGCAGCACCCCATCTCATGCGCGCACCTCGCGCCGCGCACCGTTGCCTCGAGAGCACGGGCGCACGGACAAGGGAGCCGGACTAGGTGTCTTTCGTCCGAAAAGATGCTGACGGCTGCTCTTGCGGTGTGCCTTCCAACACACTCGCAGAACGTGAGTCGCGTCTCTCCAGCCCGCTTTGAGCCAGAACCGCGAGCTGACCTTGGTCCTCCTCCCCGTCCTCCGCACCTCGCTTCCCTCCTTCCTCACCTCGCCTATTCTTCGCTCTGCTTTTGATCGACTCGCACCGACTCGTGCTACCATCCGCCAGCCCCCCGACAACTCCTAGCTCAAAATGGGTCGCATGCACAACCCCCACAAGGGTATCGTACGTCGCTCTCCTTCCTCCGACGCTCGAAGTCGCTCGCTTACACGCCTGAAACGTACAGGCCGGCTCGGCGCTCCCTTACAAGCGTTCCGCCCCGCGCTGGCTCAAGATCTCGGCCGACGAGGTCAAGGAGCACATCTTCAAGCTCGCTCGCAAGGGTCTCACCCCCTCGCAGATCGGCGTCGTCCTCCGTGACTCGCACGGTGTTGCCCAGGTCAAGTCGGTTACCGGAAACAAGGTGCGTTTGCGCGCGACGCGAGTGTTGAGGAGCTGTCGCGGCTGTCTTGAGCGACGCGTTCCCGGCGCTCCTCGATCTCTGTGGATACGACGCTGACGCTTCGTGCATTACAGATCCTCCGTGTCCTCAAGTCGAACGGCCTCGCTCCCCAGATCCCCGAGGACCTCTACTGCCTCGCAAGTCCCTCCTCATAGCCCCCGTACAACCTCCGAGACTTATGTTCTCCTCTCTTTCTTTGCCCCTCTCTCCCGATCGATCAAACAGATCAAGAAGGCCGTCCAGGTTCGCAAGCACCTCGAGCGCAACCGCAACGACAAGGGTTCGTCCCCCCCCCTCGCTTCCCTCTCCCCTCCGTCCTTCCGTCCTAACGAAGCTGATCACGCCCAAACTCGCAGACTCCAAGTTCCGCCTTATCTTGATTGAGTCCCGCATCCACCGTCTTGCGAGGTACTACCGCACCAAGGGCCAGCTTGCGCCGACTTTCAAGTACGAGGCGGCGTCGGCTTCGACTATGATTGCCTAAGCCTTGCTCTTTTGACGGGCACGTTGGGCGGGAGGGGTGGACTGGCAATGGAGTGTGTGTTGGTCCATCTCTTGGTTTGCGCGTTGTGAGGGAGAAGAGAGAGCGAGGGAAACGAGGAGGAGGGGAAGTCCTCGGCGCTCTTGCCTCCCGCTTCCGATCGTGTGCCTTGCCCGCATCCTTGCGTTCATCTTACTGCAGACGTGATGCGCGCGGCTCGTTCTGCGAGGGAGGTCACGCTCTTACACGACCCGCGACTTCATCTCCCTCTCGCGCTCCTCTCCCTTCACCCCCGCATCAACCCGCTTCGTACGGCTCTTGGTCACTCACTACCTGCTCCCTAGACTGCTCTAGACCTCCCTAGGCTCTCACAACCCTCCACCGCTCGCCGTTCCCTCTCTTGCGTCCCGAACACTCGTCTCGCTCGAACTGAAATGGTGGCCGCTCCCGAACCGTCCGTCGTTTGCCGGAGCTGTCGAAGCATTCGCGAACGGAAGGAGAAGTGAGGATGTGTTCGCCGTTGCAGTTGGACGACTAGTCAGTCCTCCGCCTCTCCGCTACCCTCCTCCCCTTGAACGTACCCATTCCCGACCGCAAGCTCGCCGTAGTACGCCGTCACAGCCTTCAACTTGTACCCCATCCACTCCTCCTCAATCTCCACCTTTTCGCCATCCTTCAAGCCGGGCAAAGTGGCGAGTTCGAGAAGATCGACGTTTCGAGGGAGGTAGAAAGCGACGTTGGGCGTGCATTGGCGGGCGAGGGCGAAGAGCTCGGCGCCGGGCAGAGGAGCGAGAGCCGAGAGGCGATAGGCGGAAGGAGAGGAAGATTCAGAGGAGGGCGGAAGTTTGGGTGTTGGAGTGGGTGGGACCGAATCGCTTGTGGAGAGAAGCGACCGTCGAGACTTCTTGGCGGGTCTTGCAGTGGTTGAAGCCGCTCCGTTTGTAAGCGCCGTCGAATCGTTCGAGTTGCCGGCGGAGAGATAATCGACGCCGCCCCATGGTGGGCTGAGGAAGACGACCTCGACCTTGTCCTCGTCCTTCACCTCGCCCCTTTGCAGCCGCTCGACATACTCCTTCGTCCAATGTACCCAGTCGGCCAGAATAAACGTGATTCTGTCTGCGACGCCGTAGATTCGGGCGTTGTGCGCGGCGCAGGCTAGTCGGACTGGCGAGACGTCGAGGGCGATAACTTCGCGAGTACAAGGATCAGCAATCGATTCGAGCCTTCTACAAGTTGGGACAGGCGCACCTCGTTCGCACGTGAAGGCGAACTGAATCGCATTTCCGCCAACTCCGCAAAAAGCGTCGACAACAACGCCGCATCGACCTGGAACAAGCTTCAGTCAGCTCGCGTACTCCTGGTGCACCGAAGAAGGAGAGATACGCACATCTTTCCGCTATTTGCGCAGCGATGTTCTCGGGCGTGACGGAATACCAGCCTTCGCGATCCATCTCGCAGCCCTCGTCGAACAGCGAGAACAGTCGGTACCGCTGCGCCCAGTCTGCAAATTCCATACTTCAGCGTCAGCGTCGGGAGAGACGTCTCTTACGGAGGCGCAGCGAGACTCACACTTCTCCAGCTCGTCTGGCAAGTTCTCGGTGGTGTACCGCACTACCTCGCCGTACCGCGTCCCTGCTGCCGCATCGTACTCCACGGCAGTCTTCTCAGACTCATCTCCAGCCTCGTCCTCCTCGCGAGCCCGCTTCTTCCCCTTGACATCCGCACTACTTCCTGACATTGGCTGAGTCGGGATGAGCCAGTCGCCCTCCTCATCTGCCTCGCCGCCAGCCGCATCCACTCCATCAGCTCCGTTCGCACCGTCCTGCGTCGAAGCCGTTCCGCCAGAGGCCGTCTTCGTCGCGGTCGGCAGGATCGCGCGAACGGGTCTGATGAAGGAACGGACGATAGGGGAGTTGAGAATGGCGTTTTGCCGCTGTCCGTGGCGCATGACGGGCATTGTAGCGGGTCGGGCGAGCAATCTGAGCCGTGAGAGCGAGAGGTTGTGGACGAAGAAGGAGGACGAGTCGTTCGGACGGCCTTCGTTGCGAGCTGACAGCGTCGTGCGGCTGGCACAACGTTGCGAGCGACTGCAGAGACTGTGATCTGGCCAGCAAAGCTACCCGTTCAGCGGGAGAGACTTCAGCCTCGAAACTCGACCTCAACTTGGCGATGCGAGATGATTGGCACTTCAGTATGTATGGGCCCGTGCGAGCGAGCAAGCGAGAGATATTGTAAGAGTCAAAACAAGGGAGAGAGCACAAAACGGAACAATCCTCCAGAACCCGAAACCCCGACCAGCGAGACGCTGTCTCCTCCTCCATCCGCTTCATCCCGGCTCGAGAGCGGGTTTTACGCCGACTTTGTTGGCGTGATAGGGTAGGCGCCGTGGATATTTTGGAGGACGGCGGGAGGGATGGCGGGTTTGGGAGTGGGCGAGACGGGGTAGCTGTCGTCGGCGAGAGCCTGCCAATAACGCACGATGGGTCAGCATGGTGCAGTGGAGAACGCGCGTTCTTCGTTGCTGCCGCAGCGACAAGACCAAGCGAGGCGGACTCACCTCGGTCCAGGGCACGACCGTGAAGAGCTGCAAGCGAAAGCCCCGACAACATGTGTGAGTTACGGTCGCGTAGAGCGCGGCAAAGTCACGAGTGTCGTGACTACACACCTGCGACACCGACTCGCCGTGGTGACTCCGGCGGACGGCTTCGGCGAGGACGTGCGAGATGTCGATCTGTACGCCCAGACAGTACATCACAGTAAGCTGCTGCGCTCTTCACAGGAGCATACGGGCGAGCGAGCAACCGACGTACGACGCGAAGTTTGGGGCACCCGCGCTTGTGCTCTGCGAAGCAAGGGTAAGCTCCGGCTCTATACGAAGAGAAGCAGAGTCGAGACGCACCCTCTTGAGGAATCGAGTTGGACACGATCAGCTTCTCCAACGGCGACTCATTCAACACCTTCAACGCCGGTCCACTCAAAATGCCGTGCGTAACAAGCGCGACGACCCTCTTCGCGCCATTGGAGAGAAGGTGCTTGGCAGCGAGCGCGAGGGTACCGCACGTGTCGGCCATGTCGTCGATCAGGATCGCGGTCTTGTCTTGGACGTTGCCGACGAGGACCATGCGCGCGATCTCGTTGGCCTTTTTGCGCTCTTTGTGGAAGAGGGCAAAATCGAGGTCGAGAGCGGCCGCCATGGACGACGCGCTGCGACGAGGGTCGCGTCAGTCTCATCTCGAAAAGACCACTCGATGAGCCCGCGACTGCAAGCTTTCGCGCGAGATGTAGACCGATGGAACGAGACTGACCGCTTGGCACCACCCGCATCAGGCGAGACGATGACCGAGTTCTGCACCTCCTTGCCCATCGTGTCGCGGAGGTATTGCAGCATCGTCGGTTCGGCGTAGAGCTGTACGAGGAGAGTGGGAAAGGTCAGACAGGTGAGGGCGGGACATGGGGGGCGAGGAAAGGCAGGCGCACGCTGCAGGGGGAGCAAGTCAGCGTCGTTTACTGCGGGAGTGAGCTTGAGAGACTCACTTGTCTACGGGAATGTCGAAAAAGCCCTGGATTTGGCTCGCGTGCAAGTCCATCGTCTGCCCAGCGAAACGGTCGTCAGCGCCTCCGTCTCAGGTCCTTCCACAGCGAGACCAACGGACGATGACATGGTCGATGCCTGCGCCCTCGACAAGCATGTTGGCGATAAGTTTGGCGGTGATGGGCGCGCGAGACTTGTCCTTCTTGTCTTGGCGGGCGTAGGGGAAGTGGGGGCTGCAAGAAGAAGACCGAACTGGAGCGTCAGCCTCTTACAGCCTGCGAGCAGAGACGATACGCATCAGGCCTTTCCCGCAACTCACAGAACGGCGGTGATGCGACGAGCCGACGCTATCCGGAGAGTGTGCGCCATGATGCACAACCTGCCGGGCAGCAATGCGGTCAGCGGATTCGCCTCGGCTTCGTCTCTTGCAATTCTCAGACTGGGACAAAAGCCACGCACTCCATCAACGCCGTGTTCGAGCTGGTCTCCATACCTCCCGCGGTCGCGACAATGTAGACATCCGCTTCTCGCACCGATTCGTGAAAGGTGACCCTGCGAGCTCCGACACACAGAGCATTGCGTAGAGAATGTCAACGGACTTCCTCAACAAGCGCGAGCCGAGCGAAGCCGGCTACTCACGAGAGCTCTCCGGAGGGAAGGGTGACGATGGAGCTGCTGCCGAGAGGGAGTCCGAGCCTGCGAGCGATGAGCTGTGCGAGTTGCGGGTGCGATGTCCCTGCGTACACGGTCCCGTCCAGCGCGAGCAAGGGTGTGCGAGGTGCGGGGTCGGCGGGCGTGAGCACGAGCAGGACGAGCGGGTCGCAGAGGGAGACGGGAGCTCGCCTGAGAAGATCTTGAGGTTGTCTGCGGATCCCATCGTGTCCTCGTAGCCTCTGCAGACGGCAGCCGGTGCAACAAGAGCGGTGAAGGCGAACGAGCGTGAGGAAGCGGGGAGTGATGAGGTCGAGGTCGGCGACGAGGGCTCAGACTGTAGCGTGCTGTATTGTGTCGTGCTTGTGATACTCTCGTATGCTTTACTGGCAGGCTTGCAGGAATCGCGCGAGTTGCGAGGGCGAGGACAAGTGACGGGCGACCCGCTCTCTCGCCCGCTCGCCGCGCACGTCTCGTTACAGATTTGGTGTCAGTCGCTGAATCAATGCACGTTGCAGACAAGATTGGGAGAAGCAAGATGGGCTTTGGCGCGGAACGAGACGCCGGCATCCGCCCGGTACGCCGAAATGGCCTGCTGGCAGTCCTGTCCCTTGGAGAAAGGGGGGCAATTGGCCGTATCGATATCAGCAGAGAACGAGCCAGGCTGCTGTGCAAGCACAGTCTCACAGGCGCGCACAAGAAGGCAAAGCAACGGAAAGCGGAGGTTGACAACGCCTGGACGGCGCAAGTCGTTCCAGCGAAGTCACCCGGAGCGCGCGAGCAGTATAGGGCGTCTGCGGGCGATTGCGCAAACCCAAGCGCGGTTCGTCGATCCAGCAGAGCCGCCAACAGGAGATCCTGGCCGCTCCTTGGTGAAGAGGGAGACCCTTTCGTCGCTCCTGTCCATGTGCGGGCCGTCCCTGCATAGGTTGACATTCCTCAAGTCTGCCGGGACAGTCAGAGCACCGCACGACCCGTTGTCAAGGCGTAGGTCGGCTTCATCAGTTTCGCGAGGAGGAGCGGGGGTCGGAGGTCAGGACGATGTGGGCGGGTGCGGCGAAGTACACGAACGACAGAGATCAGTGTGTGAGTAGCCCAGCAATCCCAGAGAAGCGTTCAGGCGGAGTCGTAGCTGATGAAGGCGCTGAGGCGAAGCTCAAGCTCGAAGGTCAACTCAGGCCACACCGCTCGACTCGCTTAGTTCGAGGGCAGAGTGCGCCGCTAGACTCCCACAGCCACTACCTAGCCGACGTCAGCGTCCCACCTGCTTCCCACCCTTGTCCCGACCCTCCCTCTCTCCTCGTTGAGCGACCTTCAGCGATGGACTTCTACCACCGCAGCGCTCTCATTCTCGACGCGCTCGACGCCAAGAAGGGCTCTGTCAAGGGATTGTGCATGTCGGAGGCTACGAAGAGCCGGAAACCGGGAGAGGGAGCGAGGTTCTTGAAGGTCGTTGTCGAGGTGTTGAAGTGTGAGTTGCGGTGTTCGAGCTTTCTCGACGCTATCTGAGCAGTCAGACTGTCTGAGTATGCTGACGTAAGCCGCTACCGGTGTGCAGACCGCCCGCACATCCAGCACCTCCTGACCGCAACCAAACTCCTCGCGCAAGAACCGACTCTGTTCGTCCCTCCCTCCTCGACCGCCGCCGCCGCATCCGCCATCAAATCGGGTGTCGCAGCCTCCGCATCAAAGGCGCTCAAGCAGCCGAAGAAGTACCAGAAGCAGGCGCCGACTCCGCTGAACCTTGCGAGCGTCATGGTGCACGATTTGATGTTCGCCAAGAGGGGGCTGACACTGCCGAAGGAGCACAAGGTTAGGAAGAAGCTGGAGAAGTACAAGCCTGCGTGAGTCCGCGACAGCTTCCCTACTTCCTTCCACCTCTCCCGCTCACGAACCGCTTCGCAGACTCGACAAGGAGAACGAGCGCGAGAAGCGTCGACGGAAAGTTGCGACAAACGAGGGTCTGCAGATTGCCTTGCCCGAAAAGGTCGCATCGTCGCTCTCTTCCATCGGCAAGGGCAAGAAGCGCGAGCACGATGCGGACCGGTTCGCGGAGGAGGCAGGCGCTGGACTCGAGGCGGTGGGCGAGATCAGGTGGATGAGGGTCAACACGCTGCGATGGAGCGTTGAGCAGGCGGTTGAGTGGTTCGAGAAGGGCGGATGGGAGATGTTTGAGGATGTTGAAGAGATGCTTGCCGCTGCGTGCGTCCGTCCCAACTTACTCCCGCCGACGTACGTTGACCGATCTCTCGCTCGCAGACAAGCGAAGCCGAAAGTGTTCGCTCTCGACGCCCACATCGAACCGCTCCTCGCCCTTCCCGCCTCCGTCTCCCTTCCCACCATGTCCGCCTACCAAGACGGCCGTCTCCTCGCGCAGGACAAGGCTTCCTGCATGCCCGCCTGGGTCCTCCTCGCTCCCGTTCTCGCCGATGCCGAGGAAGCGCTCGCGAACGGTCTTGACACGGAGGGCGAGGAGAAGAAGCGTGGCAAGGGCTTGCGGGTGCTCGATGCGACGGCGGCGCCGGGGAACAAGACGACGATGGCGGCGGCGTTGGTGGCGGGCGACCCGATCAATGGGAAGGTCACGGCTTGCGAGCGGGATCAGGGCAGGTTCAAGGTCTTGAAGGACATGCTCAAGCGGGCGGATGCGAAGAGTGCGTGCCAACTTCCGCCTCACGAGTTTCTTCACTGACCTTCGACTTGGCGCAGACGTCCAGCCAATGAACGTCGACTTCCTCTCGCTCAAGCCGGACGATCCGAAGCTGAAGAATGTCTCCCATCTTCTCGTCGACCCGTCTTGCTGTACGCCCATCTCTGTCCACCTTTCCTACGCTCTACTGACGTGTGCGCTCGCAGCTGGTTCTGGTATCCCTTCCCGCCTCGACCACCTCGTCCCCTCCGCACCGGAAGAAGAGCAGCTCTCTCGCATCCGCGCCCTCTCGAACTTCCAGATCGCCATCCTCTCGCACGCACTCCGCTTCTCCGGCGCCAAGCGCGTCGTCTACTCGACCTGCTCGATCTGGGAACAAGAAGACGAGGGCGTCGTCATGCGCGTCCTGGGGAAGAAGGAGTTCAGGGAGATGGGCTGGCGGTTGGCGCCGAGGGACGAGGTGTTGCCGACGTGGGAGCGACGAGGACGTGTTGAAGCGTGTGGTGGCGACAAGGGTGAGTGCACGTACACAGACGAGGAAGAGCTCCCGCTGACCTTCCCTCTTTCGTAGACATCGCCGACTCGCTCGTACGGTGCCTGCCTGAGGACGGCACGAACGGCTTCTTCGTCGCCTGCTTCGTCAAGGACGAGGACGCCGAGCCTATCCCTGCGCCGCCGATTGTCGCTCAGTCCATCGAGACCGCCGAAGCTGTCGAGGTCAGCGCTGAGGATGACGAGACCGACGCACCAGCACTCGTGAACGGCAAGAAGGGCGGCAAGCAAGCGAAGAAGGCGAAGTCGACCGTCTCGCAGGCGGCGAGGATCGCGAAGGAGGAGGTCGTCGGCAAGGCTCCCGAGCCCAAGCCAGCCGCCGCGAAGGAGACTGGCGCGAGCGAGAAGAAGGGCGACAAGAAGTTGAGCAAGAAGCAGCTCTATTTGCTGAAGAAGGAGGAGTTGAAGCGGAAGAAGGCGGCAGCGGATGAGTAGCTTCGCAACATGCGTTCCGCATCTCTCGCATGAACTGCGCGGAGTGTTGAACTGCTTTTTACACGACTTGCGAACTGCTGTGTTGAGACTGCTACTGATGTTTGGGAAAGATGGGAAAGACGGGGGCGACTAGGCTGCGACGGCGACCGGCTGAGCGGCAGTGAGGACACCGCCCTTGACGCGGACCTCGTCCTGCTTCTTCGCCTGCAGAGAGTGGACGTCAGCGAGAAGTCACGAGCGCTCATGAGTGTACGCACCATCAAGACCTGGTTGGCAGCCGGGTCGGCGGGCTCGGGAAGCTGCTCCCACTGGATGAACTCGCTGCGAAGGGAGAGAAGTCAACAGAGGCCGTCAACCATGCGTCGATGCGAGCGCACTTGGTGTAGTTCGGCGTGAAGTTGGCGTCGCAAACGCCGATGCGGTGGCAGTACGCCGAGACCTTGACCCAGTCGCGCTTGACGTTACGAAGGTCGCGCGACATGAAGGGGAAGCAGCGCTCGTAGATTTTGCCGAAGAGCTCGGCGCGGAACGTCTTCTTGAACTTGCAGACCTCGAGCCAGGCTTGCTTCGGGTTGGCAAAGATGTCGACGGCGCCGCGCTTGATGGCGCGCATGACAGCGGCGACCTTCTCCGGGTTCTTTGCGCGGAACTCGTCGTTGGCAAGAACCAAGATTGAGCAGAAGCAGCAACCTGCCAAAGGAGAGGCGGAGAGGAACAGTCAGCCTCGCTTCACTTCCCGGCGATACCGGGTTCTCCATTGCCAAAGCGTCGCGCGAAGAATGCTAGGATGACTCACAGCCCAGCTCGGCGAGCTCGTCGATGCGGATGAGCTTGACGTCGGACTCGGGGCGACCGTTGGCCGTGCACCAGGCCTCGAGCTCGACGCCGTTGACGGCGCCAATGCCGACGCCGGCGTCGATGCGGCCGTCGATGATGGCACCGACGACGTCCATTCCTGCGGGAGAGCCAAGAATCAACGCGATGAAGGGAGAAGAAGGGAAGGGACGAGAGAGGAAGGACGCACCGACGCGGATGAGCTCGAAGTCTTTCTCGGGGTCCATGCCGTACTTCTCGGCGAGCTCGCGAACCTGGACGGCGCCGAAGTGGCCGACGTAGCCGATGCGCTTGCCCTTGAGTGAGCGGAAGTCGTTGGTGATCCCGTTGCCCTTGCCGTCAACGCCGCCCTCGAGGTAGAGAAGACCGGTGAAAGGCTGCAAAACAGACGCATGGCGAGTGAGCGGCCGTTCGGTCGTAGTCGAGACGAGTGAGGGTTAGGTCGTCAAGTCGCAATGCTGTTTGCGCCGCGAGCATTACCTCGATCCGCTGGTTGACGGTCCGGCAAAGTAAGAATCGATTGGAATCGAAGTCACAAAGCACATCTCAGTCCGACAGACGCCCGTACAGCACCGGGCTCTTGGCCTGACCCTTACTCGCTCCTTGAGAGTCAAGCGGTGTCGATCGTGCGGACGAACCTTCAGGAGGACGCCCTCACGACCGGGAGCTAAAGGACAACACGAGGTCCTTGAAGTGGTGTAGCGGCGCAGGGAGAGAAAAGGGATCCTCAGGGGAGAGTTGGCACCTCGTCGAGGATGCAGCCGACGGAAGTCACTCCGTGACCGTTAGCTTTGGCGGCCTGTCGAGCGCAGAGATGTCGTAAGCGTGACAATCTCGTTGTAGTGCCCGAGGTGCGAGATCACGATGGTATGGACCATAGCTTTAACGCCCATGTCGATGGTGCCGCGACCGACAAGTCCCGCACAGTCCGAGGGATCGTTGGGCTCGAGGATGGCAACCGAGACGCCCTCGTCCTTGAAGTAGCCCTTGGCTTGGGCGAGGAAGATCGGGGCATGGTACGACGTCGCGTGCCAGTTGAGGAGGAAGGAGACAGGAACGTCGGTCATTCTGCTAGTGCTGTAGGTGTCGTAGGAGTGCGGGTGGGTTGGGATCGACGTTGTATTGACGCTGTGGTGCTAGGGAAGGAAGAAGAAGAAGAGAAAGAGAGGTTTTCGAGGTGTCGTGGGCCGTTGCGCTTCGGCGGGAGTAGGAGCGTTTTTCGGCACGAGCACCGCATACATCGACCCCGTATCGATTCCTCGCAGTCAAACGTGCTCGCCCAACGTCAAGGCGAAAGCAAGCGACGTCGTGAGAGCAGCACAAGAAGAGCGAGCAAGGTTGAGAAGGCCAACCGATGCCGACGATACCGCCTGCCAATCCTCCACCAGCCGGTCGTTGTCGGGCGGAGCTGGACGGGCCGGACAAGCAAAGGGGGAAGCGAAGTCGAAAAGAAGTCGAAGGCGTCGAGACACCGTCGAATTACCAGCCCCTCATTCCACCCCTACCGCTATCCGCCTTCATCCGCCCCCTTCCCTTGTAGATGATCCCGCCCTTCGCGATCTGCTCCCGCTCGTAGCGCTCCCTCGCTTCCTGCGCCTCGCGCCTACGCAACTCTGCCTCGCGCTCCTCCTCCTCACGTCTCCTTTTCGCCGCAGTTTCTTCCTCCCTATTTTGCGCCTCTAGCGCCGCAATCTGTTCCGCTGAGAGCTCGGGCGAGTCCTCCTTCCGCGCAGGAGACGCTGAGCGACGAGACGAGCGGTGCTTGTGTCGTCGAGAAGAGCGGTGTTTGTGCGAGGACGAGCGATGACGGCGGCGACGGTCGTCGTCTTCTGAGCCAGACTCATCGGTGTCGTGGCGGCGAGAGCGGTGGCGGGATGAACGGGACCAATTGCGGTCGGGCGAAGGCGAGCGAGAGACGGAGCGAGAGCGAGACCGCGAGCGGGAAGTGGCGGATGGCGAGGCGGGAGGAGGGGTTTTGGGTTTCGCCGCGACGCGGCGCTCGAGCTCGCCGCAATGCGAGATCGTAATGAGCTGTGTTGGGTGGTCCTTGGCGTCGACCGGCATCTTGCTCATCGCGACGATGATTTCGTAGCCTGCGTGCGAGACTTCCATCAGCAGGGCAGGCCTTGTTTGGACAATCCACACGCACCCTTGACCACCTTGCCGAAGACAACGTGTTTGCCGTTCAGGTGAGGGCAAGGGCGCAGGGTGACGAAGAACTGAGAGGAGTTGGTGCTGCGAGGTGAGAAACGGTGTCAGCACAACCGAGTAGGACTTACGGCCTCGTCAGCCGCTCGAGACGACCGCAACGATCTTGGTGAAGATGAGAGGCATCGCCACGAAAAGAACGAACGCACTTGCGTCCCTTGTTCGCCATGCACAACAACCCTTCCGAATCAATCTCGCGCCTCAGGTCCTCGTCCTCGAACGTCTGGCCGTAGATCGACTCGCCGCCTTTGCCGTTGCGCATCGTAAAGTCGCCGCCCTGGACCATGAAGCTATTGCGAGCGGACGAGGGTTAGGACGAGCGGGGCGAAACAGCGAGACGACCGAGAGACGGACGCACCCTGCGATGATTCGGTGCATGGGCGAGCCCTTGTACCACAGCGGGATCCCAATCTCGTTCACGCCCTTTGAGCCGGTGCAAAGAGCGCGGAAGCTGTGTCATTGCAACAACAAGAGATCAGCGTCTCCTCCTGGCTCGATGGCGGCTGCTGCACTCGCGTCACCCATTGAGAACTGCAGACTCACTTCTCGACCGTCTTTGGCACCACATCCGCGAACAGCTCGAAGACGACGCGACCAAGCGGTTCGCCCTCGACCGCAAAGTCGAGGAAGACACGCGGGTTGACCATAGTTGCGCGGGTGATAGAGACAAGTCTCGAGCGATTCAGCAGGCAGTCAAGCGAGCTCAGGCGCGGGGAGCAAGTTGGGTGGTCGAGGATAACCCACTGGTTGACATCCGCTCGCTCATTGCTGCTCGCTCTCTGCTGCTTGCTGGACTGGATAGGTCGGCTGCTAGGCTAGGATGGGTGCCAACGCCTCTTCACAGGCGGGCGCAGTGTCGAAAGAGCTGGACCACTACGAGGGTTCGTCCTCGCTCCTTTCGCCGTCCTCTCGCACGTCCTGAACCGCTGACGAGGGCTTGCGTGCGTGCAGTGCTAGGAGTCGAGGTCACTGCGTCGCAGGAGGAGATCAAGAAGGCGTACGTTGGTGTCTGGTCCCCGCGCCCCTGCCTCTTGCTGGTCCTCTGTCTTGCTCCAGTAGGTTCGCAGCGTTCAACAGCGCTGACAGTACTCTTGCACACGCAGCTTCCGCAAAGTCGCTCTGCGAGAACACCCCGACAAGAACCCGAACGACATCGAAGGGGCAACGAAGCGCTTCGCACGGATACAAGCCGCCTACGAGTGTTTGTCAGATCCTCAGGAACGCGCGTGGTATGATGACCACCGCGAGGACATCAGCAATGGCGGAGCGGCGGGCAGTGAGTCTCAAAACCTGTTCTTTCGGCCGGTTCAAAGGGTAGCTGACGGTCGTCTCGACTCGCAGCAACCGAGGCGGAAGCATCATTCTTCGACTCAGTGCGCAAAGGCATACAGAAACCCCGAGCGCGCGCGACGCCCGGCAGGGGCATCCAAACGCCACACCTAATGAAGTTCTTCTCGACGTCCGCCTGGTCCGGCTTCGACGATTCCCCCACGGGTTTCTTCAACACCTTCGCCACGCTCTTCTCCCTCCTGGCAGCCGACGAGACCTCCTGGTCCTCTCCACACCTCTATCCCGGCTTCGGCACCTCATCAACAAACGACGTTGCCGACATTCGAGCGTTCTATTCCGCTTGGACAAATTTCTCGACTGAGAAGGATTTTGCGTGGAAGGATGTGTACAAGATGGAGGAGGAGATGCCGCGTTGGCAGCGACGGGAGATTGAGAAGGAGAATCAGCGCGCGAGGCAGAGTGCGAAGCGGGAATACAACGAGGCTGTCAGGGTGCGTCGTGATCGTTTCCCGGTCCTTCTTCTCCCGCTCGCTGACGGGCGACGACTCGCAGAACCTCGTCATGTTCGTCCGCCGCCGCGACCCCCGCTGGACAACCACCACCTCTGCCGCTCGCGCCGCCGCCGAAGCCGAGATCCGCGCCTCACTCGCCGCCTCCGCGCGCGCTCGCGCAGCCGAACGCGAAGCGAACGCCGCAGCATACGAAGCGCAGGATTGGCAGCGGGGCGGGAAGGGCGAGGAGGAGGTTTTGCGGATGTGGGAGGAGAGGAGTGAGGTTGGGAGCGGTGAGGAGGAGGAGGAAGGGGAGGAGGTGGATGAGGTTGTGTGGTGTGAAGCTTGCGAGAGGGGGTACAGAAGTGGCGGAGCGTGGGAGAACCATGAGCGGAGTCGGAAACATGTCAAGAATGTCGAGCGGTACGTTCCGCCGTCTCTCCCCATCGAATCTCCTCTGGACCTCGCTGACCTTGCGAACGGCAGCCTCATCCGCGAGATGCAACTCGAAGATGCCGAGCTCGGTCTGAACGGTACCGCGCCTGCCTCGGAACCCGACGAGCCCGCCTCACCCGTCGCCTCTTCCTCACGCTCAGCTTCGCCTTCCCCCCCTCCTCCAGCGACTGCAGCAGACGCCACCGCTCTAGCTGACTCGCTCGCCTCTTTCTCCGTTGCCATTAATGACGACGAAGACGACCTGCCCACCTCTTCCACGAAGAAGTCAAAGAAGAAACAGCGCGGGAAGAAGCCCACTCCCCTTGCGCCTGATTCGCCCTCCGACTCTGATGACCTCGCAGCGCTTGGGATCGCACAAGGGCGGAAGAAGCGTAAAGGAAAGGGTAGGCAGGGGTTCCCTCCGACCGGCCTCGATGCCGAGGAGGAGGAGCTGGATGCCGAAGTGAGCGGGTTGAAGGAAGAGGTGAAGTTGGACTCGAGCGATGAGGAGTGGAGGAAGGGCGGAGGGAAGGGGAAGAAGAAGGGTGGGAAGAAGGGCCGGAGCGGAGTGGGGACCGCGAAGAGCGGGACGGCGAGTCCGGCGCCTCCAACGCCTGCTCCTGCGGCGAGCGAAGAGGCGGGCGAGGCCGAGCCAGAGAGGGAGGAGGAGGACGACCGGGCGACGAGCAAGAAGGACAAGCGGCGGGCGAAGGAGACGCTCAAGAAGGGCGGTGGAAAGGGCATAGCGGACGCCATCGTGCGTGCTCTCGTCTTTTCCTGATCCCCGATGTCACAAGCTGACTTTGCGAGATGGACCGCCGTGCAGCGCTGCAACGTCTGCAGCGAGTCGTTCGCCTCGCGCTCGAAGCTCTTCCAGCACATCAACGACACTGGCCACGCACTCGCCGACTCGTCAGCCGGCGCAGGCTCGTCCAGCAAGAAGAAGAAGGGCAAACGATAGATCCGTTGGTCTTGCGTCGAGCTGCAACTTGCGACGCCCTCTCTCGACTCGCACGGACTGCGCACTGGCCGCCTTCTCGCGTTCCGTGACCGGGGTATTCGTTCAAGAACACCCAGCAGAAGGATCTGCAAACGGACTCACAGTCGTACGTGGGACTTTCCCGCTCCGGCTTCGAGAACGGACTCGCGCGCTGGGTGTTGCTGTTCCGCTGATGCGACTTGCGAGTCGTCGTTGCATTCGGCCTGGAGTGGCTAGAGGATCGTCGTCGTTGACGGCGGGCGGGGCGCACTTGTTCGCAGTCGGAGGGGACGAGGAGGAGGAGAGGGTCGTCTCGCTGCGTCGCGGCAAGCTCCTTTCGCTGGCTTGTGAGGGTTCTTTCGACGTTTGAACGTCACTGTCGTCGTTGCCGTCACGAATGAGAGCGCGCCTTGACTTTGCATTCGACGAGAGTCAGGGCGAGACAACCAGCCAGCCAGCCAGCTTGTTGCCGTCCTCGCCTGCGCTGTCTGCGTGCTTGCTTGCTACGTGCACACGCTCATACTCGTCAGCTACACCTGCTAGACGCACCCAGCCAGCCCGCGCGCTTCGCCGTCGTTGTCGCGCTCTCTCACGACCCGCCCGTTGGCTGATCAAGCGTGCGTCTCGTCTCGCTCTCCTGGAGGACTCGCTGGACGGCCTAGCTGACCTGGAGTGTCCTCTCGATACATCAGATTCGCCCGTCCTCGCCCTTGTCGCCGTCGCCGCTGCCCGCCACCCCTTGCACCCCTTGTGCGCCTCGCCCTGCATAGACTTGGCCACCCTCGACTCTTCCCTCCCTCTCACGACATTCAAAGGAAGCTACTATGGCTTCGCAGCGTATCTAAACGCCCACTCTTCCCACCCAGTCACCCAGCCATCCCCCGACTCGACTCACGCAACTCGCCACACCCCCTCGTCCCCTCGCCTCGGTTCCTGGCCGGCAGTCTTGGTCAACTCGCTTCTCTCTCACCCTTCTTCACTCTTACTTCCACCGATTCGACTTGACGCATCTCGTAAAGGATGCGAGAATCGAATCACAGCTTTCCTGCGAATGGGAGGGCCGCCATCTGCGTCCAGTCGGGCGTCTACGACCGAAGAGGTGAGTCGAGCGGGCGCGCGCTTCCTTTCGGTTGTTCGGCGGGTTGTTTGGACGGGATGGAGCGAACAAGACGAGCCAGACATGGGAAAGCGCTCGAGCGGAAGACACGCCTCGGATGTGGCGGGAATGGATGACGAGTCGACTTGATCGCTCTCGCCGGAGCTACCACGCCTAGCATCTCCTGCGGTCTACCAGGACATAGAGAGCTAACCATTCGGTCTGCGACAGCGCTCGACGCGCCGACGGCCTCTCTCCCGCTCATCAACTCGCTTACACACCTCTCCTATCTGACCGCGACCTCTCCCCGAATCCGTGAGATCCTCGCACACGACGGTGGACTCGAGCGGATAGTGCGCATTTTGAAGCACTGCGCGCAGGGCGGGCCTCCTGCGCAACAAGCCGCGTCGCTGGCCGACTTGAAGGGCAAAGGAAAGGGTGCGCTGCCCCGCGCAAGCAGGAAGAGCCCGTTCAAGGCGTTCGCCGAGTACGACCTCTTGCCTACGCTTGACGACTTGCGCGAGTTGGAAGAGTCGGATGTGGACGGGGCGTTGCTCGCGCTCGTTCCGGACGGCGACGTGACGGGATACACCTACTCGGTCCCTTCGTCCCTCCTCCTCCCGCCACCAAGCAAGTTCCGCCACCTCCTCTACACCTACTCGCTCGCCTTTCAGTGCATCGTCAACATCGGCGTGCGCGGGAACGAGGCCATCCGTACGCGCGTCGTCGAAGCTGGCGCGGTGGACGTCGTCGTCTTTGTCCTCCAGCGGTACCTCGAGGAGATTGCGCGAAAGCGCATGCAGAATATTGTCGAGTGGCAGAAGAAGGAGAATGAGCGGATTGCGAGGATGGAGTGGATGGCGAGGCATGGCCTTGCGAGGGAGGTTGAGGGTGCGGCGATGGATGTTGAGGAGGAGGAGGAGGACGGTGCGGCACAGCAGCAGCACTACCAGATTGTTCCGACTTCTGCGTCGTCGACGTCTGTCTCGCCCGTCTCGTCTGTCCCCGTCTCGCCCCTCCCACCTTCGCCGCCCGTCCCAGCACACATCGTCGTCCCTCCCTCGACCGTCTCCCGCCCGCTTCTCACGCGCCTCAACGTCGTAGCCGCCTCATCAGCCGCCGCGTCCGCCGCTTTGCCCGCAACCTCCCTGCTCCACCCACCTCCTTCGCGTGTGCACACGCCCGACACCGTTCTCAGCCTCGACGATGCCTCGATCACGGGCGACGAGAACGGCTCGACGTCCGGCCAGGAAGTCGAAGCGGACGAGGTCGTGATGGCTTCGTCTGTGCCGTCTTCGTCGTCGTCGACTATCGGAGCGGCGGCGAGGGTCCGGTCGGAGATGGAGCGTGTCAAGGCAGCTGAGGACGCGGAGATGGCTACTCCTGTCCCGCCTGCGCAGGCGGCGGACGAGAGTGGGGATGTCGAGATGGGCGATGCGGACGAGGCGCAGCGACGGACTGAGACTGCTCAGCCTGCTGTTCCGCAGCGGTCGTCGCGGAGGCCTGCACGGCCGTCGAACCCGCGTACTCGCTCGCTCCCGTTGCCGAATCAGCAGCGGTACGAGCCGACTCTCCGCCCTGCTCAGCCCGCTCGCGCCGCACCTTCGCCTCCTCCTGCCCCTTCGCCCTCGCCCTCGCTTGCCCCGTCCGACGGCTCCTTCCCTTTCCGCGAGGAAGACGTCCTGCACTCGCTCCAGCTCCTCGCATACTTGAGCAAGTACCCGCACGTCCGGCAGTTGTTTCACGAGCCGTCTCCCGCGCTCGCTGCATCGGCGTCCAACGCAGTGCCGTACCTCTACCCCTTCCCGTTCCCTGAAGTCGCATCCTCCTCCACTTCCGACCCCTTCTCCTCCCGCCGCACAGTCCGTCGCCCCGCCTCTGCCCCAACAAACGTCTTCTCCCTCGTCGAGTTCTTCACCTACCGCCCGCCCTCGGACGACCCTTTCACGCCCGTCTATCCGGAAGACGTCCAGTATTGGGCTGGGACTATCATGCGTAACGCGTGTCGGAAGGACGATGCCAGCGGAGGGATTAGGCAGTGCGCGAACATGTTGTGTGGGAAGTGGGAGGGGTATGCGAGGGAGTTTGCCAAGTGCAGGAGGTGCAGGAGGGCCAAGTATTGCTCAAAGATGGTGCGTGAAGTTCCCACCTCTCTCAAGAGTGTAGGCGGATACTGACTCGCTCGTTTGCCACGCAAAAAGTGCCAGTCCGAGGCGTGGAACCAGGGTCACCGACACTGGTGCCACAAGATCACGAGCCGTCGTCATGGTGCACACGGGCACGACGGTTCGTCGCGCAGCGCCGCCCTCGCAGGCGCGACCGACTCGGCCGCCGACTCGGGCAACTCGACTCCCGCCTCGCCTGCTGTCGCGGCTGCCGAGGGAGGGTTCCCGCCTGACCTTGCGCAGCGTCGACGGAGGCATCACCACCAGCGTCGACGGCGTGAGGCGGAAGACGACGAGGAGGACGAGGACGATGAGGAGCTGGAGGAGTTGCCTGCGCCACCGGCGGGGGACTCGACTACCCCTCGCGCACGGCCTGTCGCCCTCCACCCGTCGGCTCAGACGCCACCTGTCCCGCACTCGCGCCGTCACCACGCCTCGCACCGCCTGACGGACAGTGTCGCGACTCCGCCTCCTCCCGCTCCTCCCGCGACGAATGCCGCCGCTGGTCCCGGAGGACGAAACGGCGTCTTCCCGCCCGGCCTCCCACCTGGCATCGCCACGGCCGAGGAAGGCGGCATGCCTGTCGGGATCGACGAGGACCAGGTCGCGCGCGAGATGTTGGCTGGCGAAGGAGGCGTGTTCGATGGCGGTGTCGTCCGCGTGCAGGCGAACTAGACCTCGCCCGGCGGATGCTTACAGACCCTTTCTCTCTCTTCTTGTTGCCTCGTTTCTTGGTTCCGTTATACTCGCCCTCTCTTCAGTTCAGGTTCTCAGTCCACTTGGTCCGGTTATTCCACGCACTTTCCCTCCGCACATGCATGACTCTCTCCTTCTGCCATATCCCCTCCCTGTCCCTCTCTTCCTCTCTCTTCGCAGGACTCGCCTCGTCCCTCGTTGTGCCCTCGTTCTTTCTCTCTCTTTGGTTTCGTCTCATGGTCTGTTCCTCCTCCTTGCTTCCGTTCGACGGCTTCCAGTCGTTGTTGCAATTCCTCCATTGTCCTCTCCACTCGGTGATGTTCGTTAAAGGCGAGAACAAGACTGGCGAGCGAGAGGGTTTGGCGAAGACGAGGAGGAGAGGGAGGCCACCTCGCGCGTAGCCGCTTGCTGTTGCCTTGACAATACCTTCGAGGGAATCAGAAGCAGCAGCACAGCACCTCCCAATCATCTCGAGCCATTGCCGCCAATTCCCTCTCGACTTGGCCTCGTCGCGGTCGTCTCGTCCTCCTCATCCTTTCTCGCACTCTCAGGATGGCCGTGCGTGTCCCTTCCCCTGCTTACAAACTCGTGGAAACCCACTGACGCTCCCTCTCCCCTCCCCGCGCCCTTTCTCCCTCTCACGACCCCCCTCATCGCCCTCACGCCTCGCCCATCAAACACACAGTCCGGATTCAGCTACACGGGCGGTCGGACAAAGTGTTTTCCTTTCTGGCAGGGTATGTCGCTTCCTGTGCTGGCTTCAGGCGGGATCTGGACGAGGAGAGGGGCGGGGGAGGGGGATGCGGGTCGGGGAGGGATTGATGAGAGGCTCGCTCCATCTACGCCACAGACGGGCGGGAGGAGGGCTGCGTTGAGCTCTCGCTGATGCGGCGTGCTGACCAACCGTGTCTCCCGGTTGCCTGGACGTCCTCGCGCTCGCAGACTTCCAAAAGTGCTATGCGGGCGCCGACCACCCGAGCGAGTGTGTGAACCAGAAGGAGGACTACTTGGAGTGCTTGCATCAGACTAAGGAGGTGCGTTGCGAGTCTTTCGCCCTGGTGCGAGACGAGACGGGACTGACCGGTTCGGATTGCACTTCCTCCTCCCTCGTGCTCGACACATCTCCGCCTTCGCCTCATCCTTCGACTGCTTCATATCGTCGATCACACTGCACTCAACTTGATGACCGCCCACTCGCTTCTCGCCGCCCGCGACAACTCACGCCTCGCTCTCCGACATCACCCCTCACTCGCAACCACTCCCGCCTGCATCAATCCTCACCCACGACAGCTCTCCCGCGCGATGCGGATCCAGTCCGAGTACTTGAACAAGACGGCGCACGAGTTGCAGGACAAGCGCAAGGCGGCCGAGGCACAGGTCGAGACGGGCGGGATCCTCGGGTTGGGACTGCTGCAAAGTGAGGGTGGGCAGGCGCAAGAGGCCAAGGCATAGGTCGACTGCGGTGTAGTGTAGATGGTGCGCCGCGCGTGTAAAACGAGGAGATGGGGTCCTTTTCGTTTACTTTTGCGTGTCGAGGACGAGGAGAGGGAGAGGAGCGGTGCGATTCGGCTCGCTCTGACGGTTCCGGTGTGAGCGGCGAGTCTTCGTACAGTGGCTGCCGTGCTGCCAGACTCTGAAGCGGCCCGTATGCGCCGTCCGAACCTCCGCAACAACTTCCGCGACTTGACCGGGAACACTCGCTCTCACAGCTTGCGACCGCGCTTGGCACTGCCGTTGAGCTTGGTGCGGCTAGTCTGTGACGCTACTGAGCCTGCCACGCACCCGATCCACCCGCCAGCACTCGCCGACTCGCCCTCGCCGAACGACCAGCAGCTCGCTCCTTTCACGCGCTCACTCGGGGTCAGCTGCTAGACAGGCGACTTGCGTGCATCTCTACAGTAGCCAGCAATGGCCGCACAACCACTCGCCAACCCGCTAGACGACAGCGCGCAATACCTTTCCCGACCTGTACCCGCAACGAACGACGCGATCGACTCGTCTCTCCCTCAGTCCGCCGTCCCGTCCATCCTCGTGTCGCCTGCGAGTCCCATGGCGCCGTCGCTCGGCACACCCAGGCTTGGACCGGAAGCGGGAGGAGGGCGGAAAGTAGAGCCTGAGCGCGGTGAGGAGGAGGAGGTGAGGGTTGGGAGGGACGAGGCGGGCGAGAATGGACAGCAGGGACAAGCGAGGAATTGGAGGAACTGGGCGGGCAAATCGCCGGCTCGACAAACGGCGAAACTCCCCCCGACTTCCTCCTCCTCGTCCTCACCTCCGGCAGCAAACCGGCACCCTTCATCTCCGCCTGCTTCGTCGAGTCGGCCACCACGCATATCGCCTTCTTCCCCACCGTCCTCTTTCCCCTCTTCCTCCTCGACTGCCTCGAACGCCCGCCAACCGCCTTCCGAAGCCCGCACCTTCTTCGCCTCGCTCGCCTCATCCATCCCCTCCGTCTCGCTCCCGTCTTTCTCCCTGTCTTCCTTACTGCCCTCTCGACTGCCAGGCGCACCGCATTTCGAGATTCAAGAGGGTGGATTCTCGTCGGACGAGGAGGAAGAAGAGGATGAGGACGACCTGGAGGACGGCGAAAGGAGGAAAGAGCTGGGTGGACAGAAGGAGGGCAAACAAAAGGAGGTGCTGATGCGGCAGAGTATGGACTTGCGGATTGAGGACGGTGAGTCTGGCGCTTTCGCTTTACGGCACTCCTTCTTCCCGCTTTCTTGGTTCGTTCGCGGTCTGCTGGGCGAGTCTTCGGGACTGTGGAAGTGCAGTACGGATGGCATGCATAGGAGAAAGGGAGCAGGCGTCGCCTCGATATCGAGCGGGACGTTGAAGAAGAGACTGCGGTTTCGACGGGTCCGCGGACTCTCACGGATTGGGTGAGCCGGCGGGGTGATGCGACGCCTCCCCAGCGTTCTTCCTGTCTCTTCTGCCTCCCTCATCGTACCGCCTCTTGCTGCGTCGAGGCGAAGTAGCACGACTGCGCCCTCCTGGCTTGGCGCATACGCTGCACGAGCGGATTCGTGTTGCGCTTCCCGACGCGCCCCAACTTCGTCTAGCACCTACTTCTCGCGATGTTACGGCGCGCTCACACTGCTCCTGTCCCCTCTACCACCCTTCCGACCCCGCGACGCCCTTCCATCGAACCGTTCCCCTACTTCGACACGACCCTCGACGAACTCGTCTCCTGCTTTCTCCCGCCTAAACCCCATCCTCGCTCTCGCCATGCCCGCTCGTCATCTGCATCGTCCGCGACTCGCCTGCGCACGCAAATGTCGCTCCCGCCCACTCCGCCTCCGACGAACCCCCCGTCTCCCGCAACCGCGTTTGCGCTGCCGCGCTCGACCACACTCGCCCGCTCCTCCTCCCTTCCCGCTCGTTCAGCCACTGACGGCCCCTCCGTCGTCTCCGACAAGAATCCGGTCGTCCCCTCGCCCGCCTCAGCCTCCCCCTCTGGCGCCGCTCCCTCGTCCCCCGCTCGTCCAGCCTTCGCGCCCCTCGCACGCACACCCTCCTCCGCGTTCGTCGCGGCCTCGAAAGAAGGACTCGTCCACCCACTCACGATGCACGCCATCGCCCGTCGCGACTCGGAACAAGAAGCTATCCGTGTCGTCCGTGCGCGGGAGGCGACTGAGCGAAAGAGGGAGAGCTCGGTCGAGAGTGATTCGAGTGTCCCTGGAGGTGCGGGAGGGAAGATGCCTGCGTTGCTGAGGGAGCAGAGTTGGACTGCGAGGGCGAGTTCCGGGCTCGCGAGGAGCGAGAGTCCGACGCAGATGAGTGATGAGGATGGGATGGCTAGTGGGGCGAGTGCGAGGCAGGGCAGCTTGAGAAGGAAGAAGGACTTGAGCGGGTCGGCGCTTGGGCTGGGGTTGGTGCATGAGGGAGCGGAGGACGAGACGGGTCGACAAGCGAGCGGGGCGACAATCACTCCAAGCACGGCGATTCCTTCAGCTGCTACGGGTGGACCTGCGTCCGTCGGCTCTGCCGGAGCATCTGGCACCTCGACGCCAAACCGCTCGTCCTTCACCCACAATCGCTCGGTCTCGACCGCCTCCTCCCGAGCCGACCCACCTCCGCCCCTCTCTGCCGCCTCGATCAAAGCGCCCAAAAAGTCATTCCTTTCCCGCTTCGGCCGCAACCGCACCGCCTCGAGTTCGTCTGCCCCGCCGCGCGAGATGAGGGAGTCGACGCCGCCAATGTCGGCGTCGAGCGCGAGTGGCGCGTTCTCGCCGACCAGTGTGGACAGGGAGACGCTTGACAGTCCGACGATGGAGTCGACCCCGATCAAGGCGGAGAAGGGTGCGGCGAAAGGCGAGAAGATCCAGTTTGCAAAGGTGCGTGCGAGACGGGTCAATTCGGGCTCTGCCCCTGCGACGAACGGCGTGCTGACAACGTGGCTCCTCTCTTTCGCACAGGTCAAGACGAAGGGCAAGCCGACCAAGGCTTTCGGCAAGCTCTTCCTCGCGCAAGAACTCGTCTTCCCCTCCGCCAGCTCGTCCTCCTCCCGCCCGTCCGCCGCGGCCGGCGACGACGACTCCCTCCACTCTCGAGACGAGACAGCGTCCCAGCGGTCCGGCAACGATGACGGCGCGAAAGGGACGAAGAAAAAGAATGCGATCTGGACGATCAAGTTCTCTGAGGACGGCAAGTACCTCGCGACTGGCGGTGTCGACGGCGTTGTGCGCGGTGCGTGCCCCTCTTATCAACGTGCTTCCTCACTGGCTGACCTGGTCTCGACCAGTCTGGGAAGTCCTCTCGACGCCCGAAGCACGCGAGGCTGCGCTCAACTCGCAGACGAGCCCGACGGCCGACAGCAGCGCCGCTACGCCAGGCGCACCCGACTCGCCCACGATCACTCGAAGCGGCGGAGCTCCCGCCACACCGACCTCGACGACGGCCGCTCCAGGTCTGCGGAGCAAGAAGTCCAAGTCCAACCTGGCGCAGACGCAACTGCCGAAAACGCCGGTTTGCGTCTTGCCTGTCTTTGCGCCGAAGCCGATTCGCGAATTTAAGGGTCACGATGCGGATGTGCTCGATCTGAGCTGGAGCAAGGTGTGACCACATCAGCGACGACTTCGTGTGTTCCGCTGAACCGTTCCGCTCGCAGAACAACTTCCTCCTCTCGTCATCGATGGACAAGACCGTGCGCCTGTGGCACATCTCGCGCGACGAGTGCCTCTGCGCTTTTCAGCACCTCGACTTCGTTACGTCGATCGCCTTCCACCCTCGCGACGACCGCTTCTTCCTGTCCGGCTCGCTCGACTGCAAGCTGCGGCTGTGGAATGTGCGTCTGTCTCTCTCCGTAGCGGTGTGACTGCCACTGACGAGCTCGCCGTCGCAGATCCCGGAGAAGCGCGTTCATGTACGCTCCACGCGCTACTACACTGCATGCCGTGCTGACAACCTGACTCACGCAGATTTGGACCGAGGTGCCCGACCTCATCACGAGCGTCGCCTTTACGCGGGACGGCCAGCGTGCGATTGCGGGCACCTTCGGCGGTTCATGCGTGAGTTCCGCGTCTCTCGCTCACCTATCTCTGCACCTTCGCTCACCTTCTTCGCTGGCGCAGATGTTCTTCGATGTCGGCACGCTCCACTATCACACCCACTTCACGGCCAAGTCGACTCGTGGCAAGAACGCGCGCGGCAAGAAGGTCACCTGCCTCTGCCCGTACCCTCTCCCCTCAAGCGGCGGCGAGCGCCTCCTCGTCACGACGAACGACTCGCGTATCCGGCTGTACCACACCGCCGACAAGATGATCGAGGCCAAGTATGCCGGCCACGAGAACATGAGCTCGCAGATTCGGGCGAGCTTCAGCGACGACGGGCGGTGGATCATTTCAGGCTCGGAGGACCGCAACGTCTACAGTGCGTCGCTTCTAACGATGTCGTTGCTCTCTCCCCTGACTGATGCCCATTCGAGCAGTTTGGGAGTCGGGGATGGCGCCGCACGAGAACGAGGGTTTCCGTCTCTCGAAGAAGCGGAAAGATGGCGCTGGTGTCGAGTTCTTCCCGAGTGCGTGGCCTCGCACGCCTTTCTTTCGCCGGTGGAGCTTACCATCCTCGTTCCGCAGTGTCGGCTCACATCGTCACGGCGGCCATCTTTGCGCCTACCATGACTCGCTCGCACCTCGCCGCCGCCCACGACCCGATTTTTGACGACGGTCACTCGCACTTTGCGCCTCTCGACCGCACCCTCTCAGGCGCGAGTCTCGGACTTGCAGGCGTGACGAGCCGTGCGACGACGATCGAGAGTACGCTGGCGGCTGGCGGGCTGACCGACGGCGAGGTGCTCGTGCCGGCCACCAGTCGTGAGGGACAGGTCGTGCCCGGCGCAGGGGGTGCGGAGGACGCCATCATTGTGGTTGCCGATGGTGCGCTCCCTTCCTCTCATCACTCAGGCAAATCAGGCTCACCCCTTCTTCACCTCGCAGCCGAGACGAGCACCATCTCCGTCTTCCGCAACTCGAGCATCCCCGTCAACGCCGTCGCCTCGACCCTCGCTGCGCCTACCTCAGGTTCGAAGCTCTCTCGCGGCGGCTCGAAGCGCTGGAGCCTCTACAGCGACGGGGCGCGCTAGTCCTCTCGTCCTCCTTACTCTCTCTTCACTGTTGTGTTCTCTCTGCCCACTTAGCTTAGGCCGGTCCTTCCATACCCGCGTTGTACCCTTAATCGCGCCGTAGATACCCTTTCTCGTCGTTCCATACCGTCTCGCTCTCCTTCTCGGGCTTTTGCCAACGCCGAGATATGTGCACATCCTCTCGCGCGCAGACCATGAGCGTTAGAGCGAGTTGCAAAAGTCGGGACGAAGCGGACACAGGAACATACTCGTGTGAAGGAGACCAGTGTGTATATCGGATAAGAGAGCTTACAGAGATAGTGCGTGATAGTCGTGTCGAACGAGTACATAGCTGCGCAAGGGGACGGCTACGCAGGAAACGAGATTAGGAAGGTCCCCTCAACAACGTTATTCACCGTCCAGCCGTTTCCTCAAGCGTCTCGCTCTGCCTCCCTCTTCAGCGCCTCCTCGATGTCCTTCAGCGCGCCCTTGAACGCCTTCGTCGTGTTCGTCTCGTACGTCGGCTCTTCCTCCTTCGCCTCGTCGTCCTCATCGCTGGTCTGGGTGACGGCCGCCTGGACCGTCCGCAATTCCGAAGGCGAGAAGAGATTCTGTAGAGCGAGCAAGCTGGACGACGCGGGGGCAGTAATCGCTACTGCAGGCGCAGGCCGGGCGACTTGCGGATTGTTGACTTCCCGAATGACGGACGGCGTGACGGGCGGCGGCGGTTTGCGCTTGATTGCGAGGTTGGCGGGAGAGGCTGGGAGGGAAGTAGGACGAGCCGGACGAGTAGGCGAGCGGACTGGTCGAGCGGAAGTTGGGCGGGAGGGAGAGGATGGGGCGGAAAGAACGCGGTTGCTTGCGTCAACCAGGGCGCGTTCTGATGCGAGGTCAGCTGGTGACAGATGTGTGGGTGCTGAGAGCCTGCCAGGCCGCTTGGGAGCAGAATTGGGCGACGCAAACGAGGGAGGAAGCTGCGAACGGAATTCGAGGTGTGAGGCAACTGTCTATTCCACAACTCGAGCAGCGACAGCTGTTCCACCAGTGCTCAAGGAGATCTGACAGTCACTCACCGGCGCAAAGTCAGCCTGCGGATCCCGCGCCCGCCCATGCAAGCCTTGCCCTGCGCTCGCCTCGAAAGCCTCGTCGACGCCCATATGCGCGACATGCCTAAACTCAGTCGGACTGCTTATCGACATCCTCGTCCTGTTCGCGCTGCCCTTGCCTCGTCGCGAAGCTTGCAAGGGCGGGAGGAGCGCTTCGTCGATCGAGTAAGGTGGACGCGACTGCGAGGGCGGCGCGGCGCCTCGCGGGAGAGTGTCGACGTAGCCAGACGGCGCGAGGCAGCTGAAGAGCAGTGGCATGGTGGAAAAGGGGGTGCAGGAGATTGTTGGTCGGCGGGAAAGCAGAAGAGAGATGAAGAGGAGCAGTTGAAGGAGAGGCGCGTGCGGGATGGCGCGGCGAAGGCGTGTGTCGCGATGCAGATGCAGGCGGCAGAAAACTAGTAAAGTCGCTGTAGGCTCTCTGCTACTCCCGCGAAGCCGTCGCGGTTCGAGGCAAAGCCTGCGACCGCTGGGAGCCTCTGCCTCACACCGAGGTGCGCGTGTCTGCCGGAGCGAAATGGGATTGCAGCACCTCCTACACCTCGCTTTCGACGCTGTCCGCACTGTCAGACGACGCCTCGCTCGACGTGTCGTCCGACTCCTCGCTCGAGTCGTCCGCCCTTCGCCGCGCCTTCCTCTGTTTCCGCTTGACCGCCTTCTCCAGCTCACCCAGATCTGGAGGCACTCCCAGTGCGTCTCCTACTGGACCCGCTGACCGAGCCGGACCCGCAGCGACACCCTTCAAGCCCTCCATCCGCTTCTCCCATTCCTTCGTTCCGTCCTCGTCCCGCTTCCTCGTCTTCTCCTCAATACTAAGCCCGTCCCTCAGTCTCCACATCAGATCTTCCTCTTCCCCACCGACTCCAAACGAAGACGGCGCGACGTCGCCAGTCGAAGCGCCGAGCGAGGGTCGGAAGAACTGAACTTCGACGCCGGAGAGGGTGTCGAGGAGCGACGGACTCAGAGCGGGGACAGTGCGGCCTGCTCGAGCCTTTGGCGAGGAAGGGGAGGAAGGGTCGAGCGAGGGAGGAGAAGGGAGGGGAGGCTGCGAGGCAAGATGGTCATTCGATCGCTGCTCACGCCGCGCCTTGCGCTCAACTCCGACGAAATATACTCACTGAGGAGGGCGCTGCTTGTGCTTCTGCAAGGAAGCGCTGAACCTGCAGTAGGCACGAGTTCAGTGAGCGCATTCAGGTCGAGGCGAGACTCGGGAGGACCTACTGCTTCGTCGGCCTCGTCATCGCCCGCCTGTCGCGTAGAGGATCGAATAAATGGTAAGCGATACGTTGCTCGCGGTCGGCCTTTTTCCAGACGGCGAACCCGTCGCAGACTGAAGTGCCTTGCGGCGTCGACGACCGGTCTGCCTGCACTTTGTCGCCGCGCGCTCGCCTGGAAGACGGAAGTTACTCACGCACCTCAGTCAGGCCACTCAACCTCCTGCTCAGCCGCCGCACCGGCATTCCCTTGACCGCAACCTGGACTCCTCGCTCAACCTCCTCTTTCGTCGGCGTCTCCAGCCGCCTCAGCCGGTCCTCCACAGTCTCTGACTGCCGTTCTCTGTGTGCTCGAGCATCAGTGTGGTCGCGCGAGGGGTTTAGACGAACGCACGGTGATGTGGGGCCGGGAAGCGATGAGGACGAGGGCTTGGGAGGAGACGACGGGGCGCGCAGAGCAGCAAAGCGAGCAGCAAGATCAGGTGGGAGGGCGTTGGTGTCCAGCGGGGACTTCATGGCGGGAGAGCGACAGGAGCGAGTGAGCGGACGAAGGGAGAGAGCGGGAAGAAGTCAAGTAGCGACAGCTTGCGATGCGAAAGTGCTTCAGGACAATCTACGACAAGGACACAACCGTACGACGCCCGCCTCAACCTCAGGCGAACGACAAACCAGCGCCAATCTCCTCCCCGACCAGCTTCAAGCACCTGAGCGCCAACTTGGCGACGTCCATCTCGTCCTCGTCATGTCCAACTCCGCCACGCCGTCTGCGACCAACGATGCCGACCTTGCACCCGGCAGGAAGGCCTTCCCACTCGACCTCTTCGTCCTCCTCCCGCAAGCCGACCGCAAATCGCTGCGGCATGTACGCCTGTACGATACTCGGCTCGCTCCGCGCCACCTCCAGCAGATCGATGAGGACACCGTGGAGCTCATAGAGATGGGCGAGTGGGGAGCGCAGCATGGCGTCGCGGACGCGGTCGCGAGGCGAGCTGGACGAGAGGGGAGTTGGCGAGGCGATGGCGGAAGAGGGAGAGGGCTGTGTCGAGGCCCAGAGGGTATCACGTGCGAGGCGGAGCGCGGAGAGTCGTTGCAGGACGTAGGTGAGCTCCTCTTGCCGGATCCTGCGTACAACTAGGTGTGAGTCTCGAGTCGCCGTTTCTCGAGCGAAGCGGACGCACCGAGGGAACGGCATCTTGCCTCGCAAAGGCGCATCAGCGATGTAGGTCTTGATGATAGCGGCGCAGCGGTTGAGAAGCGATGGCACGCTCAGAGCGGCGAGTCGTTGCCATGCTGGGTCGGAGGCTGCGAGCAATCGCCCGTCAGCGAGCGCTCGTAGTGAAGGGAAAGGTCCACTTACCCTTGTGGCCATCGCACACGAGGAACAGCATGTCCAGGCACCAGTACGCAAACCGCTCCTTGCGGTTCTCGACGATCTCGACCGTTGTGCCAAACATCTCGCCCTTGACCTGCTCGTCAAAGTCGAGGCTGAAGCGAGGCTCGACATGTGAGTCGGGGAACGGATCGGGCAAGTCGAGACGGTACAGTCGGGAAGCGAGTTGGAGGGCTTTGGCGAGTCGGCGGACGAGGTTTTCGGGGACGCGGGGAGAACCGAGGTGAGGCAGCACATCGTGCTCGAGCGATGCTGTATGCGGCCGTATTAGCTTGTGCATCGGATGCAGGAAGGACGCAGGCTCACCTAGGAGAGCAAGGTCGAACTCTTCCTCGCGATGCAGGTCGGCGCCGCGCTGCGTCGCCGAGTCCCGGCTGTTCGCGGGAGACTTAGCGAAAAATCAATGGCGAGAGAGCCGCCTGGACGCACCTCGAGGCAAGCAAGGCTTCCGCAAAACCCTCGACGAGCTGCGTCCACACAGCTTCCTCCGTCGGAGGCGGCAAGTCTGTGACACCAGGCTTGAGGTCAGCTGGCGCTTAGTCTTCGCTTTCCGAGCGGCTCACCGAGCGTCCCAAGGGCGGACACGACGTCGCGCACCGCTTTGAGGTAGTTGACCGTCGCCGTCTTCCAGAGAGGCTCGGCAGACCCGAACTTGGCCGGCGCAGGACAGTCGTGCTTGAGCCGCATCGGAAGCGTATACACCTACAGGGGGAGCGCTTGAGTAAGCGATCAACGCAGAGAAGCGGCACAAGAAGGAGCGAACCTGCAACATCCGTTCGACGGCGCCCTGCTCGTAGACGGACGGCTCGTCGCTGTACTTGCGGTAGAGCCACTGCACGTGCGGCATGACCTCTTTCGCTAGCGCAACGTACGTCACACGCTGGCCGCCCATGGCCATGCCGGATGCCGACGAAGTCTCGAACGGCGCGACGAACGCGAGCTTGAGGTACTCGCTCAGGTCGGAAAGGACGGCAGACGCGGCGCCGGGAACGTCGTCGAGCTTGATGACCGCGACGACCTCGAGAACAGCCGACTGCAGGGGCATGAGGCCGTCGACGTCGGCTCGGTAATCAGGGCTTCGCTGGTAGGTCAGGGTGGTCTTGAGAACGGCGAGGAGGCGTTGAATGCGAGAGAGGTCGAAGGTGATGTGCGGAGGAGTGTAGATCGGGAGTGCAACACGGACAAAGGCTTCGAGGTTGACCTGCGTGTAGATCTTCTCCTCGTTCGGGCCTGCGCGAGCGTTCTCCTCGAGGGCCGCGCCTACGTCGTCCCAGGCCTGCCATGCGACTTCCCACGACTTGCCGATGCGCTCAGCCGCAGACATGTCGAGCGAGACAGTGAGAACCTTCTCCAGTGCCTGCATCGCCGCAGTCGCTGGAACGGGTCGATCGCTGACGAACGAGTCCTTGATGCGGTCGACGAAAGCGGTCCAGATCTCGTCGTACCGTTCGACCATAACGAGTTGCGAAAGGTAGTCGAAGAAGACGTCGCCGAGGTAGCGCAAGGCGAGCGTGAGAGACTCGTCCCACTGCTTGTCCACCAATCGAATCGGCGGCGCATTCGGCTGCGGGACGGTTTCCTCGCTCAAGTCCTCGTCCTCCGCCGCGCCAGGGTCGTTGCGCCGTCGGATAGTCGATGTGATGTCGTCCACGAGCGGGAAGATGACCTCCCAGCAGCAGGCGTCCCAGGTCGCATCGTCAAGTGTCGAGCCGTACATCGAGATCGAGCGGAAGACGTTGGTGATCGCCGCGTCGCGCACTTCTTGCCGCGAGTCGCGGCAGAGGGCGAGGAGGTTGTGCAGCAAGAACATCCACAGCTCGCCGTGAGCGACTTCGCTGTCGCTCTGTTTCCGCTTCGCCTGGACATGGTCGGATACGCCCCAGATCAAACCTCCCGCCTGGAGAAAAAAGAGGCATTAGCGACAGGACTTTTGGATGAGGTGCGAGACCGCGAGACTCACGGTGAGGGCGACATTGACATCCTCCGCCTGCTTGCCGAACTCGGACAGCGTCGTGATGCAGTCGCGCAGTTCAGCAACGTCGAGCGCGTCCAGGAAGTCGGTGCAGATGAGCTGAAGGGACGGAAAGCTGGTCCGAACGAGGACGGCAGACTTGGCACTCTTCGCTCCTCCGTCGACGCCGAGGTTGAAGTACCCGTTCGCGCCTACGCTGCTACGCATAGGAGTCATTGGACCGACGCCATCATGCTCTGTGATCGTGTCGAGCGAGCGGCGAGGTGCGGATGGGACGACGGGCGAAGGCGGGGCGAAGAAGCTGGCGGTCGGGCAAGCGGTGCGGAGGATGTGGAAGATCTGGGTCCAGCCCGTGACGAACGAATGTCCGTTCGCTTCGAGGATTTTGAGGAGTGTATCGAGCGCGAGGCGGCGGATCTCGACGTCGGGAGCAAGCTGCAACCGGGGCGCAGGTTCAGCTTGTGCGGCAAGCGCGTCGAGCACTTGCGTCTGCCCTCGCTCCTGCAGCTCGACGTCCGAGGCGAGGTCGGAAGCAGACAGCGCCTTGATAGAAGCCGTGAGGACGGTCCCGAGTACGTCGGCGGCTTGCAGGCGGATCGGGGTAGAGGTCGAAGTCGAGTGAAGGACGAAGAGGAGATGCGAGGTGAGCAGCTCCCAGCCGACGTCTGGCGGTCGTTGGACGAGTCGCAAGACGTTGAGGAGTGCAACAGCGCCCAGCTTGGCAATACCGAACGATTTGTCGCCGCCCCTTGTCGAGGCGCCCCGACTCGTGCTAATCCCGCTCGATCGTCGTCGACTGCGGTCGGGCGTATCCAGCGGCGTCGTCGAGCCCGTGCTGCCGTCTTCGCTTCGGTCGTCGCCGCCCGCAGAATGCGCCACTGTTCCGTCCTCGGCCATCTGCAATCCAATCATCTCGCCGCTCAGGCGACACAGTGCACCGAGGAATTGGCGGAAGGCGCCGTCGTCGAGGTTCGTCGACACCTCAAACAGCTTGGCGATCGCTTGTTGAACGGCCAGCTCGTCCGCCTCGGTCGGAACAACTGGAAGAGCCGTCTGATCCGACGAAGCAGACTGTCCCGCGCCCAATCCGCTCGTCCCCGCCTTACTTGGCGTAGCGTGAGCGGCAGTCGCAGGCACCTGTGTCCGCTTCTTTGCGCTCTTGACGGTAGATGTCGCGCGGATAACGAAGTCGGCATTCTGCAGCGTCTCGAAAACGCAGAACCACGAGTAGCCGAGTGAGCCGGCGAGGTAGTGCGCGACCGACATTAGTGCTCGGAGGCAGGCGAGGTTGCGGGAGGAGAGGCCGACGGGGAGAGAGGCGGAGGAAGAACCGCCTGCGAGGAGGGCGAGCGATTCTGCACCCGCTGAGAGGACCGCTGTGGCTGCTGCAGCAGCGGACGAAGGCTTCGAGGCGTGAGAGGCGAACGGATCTTGCTGAGAGGCGATGTGAGAGACGACGGCGGGCGGCATGGCAAACTTGCAGAGCGAGGTGAGGAATGCTTCTCGAGGCGTCTCGAGGTTGAGGACGCCGAGGACGGAAGTGAAGTTCTGTAGTGAGGTGACGACGTCGGAGAAAAGGTCGTCGGAGAGGGCTGTGGCGATGAAGAAGGACATTGAAGCGAGAAGGGCTGGCCAGGCGGACTCGGCCATCGAGCGCACGACCCGAAGTGACGCGACGTGCGGATCTCGCTCGTCGAGGCGGTCCCAATTAAGAGCGGGGGGTGCCAGACCACGCGTCGTTTGTTGCCGCGCGACGACGTCGCCATAGGTCGCGAGTGTGAACGAGGCGAAGCCGTCTGCGAGGGCCGACAGGCACTGCAGGGCGAGGAGGAAGATGTAGGTCTCGGGGATCTGCGGCGGTTCGGCTTTGTCGAGCTGATCGATGCATTGAAGCTTCATTGACGCCGTCTGGACGTCGAGGCTGGGTCCGGCCGCCGCGCCTCCTGCCGCGGACACTGCACCTGCCGCAGCCGCTACGCTGCTCCCGACGACCGATCCTGCCGCTTGGGCAAGTCCGTAGCCCATTTCCATGGCGCTGTCGATAACGGCCGAGCCCGTGACGCCCGTCGAATTCGCCGCTGGACTCATGCCTGTCGATGCATGACCTGCTGACGACCCTGCGCCGCTCGAGAATACCGGTCCGAGTGACGAGCCGTACATGACCGCTGCGCCGACGCCGAGTACGGACGGCTTCTCCGTCGCGAGGCGATTGAAGGCGGTCATCATGTCGCTGAAGACAGTTGATCCGCTCGCCGGCGACGCCCTCCCCTTCCCCTTGTTCCCCGACCCACTCCGCTCCCCCGCCTCTCGCGTCGCCGCATCATACCGCTGGTAGACCTTCATCATCAGCCCAAAGTCGCTGCACAACCCACGGAAGATTTCGAGCGCGAGAACGCGCATCCACAGCGGACTGTTCTGACCCGCTGCGGGGCCGGCAGGGTGTCCTCCTTCGCCTTCGCCACGGTCGCCTGGTCCGATGACACGGACGAACATAGTGAGGAAGACTTCGGATTCGAGGGTGAGGAGGTCGGAGAATTGTTTGAGGAGGAGAAAGACGACGCGGGTTAGGCGGAGGGTGAGCGGGAAGGAGAAGGTGAAGGAGGTGGAGGAGCTGAGAGCCGAGTGGGGAGGCGAGGAGAGGAAGCGGATGAGAAGCGGGCAGAGGTGTGCGCGGAGGACAAGCAAGAGTTCCGGGTGCTGTTGCCTCAGGAGTCAGCTACTGTTCTGGTCTCCAACGAGAGAAGCCTCACGCACCGTCCGAACGATGCCACCAAACCCGCTGACGATGCTCTCCACCAACTCGAGCCCAAACGTCCTGCTCAGACTCCCCCATCTCAGGAAGCTCGGTTCGCCATCTGGAGCGCCCTCTCCTCCCGCACCCGCGATGAGCAGACACAAGTCTTCGAGGAGGAGGTACGCGTCCCTTGCTGCTGGCCGAAGCTTCATTGAGCGCGTCTCGTTCTGCGGCTCGGGCAGCAACGTCGCGCCAAACGCAGGCGTCTTCTGCGGTACCTCAGGCGACGAGGGCGCGTCTCCCGGCAGGTAAGGTTTCTTTCGCGCTATGGACGTAGCGAGCGAAGCGGCGCGGTCCTCCTCAAGAGGCGGGATATCGACGTCGAAAGTCGCGGCTGGTAGGGACGGGTCGTTCGGATCTGATGAGAAGGCGACGAGGGCGTCCTCTTCGCCTACGCGCTCGAAGACGAACATGAAGAGCTGGCGAAGGGTGGCGGAGGCGGTGGAAGCGACAACGGGGATCTTCGAGGTCGACAAGCGATGCGAGAGCTCGAGGGCCTGCACAGCGACTATCAGTACGTGCTCCGAGCGACAGAGACTCCGAGACGCACTCGACCCAACTCTTCGCCCTGCACCAGCTTGCCCGTGCGCGATCCATCCGCAGCAGGCGAGTTGGTCGTCAAGAGACTGCTTAGGATCTGCAGAATCTTGAGCTGGATTTCCACGCCTTGCGGAATGACCTGCTCGAGCGTGTCGAGAATCTGCTTGACGAACGTCTGCCAACGATTGAAGGATCAGCGAGCTTCACCACACTCGAGAGGGGACGGCGGACGAACCTTCGGCACCGCTCCTGCAACAATGAGCCGCTGCAGAGCAGACATGGCGAGCGCAATGACTTTCGCATTGCGAGTCGGCGAGGCGAGAAAGATGGGCTGATAGAGTGGGTGTTGGGAGGGAGGAGGATCTGCGGGAGGAGGAGAAGATGAGCGAGAATCCCGCTTTAAGTGTACCAGGAAATCCGACTCGCCTGCCCTGAGCTCTTCAAATGCCTGCTCTTTCGACTGCTTGATCAACTGATGCGCCTTGTCCGCCGCCTGTCCCGACAAACGATCGCGAATCCTTCGGTCAACGCAAGATCCTCGCTCGACGGCAGAGAGAGCTAGGAAGACGCACGTCGCGAACGTCCGAGTGTCTCCTCCCTGCCTCCTTTGCCAAGCTGGCGTAGTCTGCGGCCAGAAGCGCCGAGGACGCCATCCTGTCCCGGCGAGACGTGCGGGAAGCGAGTGGGGAGGCGCGGGAGTGTCGACGAGCGCGTCGTTCGCTGTGCGCGCGTCTGGCGGGGTCAGAGCGAGTCACAGAGCGAGTCTAGCACGGTCTAGCGCAGTCAAAGCGAGTTGTTGGCGGACGAGGAGCCGTCTTGCTCTCTCGTTCGCGGTTGTCGACAAACACGACCCTCGCTCGTCGTCCACAGCTCGTGCAGGCTCAGGATTGCTTTAGATGAACTCGCAGACATCGTTTACGCTTGCCACAGCCGTCAAATCAGCTCCGCAGTGAGGACACGTCGACTTGGGTTTCTCATCTCTTCCTGGCGAACAGCTTGCTCCATTGCTCTTCACCGCTCACTCTAAACTGCTGGAAGACGCGCACTGCTACTGAAGGAGATCGAGGATGGTCTCGACACGGTCTCAGCGGGTTCCACGTGCGTCCCTTCCTTCGTTCTCCGCCTTGCCTCATCCTTCCTCGCCACAAAGCAGGAAGACATGTGCATGGGAGGTGGTTCGCTTGAAGGGGCCTTCGGCTGACATATCTTTCATGCAGTCTCCTCGCTCACAGCCCTCACGCTCCACTCGAACCGCCGCACCGCCTCTCGCCGCCTCCCTCCCGTTCCGCAACTCACCTGCAAAGGCTCAGCATGCCGCAAGTACCAGCCCGACGTCGTTCAGTGCATCGCTGTAGGGAGCGACGGGGCGGGCGGATTGGAGTGGAAGTGCGAAGCGGATCTGCCGAACGGCGTGCGGTTTGGGGAGGTTGGCGTGAGTTGCGAGGGTTGGGGTGAGTCGGTGGTTCCCTTGTCTGTCGCGAACGCTTCACAGCGACTGGGCTGACTGTGTCTTGCCGATGCGCACAGACGGACCGGACGACCCATACATCGTTCGCGGTTCCTGCGGCCTGACGTACTCGCTCGTACGGTCCTCGGCACATCTTGAAGGCGAGGGCTTTGCCTCCCTGCCGTCGTGGTCAAAGTTGTACATGCCAGGCTCCGCCGGCTCGCTCTTCAACAGTAAGTCTCGCTTGGTTTCGAGCCTTTTCGCCCTTCCCCTTTCTTTCCTCTGCCTCTCAAATCTGACAATCTCTCCTTCACAGGCGGCTTCAACCTGCTCTTCTCGCTCCTTACACTCTACCTCGTCGCCTCCTTCCTCGCCAAGCTCCTCACACCCCTCTGGCGCCGCTTCCGCTTCCCCGGCGCCGGTCGACCCGTCGGCGGTCCTCACACTCCCGGCGGTGGTCACGGCGGCGGAGGCGGAGGCGGAGGCGGTTCCGGTCGACCACCTTTCCCTCCATCCGGTCCTCCTCCGCCTTACACGCCCGCGCCCAAACCCAACCCGAACGACGGCGCCCCGAACGCAGGCTGGAGACCTGGGTTCTTCACTGGTGCTGCGCTTGGATGGGCAGCGAACGCCTTGATGGGATCGACGAGGCCCAGGCGGATGGAGCCGGTCGAGTATGGGGCGTATCCGGGCATGGGGGGAGGAGGGTTTTGGGGCGGAGGAGGAGGAGGAGGGGTGAGGCAGAGGGGTTGGGGGATGGGCGGTACACCGCGTGCGAATGTGAAGGACTGGGACAATGACGACAGGGATCGAGGAGTCGGCACAAGCGGGATGAGGAGGAGTACCGGGTTTGGCGGGACGAGCGTGCGGTGAAGCGGACGAGTGCGGGTCAGGTAGACGTTCTCACAGCATGTAGCAACTCTCTCGTATCGCATCCATTACGCTGAACTGCTCTCGCCTCGCTCGTCCTCGTTGTCAACTCTCACCTCATTGACCTCTTCCTCCTTCCGCTCACTCGCGTATCTCGACTGGCGCTCGCAGGGGTTGCTCGCTCGCCTCGCATGGTGCTACTTACCCCAGGCTCACAGTCGCCCGTCCGCAAACGCTACCGCCGCCGCATCCTCGACGAAGATCGCATCGCAGCCCTCGAGTCGCGCGCAAGGATCCGTCGCGAGCCGTCGCTCTCGCCGCGGAGGCTCACGCTGCATCCTGAAGAGTCTGCTAAGGACGGTCAGGGTGCGCGCCAGGCGGCTGGGAACGCGGGAGTGGCGGGCGAGGGTGAGGGAGGCGGTCTGGATGGCGAGAGGAGCGAGGGGCTCGAGCGAGGCGTGGGTTCGAGAGGCGTGCAGGGCGGGGCAGAAGGACTTGATGGACACGCTGGATGTGCAGAACAGGCCAAGCGAGGCGGCGAAGCGGGACCTGCGCCTCGAGCGAAGTCGCCTTCGAGGAGGATCTCGACCGACTCGACTCTCACGCCCCAATCTTCGAGTTGCTCCGAAGCAGTCGTCTCGAATAGGCGCTCTGAGTGCACGCAGCCATCAGCGAAGAACCTCGGACCCGTCCCCGATCCGCTCAAGGTCGCGAGGGTGCTCTCGCCGCACGTCAAGGGCAAAAACCAAGCGCGCTCAGAGGACGACCTGCCAACGTCGATGGAGCAGCTGCTGAACGTCTTGCCGAGGACGAGGACGACGATCAAGAGCAAGACGCCTGGCAAGAAGCGCGACCTTCGAGTCGACCCGTTCGCCTCGCCGGTCCCTTCGCCTCGTCCTCGTCAACCCGCTCCTCGCGCCTCTGCTCTCTTCCGTCGAGCTCAGGAGGACAGCGACGAGGAGGAGCTCTTGCACAATTTTCTCGGCGCCGCAGACCTCGCCGGCATGTCGTCCAAGACCAAGACGCGATACGTCGAGCGCGCGGCAGGCGGATACCTGCAGCCCCTCGTCTTCGACTCGGAAGAGGCGAGCGAGTACATGCCTTCGGACGAGGAGTGCGAGGTCAAGAAGAAGACAAAGAAGCGCAAGAGGGCGAAGCAGGATGCCGGACTCGACGATGTCAAGCGGCTCAAGAAGGGCGAAGCGGCCAAAGGCGACTTCATTCGCCGAACTGAGCAGACGGCGTTTGCGCCGCTCCTTGCTCGCCAGGCTCGACCTGCCCCGAAGGCAGCTCATCGTCGCGCGAAGCCGCTCGCCCGCAAGAACACTGTCAGCGGGCTTGGCGACCAAGTCAGTCGGGCGACCGGCTTGAGGATCAAGATGTCTGCCAGGGCGAATCAGCAGAAGAAGCCGGCCGGACGGCGTCAGACGCTTGACTCGAGGCGCCAGCCTCTCGAGTTTGGCTTTGAGGAGGAAGCGGGAGACGTCGCTCCCAGCGCATTCGGGTGCGTACGCCCACGTCGCGGGTGTCCAGCCGTGCTGACTCTTCTCGGCATACAGGGATTCGCCGGTGTACGCCATGCTCGCATCGAAGACCGTCCACTCTCGCTTGAAGAACCGCTCCGCCGCGACTCCGCACTTCCGTCACCGCTTCGAGCCGGCTCGTCTCCCGCCTCCCTTGCCCTTCGCGTCATTTCAGCCGTCGAATAACGCCGCACAGCACAAGACCCCGCCACCGAACCTCCAGCAGCGTTCGAAGCAGGTTGAGAAGGTCGATCCGCCTGTCCATCCCGCTCCCGTCTCAACGGCTACCACTACTGAGCCACCGAAGAGCAAGTTCCGCTTCGACCGCGGTCCTAAGGCGCACAAGGCGCTCACGGTCGACGCCGAGAAGTGGTACGCCGACTTGGCTGAGGCGCAGGCGCAGGGCGAGAACCTCTGGCCTCCTAGGGCTCGTTCGCCGTCCGGCGATGCTCATGTCGCGGGCAAGGAGACTTCTCGACGCGAGGCTGTCGGCGAGCGGGTTGAGCAAGACGTCGCCAACCTTTCTGTCTCGGCGAAGAAGCAGAAGATTCTGCGCCGCCTGCCGACGATGCCTAGTTTTACCTTTGCACCGTCGCTTGAACAAGCCGAGGGCGTCGGCGACGACATTGCGGGGAGCAGGGAGGCGGCGCCGCGAAACGAGGAAGATGCGGGTCACAACTCGTCTCGCGAGTTCCGCAATGCGGCATCCGCACAGGCTGCGCGAGTCAGCAACGCAGGTCAACGAGACGTCAGCGTGATTCGTCGTCGCGTTCCGACAGTACTGGTTCCGCCGACGCCGCTCCTTCCCAGCCCGCTTCCTCGCTCGTCGTTCACATCCCTGCCTCTCCCGACCGCAGGTGGCGAGCGCCTTTTCGTGCCGTCCTCGTCCGCCCTCTTCGACAGCGTCGCTGAAGATAACGACAAGGCGTCGTCCTCCCCGTCGTTGCGGTCCCTCGATCTGCACGGCGAAGGTCCCGCCGCCGACCGCTTCATCCTCTCCGACTCGCCCCTGCTGTCGCGCATCCCAAGTCCCGGCTCCGACTCCCCACTTCCGACGAGATCGATGTCGAAGATGCATGGTCGCAGGAAGGTCGGCAGACGCTTGCTGTCTTCGTCCCCGTCGAATGCGCCAATCGTCAGCCGCGAACCGACTTCGCAGCTCGAAGTCGACGGTCTCGTCGAGCAACCTCCTTCCGACGTCTTCTACATTGCCGGCACCGAGACGCTCGAGGCAGCCGCTGTCGACCTCGCTGTCACGGAGCCGGCGCGAGACGAGGACGACGACTTTGGGACCATCTCGCTCGGATCCGCCGACCACCTCTTCGACCTTCTCGCCTCGCTTCCACTCACCGCCATGGCGCAAAAGGCCGTCGACGACAAGCTGGCGCAGGTCACGCAGCTGCGCAACGACAGCATCCTTCCGAGTCCACCGCAGACAACGCCCAGGAGGAAGAGGTGCCTCTGACCGGGCGGCGCTCGGCCCCGTAGTAGACTGCTATCGCTTTACAGGTCGTTCCTCGCAATCTGCAAGTCTCCCTGCTTTACTTTCGAGTTTCCCTCGTCGCGGTCGAGATGTCAATTCTCCTCTCCCTCCTCCAGCTCACTCGCTCGCTGGCTTGACCGCGCTATGGCTGATCCGACTGCTCAGAAGCCCTACTGGGACACGCCTGGAGGCGGCATTGCGCCCATCAAAGCCGAGTGCGTCCTTCCACACCACTTTGCCCGTTCTCATCGCCGCAACTTCACTAGCCGTCCTCCCGCTCACTACGCTGACTGCGCGCTCTCTTTGCCTTGCTGTCAGGTATGTGCTGTGGGACAAGATGGGCAAGGGGACCCGGCAGCCCGCCATTGACGACGACGCGGCCGAGGGGCGGACCAAAGCAGTGCTCAACAAGCCGTTGCTCAGGACGAGTGACGTCGCTGCTGTTCCGCCGCAGACTGCCGACCCTGCTTCCACCCACTCCCCTGCACCCGAACCGACAGGTAGCGCGCCCGCCGTCGAGCCTTCGACTACCGAGGCTGCTCCGGCGAAGGAGGAGAACGGAGCAAAGGAGGAACCGGCGGGAGAGGCGGCAGCAACGGGCGAGGGCGAGCCTGAGCAGAAGAAGGTCAAGCTGAGCGGCGCGCAGAAGAAGGCGCTCGCGAAGCAGAGGGCGCAGGAGCAGTGGGAGGCGAAGAAGAAGGCAAAGGCAGAAGCGAAGGCTGCTGCGGCGGCGCAAGCGGGGCAGGAGGGAGAAGGCGAAGGCAAGAAGAAGCTGAAGGGGCAGAATAAGGTGCGGAGAAGCCAGCTTTCGGGTTGTGTCGCGATTGAAGGCTTACTCTCGCTCGTTCCCATCACGCAGAACCGCAAGTTCGACCACCGCGCTGGTACCGGCGAGATCCGCTTGTGCCATCAGACCGCGCTCGGCAAGGTCTGCGATCGACCGAACTGCCGAGGCGACCACGACTTGGCAGCCTACCTCGCTGCCCGCCTGCCCGACATTCGCCACGCCCTTCCCACCACCGCTGACGACCTCACGCCCATCGAGACTCCGCACGCGTGCCCTTTTTTCCTCGCGCTCGGCTCGTGCCCGTACGGCTTCAAGTGCCGCTTTGGCGAGAGCCACATCCGCAAGGTCGAGGACGGACAGGGTGCGCTGGGAAGCGGATGGGAGCTCGTGATTGATGAGGAAAAGGTCAGGCGGCGTGAGGCGGAGGTGGGAGAAGGCAAGGGGAAGCTGAGCCATATGGCCGAGATGAACTTTATCTCGATGCAGCAGATTAAGGAGATTCGTGGTGGCGGGCGGACACTGGTATGTCGAGCGCGTCGTGTTGCCTGCGTGTTTCTTACTGACGCTCTTCGCTGGACAGGAGAAGTTCCCGCTCTCCGTCGAATACCTCTCGTCGATTGGCGAGCCCCTCGACTCGCGCGAGGAGAACGGCAAAGGCGGTAAGGGCAAGAAGCGTGGTCGTAATGGCGAGCCCAAGGCAGCTGATGCCGCGTCTGCTGAAGCTGTGACGCCTTCCGAGCCTGCACCTGCCGCCGTTGCGCCTGAAGCGCCGACTTCGGCTGAAGCGTCGACTTCTGCCGCTCCCGTCGATGCTGCTGTCGCATCCGACGCCGTCGCTGCCGCCTCCGCCACGCCATCTGCGACCATGGACGTCGACTCTCACCCCTCACGCACCTTCGTTCCCGACCTCGCACCGGTGCGCGCGTCCGAGAAGAAGCGGCTCGACTTTGCCGGCAAGATGTGGATGGCGCCGTTGACGACCGTCGGCAACTTGCCGTTCCGTCGGTTAGCAGTCGAGTACGGTTGCGACATCACCGTGTCGGAGATGGGCCTCGCGCAGGAGTTTTTGTCGGGCAATGCGAACGAGTGGAGCTTGGTGCGACGGCGAGTCTCGCTTCCCCTCATTGTTGTGGTCCGGTGACCATGCTCACGGCTTCGGCTAACGCAGGCACCCGAGCGAGCGGCAGTTTGGCGTTCAGATCTGCGGCTCGAAGCCCCAAGTGCTCGTCCCGGCGGCCGAAGCCATCGTCAAGCATACCGACATCGATTTCCTGGGTACGCAGAGGTTTTTGCGCTATTCGTGTGTCTTTGACAGACTGACTTTCTGCTTGCAGACGTCAACTGCGGCTGCCCGATTGACCTCGTCTTCAACAAGGGCGCCGGGTCGGCCCTCCTTGCACACGCCGGAAAGCTCGGCAAATCGCTCGTCGGCATGTCGAAGGTACTCGGCGAGGTGCCGCTTACCGTCAAGATCCGCACGGGCGTCAGCAACAACCAGCCGGTCGCGCACAAGCTCATGCCGCGCTTCCAGACGGAGTGGGGCGTCAGCGCTGTGACGGTGCGTTCCCTTCACGTTGTGCAAATTCCCTCGCCGAGCTGATGGTTCGCATACCGCTGCAGATGCACGGCCGGTCTCGACAAGCGCGCTACAAACACTTCGCCGACTACAAGTGTGCGTCTCGCTTTTCTGCTCGTATCGTGCGATGCAGTGGGAGCTCACCTACCGCTCGTTCCCGTCCCGCAGACATCGGCGAGTGCGTCAAGGTTCTGCGCGAGACGGCCGAGGAGGAAGGCGTTGCGCCCATCCCGATCTTCGGGAACGGAGATGCGTACGACCACAGGACGTACTGGGACAACGTCGAGAAGAGCGGCGTCGACGGAATCATGATCGCGCGAGGAGCGCTCGTCAAGCCCTGGATCTTTACCGAGCTGAAGGAGCGAAGAGACTGTGCGTCGACTGCCCTCACCCTCTAAGCCGGCCGCTAACTTTTGCTACTCGCAGGGGACATCTCGTCTCGTGAGCGCCTCGACATGATCGGGAAGCTGTGCGACTACGGCTTGGAGCACTGGGTGCGTTCGCCTCTCGCTTCTCGCGCTGGACGAGCCATGCTCTATCGTTGGACCGCTTGCTCCTAGAGACTCTCAGGCGACTGACTCGCTCGGTCTCGCTCGCAGGGCTCGGACCAGATGGGCGTCAATAAGTGCCGCCGCTTCGTCTGCGAGGCGCTCTCATTCACGCACCGTTACGTCCCGGTCGGCTTGCTTGAGCGCCTTCCGACGAACATGAACGAGCGGCCTTTCGCCTTCCGCGGCAGGGACGAGCTCGAGGTGCGTTGCGCAGTGCAGATACTGCTCGACACTGCTCGAAGCGGACTTTCGAGGCTGACGCTTTTCCGCTCCGCAGACACTCCTCTCCTCGGATCAGTCGAAGGATTGGGTCAAGATCACGGAGATGTTCCTTGGGCCGACGCCGGACGACTGGTCCTTCGTGCCGAAGCACAAGGCGGCGTCGCACGAGACTACAGAGGCGCAGGGCTAGAGGTTCTCTCGTTTCTGCATTGCGACCCTGCCTCGTCATTACTCGACTGAAAGAACCAACTTGCGCCTGGTCATGCGAGAGCTTCACGGAGCGGGCTGAAGCACGAACGATGAACTGGAGAGTGGCTTATTGGGGCGCCCGCCTTTCGAGCGGAGGAAGCTGCTCACCAAGCGCCTCTGCAGGGATCGACACGCATTGGAGTTGGAGATGACTGCTATTGCGTTGTTGGTCTATATATGTACGAGACTGCATAATGTACGGCACCAGTTTTCCGGGCCCTTTACATCCCGTTGTTCTGTTGGAGTCCACCCGGCGCCCAACCTCTACTTCGACCCCTTGAGCTCCTTCTCGACCTCAAAGATACTGCTAAGCGTATCCTTGATGCACTGCTCGAACCCAATCCACTTGATGCCAAGCTCTTTCTCAACGAGCGACGAGTCGGTCTTGAAGTGCGGCGAGCCGTCGGATGGCTTTGCGTCGGGGATGCGGGACGCTTGGTCAGGGAAGGCCTTGCGAGCGATCGAAGCGATTTGGGTGTTGTCGTAGTGTCCGGCAATGCAGAGGTAGCTGTTCGCGAGGATCGTCAGCTACAAGCAGGTCCGACTGCGAGAAGACGAGCACGCACCGCTTGCCCTTGGCGATGTCCTCCGTCACGCCCTTGACGTGGATGTCGGCGATGTCGCGGACGTCGACCCAAACGGGGAACGTCGTCTCGGGGACCTCCTTCGCGTCGACGACGGCCCAGACGGCGCCGGCGCTGGTGTTGATTGCGTCGAGGGAACCGACGGGCTGAGAGATGGGACCGAGGACCATGGGCGGGCACTGGAGTGATACGATCCGGTCAGCTTCGCTCGAACGGAGGATGAGGGGCGGAAGTCTGGACGCACGACCGTGCAAAGGTCCCATTTCGTCTCCGGCTCCTTCGCGATCTTCCATGCCTCCTCCTCAGCAATCTTCTTCGAAGCGCAGTAGATCTGATGAAGCCAAAGGCGCGTGAGTAACCCTCATCATCCAAGCGAGACGGATGGTGGACTCACGTAAGGCGGCTGGTCAGCCTTCTTCGCCGAGTCATATGTCGCAGGGTTCCAGTCCTTCTCGGTAAAGGTCGTCTCGGGGCCGAGCTTGTCGAAGTCAAGGACGGAGGCGAAGGAGGACGTCAGGACGACGCGCTTGACGGACGGCTCCTGCACACGACGAAAAAAGCGTACGTCAGCCAAAAATCGACGATGCCACACTGCCTCAGAGCGTGCGGCGACCCGACATAGTCAGCAGAAACGGCGACGCACCTTCTGCGCCGCGCGCAAGATCTGCCGGGTACCCTCGAGCGCGGGAATGAGCATATCGCGCTCGTTGTCCTTGACATCGTAGTGGAAGGGAGAGGCCTGTCATGACACGTCGAACGAGAGGCGGTACAGCAACGGGGAAGAGAGGCGTTGTCGAGAGTAGCGGAAGTGTGGGAACGACGCGAGGTCAGCTCATGTCCGCGCATTCTTGACGCGATGAAGGACGCACTGTGTGCGCAACAAGCGTCACACCCTTGATCGCCTCATCAAACGCGCCCTTCTCCGCGATATCCTTCACAATAGCCCACTCGATCTTCCCCTTGTACTGCGGGTGCTTCGCCTCCCACTTGTCCGCCTTGTCCTGCGAGCGGACGGTCCCGCGGACGCTGCACAGGCGAGCGAGAGGCCGGGTCAGCGAGGGATTGTGGGGGAGGAAAGAGGGAAGAGCGAACGTACCGGAAACCCTTTTCGAGGAACGCGAGGGTGACGGCGGTTCCGACGAAGCCTACAAAATGGAATCGGTCAGCACGAAGCTGTACGAGCGTTACTGACGAGCACGAGCCAAGACTCGGTACGTCGCAGCCACAAAAGCAGGCGAAGAGGGAAGGACAGCGACGACGCACCGGATGCTCCGCTGACGAGGACGAGTTCAGAGGACATGGTGTGCTGGTGTGTGTGCAGTGTGAGGTGTGGAAGAAGGAGAAGAGAGAAGCGCGGAAGGAACACGATGCGTCATGGGCGCAGTGCCCGAGTTCGACCTCGGGCAAGTGGAGGCGAGGAAACTCGGACAGGACGTTGTTGCGTGAGCCAGGCGCACAGCAACGCACAGTGTCCGTGGCTGAGTGTCGCCGCAAGCATATCGCGCCTAAGTACCGAGAGCAGGCGAAGAGTCGGCCAAAGCGGCGTCGAAGGGCGAACGAGAATTCCACGACTACTCCGCTTCCTCCGCCGCAATCCGCGCCGCTCCGTACCCTGACCGCGCCCCTCCATACTGCTGCTGCTGCCTGGGCGGAGTCGCGCCGTACCCAGTCGGCCCACCCCGTCCAGACGCCGATGAGACGAAACTCGCTTCGTGCTCGTCCTCGTCCCCTTCCTCCGTAATGACCTCAACAGGAACGACCTCCACGCCATCCGATGCGTCGTAAGCGCCGTAGCCTCCGTCGTCGCCATACCGCGAGAACGAGGGGTGCTCGCTGCCGTAGCTCGAGTCGTAGTTGCGCGACGACGAGCCGTACCCGTCTCCGCCGTACGAGTTCTGGTGCTGTTCATCCTCGTCCTCCTCGTCGTCGTACGCGAGAGCGGCTGTTCGACGCGGAGGAGGCGGGGCAGACATGACTGGCGGAGGCGGTGGCCGGGCGTTGTTGCGAGGAGGAGTTGCGGTAGCCCCCGACGAGCGGGGCGGTGGAGGTGCGTAGAGCGGGTTCTGCGTGGAAGGTACGCCAGACTGAGTCGAGAATGAGGTGAGACGGTCGGCTTGGCGGCTCTGTGCCGAAGCAGGGGAAGAAGTCGAAGGAGGGGGAGGAGCATAAGTCGGCTGGAACTGCTGGCCCACTGGCGCAGGAGGCGGCGCTGATCGTGCGCGATCTTGGGGTTTCGGGATACGATGTAAGAGACCATAGCCGACGCCGCAGCCTAACAGGCCGTCGCCGCCCCAAGACCGGTTCGGGACGAGGATAACCTCGCGCAGCACGTCGTAGTCCGAGTTGTAGACAAACAGCCGCAGAGGCTTGTCGACGTGCTGTGCGGCGACGAAGAGGGTCAGCGCGCCGTGTACAACCAAAGCAGCGAGTCGTGCGCACCGACTCGACGATGTCGTAGAAGTCGCCTTCTCCTCGCAAGACCCCGCCAGCATACCCGACAATCCAGTCGCCATACGGTACGAGACCTGAACGTGGGCTGTTGTCAGATGCAGTGCGCAGAGTAGAGAGGAATCGAGACGCACCTGCGCTTTGAGCGGGCGAGCCTTGCAGAATCTCGAGGACGTGCCAGACCTGTACCGACTCCGCCTCGTCAGCTCACGTTGCCACTTCTACCTTTTGCGAGAGAACTCACCTGCTCAAGCGCGTGCTGCGGGTCACACAGCCGTAGACTCAAGCCTAGCAGTGAGGGCTGTCCGTCCACTGCGCCCGTCTCTCCGCCTGGTACGGCCGCAGACGACCATGTCCGCGAGGGGACAACTCGTACTTCTGCAAGACGAACGAGAAGGCGTGAGTTCGCAGAGACGGACAGGGGCAAAGGAACGAACGAACCTCGAACCTCCTTCCGCTTCGTGCTGTAGACCTGCAGCGAAACCTGCCGCCCTTCGTTCGCCTCCAGCACGTCCGTCAACAAGTCAATCTCGTCGCCCTGCGAATCTAACAGTCAGCGCAGCGTTCTCCTTCTCCTCGTTCACGTCAAAGAGAGTCGACCTCGACACGCACCAACTGCTTCCCTCCCGCCCCAACAACAAAGTCAAAGAACGGCTCGATGCCCGCCTCAGCAGCAGGCGAGTTCTCCGCGACTCGCAGGACATGGAAGGCCGCGTTCGCTGTCGAGGTTGACGCGCTGGTATCGCCGCCGGAGGGATGCGATTCGGTTTGGCCCATCGGTCGGACGGTGTCTCAGAGTGTCTCAAGAGCGATGAGAGCGCTCGCAAGCTCTGCTAGGCGGATGGAGAAAGGCGAACGCGGGCGAGGCTGTCGGGAGGTGGGGTCGAGCGGTGACGAGGCTAGGACGGCTCGAGGGGTTCCGAGGCTGGTGTACAGCGAAGCAGACACTACCGGCAAGTTCGAGCAGTCCTAGCGCGGTAGTCGGAGCTGAGCGAGTGATGTGGCCTTGTTTGACCCGCCTCTCCTCCTCGCAACTCCCAAGTCGTCCTCTCGTTCACAGACACTACTCTGCCTGTTCTGATGCCATTGACAGAGTCAAGGCGAGCGAAAGCAAGCGGAACGACAAAGCGAGACCTGCGATTGCGTACTGGCTACAACGCATCATTCCTGCGGTTTATGCTACAATACCCGCTCTCCTCAGCGCCCGACAGCCTCCATACTCCTCCTACCCCTTCCACGACTCACGATCCTGAGCCTCTCTTCCTCAACGTCCTCCGAGCCGAACGCACTACCGTATCCCGCCCGCTCAAGGCTCCTCGCAACACCGCTCATCCCGTCACTTGCGCTGTAGTCGGCCGTTCGAGCGCGGACTCGCCGCGAGAAGTCTGCTGCGTCGGAGCGATAGCGGTCGTAGTCGTCCACGGGCGAAGCGGGCGAGTCGGCTGCGAGAGGGGTCGAGGCGAGCGGGACGCGGAGGCGGATGGCGTGAGAGCGAGAGAGCGAAGAGCGGAGGGGAGAGGTGCCGGCTGAGGGAGAGTGGTTGCTGACGGTCGTAGCCGCAGAGGAAAGCGAGTCGGTGTTGAAGGGTGCCGAGCTGCCGTTCCGCGACCTGCAGAAGACGACGCGAGTGAGCGGAAATGCCGCGCAAGGACGGTTTGAGCGACGCACGGAACATCTCCGAACGCGGCGCTCGCCGAACGTTTCTTCGTGTGTTTGCCGATAGCATTGTCGAGCCACCAAGTCTCGCTCTGCGGGGAGATCCAGTCTCCGGGCTCGCCGACGAGGCCATCGAGGAAGTCGCGCTGCACACTCGTTGATTAGTGAACGACAAACGGTCGTGACGCGAGCGCGACGCACCTGCGGCGAGGGGATGTGCTTCCAGAGCATCTTCTCCCCCTCTCTCGGCGACCGCTCCCTGAGCCGCCTGATGGCGGGAGCACCAACGCGCATGGTCTCCCCCGCTCCTTCTTCCTCGTCAGCTTGCGGATCTCTCGCCATTCGTCGCTTTCGCTCGACGTCGAGCTCCTCGGAGGGTAGGTCTCCAACGAGCCTGACGAGCGGCGTGACCCCGTCGAGGCGGAAGTGAAAGAGCAAGCCGTCGACGACTCCACCGCCGGTGACTCCACCTGCCGAAAGCTGGAGCGAGCCGCCTAGCCGTGCCGAGTTCGGGTCGGTCGAGACGACGGAGGCGTATGAGGCGTAGGCGGGACGAGCGATCGAGCAGGTGACGCAAGGGCGGAGGAGGCGGTAGCCGAGGAGGTTGCCGCTGCGAGCACAGGAGAACGTGAGCTTCGACGCAATGAGAAGGCAGGAACTGAAACGCACCATCTTCGGCAGCCGATGTCCCTCGTCACGCAACCCTTGCAGCCCTTCCATCCGCGCTTCCCGACTCGCTCGCCGCCAACACCGGTTCCCTCGTTCCAGTCGCCGACCCTGTCTGCTCGAGGTGGCAGATCGCTACTGGCCGCCGGTCGTTCTCGCCGCGCCGGCTCATCGTCGAAGACCTTGTCCGGCACGCCTTCGAGCAAGGCCCGGGAGCAGACGAGCGCGCCGCAGCCCGCATTGCCGTCCTCCGCCGCATTTCCTGCAAAGGCGAAACCGGACGGGAGCGATACCTCATCGACTGCCCCGTTCCCGCCGCAGTAGAGGAGGTAGACCTCTTTCTTGCTTCGCAGCGCCATACCCATCAGCGCATTCGTCTCCTCCCTCGTCCGTCGCCCGCCTGATGTGCTGGACGTCCGCTCGACGCCGACATCGGCCTCGTCGTGGGCAAAGACGCCCCGCGACCGGACCGTCGTGCGGATCACAGACTCGTCTCCCACTTCTGAGGCCCAGCTCCAATGCTCCGCAGGTTGTACGACCGTCACACCTCCCTCATCCGTACGCGACGCATCAACGATGGGCATGCCATCGGCATCAACCGCTCCGAGCAGACTATCGATAGTCTGGCTCGCCCGCTCCCTTCGTGCCGCCCGTAGCTGTTCGAGTCTGGATTGTCGGTCGGCTGACGAAGACTGCGGTGGGGGAGAAGGCAGGACGCGCGTCCAGATGAAGTTGGAGGGTGCGGTGGGACTGATTGGACGAGGGAGGAGTTCGTTGACGGAAGGTTCCGGAGTCGGCGAGAGGAGGGAGCGCTGGGGTGGCGAAGAGGGCGGTGCGAGTGTGTCACGAGTCGGCCAAGCGCGCCAGACGGGTGGAGGGGGGTTGGAGAGAGAGAAGGAAGCCCGGGGGCTGGAGCGAACGGCGGATGAGGACGGCATGGTTCGTCCGCCCCGTGGAAGGGAAGTCGTGCGAGGGATGGAGAGAGGCTGGTTCTGCGCGATGGAAGAACGAGAATTAGCCGGTCCGCACAGTCGAGGAGATGGGGATGCCTGCTCACCCTCCAGATAGAGCCGCCGTCCGCCGCGCCCGCATCTCCGCGCCAGATCGCCGCCAGATCCGCGTCGATTGCTTCGCCCTGCGCTCGCACGTCGTCCAAAGCTTGAGCGAGCCGTGCTCGCCGTCTCAGCGCTTCGGCCCGCCGCTCTTCCGGGCTAATCTCAGGCTCTCCGTCTCTTCCTCCTACGTACACCCAGCCAGTATCCCCTGCGAGCTGATCGCCTCCTGAGCCAGGCGCAACGATATGCATCGGCTCTCCCACAGTTCCAAACCCGAGTCGACGAGAGCGAGACCGCAAGCCGGCCCGCAGCGTCGACGTGAGCGCCGCCTCCTCGTCGTCCGTGTCGCTGAACAGTTCGATGAGAGGCTGTCCCGCTGCGGGAGGGGCTGGCGGCGGGGGAGAGTCTGATCGGCGCACTGAACGTCGTCGGGTCAGACGACCGACCGAGTCGTAAAACTGGTCGGGGTCGGGGGAGAGGTGTGATGGATCAGTAACAGAGCCTGTAGTACTGGCGATGAGCTGTAATAGTGACCGGGGACCGTCGGCAGCGTGAGCGGCTTCATCAGTTGGAGGCGAGGCGGGTCGAATTCGTAGCGCGGGCAGGTCGCGTGCGGGCATGTTGGCGGGCTCGGGCGTCGGTGACTGTCGTGGGGAAATCAGAATGATGCCACTGCTTCGTCCCGACGGCGGTGAGAGCGGCCTGTCGTCATTTCGAGTCGAGGAGGAGAAGGCGAGAGGGGTCGTCGTGCGCTCGTCCGGCCCGCTCATGGCGGTCAGGCGTGATAGAAAAGCTCAGCAACAAGCAGCAGTAGTCGGAGGAGCGGCAGAGCGTTGTGAGGCGTGTGTGGTGGAAGGCCAACCCTTGCACGAAGGAGACGAGCAGAAAACATCACGCTCGACGGTGCAAGCGGTTCGCAGGCTAAACGCATACACCACCTATGTTGCACTCTGTACAGCTCAAGCCAGGTCAGACGAGGAGGGTAGGTGGATAGACGTTGTCGAATAATCGGTTAGCAATCCCGCGAATTCGCTGCTGCATGAAGTAGAACCGGTTAGAGACACTGGCACCTGTGCAGTACGAACGAGACGTACCGAAATGCAGTTGACTATGTCACGTCTAGGTCGGTGCGCTGCGCGGCAAGTTCAACCAGTGCGCGATGGCGACGAGCTCGTATCCCGTACAGCAAGACCTCTCGGACTGCTCGAGGTCGCATAGCCGGAACTGGTCGATTCTTTGATCTTGAAGGATGTGGCGAGTGGTTGATTGGCCGTGGACGAGACCGGTCGCCAGTAGGCGCTCGTACAGGGTGTAGATGCGCTGCCTGCGTTGTCTTAGAGGGATCAGCCTCGACAGGGACAGTATGAAGCGAACACGCACGCACCTCTGCTCGAGCGACAAGGCCTGCAAGTCCTCGACGCGCTGGCCGTGCCACAGGGTGACGAGCAGTCCGCCAACCTCATTCACCTTCTCCGCTCGTTCGAAATACCCGACGAGGGGCGGCACGACCGCATCGACTCCGGCGCGCTCTTCCACCTCGCGCCATTTCTGCGCTTCCCACTCCAGAAGGCTCTCGTCCGAGCCGCGACGATCGAATTTGCAGACGACGGCAAGGGTCGACTGCTCGAACGAGAGGCGAGCTTGAAAGGTGTCGTAGTTGTACGAGCTGCTCAGGCGTCGCTCAAGAAAGAGCGTCGCGGTAGACGTTGACGAGCCAAGGTCGATCGTCTCGGGGTTTTTGTCGAGTGCGACAAAAGGTAAAGGCGTGCAGTTCTTGTGACGACCTTCCATGTAACCTCCGTCGCTCATCCCGACGACATCGACAGCGACGAGCTTCGAGAGACGGAAGAAGAGGGAGGCTGGGCTGACGGGAGCGTCGCAAACGCTACGGCCGGTGCTCGGGCTGGAAAGGTGGTCGTCCCCGCCCTCAAAACTGCCGCCGTTGTCACTGATCAGCTCCCAGGCTTCGCCGTCTTCAACGGGCTCTTCCGCCTCGGGCGCCTCGGCCGTCGTGCCACATCCACCCCGTTCTTCCGTTCCGTTCTGCACTCCCTCTGCAGCTCGCCCACCCTCCACATCTTGAGCTAACCCTCCTCCCGCACCTCCTCCGTCTTCCTCGGGAGTGCCGCTAGTCGTCAAACCGATTTTGCTTGCGGGTCTGGAGGATTTCTCCTCGTCCTCGACATCGACTGGATGGTCTTGAGCAGAGACTTCCGCAGGATCTGCCGGCTTTGAAGGCGTGAGGTGCGGTGGGATGGGCTGGCCGGTTCGTAGCTGAAATGGCGCGAAGGCTGGGTCGAGCTTGGTCGTCAAGCCGGCGGAAACGAGTGCGACGAAGAGCGAGTGCAGATCCGGCTCGTCCATAATCGCTTCGCGGAGGTGGAGCTGCTGCCGTTCGGGCGAGTGCACGAGGGAGGAGAAGATGGCGAGGAGGTAGTCGGGGTGAGTGTGTGGCATGGCGGGCGTCATGATTACCGTGTAGTGAGCTGCTTGTGCCTCTGCAATAAAGGGCATGTTGGCGAGAGAAGGAGGAGCCACGAAGCGAGGAGGGCGTGACGAGCGGGTTGGGGAATGAAACGCATGGACGAAGAAAGTGATGATCGCTTCTTCTGAGTCATACAGAGCGGCCGTCTTGTTTGTAGCTGAGGACAGTGCGTGCATGAGCTGTGGAACGACCCGCGGTCAGCTTCGCTCGGGGGCTGTACTGAACGGGATTCTCGCCTTTGCAAGACTTGGCGTCGGAGACAGGGCAGCCGGACAGGCGGCGTCATTGAGCTTAAGCGTGGGCTCCTGCGCCATCTGTAAAACTGGGCAGTAAAGCCCGAAGGGGTAGAAGGGCTTCCAGAAGGTCCAGTTGCCGATGTCGACAGACGAATCCGAACCGACGCCTGCCCACTGAGCCTCACCGTCCGTGACGACGTACAGCAGGTCGAACAGAGCAAAGGATGCGTCGCGAACGCGCGCAGCGTGCTGACTGGCGCCGAGCTCGTTCTGCTTCAGCTGCGCTCGCTGCGGGCTGTGTACAGTTGTCAGCTTGCCAGGTTGTCGGTAAGATGCTAGACGAATGGGGAGACGAACGTACCAAAGCGGACAGAGGGGTTTGAGAAGCTGTATTATCGCCAGCTGGATCGCCCCGTCAAGCTGGCTCATCGGGGAGAGGAGGATAGTCGGCGGTACAGCTTGGCGCAACGTTCGGACAGTCTGCTCAGCCATCACGGAAGCAATGGTTGTCGAGATGTTCGAGGAGAAAGGCGCCAAAGGCTGCGCCGAGGAGTCGAAGGTTTGGGGGGCTCCAGCGACGGAGTCGAGCTTTGCGTGAGGCTCGTTTGCTTGGAAGGCAGAGACAGTGCCCACCTCAAGGAGGCGAAGCCTGGGGAAGAGGTCGATCAACAACGATTCAGACGTGAGGTCGAACCTGTGGAGGATGGCATCTAGCGGCGAAGCGAAGCTCGGCTGTGACATGTGCGGTGGAATCAGTCAGGCGATCCGCAGACTGCTGGGATCAAATCGTGTACGCACCAGAGGCAGCCCGTCCATACTGGGAGTTGAGGGATAAAGAGTTGGGATCCAGGCGTCGCGGGAGGAATAGACGCCTGAGCAGGGCGTGGAATAGGCAGCAAGCGACTGAAGCACAGTACAGGCTTTGGCGAGCGACTTTGCGAGAGCTGAGCGTGTGGCAGGAGGGAGAGGAGGGGAACGGGCGGGTTCATCTTTCACCTCGCCGCCGAACTACGCGAGCGGGCTCGTGCTGCGCTCCGACGGCTCACTGGGAACCCGATCCTGCTGCCACGCTCGAACCGCCCTCCTCGCTCTTCTTCTCCCCCCCCCCCACCACCACCCTCATCTCGACGAGCAGAACTCGACGTATCGGCGTCTGGACGGCTAGCAAGGCGTCTACGGAGACGAAATAGAGGCGATCGAAGCTCAGCAGGATGTCCGAGTCGAGCATCCTCGCCTCGCAGCGCCAGAATCCAGGGATACCGGTCACCCAGCTCTTCACTCGCAAGGAACTGTTCGGCAAGGGCGCATATGGCGGCGTCTACAAGGCCGTGCATAACCCGACGGGGACCGTCGTCGCTCTCAAAGTCATCGACCTCGACACGCCCGACGACGAGGTCTCCGAGATTCAGAAGGAGGTTGCCATCCTGTCGGAACTGAGGGACGCTGCGAGGCACAACATTACGCTCTACCATGGCTGCTACCTCGTCGGGCACGAGCTGTGGATTGCGATGGACTTTGCGAGCGGCGGCAGTATCCGGACCCTCGTGCGTCTCCTTCCTTTCCAACTCTTTCAGCCTTGAATGTCGCTCACTCCTCACCTGTCCCCACGCGCAGATGAAGAGCGGTCCGATCGAGGAGAAATATGCGGCGCTGATCGTGCGCGAGGTCCTCGTCGCGCTCGCCTTCCTTCACAAGCAGAACATCATCCACCGCGACGTCAAGGGTGAGCTTTCCGTCCCGATCTCGTGAGCTCTTACAACGTGCTGACTACTCGCGCCCGCAGCTGCCAACATTCTCCTCACCCAGGCCGGCAAAATCCTTCTCTGCGACTTCGGCGTCGCCGCACATCTTCAAGCAAATTCGAAGCGCTCGACCTTCACCGGCACACCTCTCTGGATGGCGCCCGAGGTGATCACGGACGGCAAGATGTACGACACCAAGGCCGACATCTGGTCACTGGGCATCACGCTGTACGAGATGGCGACCGGCAACCCGCCGTACTTTGGCATGGAGCCGCTACGAGCGTGCGCGCTCATCCCGAGGAGCCAGCCGCCGAAGCTCGAAGGCGGGACATGGAGTGCCAACATGCGGGAGTTCCTCGGCCTATGCCTCCAGATCGACCCGACGAATGTGCGTCTCGCCGCGCTTTCGCCTGCTTCCGGCGCAGCTGACATCTCCATGTCGACGTCATTTGCAGCGCCCGACTGCCGACGAGCTCTCCAAGTCCAAGTGGATCAAATCGGCGTCGAAGCTCCCGATGGTCCTCCTCCGCGAGCTCATCGCCCGCTACGTCTCGTGGATCCAGTCAGGCGGTCAGCGAACGTCAATCGTCGGCGGCTTGAACGGGAGCGAGGAATTGGCGCGGGAAGATACGTTCGAGTTGGCGAACGACCAGTGGGACTTTGACGTCGACAGCGATGAGGACGGCGATATGGGGATCGGGCTTGGCAGGGTCGAGCCGCTGGGCGACGAGCCCCCTCGAACGCTGGACGAGACGGCGGCTGCGGGACATGCGCGACCTCCGAAAGGTGCGCCTGCCGGTCCCTTGAACGGCTCGAGTCTGGCTCACCGTGCTACGCCTCGCAGTTCCCGCTTCACGAAATCACCCTCTCCTCCGCCTTTTCGACGAGGAGTCGAATCCGTACGCTCAGCCTGCAGCGCAAACCGTCATCAACCTTCCCTCCGGCTCCGCCATCAACACTGTCAAGCCGACGATCTCGATTCCCTCGCTCGACGACCTCGATGACATGTCTGCCGATTCGTCGCCTTTCGGCTCGAACGCTCCGTCCGGTTTTGGCTTTGGTGGCGCATCGTCCTCATCATCATTCGGCGGCAGCAATTTCGGATTCGGTGGCCTCTCCAACTCGTCTTTCGGGTCCTCCGCCCTCGAAGCGGCCGACGACCTGATGTCGCCCGCGACGTACAAGCCGAATCCGTTCGCCTGGACGCAGCAGAACAAGCAGCAGTCGAACGGCGGCTCGTCTCCCTTCATGCCGCCATCGCCACGCTTCACCCGGTCAGACACGCCCGACTCGGCTTGGGGCGGATCAGGCAATTCGCATGCCCGCACAGGGTCGAGTACGCCTACCGACGCGCACTTCCCGACCGGCGTGCTCGACTTGCCCGCCCCGCCGCCTCTGCCGAACGGCGTGGCAGGTCCAGCCGTCACATCGTCACCCTCGCTTCCCTCCCTTTCTTCTTCCGTCTCGGCTCAAAACGACGCGAATAACCAACTGTCAGGCTCGGGTCCAAATCGACCCTTCGCTTTCCCCGGTCCGAGACGACGAGCCGACACCGCTCCTTCTCGCCCACCCCCTGACAGCTCCATACCCGCACCCTACCCTCCTCTCGGCCAAGGTCTACCCCGCGGTCCGCCTACGACGACGCATTCGCCAGACGCTATCGGTGGCGCCCCGGCACCCTATCCGCCTCTCGGACCTGGCCTCCCCAGGCGGCTCGAGTCGCAGACTTCGCAGCCGCAACTACGAGGTCACGCGAAACAGACGAGCGGCTCGGCTTCGGCAGGGCAAGGAGGTTCGGGCGATGCAGGGCCCGCCATGGCTCGTCCCTTCGGCGGTACGAGCGCGCGAGACTTGAACAGGCCGTTCGGGTTCTCGACTGCTGCGCCCGCTGCGTATGGTGCGGCAGCTGCCGGTGGACGTGACCGGGGCTGGAGCAATGTAGGCGAACTGGGAAGGCCCTTCAGGGTCGCTGAGGGAGCACTGGCGGGCCGACTCAGGAGCGGGAGCGATAGCGGGAAGCGGCAGGCGCTGCGAGTGAGCTCGCCTGTACATCGTCTCTGCAGCTCGCAGCTAATGAGTCCATTCGCAGATCACGACCTCGGCCGCGTCCACCTTGCCGCCTATCACCTCACCTGTCGCGACGCCTACTTCCGCCGTCCCTCCGACACCCGGCGCTGGCGCGAACGGTCCGCCTTTAACCTCGTCGCCGAAGCACGCTCGCAACGTGTCGCATCAGCGCAACGTGTCCGGCGCGCTACCCTACTCGTACAACAACCACTACCCCTTCCCCGCTCCTCCCGGTTCAGCGTCTGCCTCCTCCTCCTTCTCGTCGACGACGGGGCCACCGATATCACCAGCCGCCGCACCGCCGCTCCAGCGAGGCGACAGCCAGACTTCGCCTCGAACGATTCCTGCGGCGCAGATGAGCGGGGCTAGTGCAGGCCACCGACCTCGACTCTCGCAATCGCAGACGGCGCCGACTGTTCCCTTTGCACAGGCGCATCCGCAGGCTCACCAGGCGCACCACCTTCGGACTTCCTCATCGGCGTCCATGTTGTGCGAAGAAGCCGCAACGCCTCTCGCTGCGCCTCCGCAACCTGCTTCCCCCCCCTCGTCCATCCCGTCCGTTCCGCCTACACAACTCGCTCTCTCGCTTCCTCCCGTCTCGGCCAGCTCAGCAGCAGGCCTCGTCGCCGGTCCCGGTCAGCGCAACAGCGCCATCGGTTTCCCCTTCCCTCCCGTCGGCGACCTCGCCGTTCCCTCCTCCTCCGCTCCTCCCGGCTCATCCTCCTCGACATCCTCCTCGCCTTCCAACTCGATCTCAATTCGCGCGCAAGCGGCAAGAGGTGGAGCGATCGCGACGCCTTTACCGCTCGTCAAGCCGCTCGACTACTCGACTCTTTCGACTCGGCCGGCCGTGCAGGGCGAGTTGGACGAGACTTTGCGCGAGCTCGGTCGGTGGCTGGCGGTGGTGGGCGAGGGTTTGGAGCGAGTGCTCGAAGGTGGAGTCGATATCGGAGTCGATCTCGCGAGCCGACCCACGACCAGTGCTGGGGGCGCAGAAGGTGCAGGCGCGCAGGTCGCTGCTGTCGCATAGACGAGGAGAGTCTAGGACCCTGCTGCTGTTTCCACTAGAGTATCTCTCGTTTCGCACGTCTTGGTTGTGCAACTGTCGTCGGTCTTACAGGTTCAGCCGCGAGCGGCTCGAGGATGTGCGAAGGTATCGTTACAAGGATAGCATACACTGTTTGGACAAGGGTGTCAGAAGAATGCGCGGTCAGCGAAGAAGACGGGGAGGAAAGGACGAGACGCACGAAAGCTCGCCTACTTCTTCGTCGACTCCGAGTCAGCCCATACTGGAGAGTCGTTCTGCGCTTGAGCCTGTGCGACGGTGCGGCGATTCGCTAAGTCAGCGCTCACAATCGCATAAGACGCAGACAAGGGCGATCCCTCTTAACGCACCCTGATCGCGTCCAGCCGACTCTTGCTCTCCCTCGCCAGCTCGTTTTGCGCACCCGCCTGCATCCGTCGTGCCTCGTCGACCTTGCGCTTGAGATCGGGCGAGAGGCGGTCGTACATCTCCTGGTCGGTCGGGGTGGTGACTGTCGCAGGGAATAGAAGGCTAGGTCAGCGTTCACTCGGCGTAGTGACGTCTGCTGCGCATGACTTACGAGCCATAATGGAGTAGCCAATCGCTGTAATGACTCCTGTAAGGAGAACCGCTGAACCGATGGGAATGCGACCGCTCATCGTGAAATTGTGGATCTGTGAGAGGGCGAGAGTCAGCATACCGTCCTAATCGACCTTCTCGCGCATCCGCGAGCCCGCTCGTGCGCTGCCGTCGCCGCAAGACCATTTCGCGATGAAGCTGTCGGCGGAAGGGGAGAGCGGGGACAGGCGCAACGAGGTGGACATCCTGCGGTCGCTCGACAATCTGAGTAGCTTACTTCGAGGTTCTCAAGAGTGCTAGCGAATCGGCAGAGCTCCACAGCGAGTACAGCGGCGAGAGAGTGGATGGCAAGAAGTTGAGGAGATGAAGTTGGCCATCGACGGCTCACACTCGCGCTCAGTTGGTCGCTATGGTGCGGTTCAAGCATCGCTACCTGCTTCTGCACCTGCTCTTCCCCGCCGCAGTCGACCTCGACGCTCTCCGCAGCGACATCGACGCCGACCAACCTCCCTCCGCCGAATCGACTTTCTCACCACCGCACCTGTCCGAGTCGAGCTTGATCAGCTTGCTGAGGGACAGTCTGAGCGTCAGCTTTGGAGACATCGGAGCAGGCGAAGTGGGAGGGACGTTCAGCAGTGCGTTCCCGTCTCCTCGAAGCGCTTCAAGCAGAAGCGGCTCGAAAGAGCTGCAGTCTGGGTCTGTGTTCACGATGCGGATGGTTACACTGACGCTCTGAGTCGCTGCGCAGTCAAGTACCTCTCCCCCTCGACCTCGACCGTCATCATCCGCATCTCGCGAGAACACTTCCGCACTCTCTGGGCCGCCCTCACGCTCCTGCGCAAAGTCGGAGGACAAGAATGCATTGCTAGGGTCGTACATGTCAGCGGTACGTCGGGAGGTCCGACAAGCTGGCGTAGCGGGCGAGGACGATGGAACTCGCCCCGCTCACCTCGCCGCCTGAGCCGCTCCTGACGTTCTCGCTTACACGTCCTTACAGGCACAATCCGCAAAACGCAACACGCCGCCATCGCCCACGACCGTACCCAAATCCTCCTCTCCGCCGCTCGGAAACGCTCAGCTACCGCTCGAAAACGGAAACGAGAAGCAGTGAAACCGGTTGAGGCTGGAGCCGAGGACGACGGTGTGGAGAAGCAGCTGATGGAGAGTGAGGAGAAGATCATGGCGATGGAGGCGTGACGTGCGGGGAGATGAGGCTGGCTGTAGGCGTGTTGTTGTACTCGTAACGCTCTCCTGTCGTTTCTCGTCATCTCGTCGAGCGAGTCCAGGAGGAGAAACGGCACAGACGTGATTACGGTATGGATAGACGAGAGCGCGGGGGGGATACACGACCAAATACTGACAGAGTGATAAACAGACAGGCCTGGTACGGATGAAAGGAAAGTGGAAACGCAGAACAAGGGAAAAAGCTCGGGGTGTCGTGCGAGGTTCACGGGTATACCTTCTGCAAATTGGGGAGAGGCCGATTCAGCAAGGATGAGGAGAAGGAACGAAAGAAATCGGTTACGCACCTTGATATCGCTTCCGAACGACTGGAGGATCGACTTGCGCTGCAGCTTCTGCGCCGGCGTGAGCATGCCATTCTGAGGCGTCCACTCCTCCTTGGCGAGCAAGACCGTCTGAAGCGTCTCGAGGGGCTTGAGTCCAGCGCCGCGACCAGTCGCGACGAGTTCCTCCAAGACATGCTTCTTGACCTTGTCGTTTGCGCAGACGTCAGTTGCCCAGTCGAGGCTGTCGACGCTCTTGCCGTCGACGAGGTGAGGGTTCGCCGAGAGCGACGTGCGGAGGTTCTGCTCGTGAGGGACGATGATGGCCATCGGACGGGATGCGGATGGGTCGGCGTGGACGCAGATGTTCGAGACGAGGTTGCACGACTTGTAGATCGACTCGAGGCGCTCGAGGGCGACGTACTCTCCGCCTGCAGGGACTGAAGTCAAGATCGCCCTTCGTGAGCGGACGGAAGGGAACCTACCGGCAAGCTTGACGAGGTTCTTCTTGCGGTCGATGATGCTGAGCGTGCCGTCGCGGTTCCACTGGCCGATATCGCCAGTCATGAACCAGCCGTCCTCGTCGATGACCTCCTTCGTCAAGTCGGGGCGCTTGACTGCGGGGACCTCGAGCGTCAATTCGTCCGCCAGCGATCTCAGGATATGCGGAAGGACGCACAGTAGCCCTTGAAGATACTCGGACCCCTCAAGCAGATCTCTCCCTGCTGCAACCCACCCGCATCCTTCCCACTCCCATCCGCCTTGTACCCAGCCTCCTCAAAGTCCCTAAGCTGGATCTCGACGCACGGGACAGGCACGCCGACGGGTCCGGTTTGGACGATAGCGGGAGGCAGGATGCACGAGAGAGCGCAGGACTCGGTCAAGCCCCAGCCTTGGATGAGCGTGTCGGTGAGAGTGAGGCGGAGGAAGTTCTGCGTGTCGCGCGAGATGCCGGCGCCTGCAGCGAATCATGCATGAGTATCTGAGCGTTTGAGAAGGGAGAACGGCTGCGCACCTCCGTTGATGGCGTACTTGAGGCGCCCGCCCGTCGCCTGCTTGACAGCCTTGAACACCACCGCATCCAGCACACCCCCGAGCGCACGTCCAAACACCGGGAGTGGCTTCGTTCCCTTCTTAGCCGACAAGGCGCCATGGAAGAGCGACGAGCGGAACTTGGGTCCGGCCGAAACTTTGGCGAGGATACCTTTGCGGATTTGTTCCCAGACGGTCGGGACGCCGACCATGATTGTGGGCTGAAAGGCGCGCATGTCGCCCATGCAGTTGCGCATCGAGGTGTCGGTCAGGGTTTTGACGGAGCCGTCTGCGAGGGATCGAGGGTTCAGCGAGTGAGGACAATGTCGGAGGAGGAGAGCGACTCACAGCCGATGACGATACCAACGTAGAGAAGAAGGAACTCGACAGCCATCTCGAAGATGTGACTGAGCGGGAGATAGGCGATGAAGCGAGCGTCGGGGGTGATAAACTCGTGAACGAGCGAGAGGGCTCCTCCGACGACGGCGGTGATCTGCCTGTTGGTGATCTCGACGCCCTTCGGTGCGCCAGTCGAGCCAGACGTGTACATGATGCACGCGACGTCGTCTTTTGAGGGCTTGTTGGCCGGGTGAGGCGACTTGCGACCGAGGGCGACAAACTCGTCCCAGTGGAAGAGCTTGATGTCGGCCTTCTTGAGCGAGTCGAGGACGGCGGGCTTGACGTCCGACGTGGCGCCGTCGTAGACGAGGACTTTGACGGTCGGAGTGTTGGCGATGACACCGGCGACGACGGGGAGGAGCGCGGCGTTCGTGAACATGCCGTACACGCCGGGCTCGTTGAGCGAGTGGTTAAGCTGCGCATGATTGTAAGCGGAGTAGGAACAAGGAAAAGACGGCTGAACGCACTCCCTCCTCGCCGAGGTTGTCGTAGGCGGTCGCAAAGGTGATGCCCTGGGTCGCGCAGGCGTTCGCCATGACCTGCCAGTGCGCGCTCGTGCTGGCGTAGATGTTGAAGATGGTGCTCCTCGAGTGGCCGGTCTCGACGAGGGCAGAAGCTACGTCGGCGACCATCTCGCCCAGCTGTTTGTAGGTGAGGTACTTGTAGTCGCTCATCTCGTAGTAAGTCCACTTCTTGGTCTCGGTCGTCTCTTCGCCGTTGACCATCTGCGCGTCAAGCAGTCAGCCTCGCGAGCAAAGGCCAGCCAAGACGCGGAAAAGTGACGGCGAACCTTCTTGACCTGCTTCTCCTCGTTGTGCAGCCTGATGGTCTCGCGCCATCCGACAGCCTGTCTGTCAGGCCTGGTGCGGACAGAGTAGCCGAGCAAGTCTGCGACGACCTCGACGTCGGGCGCCGGAGACTCGACCAACTTGTCCGCCGTCGCCGCGAACCTGCGCGGACGGGACCTGCCGGGCTCAGCGGGCGGGCCGACCTGCGTGAGCGTCGAGCGAGTGTCAGTACAAGCGCAGACCGATGCTCGTGGTCGCCGGGCGGTGTGGCGAGAGTGCGGTGTGGCAGTTGGAACGAGGGACGAGGTGGGGAGGGTCGCGTGAACCTGGACGACGACGACGGCGCGAGCGTACCTCGATAGAAGCGTATCGTCCAGGCATTGCTGTCTGCGCTGGAAGTACACAATGCACACGAGCGAGAGGAGGAGCAAGAGCGAGAGCGCGGTGTTGTACGAAAAGTTGACCGGGACGACAAGGTTGCCGACTTGGAAGCAGCGCCGATCAATCAAGCGCACCCAGATGAGACACGCTTTAGCACCGCAATTCGTAATCGAACGAATACAAACGCGCGAGGGTAATCAAAAGGTAATGCGACGACAGCTCTACCTCGAACCGCTCACTTCGCTGCTCGTTCTGACGCTCGTGACTGGCTTGCTGCAATCGTTTGACCCTTCTTCTGCTCGCCGGAACGGTCTACGAGGTGCGCACGCTCTCCCACGCCCTCCTCACCCACTCGCGATGCTCATCAATTCTTGTTGGCACAGACCCGCCGAACTCGCCTGTCAGCCGCGCAGACACGCCGAGCGCGCCAGCAGCACCGCACATATCTCGGCGTCACCCCCGCCTGCCTTCCTCCGCCGCCATGCCCCGCCTCTCACTCGCCCAGACGCTCCCGCCCGAACTCCTCACGCGCATCTTCGGCTGGCTGACAGAGCTTCAGGCCGACATACATCCGCGCGGACGATACGATCGGGAGACGATTGCTTGGAGCGTCACTTCAGCTATCGCCGAACTTCGAGAGGCAGCTCTCGGCTGCCGCCAGTGGCGGGCGCCTGCTCAGCGACAATTGTTCCGCTCGATTAATCTCGACTATGACAACGCGGCGTTGCTGCAGGACTGCTACGAAGATCGTCCAGACCTCGCAGATGCGACGCAAGCGGCAGTTTTTGAACTGCGGAAGGATTCGAGCGACACCTGGGACAGCCTCAATGCCGAATGTCGGCTGCAGCTGTCCACCCTTGCGCTCTGCAAGAACATTCGGCACCTAGCAATCGGCCTCGTCACCCGAAGCGCGCGCGACGCGCTCGTCGCTCTTCTCGACTGCGCACCTCTCGAGTCCCTCGTACTACTCGAGCGCGGGTGGTCTCATCTGGAGGTGGAGCAGCTCGCCTGCTTGTCGCCGTTTGAGTTCTGCGCCGTCGCACAAAAATCGTCGCTGCGTTACTTTCAATTCCAGCTCCGCCCGCGTTTGTCGTCGTTCAACTCGCCCTTCGTTCCCTTGCCAAACCTCGCATCTCCAATTACCACCTTGGCCATCACGATGAACATAGACACCTGCCTGGCGCGCCTTGTCACCATGGCGGCAGCCTCGCTGCGAAAACTCGCGGTTTACTCGGAGACGCCTCTCTCGCACGACAACTTTGGCTTCCTCCTCCCGACACTCCCCGTCCTTCAGGAGATGCGGATATACATGAACCCTGTCAACTTTGCCCGCGTTGACGATGCCTGGATTGCCGACGTCCTCCCCAAGTTGACCTCACTCGAAAAGTTGTTTGTTACCGATTCGATCGCGCGCCCTTCCATCGTCCTGTCTCTGCCGCCGCATCTCAAGCTGATCGAGTACTCATGGTCCGGTCAAGACATGATACCGGTCATCCACACCTTTGCCGAAGTCGTCGTCAACGTCGCCGCTCGCCTCCCTTCGTGCACCATCCGCTTCTCTGTCGATCCCGATGAATGGTATGACGACAGCAGGGACGCTCTTGATGAATTGGAGGAGACTTGTCTGCGCTTGGGTGTCAATGTGGACATCAACCGTGGCGCATACTACTTCGACATCCCCGAAAAGACCTGTATCTCGTTCTTCTGGCGCGCCCTTCCTTGCCACAATCACGTATGCGTTGATCACTGATGCTTGCATTTGCAGACCGAGCTATACTTTCGCCTCAAGGCGCCACAACTGGACTCCCGAGATCACTTTCGTCCTGCAATTCACGCTGCCGTGCGCGGCTTTTGTTGATTTCATATCGGCCAGCGGAGCGCGATGTCGGATGAAGTTCAGTCAAGCCTTACGAAAGTCTTACGACGCCGAGGGGTTCAATTCACCTCCTGCTCGGGCGCTCTCCCCCCGACCGTTCACTGCTCTCGCTTGGTTGCGCGCTGTGTCTGGCTTGCTGGGATTGTTTGACCCTTCTTCTGCTCGCCGGAACGGTCTACGAGGTGCGCACGCTCTCCCACGCCCCCCTCGCCCGCTCGCCTTTCTCATCAGTTCTCGCTCACACAGGCCTCACGACTCGCCTGGCAGCCGCGCAGAACACGCCGAGTACGACAACAGAACCTCACGCATCCCTTCGCCAGACCTCCAGTCTTCAGCCGCGCCATGGCCCGCCTCTCCCTCGCCCAGACTCTCCCTCCCGAACTCCTCACGCGCATCTTCGGCTGGCTCGTCGAGATACAAGTCTCAGAAATCCCGGATGGCATCGTTGACCCGCCATTCTGTTTGATCGCATGGCCGGTGACTTCCCGCGCACCAGCTCTGCGCTCGTCAGCTCTCGTCTGTCGCCATTGGCGGTTCCCCGCGCAGGAGATGCTGTTTCGGGCCATCGACATCACGGACGCGGCATCCGAAGCCATTGCATTCGCCTTTCGTCAGCGCCCTGACCTTGCCGAAGCTGTCCAGGCGATCAACGCTGGGCGGCCGACAGCAGAGTCGCGTTGCAGAGACAGGCTATCTTTGGACATCGTCTCCGACCTCTGTCCCAACGTTCGCCACGTCTACATCGCAAGTTTCCCTCGCACATGGAAGGAACGCTTGGCACGCTTCCTCGCTTCGCGGGAGCTGCACACAGTCATCTCGGATGGGCGCCGGGCTAGCGTGTCCGAGCGGACCGATTTGGGGTACCTGTCCATGCAGGATCTGTCCCGCCTCGCCATACAGCCATCGATACGCAACCTGATGTCGCTCTGCACGCCGCACCCGGCTCACGTCGATCCGCCTCTGCCCATACCTCCCACTCCTCCCGCTACACACCTTACGACACTGGCAATCAGCATCTCGTGGAAACACTCTGTCGCCGTTCAGGAACTGCTCACATCTGTCGCATCGAGTCTGAAGTTCTTCGACTTCTACACGGAGACTCCGGTCACCTTCGGTAACTTCGGGTCGGCCCTCGAGACGCTGCAGACGCTCGAGGAGCTGCGAATCTACGTTGGCGTCAGCTTCGGTGTTGAGAACGACCAGGGATGGTTTAAGCAGGTCTTGCCGAGGTTGCGGTCCCTCAAGAAAGTCTTCATCACCTACGACCTCGCTCCACCCTCCATCGTACTCGCTGCGCCAGCATCTCTCGAGATATTCGAATACGAATGGTGTGGTCTCAGTTCAGAAGAGATGGTCGACTACATCGAGTCCTTCCGTAAGGCCTTCCGTCAAGGCAAGGATCGCATCCCCTACCGCACCTTCCGCCTCTCTCTGAATCCCGACGAGGAGGAGGCTCGGCTAGCGCCCAGCACTGTCACTGCGCTGTCGGATGCCTGTCACGCCCGCGACGTAGAACTGGACTTGACGTACTGGGAGGAGACGACTGGCCGCCGCTTCCCTCGCGAGTCCTACATCTCGTTCTTCTGGCAAGTCTTCCGCGCCTTGTCCTTCTCACTCAAGCTGACGCGTCACCTTGCGCAGACTTCGCTCCAGCCTCAATAGCACTCGCGCAACCCTTCTCGGCAGTTTGCACCCGTACTTCTTTTTCAATCCAGCTCTCTTCGCTTAGCGTTCGGCGGCCGAGGCAGAGTGCTCCAGCGCTCTCACCATGCGAGAAAGACTAGGAAAGCTTTGCGAGAGGTCCAGCCAACTCCCTCTTCACCCTCCCTTGCTCCGTCTTCCCTTACTCCACCCTCGCATCATCATGCTTCCATCTCCGGCCGCTGCGCCTTCACCCTGGGCTCCCTCGCCGCACCCTACGACCCTCCCAATCACCGCCCCGTCCCCCGCTCCTGCACAACCTCATCGCCGCGCCGCCTCCGCTCGCACCGGCCTGGCACCCCCTGGCGCTGGAGTCGCAGGTGCGGGCGCCACGACAAGCACAGGAGGCCATGGCATCGTCGTCGAGGAGCCGAGCGTCGAGGCGACGAGGAACGTAGCTGTCCTGCTTGGAGCAGGGATGGAAGACGAGGGCTTGCTCGACCGGGTTGAGAGGGAGGTCGAGGCTGTCTTGATGGCTTATGAGCGGGCTTTCGAAGCTGGAAACACGGGTCAACCAGGTTCGTTGCGTGAGGAGCGCTTTCCTCCTTCTCGACTCCCTTCCCCTTGAACGCTTGAACTGACATCCTTTCTTGACCGACGCGTCTGCTCAGATCTGTCAACGACGCTCTCCACCCTCTCTTCACTCGTCGCCCTCCTCTCTCGCTCTTCCGTCGGCGGCTTCGTCCCCTCGTCCGCCAGTCCTGCCGATGCGACTCTCTCGCAAAACCACCTCGACCAAGCGAACGAGCGTTCGCGAGCGCTCTACAAGCAGCTCAAGAACGTCAAGGAAGGCGCGGAAGTGGCGAGGGCGACACTGGCAGGATGAGGGTGGTCGAAAGCAGACAAGCGACACGAAGCGTGGCGAGGCAGTCGCCCCTTCTGCCCTGACGAGCACTTGATGGAAACGGCACGGGCACGGGAGTCCTCAAGTCATCGGGCGCCCCGCTGGCCGCCTTCGCGCGATCGCACGACCTCCATTCGCGAGACGGTATCGTCAACTCTGCACCAACCTGCACGGTTACTACTCTCCGCGACCTCCGACCGTCCCTAGATCAATTTGCACCTCGCCAAGGCATTGTATGCAGGCTTTCGTCGTTGGTCCGCAATCGTAGCAATCCAGCCAGCATAGTTCGACACCTTGCCGGCAAAAAGACAGGTTCTCTTTTGACATCCCTCACAACTGCACGAAAGCCTGAACACCTGACAAGTCATGGCTGCGTTTCATGCGGCAGGAATTACCTTCTTCTTCTTCCTTGGCGCGAGCATGTTGACCTTCGGCTTGTCCGCCTCCTGACCCGCCTCACCGTCTGCCGCCCGCTTCTCGCCCGCTCCTGCGACCACCGCTGGCAAAGGATTCTCCACCTTGACTTCCCGCCGCACTTCTCGCTCGTACCGCTTCTTCCACTCCTCCTCATTCAGCGTTTCCTCCCCTTCGCCGTCCTCCTCCGCCTTCAGTGCCTTTTCCAGTCCTTCCTCCCAGCGCTCGACTGCTTCCGCGAGTTTCGGTAGCGCTGGGAGTGAATAGTCGAAGTTGTGCAGGACGGACCAGAGCTTGGTGTAGACCGTCGGGCGGAGAGAAAGCGGGGCGGGACGAGGTGCGCCGGTCGTAGCGGACGAGTTGGACGAAGCGGACTTTGTCGGCGACGGCGGCGCGGCGACGGGAGAGACGGGGACGGATGAGAGATCGGGTTCGCCCGCTGCGACAACGAAGAAGCCGACCAGCTGCCCAGCGCAGCACTCCTGCCTGAACGCCATTCGCTCCCACCACTCCTCGACGCCACCTGGCACACCCTCGATGAGACGCTTCCGCTCCCGCTCGAGTCCGCGCTCGACGTCTGCGAGCATCTGAGCGGGTGTCTGGCCAGTCGCGAACGCGTTGCTCGCGAGGGAGAGGAAGACGTCGTCGTAGTCGCCTGGTGTGCCGGAGGAGGAGACGGAGGAGGAAGTGAGGGAATGGAGGAAGCGGGATTTGGGGTCGTCGGGGAAGGAAGGGATGTGATCGGTAAGAGGGTGAGCTATAGGCGGGGCAGGTGCATGCAACGGAGAGGAGAGGGCCGAGTAGGGATGCGAGTAGGTCCAGGCGATGGATGGCGACAAAGTGGCGGCGGGAACGTAGGGGAGGGATTCGAGGTAGCTCAACCCCGGGACGAGGTAGAAGAGCTTGAGCGGAGAAGGCGGTTGGACGGCCTGCTTCGCCGCCTGCACCTCGAGCGTCGCCTTCTCGATGGTTCTCTTCCACCATCGGATCAGGCCCTTGTCGTCGAGCACCTTCTTGCCCTCGTTGTCGACGCTGCCAGGGAAGAGGTACTGTCCTTGCGCGCGAGCAAAGATGTGGACGCGCACCCGCGTCGAGCCATGCGGCGGGTGGAGGAGGAAGTAAGAGATGAACGACGATGCGAGGGTGCGAGTAGGCGAAGGTCCAGAGGAAGGGGGTGAATGGCCGGAAGTATCGACTTTCGAGATGTAGAGGAGCGAGGTCGAGGTCGACGGGATGGTGTAAAGGGACGCTTCGAGGCCGGCGACGGGGACGTGTCGTTGTTCTGTCCTCTGCGACGTCTCGCTCGTCCCGTTCGAGCCGTTCGCCGCGGAAGAAATCGACGCAACGGGAGGAACATCGGTGGATGCGCTCGCAACGCCCGTAGCTGCGCTCCCCTGGCCGCCGAGCGCGTCCTTCTCCACTTGCCCTCCAGCTGCCCCCGTCTTGGTTTGCACTGCGCTCTCCGCCGAGACGACAGCCTCCCTCTTCTCGCTCACGACCACAAACACCTCCTCGTGCCACACCTTTGCCGTCTTTGCGTTCGAAGCGTGCGGGAAAAGGGCATGCGATCGTCGTGGCTGGCTACGGAGCACGTCGACCGCGTACGCGTGCGAGCCTGGGACTGTCGCGAGGGCGGAAGAGAGGTGGTCGAGGAGCGTCGGCAGCATGGCGCGGCGGTGTGGCGGATCGAGCGCGCAATTCCAGAGTTGTACGATTGAGTGCAAGCCTCACGATTCAGCCACAGCACGGTCAAGCGGAAGCACGCGGTTCGCAAGAGGCAGAGTGCGACTCTCTGTCCACAACAAGCCACTCGCTCACGGACTGAGCGGGTGCAAGTGCTACAGAATGACCGAAAAGAAGTCACTGGCCGACCTGGCCGATTCAAAGGAGCCGCTGCTGCCCCTGCCGACTCCCTCGTCCTCCTCCCCACCTCGCCAGACTCGGACGTCGCTTCTCAAGGCCGTCGTCGCTCTGTGCGCGCTGGGATCGCTGTGGTACCAGTCTGGGCCTGCGATCTCCACGGACGGACTCGCTCGCGGCGGAGACTGGCGTTCTCTCGCTCGTTTCGGTCATGCAGGATGCACGCACGGGAAGGGTCGTCTTGCGTGGCAGGCGACGAGGCTCAGCGAGAAGGACATTCAGGACACTCTCTTGACGGTGCCATCCGCGGACAGCGCGAAGAATGCCTCACGAGCGTGCGTCGCCCATTCACTTTCCTCTCCTCGAAGGTCGACTAACTTTGGACTTGGCTCTTCGCAGCTACACCGCTCATGCTCACGTCGCCGGCACGCCAGAGGACCGCAACGTCGCTCTCCTCATCAAATCGCAATGGGAGGACATCCTCGGCGCTGACGCTGACCCGGAGAACAAGCGAGTCTTTGACGCCGGAACGGATGCGAGTCGTGAGGCGCTACTCGGGCGCTCGAAGCACGGAAGGCACGGGCGACACGACAACAAGAAGCACAAGAAGCACAGGAAGAGTCTCGTCCGCAAGATCCGCCGCTGGATGGACAAGATCGCTCGTCGCGCTCGACACGGCCACCCTCACGGAAAGAAGCGCCACGGCCATAAAGGCCGCCGCGAGCCCCACCTTGAACGCCCGCGCGTCTGGACAGACACGTACTACTCGCTCCTGAACTACCCCGTCTCCGCCTCCCTCTCAATCACGCCACCCGGCGCATCCGAGCCGTCGTGGCGCGCCAAGCTGAAGGAGGAGGTTTTCAAGGAGGACCCGACGAGTGGCGAAGGACCCGGCATTTGGCACGGTTTCAGCAAGAACGGCACGGCCAAGGGACAGCTCGTCTACGCCAGTCGCGGGACGAAGGAGGACTTTGAGCTGCTCAAGAGCAAGGGCGTCGACGTGAAGGGCAAGATTGTCGCCGTCCAGTACGGCGGGTCGTTCCGCGGGCTTAAGGTCAAGGCTGCCGCGGAAGCAGGCGCTATCGGCGTCGTCATTTTCACCGACCCGATCGAGGATGGCGACATCACGGCATCAGCCGGTCACGCTGCCTACCCCGCCGGACCCGCCCGCGCACCGTCGAGCGTCCAGCGCGGCTCCGTCCAGTACCTCTCGCTCTACCCTGGCGACCCTCTCACGCCCGGCCAGCCGTCCTACAACCCCGACTTGCCGAACGCGCCCGACCGCCTCGACCGCGACGACCCATCCGTCAATGTCCCGACTATCCCGTCGCTCCCCCTCTCGTACGAAGACGCGATCCCGCTCCTCAAAAGCTTGAACGGAAAGGGCTTCAAGCTGGAGGATGGAAGGGAGGGCAAGCCGGAGGGATGGAGGGAAGGCGCTTTGCGCGAGTATGGCGTCGAGTACTTCACTGGTCCTGGGGAGGACGAGATTGAGCTCGTCAACAACGTCGACGACAAGATTACCCCGATCTGGTGCGTGGCGCCAGCAGTTGCATGGCCTTCTCACCGGTAGACCCGGAACTCACGCCTCGACCTTGCTGGCCGGTGCGCGCAGGAATACCTACGCCCTCATCCCCGGCCACATCAAGGACGAAGTCGTCGTCATCGGCAACCACCACGACGCCTGGACGTTCGGCGCCAGCGACCCCAACTCCGGCACCTCGTCCATGCACGAGACCGTTCGAGCGTTTGGGGCCCTGCTTGAGAAGGGTTGGAAGCCGTTGCGCACGATTCTCGTCGCTGCGTGGGACGCCGAGGAGTACGGCTTGATCGGCTCGACCGAGTTTGGCGAAGACTTTGCGCCGTGGCTCAAGAAGAACGTCGTTGCGTACCTCAACGTGGACGTCAGTGCGTCGGTCTCCGCCTCCACCGGTCCGCGGAATGCTCACTGAACTCTCGCTTGCACAGGCGTCTCCGGCCCTATCTTCGAGCTCAACGCCTCTCCCTCCTTCGCCGATCTCCTTCGCAACGTCTCAGCGCAAGTCCCGGACCCGAGCAGGGAGGGCAAGACGCTCGCTGACGTCTGGGAGAATGGCGACGACGAGGAGGAAATGACGGACGATGAGGGTGAGAAGAAGTTGTTGCCCGTCGCGGCGCTCGGCTCGGGAAGCGGTGCGTCCCCTCCTTGCCCTATTACGTTCGAGAACTGAGGACTAGCTCCCGCAGACTTCACCGTCTTCTTGCAGCGCCTCGGCATCGCTTCGGCCAACTTTGCCATGCGTCGCAGCAAGAAGAGTCCTGGTGCGCATACGCCGAGGCTTTACCAGCTCTGGTACCGGACACTGACATCTTCGGTGACTTCCGCAGTCTACCATTACCACGTCCGTCCTGCTTATCCTCCCGTCTTCCCCTCGAGACTGACGGCTTCCCTTCCTCGCAGTCCAACTACGACAGCTTCCACTGGCAGTCCACGTTCGGCGATCCGACGTACCAGCGCCACATTGCCGTCTCGAAGGTACTTGGTCTGGCGGCGGTCAGGCTTGTGGACGACCTGGTGTTGCCAATCAACGTGACCGGTCAGTCGCCGTCTCCTTCATGCAGATCTTGGTGTCAGCGACAAATCTGCTGCTCAAGAAGGCGTACTGACGACATACCCGCCTCCCGCAGCCTACGCCGTCGAGCTCGGCAAATACGTCGACAAAGTCGCCTCTCTCCCTCTCGCATCATCCCTCGACTTCACCCGCCTCCGCTCCCTCACAAGCGCGATCCTCCTTACCTCTCAACGTCTCGAAAGTAAGGGCATCAAGGTCGCTCACGCAGTCAAGGAGAAGGGCGACAAGCGAGCGATTCGCCAGCTGCGCGCGGTCAACAAGGCGATCAAGGCGTTCGAGACGGGCTTCTTGGGTGATGAGAAGGGCCTGAAGGGGCGCGAGTGGTATAGGCATCTGGGAGTCGCTCCCGGACGATGGCTCGGATACGGTGCGTCCCCTCTCCTTGCTCTCCGAACTGCTACTCGCTTCCGATCACGACATTCGCTGAGGAGGGCATGCCCTCCTCGACGGCGCTCTCATTGACCTCGACGCCACACAGGCGCAACGACCCTTCCCGGACTGGCCGAGGCGCTCACGCTCGACGAGGACGTCGAGCAGGCCAAGGTCGAGATCAATCGTCTCGAGAAGGCGTTCGGTACGATCCTCAAGGGGCTCGTCAAGGGTGTCAAGGCGTAGAAGAGGCTTCAGCGATGCTGCTGTCGGCGTGCAGGAGCTACGACTTGCGCCCCCTTCGAAACGGTGAGCAGACATCCTCGAACCCTCCCCGTTCCCTCTGTAGATAGGCTCGTAAATTCTGTCGTTACTTTGTCAGTACTCCTACGGCATCGTACGTCCCGCAAGAGAGAGCGCACGGGGCGATCCTCATCGCCTGAGGAGGGTCTGCTTCCTCCCGTCCACCTCGCCTGCCTGTCCAGCTCGTTCCCGCTGCCAGATCAGCTCTAGAAAGTGTCCAGGAGGTGCCTTCGAGCCAGCCCAGCCCGCCAGTCGTTGCCGCCGTCGAGTGCAGACGCCGCCATGCTCGCCAGTTCTCCACCTACGGTCCCGCCTCTCTACCCGCCGCAGAGCAGCCGCACGTACGCTGCGCAGGCGTCCCCATCGTCATCTTTCCGCTCTCTGTCCCTCGGCGATCCGCAAAAGCGCCACGACAGACACTCGTCCCCGTCCGCCACTTCCTCAATCAAGGAGGCCGCAAAGGAAAAGGTCAACGGGGCAGGCAGGATGCAGACGAGCAAAGGCAAGGGCAAACAGGTTGCTCAGGAGCAGCTGCAAAGCAGCACTGGCGACGATGTTGCCGCCTTGGAGGCAGACGCAGCGGACGACCTTCCCTCCGTCCCTCTCTCGCTCGACTCGCTCGACCTGCCTCATACCAGCTCTTCCGAGATGAGCGGCAAGGACAAGAAGGGAGACAGGCGGGATGACTGGCTGGACGCGGACGGCCGGCCGCGCTTCGTCGGCAACTCGTCGATTCGCTCGGACGCGGACGAGCCCATCCTGCGGGAGACAGACCGGCGATTCGTGTTGTTCCCCATCAAGTATCACGAGGTGCGTTGCGTTTGGGGGGAACGCTTGTTCGGGAAGGCTTGGGGGCTGACTGGCTTGAATGGACAGGTCTGGGGAGCGTACAAGAAGGCGGAGGCATCTTTCTGGACGGCGGAAGAGATGGTGATTTCGCTCGCGAATCCGGTGAGCGAGCGAATGCTGATTGTGCTACTCGCACAGGACATTTCGAAGGACCTGTGGGACTGGGACCGACTGACGGACAACGAGCGGCACTTCATCTCGCATGTCCTCGCCTTCTTCGCCGCCTCGGACGGCATCGTGAACGAGAACTTGGTGGAGAGGTTCTCGGCCGAGGTGCAGATCGCCGAGGCCCGCTGTTTCTACGGTTTCCAGATCATGATGTGCGTCCGCCCGTTTCGACTTCGACACGGATCAGCCTGACCGTTTCTGTCGCACGCAGGGAGAATGTTCATTCCGAGGTGTACTCGCTACTCATCGAAACGTACATTCGGGAGCCGCTCGAGCGCGAGAAGCTCTTCAACGCCATCGAGACCAGTGCGTTTCCTTCCGCTCGAACACCCACACAATGTTCTGACTGTCCAATTTGCAGTCCCCTGCATCGCCAAGAAGGCCGAGTGGGCGCTTCGATGGATCTCGGACCCTGGCGCCGTCTTTGCGGAACGACTGGTCGCTTTCGCCGCTGTCGAGGGCATCTTCTTCTCCGGCTCGTTCGCCTCGATCTTCTGGCTCAAGAAGCGGGGCTTGATGCCCGGTTTGACGTTCTCGGTGCGTCGAGACTCTATGTCGGCTCCCGGGACCACCGGCTGACGGACTTGTCCCGCAGAACGAGCTCATCTCGCGCGATGAAGGTCTTCACACCGACTTTGCCTGCCTTCTCTTTTCGCACCTCGAGCGCCGACCAGCACCCCACCGTGTCACCCAGATTATCGCCGAAGCCGTCGAGATCGAGCAAGAATTCCTGACGGACGCCTTGCCCGTCGGCTTGATCGGCATGAACGCCACCCTCATGCGACAGTACATCGAGTTCGTCGCGGACCGATTGCTTGTCGCGCTCGGGAACGACAAGCTGTACAATGCCGAGAACCCGTTCGACTTTATGGAGATGATCTCGATGGAGGGCAAGACCAAGTGCGTTCTCCGCCCTTCCGCCTGGCTTCGTCCTCGACTGACGCCTCCTGTCGTGCAGCTTCTTCGAGAAGCGCGTCTCGGACTACCAGAAGTCGGGCATCATGACCCGCGTCAACGCCATGTCCCGCACCGCCAGTGTGGCCGACACTGCCGGCAGCGGCGCCAGCACGCCCTTCGACGAGCACGGCTCGCTCATCTTCGACGCCGACTTCTAAGCCTCTTCGCCTTTCGCCCCTCGCACCTCGCACCTCGCAAAGCCTTTCTTGTATCGACCATTGCTGACACTGTCGCCTCGCCTGTCCAACTCGACACCACCCCACTCTAGACCTCGATGTTCCCACTCTCCCAGTACTCTGTGTGCGTGGTCGTAGCAGCCGTACATCCGTGCTTGTACTCTTTCCCGCCGCGGCCGTACCGTCGCGGATTGTTCCCGTTGTAGCATCAAGCCAACCTCACCCCTCGCAACGCATCTTTCCGATTCCTTTGACGTTCGTGCCAGCGTCTTTTCCTTGCTGCTCCACTGCGGACTGCCTGAAAGACAGCCGCCGACGTCGTCGAGTTCGCTCTCCTCCCCGCTTTCGCTTCTCCACCACGCTCGACGATGGCGAACGAGCCAGACGAGGCTGCCGTGCAAGAGTACAGCGCTCTGCTCGAGCAGATCTCTGCTGCGCCGTACCAGCGCGATCTCCACCTCCAGCGCATCCAGCTTGCGAAGTCACTCGGGTTGGGCGATGAAGTCGAGCAGGCGCGCCAGGCTCTCGCAGGCTACTTTCCGCTGAGCGAAGGTGCGTAGCAGTTCTGCTGCTCTCTAAAACGAGCTAATCCTCGCTTCTCGCAGGCGAATGGCTCGAGTGGATCGCGGACAGGAAGCAGCAGCTCCCTCAGGTCCCGGTGGACGATGTCACGCCGCACCTGGAGGTCATGGAGTTGTACAGGAGGGCTAGTCGCGACTACCTCTGTACGTACCTCCTTCACCGTCGCCCGCGAAGCTGTTTGACCCTGATTCCACGCAGCGATTCCCGTCCTCGCGTCTTGGTCGGAATGGGTCGACGGGCAGTACTACGCTTCCAAGGGTCTCTCGCCACCTCCTGCTGCAGTCGAAGAGGATGACGAAGACAGGGCGATGCAGGCGGCGGACAGGAAGGTCGGCGAGCCTGACCAGCTCCTCGAGGTTGTATTCTCGCTCGAAGAGGTCAGAGGCGTTTGCGGCGAGGTTATGTCGGTTGCGGGAGCGCATCTGGCGGAGGTGAGCATACTTGCTGCTCGATGCGGTGCGGCGAGCTGACCTCTCGTCACTGGCAGAGCTCGCGTGTCTGGAAGATCTGGCGGGACTTTGAGATGGACTTGCTGAAGGTGCACCTGGCCTCCTCCCGTTCCATGGCGTACACTACTGACATTTTCCCTTGCAGACGGACCCTTCGTACGCTCGCTCCTGGCCCTTGGCGACACTTGCTGATTTTGTCCCTCGACAGTCCGGATCAGCTCGTCCAGGTCGAGCAGCTCTACCTGGAGCGTCTCAAAGTCCCTCATCTCGGTGCGTACTGTGTCAAGGTCTTTGCGGGGTGAGCTGCTAATGACAGACGGCCTTCCGCAGACATCGCCGAAACCTTCTCCGCCTACTCGTCCTTTGTCACGACCTTCGACAACGACAACTACGACAAGAGTCTGCCCGCGGCGAACAAGATCTACAGTGCCACTGTCAAGAAGGCGGATGAGCGGTACCCAGAGGAGGAGAAGCTAGTGCGTACCGCATGCTTCGGTTCCGCCCCCCAGGCTGACCATGCTCCGCGCCCGCAGAAAGCGGCTGGTCACTCGGCTCAGGCGTATCTCGACTACGTCGCGTGGGAACGCGAGGTCAAGCGTCCCGATACCCCGCTCATCAAGGGCATCTTCGAGCGCGCGGTCAAGGACCACCCGAGCGACATCGAGGTCTGGGAGGCCTACCTTGAGTTCCTGGTGCGTCGCTCGACCTCCTCAGTAATCCAAATACTGATCTCGCTCGCGCACAGCACAAGATCCCGGAGAAGGAGTCGAACTTGCGCGAGGTCGCCGAAAAGGCCGTTCGCAACTTGCCCTCATCTGTCTCGCTCTGGACGGCTTACTTCCGCGTCGCCGTGCGTCACGTTCTTTTCGAGCCGTGCTATTCCTTATTGACGCTCGATCACTGCAGGAGAAGCTCCATCTTGGCGCCGAGGAAGTCGAGACGCTCTTCCAGCGCGCGACCGCCACCGGCCTCTTCAACAAGGACATGGATGCGACAGTCGCCCTCTACCATGCTCGCGCCAGCTTCTACCGCCGCGAGATGGACAGCAAGCGTGCGTAGCTCGGACTCTTGCTTCCCCACGCGCTTGCGATTAACGCCTGTACTCCACCCTACAGCTACGGAGGACGGCCCTGACGCAGATCTTGTTGGCTTCGCGCTCGGCGTTCTGCAAGAGGGAATCGAGGCGACGAAGAAAGGTGCGCTTGAGCATGTCCCCCTCTGCTAGTTTTCATGCTGACCTGCCGCGTCGCAGTGCACAAGAAGGGCGACCCGCAAAACCGACTCGAGAAGTACTTGATTCGGCTGGCACGTCCCCTTCCCGACGCTGTGCCGAACAATAGCTGACATTACCTCGTCCGCAGTACGAGCGCTTCCATATGGTCGACGAGGCTAGGCAAATGTGGGAGGAGTTGACGAAGAGCCGGGCGCACGACTACGCTCTGTGGTATGCGCGGGGCGACTTCGAGACGTGCGTCGCCTTTCTCTTCGCAACTCATGCGTTCGCCGCTGACCTCCTCGCTCGCAGACGAATGGGCGACTACCAGCGCGCGCATGAGGTTTACACGAAGGGCTGCTCGGAGCGGAGTCTCAACTACCCCGAGTACCTGCTCGAGGCGTGGCTTACGTTCGAGACCGAGTACGGCAACTTGGCGGACCTGGAGTTTGCTTTGGCGAAGAGCAAGCGGCAGAAGAAGGGGTTGGAGCGGAAGCGGGCGAGGGTGCGTGGTATATCCCTCGTACAGCTTCGCGCATGCTCACACAGTTCGGCTCGCAGGAAGCTGCGCAAGCAGCAAAGGCGGCCGCGGCGGCCAGTACCTCTGTCGTCACGCAAGACGCCGAGTCATTCATTGCAGGCGCGGTGCAGACGCAGGATGCCGGCGAGTCGAGCAAGAAGCGCGAGAGGGTGGACGAGGCGGAGCAGGGCACGAAGAAAGTGCGGATACAGTCGCCTGCGCAGGAGGTGAAGGAACCGACGCGGTGCGTGGCTCCGTCATGACTCTGTTGGAAGCGTAATTCTGACGCTCCTGTACGCAGGGACCGCGAGCATTCGACTGTCTTTGCTATCGGTCCGACAGCGATGGGCGAGGACGATGTCCGCAAGCTCTTCCGCGACGTGCGTCTTTCCCTCCCACAGCCTCTGCACGACGTATCTGACGCAGAGGCTTTCTCGTAGTGCGGCGAGATTCGCGAGCTGCACGTCAAGACACTCGGTGATCGCTCGTACGCTCAGATCGAGTTCATGGACAAGGACAGCGTTCTTCCGGCGCAGACCAAGGACAAAAAGCGCGTCAACGACGAGGAAGTCGAGGTCTACATCGCATGGCAGTCGTGCCTGTATGTTACGAACTTCCCCGAGTCGTTCGACAAGGCGGCAATCGAGCAGCTTTTCAGCAAGGTGCGCCTCCAGCGCTACTTCATCTCACGTCGTCGCGTGCTGATCTTACTGCACTGCAGTACGGCACTATTTTCGACACCCGCTGGCCAAGCAAGCGCTTCAAGACTTCGCGTCGCTTCTGTTACGTTCAGTTCGCCAACCCCGTCAGTCGTCGTCGCCTCTCGCGCTTGCTCGCCCTCGCTGACTTTGTTGATCTAGGCTCACGCTCAAGCCGCTCTCGAGCTGCACGGCACGGAACTCGAGCCCGGCCACCCTCTCTCCGTCTTCGTCTCCGACCCATCGCGCAAGAAGAACCGCACCGATGCCAACGCCAACAGCCGCGAGCTGTACATCGCCAACCTCGCCAAGTCGGTCAAGGACGTCGACTTGCGCAAGCTGTTCGAGCCGTACGGAGCGATCAAGGATGTTCGCGTGCCGACCGACGACAAGGGTCTCGCAAAGGGCTTCGCTTTCGTTGAGTTCGAGGAAGAGGTGCGTTCGCTGACTTTGGCGTGGCGTGAATGGTCTGTGCTGACGGTCACCCTCGCAGGTCTCTGCTCGTGCCGCTCTCGCTCTTAACAACCACGAGTTGCGAAAGAGGCACATCTCGGTGACCATCGCGGAGCAGCGAGCAGCGGGGACAAAGTGCGTCCCTCGCCTCATAGGAGGCTGACACTGTTGCTGACCGGCCGTCTGACTCGCAGGGTTGGACCGCCCGAAAAGGGTGTCGAGAAGGAGAACCGCGGCGTTCGCGTCCGCGGCCTCGATCCATCGACGCAAGAGGCGATCATCCAGCAGGAGTTCGAGAAGCTGGCGCCGGTACGACGGGTCAACTACATCGCTGGCTCGACCGAAGCGGTCGTCCTACTCGAGAACCCGGCCGTGCGTGGTGTTCGGCCGCTCTCGTCCTCGTGCGCTCACTAACCAGCACGGCTTCTTGGCGCAGGACGTCGGCAAGGTCTTGATGCAACAGGACTCGATGACGGTCGACGGCAAGAAGGTCGAACTCGCCGCCGAGCGACCGCGGCAAAACCGCAGCGGAGGCGGTCGACCAGCTCAGGGTCCTACCGACGCGCCTCTCGTCCCTCGCGTGACCTCGCGAGGACGTGGGCGTGTGGCACTGGGAGGCGGGCGCGGCGGGCGAGGCGGAAGAGGCGATCGACTGTGCCTTGGTGCGGGGCGACCAGCTGCGGCTGTTGCATCGAGTAGCGCTGCACCAGGTGACGCACCAATGGCGGATGCATCGGGGACAGGCTCTGGCAAGGGGCAAGACGCCTTCAGGGCGATGTTGACGAAGAAGAAGGACGAGTAGTTCGCCTCGCGACGCATGCCTGCTTTCGCTTCCCTGCACTCTGCTACGGCATGACGGAGAGACACTGATCCCACTGCAATGTATCGCGAGGCGTAGTCTTCGACAACAACAGGGTACAGATTGGGGGACGAAGCATGTACCGGCGAAGTGGGACAACTAACGAACAGAGGGAAGCTACGTCTTACGGGATCGCGTCGGCATGTTCTCGTCGTCGCGGGCTGGGAGGGGTGGAAGAGGGGCGGAAGGCGGCGGAAGTTGCGGTGGGAGCGAAGCGTAACGATAGGCGGAGCCATCCGACTCGCGCCGACTGCTGCCATGGCTGCTGCCGCTGCGAGACGAGTAGACCGAGCTCCTCTTCGCGTCTTGCGGGACGCTCGCCTTTGGTCTTGGCGTGACAGCCGGGGGTTGGGCGGGCGGAAGCGGGAGAAGGAAGTCGACCAGCTCGGCAGGGTCTTCGTCCGAGTCTTCGGCGTCGAGGAAGGAAGTCGAAGATGCCGAAAACGAAGCCGTGTGCAAAGAAGGGGTGTGACTGTAAGTCGGAGAGGTCGGAGGCGAAGAACGGTATTGGCGTCCGGGACGTGCAGACCTTGGCGAGCACGGTAGTCTGCGGCGACGACAGCGTGCTCTTCCGACGCCTGAGCCGATACTGGCGACGTACTCGTCTCCCTGACAGCTTCCTTCATCATGCCCAGCCAGTCCTTGTACTCGCCCAAGTCGTTCGTCCCGACGATCCAGCTGATGTTCTGCGGTTCGTCGCTTCCGAGTCCGCGAACTCTCCCGCTCAAGGCGTAACCCCGACCCGTAACCTTCAGAAGGTAAGCGGGAGCCTGCGGAGGCGCCTCGCCGGCGGTAGGCGCGCAGACGATTGACGTAGGCAGGATCTCGAGGCGCGAGATCTCGTTGTCCATGGAACGCGGTGAGACGAAGGCGTGTAGGGTGTAGGTCGACGGCTGGGAGTGGTCGAAGCCGGGGAGACGGGTCAAGGCGATTGTGCGGTTGTCGAAAGACGGGCGGGAGCCGCGGAGGTGCGCTGGCTCGATGACGACCTTTGCGAGTTGTGCGACTGCACTGCGAAGCGCCCAGCGTCAATGCCTAGCTTCAGACGGATGCGAATTCGACGTCAGCCTCGAGCAAGCCTGACCGGTCCACTCACATTTCGCAAGGCCGAATCTCGCTCCTTGTCGCCGGCCACTCCGGCAACACCATCCGCCTCCTCGGCTGACTCATTGCGCTGCTCAGACCAAGTCCCAGCACTTCCGCCGCCTTTCCCGCCGTCGAGCGAGACAATTCCAGTCCCAAGTCAGAGGGGAGTGTCGATCCGCGCTCGCTGGCTCGGTAGCGCTCGGCGATGGAAGCGGCGGGAGACGGATTGAGGCCGAGCATCTTGGCTGCTTTAGGCGGAGGGAGAAGAAGCGAGGCCGAAGCCGCGCGGGGTGAAGCGGAACGCGGCGAGGTATCGACTGGCGACGCAGACATCGGCGAAGCCAGGAATCGGACGTGACGTCCAGTCGGCGGCGCCGATCCTGGCGTGTTGAGGTAGCTTGCGCTGTGCGAGATCGTACCGGGCGAGGCGTGCGCAGTCTCCCTCATTGAGGCTGACCTCGCCAACGACGAGCGCGACGAGCCCCCTTCGAAGAGTGTCGAGAGGCGACTTCGGCGTCCACTGCCTTCGTGACTGCCAGACGAGGACGAAGTTGAACGGCTTCAACCGAGGTGGGCGAGAGGAGCGGCGAGAGTTGAGAGGACGGACGTGCGCTTGCTCTTTGGGTGACTGGAAGGCGGTGACTGAGAGGGCTGGGAGAAGGATGAAGGCGAGCGCGAAGGAGGCGATTTGGTGAATCCGGCGCGGAGAGAAGGCCACTCGGGTTGAGGAGGAGAAGTCGGCGGCGAGATCGAGGGGATGGCTGGCACGCCGCGAGCCACCGACAGAGCTGGAAGCTTTGGGTTGTGCTGCTGCTGCTCGAGCGGAGCGGAGAATGGATGGAGCGAGGAAGACGCTTGAAGCGCTGACCTTCTCAAGTCGACGTTCGCCCGTTGCGCTTGCGGGCGCGCCGCTGTCGGCTGTGGACTGGTGAGGTCATCTTGTGAAGCCCTCATCCACTGCGATTCGCCGCGAGAGGAGAGGACGCCAAGATACTCCCGCTCATCCTCGCCCATTCCCTCGGGGTCGAGCCATCCGCCAGCTTGCGCGCTCGGCGATGCAGCCGGGTCATCGCCGTGTTGAGGCGTGCGAAGCGAGCTTGTGGGTTCGCTGAAGGAGAGCGCCGCCAGCTCGGGGACCGACGGCCTCGGGAACTCCCAGTCCTCGTCCCAGCTGAGGTCCGAGTAGCCGCCCGAACTCACTTGTTGCGCCATCGATTCGCTCGTCGGGTGCGCCTCTTCCAGCACGATCGGCGGAAGGAGCTTCGAAGCTGTCGGAACGGGCTCTTCCTCGAGGTCTGGAAGACTCGTCGCTGCTGTACTGGAGCTCAAGTGGCTGTCTGCTCCGCTGCTCGTCGGACGGCGCATGGGTGGACTTGACTGGGTCGAAGAAGAGGAGGAGCGGGCGGTGTGAGTTGTAGCGGTGGTTTGGGACGAGAGACGCTGCGAGCTGCGAGGCGGACGGGTGGGAAGGGAGGTGTTCGTCGTGAAGGAAGCTGCTGCGGCGAAGGGAGGCGGCACGGGAAGCGGGAGCTTGGGCGGTGGCGCTGCCCAGCGGAAATAAGTCAGTCGACACGAGGCGGTTCACGCAGGAGGAAAAGGTGGGCCCACTTGGTGGAGAGGATCCAGCTGAGCTCGCCGACGCCCAGCGAGTCTCGTCGACAGTTGTCCTCGAGGCCCCCGCAGTCTCGCCGCGCTGGTCGACGCCCTCGCCTCCCAGCCTGATGCCCAAGCCAACGCTGTCCCTCCGCGACGTCTCAGTCTGGCCAGCATCGTTCCCCGCCGCTTCTCCGACCCCCTCAGCGAGCGTGCCCCGTTCTCCTCCATCTCTTCCACCTCCTCCCACCTGCCTCGTTGGCGACCCCTCCCATCCTGCAAGCGCCCGCTCTGCCCTCGCACGTTCGGTGGACCGGTGAATGACAGGCGAGTCGTCCAGCGCAGGCATTCGTCCCGCCGTCGCTTCAGCCGAATCGTCAGTCATTCGCAATAGCTGGCTGTACCACGGAGGCGACAGCGAGTGAGAGGACGAGGGCGAAGCGAGTGGTTGGTTTGGGCTGGTCAGGTGTGAGAGGGATCGTGCGCGGTCCGCGGCGGACGACGAGCGGTCCAGTGTGCAGTATCGAGCCAGAGTGAGTATCAAAGCAAGGCAAGATCCTCAGCAGCTCCTGCGAAGCGAGTTGAGCGACTTGGAGAACAATGGCGGGGAACAAAGGGCGACTCGAGAGCGGAGCGGGTGCATGCGCTCGTACGCCCGGGCCGGCGTTGCAAAGAGTTGCCCAATCGAGCGCAGTGCGAGTGCTTGGCTGCAGTCCGCGAGCCGGGCGGGAAGCGAAGAGGAGCCAGTTGCGTTCGAGGTAGGATTGACACACACGGCGAGAGACAGGCTACGAAGCGAGCGCTTTTGGAGCAACTAGGAGACAAACAGAGCACAGGCGATTCCAACCGACTTCCTTCCCCTCGACCAGACGCAAACACTAAGCGATTCCTTCCCCTCCTTCCCTCCCTTTCGAAAACCCCGCGCTCACTGCGGCGCACCCCCTCCACTGGCACTCCTCGCCATCGCCTCGTACCCACCGGGCGCACCACTACCCTGCGCAAACGCATTCGCGCTACCATACCCTCCATTCGACGCTCCTCCAAACCCGCCTCCAGCGCCATAGAACCCTGCGTGCTGTTGCTGCACGGGAACGGGAGAGGCCGAGCCGGCTGGTGCGTAGGGTGCGTAGCGGTTTGCTTGAGCTGCGGCGGAGGAGGTGGACGCGCTGACGGGGATGTCGAATGGAGGCTGCGGAGAGCCAGAGGGCGAGACGGAGCTGCCTGATGCGCCGCCGGTGCCGGAGAGAGCGGGCTGGGCGTTGAAGGGCTGACGGAGGTAGAGCGGGACGGAGGAGGCAGGCTGGTGAGGCTGAGGAGGGGCGAAGGAAGCCTGCGGCTGTTGGGCGCCCATGCCGTGCAAGCCTTGCGACGTCGACGCTCCAGCGCCAGCGAACGAAGTGGACGCAGCGCCAGGCGTCGACGGTCCAGCCTCAGCTTCAGCGCGCCGACTCGCCGCCGTACGAGCAGGCGTGTCGCCAGGCAGCGCTCCATCGAACGTCAGAGGCGTGCCGGCTTCGCTCCCCGCTGCCGAGGGCGTCTGCATCGGGATCAACCCCTGAGCCGCAGCGAGTTCTTCGGCTTGGCGCTCGAGAGCTGCCTCGCGCTCTGCGGCTTCGCGGAGGAGCTGCAGTTTGGCTTCGGCGACGGTGGCGGGGAGATTGGCGGGCCAGATGGGGAGTGAGGTGGACGAGGCGTCGACGAGAGGGGCGAACTCTGCGGGCGGACACGAGTTAGCGAGCGTTAGCGAGGGAGAGGGAAGTCGGAACGCACTCTTCTCGACGCTCAAGACGTAGCCAACGAGCTGATGCAGCGGCATCGTCTCCAACCACTCCTTCTTGATCGCCTCGTCATACTCATTCTCCCTCTCCGCCTCACGTCCCTCACCCTTCTCCTCTCCCCGTCCCGTCGTCCATCCCTCCCCAACCGAGACGTCAATAGGCGTTTTCGTCGCAGAGACTTTCGCGTCGCACGAGTTGCAGAACCAGGGCAGGGTAGAGTCGACGACTGAGTGCTCGATAGTCGGGACGGAGCAGAGTTGGTGCCAGCCGCGGTTGCAGGCTTCGCAGATGACGAGCTGCGGGGCGACCCACGCTTCGTGTGAGTTGCGCAAACGAGAGATGATGGGAAATGTGAACGCACGCGGTTCTCGGGAGGCGAGTGGCCCTGGTTGCAGACCTGGCACATGAGGTTCGCGTCGAGGTTGACCATCGGCGCGCGCTTCTTTCGTTGGACTGCGGGGCGGCGATCTCGTCAGCGGTCGACGCCGCTTGAAAGTGGCGAGTGTAACGCACTCGTGGGCTTGTTGGTCGGGACGAAGGTCTTGGGCTTCGACACCTTGCGGCCGAATTTGGTCGTCGGCGCCATCTTCCCTGTGCCGAACTGTGCGCGGGCGTCAAATTCGACTATCAGCATGCATCCGCATGGAGCGGCTGCTGAGTACGAGAGAACGCGGACGCACATCGTCGTCGACCTCCTCGTTCAAGTCGACGCTCTTCTGCTCGTCCTCGTCGCCGTCGGCATCGCTCTCGGTCGTGTCGCCGGTAAAGTCGTCCTCGTCGCTGCTCGCCCTCATGCGCTTGCCACCGCGTCCTCCTCCCCGTCCTCCGCGGCCCCTTCCCCTCCCGCGCCCCCTCGCTTTGGGCCTGCCCCTCCCACTGGGCGAATCCGCCCCGCTCGCAGGCGTCGCAGGACCCCTGCTCTCCGTGCCGGGAACCTTCCTGGGCCGCCCACGCGGCCGCTTGGGCGGGAGAGGGTTCCCGTCGGGCCCGTACTGGGGCGTCAAGGGAGCCTGCATGTTCTGCGGCGCGGGGTTGACGGGGATGCCTGCGACCGGTCCGCCTTGGACGGCCGGTGGGGGCTGTTGCAGGACGGAAGGGAAGTGCGGCATCTGGCCTGGCTGGGCGGCGGGAGGGGCGGCAGGCGCAGCCTGCGGTTCATCAGTCGAGGGACGGAGACGGGTCAGTCTCGGAGAACGAGAGCGGCTCGGGTCGAAGAGGGTGTAACGCACCCCGCCGTAGTTTGCGAGAGCCTGCGGGATGTCCTTCAGGTCCTCCTCGAACTGGAGCGTGCCGTTGTGGTCCTGGTGCGGTTGTCCGCCGAGCTGGATGCCCTGGTGCTGCTGCGGGTGCGGGTGCGGGTATCCGGGCTGGCCTGTGGTCGTGTACGCGTTGAGAGAAGGGTCGAACGCGTCCATGCGAGTGCGGGTGAGCGAGATGCGAGGGTTTGTTTTCGAGGGTGATGAGGGTCGGGAGGAGGAGGAGGACGGGGTCGAGTTTGAGTGAGAAAAAGCGGGCAGGGTGTTATCGTTGTTGTAGTGTCACTCACCGACGGGCACATCCATCCTGTCTCTGTCTCGAGGTTTGAAAGGGGGAGCGGCGGCGGGAGGAGGAGGAGGGGAGGCCGGATTACAAACTGAATACAGTTTGCGTTGTAATCAACTTTGTATTCTTTCCCATTACAACTTGTATTCAGTCTGTATTCAGCACTTTGTATTCGATCTTCGGTTCTCCTCCTCATCAGCGGCAAGATGCGACCCTCGAACCCGAGCCTGCTGAAGCTGCTGGCGCTCCCGCTGTCACAGCCAAAGTCGACAACCCACCCACCGCCGTTCCTGCTCCATGCCGTGCGCCAGTCGCTCCAAACCGCCAGCGCCGACGCGAAACGTCAAGATCAGCCCGCCGTGACCCGCTACACGCACAAGGCGATCGACAAGGCTGCAGACTTGTGGGCTGGACTCGGAAAGGCAGACGAGGGCACGTGGAAACGCAGGGCATACGTGAGTGGGCGAGCAACGACGGCAAACGTGCTGGATGGGGCGGTGCTGAGCTTGTAACGATGGGATTGCTGACAGCTGGGCGCACGCAGGTGCTGGGAGAACGCATGATGGACCGGATAGAGTACGAGGAGTGGGCGCTCAAGGCCATCGACCCCGCCCTCGCACCCAAACTCGTCTCGTCAAAGGACTCGGCGCACGTCAAAGAGACGGTGCGCGCCGTTCCTTGCGCACATTCGCTTGAGATGCGGTGACTGATCGTGGAGGTGCACGTGCACAGGTCGACGTGCTGTTTCCGCCGTCGCTCCTGGACGACAAGGCGCTGCTCTCGTCGCTCAAGGCTTCGCTTGAGCATCGGGAACCGCATCATCGCAGCGCAATGTGGAGATGTTTGCTGTGAGTCGTGCGGATCCCTCCTTGACGAGCGACAGACGAGGCTGACCCGTCGTCGCGCGGACAGACTCGCGCCTGTAACGCTTCCCTTCGCCATCGTCCCTGTCGTTCCCAAGTGCGCCGCGACTGCTTTCAAACAGCTGCTTAGATCACCCTGACAAATTTCGTCTCCGCAGCTTCCCCTTGTTCTACGTTTTGTGGCGAGCATGGTCCCATTTCCGAGGTGCGCTCCAGTCCTTCCCACCCTTCTGATCCACAGACTTACGTTCGTCGCTTCCGGCAGCATGGAAAGCCTCTCAATACCTCTCGTCCCTCATCGGCTCCCCCTCCCTGCGCCTCCTCCCCTCCTCAGACCTCGACTCGATCTACTCGCCCACCCCCTCCTCTTCCCCTCCTCGGCTACTTCTCACGCCCGATCGAGTACCCAAACTCGTCGAACGGTTCAAGATGGACGAAGAGGAGAGGAAGGAGTTGGAGCGCGCGGTGGGGCAGAGCGAGAAGAGGTTGGGGCAGGTTAGCGAGGTGGAAGAGAGCGAGGCGATGGCTGGGACGAAGGAGGTGGAGAAGAAAGACTAGATCGGATGGTGGGTTATCATAGACTTGTAGCACGTCGCCAATGCGCGATTGTTGTCCAGAGAGACACTCGCTCCTCCTTTGGAGTGTCTTCCCTTGCCATCACTCCTCCCTTCTTCCCTATCCCTCGGGTAGTGCTGATCAGACTCTCTTGAGAGTACTGCGAGTTCGAACGAGGCGAAAGGAGCGAGTTGTCGCCCGTCGCCGCCCTTCACCTTCGACGAGAGGCCCGACGCCGTTGACATTGCCTAACCACCACTCTTTCTCGCCCGGCACGCGCCAGGCCTGCTTTCGGCCGCTCATTCGCGCTCTATCTGACTCGCCAACGCGTCCGACAACCCACTCGGAGCCGCGTCGTCGCCCGACACAGGCCCATCAGCTCGTCGTGAGTTGAGGCGCTACAAGACGGGTCGCTTGCTTGACGGGACCGTGGATGCCGCGCGAGGGGTTCGACAGAGCACAACGACCCAAAGTGCGTGTTACTTCTGCCCCGCGGATGCGAGGGAGACTGCGAGGGCGCTTCTTCGACGACTCGTCCCCCTCGTCGGCCTTGTTCGACTCGTCAGGCGGATTGTAGGGCTGACTGGATTCGTCGTTGCCTCGCAGACATCCGACACAATCGATCTCACCCTCTCTCCGCCCAGTAACCGCCGCCAATCCGCCCCTCTTCATCCTCCTCCCCACTCGCCTGCCTTTCCTCGCGAGTTCGACCACCGCAACTCTTCTCACCGGCAGTCCTACCCTCCTCCGCCGCCCGTACCGCCCTTCGTAACAGGCGCGAACGCCGTCGGACCCGTCACCTCGCAGTACTTTCCTCGAGCGCACGAACAACCTCCTCCTCACGCTTCGCCTTCGACCTCTGGTTCTGTCGCGCACCTCGCGCACAACTTTCGCAACAAGACCTCGACGCCGCAGCAGTACCATCACGCTCCGAACCGGTCGCTGCCGAAGCAAAGCCCGGCTCCTGCGCAGTTACCGCTTCAACCCGCTCCTCCGGGTCACTACCCTCCTCCGCACCAGCATCAGCACCCTCGAGCCGGGAACGACTATCGCTCCGTCCCTCAGCCGTACCAGTACCCTTCGCATTCGCAGTCGCAGCCAAGGTCGTCAACTACACCTGGCCTTCACGACGCAGCTTCCGGCGGCGTTCGCGGCGTCTTTCTCAAGCAGCAGACCAAGTACCTGTACGCCCCGCGCGTCGATCAGGCTCCCTCGCCTTACACGCCTGCGATAGCTGGCGGTCGAACGCATCAAGTTCCGACTTACGGCGTCCCTACAGCTTCATCTTCGTTCTCCTTGACTGTCCCGTCCCAACAGCGCGCCCAGTCGTCCGCCTCTCGCCTCCCGCAAAACTACCGGACCAGCCACTCTCCACCTCGCCACTCCCCTCCCTCCGCCTCCATCCCGTTCGGTCTTCCCACTTCCGCAGCCTCCGCTCCTCGCGCCGAACAGTCGTCCAAGTCGCGCGTCATCGATATCCTCGACGACGAGGACGAGTCGACGCCTGCACCAGCGCACATCAGCGAACAAGCTCTTGCGAACGAGCTCTTCCCGTCTGGCGAGATCGACGAGGACGAGATGTCACGACGGGGCATTGTCTTTCAGCCACAGGACCCTGAGGTTGGAATGAGGTCATTTCAAGGCGTTGGCGGCGCGGGATGGGAAATTGGAGGCGACTTCTACGCAGACGGGAATGACGGGCGGCAGACTCGACAAGGAGCGTCTTCGTCTGCGGCGAAAGGGAAAGGCAAGGCGCCGTCGAAACCGCCTTTCAAACTCGGCCTCGCACCCGGTTTTGACGCAGCGGTCAAGAACAGCGTCTCGCCGTCGAACAAGGGCGGTGGGCGGAGAACGCAGAAGGAGGCGATCCAGGGCATGCCTCGGATCAACAAGACTGCACGCGGTGCGTCCGATGCGCTCCCACTCCATTTCGAGCAAAACTGACACACAAGTCGACCCGAGCAGACTCGCACCCGCTCGGCACGGTCGCGCCCACCAACTTCCATCAGCCCGCCGCCTCGACCTCTTACGCTGCCCAGCAGAAGCCCTTCAAGCCGCCGGTCATGTCGCAGAACGCGCCGCTCACGACGCAGGAGATTGACGGGCGCAAACGGCAAGCAGAAGTCGCGCGCAGCATAAACGGCGCCGACAAGGGGAAGGGGAAGGGAAAGGAGAAGGCCACTGCGGCTGTCATGGAGCTCAGCTCCGACGAGGACGGCGACGACGGGGTTATGCTTGCGCACGCGCACCGAGACGAGGACCCGAACGACCCGATCGTCGACGACGACGACCGTCGTACTGCGAACGGCCGCCAAGGCAGCCATCGACGGTACAGCGAGTCCTACGCGTCGGCGAGTCGGACGCCGAGTAAGAAGAAGGGTCGGCAGAGCTTCCACGTCGGCGACCGCTTCGACGAGTCGCAGGAAGCGAGTTCGCCGGATCCGATCGGCATGACCGGTCCATCGAAGGAGCGCGCTCACGTCGGCCAGCTTCAAGCGTCGAGCGAAATCGTCGACAAGGTTCTCGCCGGGCGCAAAGGGCAGGTCAGCGCGCTTGTGCAGCAATTCGACAAGCCGAAAGCATCGCTCGCCCAGAGCATGCAGGGCAAACGGGTTCGTTCGCTTGCCGGGAAGAATCTCGCCGATCGCGCTGACGCTGTTTCATGCTATGCAGCGCCAGCACGACCCCGATGGAGGACCGACGGACGACGGCGAGATGGCCGCGCCAAAACCCGCCAAGAAGCCGCCGCGGGCCTCTCAACAGGTTCAAGCTGATGTCTGCTCCGTCAAGGTCGAGCCGTATATGCTCGGTCGACGAGCATTCGCTGCCGAGCACATCGTCAGCGATTACAGCCTCATCTTCAACCGCCGCGGAAACCCGAAGAGTTGGAAGCTCGCCATCCATCGCCACCCGCCGCAGCAAGAGCCGGAAGAAGTCGGATCCGACATCAAAGCTGAGCACCTGCAGTCGATCGAGTGGTCGACCACCGACGGCGATACAACCCGACCTTTCGTCTTCCTCCAGTTCAACAGCAAGGGGAAGAAGATCGTGAACGAGCTGACAGCTGATTGCGAAGATCGTGCGTCCCCTTCTTCGATCCGAGTTCGCTGCTTCCTGCTGACTTGCTTAGGACGTCGCAGCGGGTGACGACGCGACTGTTTTGTTCATTCTCGAACAGGCCCCGCAGTCCGGCTGGCAGAACGACTCGACATCCGAATCGCGAACGCAAGAAGACCTCTTCTATCGGGGACTGCGCGACTGGGGCCTTCAAGCCGACATTTCGTTCACGCGTTGCGGGTGCGTGACTCTGCAGCTCCTTCCTCTCGTCCACCTTTGACATGGCGAATCGCAGTGCTGGCAAAGCGATCATGCTCTGCGATCTGTTCGGCCGCGGGAAGGCGGAGACGGCGCGGCATCTCGGCAAACTCAAGAGAAGCGGCGCGAAGGGCAAGAAGCCGTCAGGGAGGGGGGCTCTTGACCCTCAACAGTCGAAGCTCTCGTGCGCAGGCTTCCTGATCTCCCGACGAGTCTCGCTGACGGCTCGTAACGAGCAGCTTCGTCGCTGCAGCAAGCACCAGCCCGACGACCCGACGCCTCGTGCAGGATGAGGACGGAGACTACTGGGAGGCCGTGCAACGCTCGCTGAAGGATCAAGGAGGGCGACCCGACGACGACGAGCTGGAGGTCGTGACCGACCTAGGGCCTGCGCGGCGACGAAGCGGTCGACCATCGACCTCGACTCTCGCTAGCTCGTCTCGCAACGAGGCCGCCGAGATGAACCGGCGGTCATCGACCCAGGCCGCGCCGAAGTCTCCGTCGCCGCCACCGATGAGCGAGGAGGAGCGCAAGTGGGAGGAGTGGTGGAAAGCGGAAGACAAGACGCACAAGGCTGAGCAAATGTTCGTCCGCTTCACCTTGCGTCTCGACTCATCTGACTGATTGACTGCGCGGCCCGCAGCGTCGTCGAGTACCCGGTCAGCCAACCTGGCGGCGTCTCCCTTCCGTGGGCGGACATCAAGCGCCTCAAGCCGAACGAGTTCTTGAACGACACGCTCATCGAATTCGGGCTCAAGTGCGTCTCGCTCGCCTTCCCCGCTTAGACGACGGCGATTGAACAATTATGGCACGCAGGCACGCCATGCAGGAGGTCATGAAGGCCGACGAAGGACGTCCGGACGACGAGAAGCTGGCGCCCAAGATCCACCTCTTCAACTCATTCTTCTACTCGCAGCTTTCGACGCGCAAGGACAAGAAGAACGACCCGTACGCCCTCGTCGAGAAGTGGACGAAGAAGGTCGACATCTTCGACAAGCGCTTTATCGTCGTGCCGATCAACGAACAGTGAGTCCTGCGTCTCGCACTCGTCGTCCACATACTGAAAACCTTTCCGCAGCTTCCACTGGTACCTCGCCATCATCTACAACCCCGCCGCCATCCTCCGCGAGCACGACAAGCCTCCGCCTCCCGAACCTCGCCAATCCGGCCGCAAGCGCACCTCCATCGCGGGCAGCGAGTCCGTCTCCGCCTCGCCCAGCGTCTCGCGTGCCGAGTCGCCCGAGCAGACCAGTCGTCACTTCGACAAGAAGGCGGACGGCGCGGCCGACGTCGAGATGCAGGACGGCGAGGCTGCGAATGGCGATGCGGACGCGCAGGTGCAGGACGAGATTGAGGAGGAGCAGGAGCAGCGTCACCGCCGGGGAGTCGAGGAGGAGGTGCGCCAGATGGAGGCGAGAAAGCAGTCGCTCCAAGCGGATTCGATGCCGCAGCAGGAGGCCGAGTCGTCGCAGCGGGACAAGATGATCGTCGAGTCGTCAATTCGCGAGGGCGAAGCGACGGAGATGCAAGTCGATGGCTCTCCAGAGCTTGGCGAGCCTACAGCACCAGCCGATGCGATGGCTGTCGACGCTGAGGAGGCCGACATCGAGGTTACGGCTCCACGACCCGAAGTCGAGGGTGGCGGCAGGAAGTCGTCTACGAGCGCAAACGAAGACCGCAAACGGAGCGTCTCGCCGCCGCGCAGCCGTCTCAGACGCGGTACTCGCGAAGGCTCGGTCGTCATCCAGGGCGATGCACTGACCTCCGCACAACCGGGTCAGGCAGCGGACGACGACGACGACCTCCCGGCGCCTGCAGACCTTGTCAGGGGCGCGGAGCCCGTCGCGGCTGCTTCTATCACCATCGACGACGACGAGTCTGCGCCGACTCAGTCGCAAGAAGTCGGCGCGACCTCAGCTCCGATGCGCAAGAAGCGGTCGGGATCGTCGTCGACCGGCACAGAGGCCGTCTCCGCCGCCGCAGCGTTTGCCGAACTCAAGCCTACCGCGTCGACATCGAAGAAGCGCAAGGCTCAGCAGTTCGGTCCGGCTGACCCCGAACCGAATCGCGTGGAAGACCTAAAGCGCAAGAAGGAGGAGGAGGAGACGCAGAAGCTGCTCGACTTTTCTGCGCGGGTCACCTCGCTCGTCGACGATCGCAAAGTCGACATGGACAAGTGAGATTCGCTCGCCTCGATCCTCGTCGAGCGAGAATGGCTTACGTGCTGTGTCCCGCAGGTGCTACATCTTCACCTTCGACTCGCTCGGCGACGCGCACGCTCCAGTCGCGAGGCGCTTGAAGGAGTACCTCATCAGGGAGGCCGAGACGAAGAAGGGCATGGACAAGGAGAAGCTCTCGGACCACCTGGTCGAGACGGTCCGCGTCGAGGTGCGTTCGCTCGCTGCGCTCACCGTCTAGTCGAAGCTGACGCCGTTCTTCTTCGTCGCCAGGTCCCGCAACAACCCAACTATTGCGACTGCGGCCTCTACCTCCTCCACTTTGTCGAGGTCCTCTTCCGCGACGCCGACCGCAAAGTCCGCGAAATTCTCGCCATCCACCAAACGATCAACGGCAAGCGCCCTCGGAACGACCAGGCCTTGCGGCAATACCGCAACGAGATGTGGCAGTTTGAGGCGGCGCAGAAGAAGAGGACGACGATGTTGGAGCAGGTCACGGAGTTGATGGAGGTGTGGAAGAGGGATGTCTTGCCGCTGCGCGAGCAGGCGGAGAGGGAGAAGGAGGAGCGGAGGAGGAAGCGGAAGGAGGAGAAGGAGCAGCGGGATGCGATCGAGGCTGCGAGGCGGGCGGAGCAGGACGAGGCGCAGGAGGCGGCAGCGTCGCAAGCTCCACCGGCGGCTGCTCAGCACCAGGACCACCCTGCCAGCGACGCAGACGCCGAAGCTCCTCCGCCGGCACAAGGCTCGACCTCCGCTCTCTCTCGCCAGCAGACCCCTCCGCCTACCCCTCCAGCTCCCGCCGCCAACACCCGATCTGGCAAGTCGCGCGCCAAGGGAAAGTCGACGAAGAGCGAGACCGAAGTCCTCGAGCTCAGCGACGACGCGACTTGCTCGACGTCGGGTTCGCCCGTCAAGCAGTCGAGCCAGTACTTCGCCGACCTTACGCCGCTCAAGGGTGGCGACCTTGTCAACCGTGCTGAAGCGGGAACGCCGCCGGGTGCGCCGCCGCCGCGTCGCGCGAACGCGATGAACGGAGACGCCGCCGACGCCTCGACATCGGCTGCAGTCAAGCCCGCCTCTACCGCTTCCGCTTCGCTCGAAGAAGAGATGCTCATCCGCCCGACGCTCCACGGCTCCGCACCGTCGTCGACCGTCGCAGGCCGCAAGCGGCTTCACGAGGACCGCGCCGCTCCCAATCCCGAGAGGCCCTTCGATATCCCCAAGTCGGCTCCTACATCGACCTCTTCCGCTCCTCCCGCTCGTCCATCATCGGCACCCATCAACTCGTCCGTCGCGACCGTGGCGCTCGCCGCACTGGGAGGACGGCTCACCGTCACCCAGACCGAGTCCCCCGCTCATGCCTCCGCCTCGACCTCAATCTCGCAAGTCCAGCCGATGCAAGTTGACGACCCTCCTTCCCCTCCCGCTCCCAACCTCGCAGCCCTCGCAGACCCGGACACGATCGGCGACTTGCCGGAGACGGAGACACAGCCGTCGCAGGCCTCGGAGACCGACCGAGACGGCAGCCAGAGCCCGCCGCGGAAGAAGGCGAAGCGGGCGGTTGCGCCGGCTGAGGTGGATAGTCGACGCGTGGAGGAGAGCAGCGGGGAGTCGATGGAGCGGCAGCGGGAGAGGGAGATGGAGGGGTCGCAGGAACTGTTTGGGCCGGTGGAGGAGCGCACGGGGCAGGGTGAGCTGCCGCCGTCGAATCAGCAGCAGGCGACGGAGGAGCAGCCGCAGCAGGAGGAGGAGGCGAGTGCGTCGCCGAGCAAGAAGAAGGGACGTGGCGGCGGCAAGGGCAAGAAGAAGGGCGGCGGCAAGGCGGGCAAGGCTGCGGAGAAGAAGCCGGCTGTCGTCACGCTCAGCGACAGCGAGGACGACGAGGAGGAGAAGTAGGCTTCGGTGAGGAGGAGGAGGGAGGAGTGGTTCTCGCGCTTGATGTCGTCGGTTATTTGGCTTTGCGTGGTCTGTCGTGGTTGTTGTTGCATGTCAATGGTACACTGCATTTGTCTCTAGCACGCCCAGCGAGGTCGACGAGGGCTCGCCGTCGCTGTTTCTCTCTTGTCCTCCCACCGTTCACAATGTTCGCCGCTACTCGCCAATCCTCGCGCCTGGCTCGCTCGTTCTCGACCTCGGCTCGCGCCAACACTCGCGTTGCCGTATTGGGCGCCGCAGGCAAGCCAATCCGCTCTCTTGGGCGCGAGAACGGAGCAGTTGCAGCCGTGGTCGTTTGGGAGGAGGACGACCTCGCTCAGCTCGCCTCGCTGCGCCTCCGAGGGAATGCCGTACTGACGAAAAGATTACCGTTGCACGACAGGTGGTATTGGCCAGCCGCTCTCGCTCCTCCTCAAGCTCAACCCGCTCGTCTCGCACCTCTCCCTCTACGACATCCGGCTCGCGGCGGGTGTTGCCGCCGATGTCGGCCACTGCAACACTCCCTCGACCGTGAGCTCTACCGTGCTTGCTCGGGCTGTTCGTGCGAACTGGAGCGACCGCGCGCGCGAGGATGCCGCGATCGCTAGATCAGCGAGGAGACGAGGGTCGGGGAAAGTGGGAGGATGCTCGCTCGCCTCGTCCAAGGCCGTTCGAGGGGCGAGGACGATGGCAGACTCCAGGAGGGCCCACAAAGGATGTGCTGCGCGGTCGAGCGAGCGCTGGGCGTGTTGTGCGCGGCCAACTCGAGGAGGAGGAGCAGGAGGCGTCGCTTCTGCTGGGCCGCAGAACAGCAAAGACTAGAGCAGACTTCGTTCAGAGGCTCTACAGAGTACTGACTATCCCCTCGTATTGGCGCGCAGTGCGTCGGCTACGGCCCGGAGAACGATGGCCTCAAGAAGGCGCTCGAGGGCGCCGAGATCATCATCATCCCCGCTGGCATGCCCCGCAAGCCCGGCATGACCCGTGACGACCTCTTCAACGTGCGTGCTATGCTGTCTCAGAAAACGCTAGTCGGGGCGTGGGCGGCAGGCTCGCCGCGCCCTGATGCGCTGCGAAGACTCCTTCGGAACGCTGACACTCTTCTCCGCACAGGCCAACGCCTCGATCGTCCGCGACCTCGCTCAGGCTGCCGCCGAGGTTGCCCCCAAGGCCCGCATCGGCATCATCGCCAACCCGGTCAACTCGACCGTCCCCATCGTCGCCGAGGTCTTCAAGAAGGCTGGCGTCTACGACCCCAAGCGCCTCTTCGGTGTTACCACCCTCGACATCGTCCGCGCCTCGGCCTTCCTCTCGGGCATCGCCGGCACCGAGCCCAAGGACACCAACGTCCCCGTCGTCGTCGGCCACTCTGGCCCGACCATCGTCCCCCTCCTCTCGCAGCTCCCGGCCGGCAAGAAGGTCGTCGAGCAGGGCGGCGAGACCCTCGCTGCGCTCGTCAAGCGCATCCAGTACGGCGGTGACGAGGTCGTCAAGGCCAAGGACGGCGCCGGATCGGCCACCCTCTCGATGGCCTACGCCGGTGCCGACTTCACCGACTCGCTCCTCCGCGCCATGAAGGGCGAGAAGGGCGTCACCCTCTGCACCTACGTCGAGTCGCCCCTCTACAAGGACCAGGGCGTCGAGTTCTTCTCTTCCCCCGTTGAGCTCTCGTCCGAGGGCACCGTCGCCAAGATCCACCCCGTCGGCGACCTCCACCCGACCGAGCAGAAGCTCCTCGAGGCCTGCCTTCCCGACCTCAAGAAGAACAGTGCGCGCCCTCCTGTCCGCTCGCTCCCTTGCTTGCGCTGACTCTCGCTCCGCACAGTCGCCGCTGGCGTCAAGTTCATGTCGGCCTGAACGCGCTCTCGCTCGAGTAGACAGCTTCGCCTTCTCCCCTCTCCACTTCTCTGAAAACGAAGCAGCAGTTTCTGTTTACCGCGCTCGGCGAGAGAAGCGGGAGCTACGAATTCGGTTCACCCCGTCTGCGCCTTTCGCATCAGCTCGCGTTGTTCCTGCGGGCGCCGCCGCGTAATTGTCAGCGTCACTCCAGGCGGTGGATTCGAGCGACTGCGCTGCGCACCACTAGCAGTGCCTGGACGTTGTTGAGCACGCTCGCCTCGATCTGCGCCTTGAACAGCTCGTCGTTGAGCGTTGCATACGCCTGGTCGAGCGTTTCGCGCTGGTGCGCGAGGTCAGCGAGGAGCTTGATGACGAGTTCGCTATACGAAGGAGAAGCCGGTGAGCGGGAAGCCTGAGAAGGGGAAAAGCGAAAACTCACGGGTCTGTCGCACGCTCGAGTTCGTCCAGCTGTTCCTCCGTCATGACGTCCTCGCCCTCGCCCTCGAACACACGCGCCTCACCCCCTCCCGCAACGACCACCTGCTTGACCGAGTCGAGCAACTTGCCCAGGTTCGTGTGCCCCTGGAATAGCGTCGGAATAGGCGGCACCTCGACGCCTTTCGGTAACCTGATCTTGAGTCCGTTCTTCGCGGCTGTGCTTGCGCCGCCGCCTCGTCCCTTTCCCTTCATAACCGACGCAGCGAGAGAGACGCTCCTCGCTCGACCCGAATCAGCAGGCGACGACCCCGCGCCGTCATCGTCCTCTCCATCTGACTCCTCTACTGCTTCGACAGGCGTGTCGACCCGCTTCTTCCGCTTCGCCGGCTGAGCAGGCGACTTCCTCCGCCTCTTTCGCGGCGGAGGCGCCGCATCTCCATCCTTCGCGCCCGTTGACCCATTCGCCAAGCTGGGGTCGACGGGAACTTCGCTCGCTGGGGCGGGCGCAGTCTGGAAGTGCGCAGGGACGTCGGGAAGGCGATACATGTCGTCTTCTTGTGAAGCCGGGGCGAGGTTGGCGCGAAAGGCCATCGAGTTGGGGCCGGGACCGGCGGCGGGAGTTTCGGTATTGTTGTAGAGCGCGTAGGGGTCCATGGCGGCGGCGGAAAGGTAAGGCGAGCGATGGGAGCAGGAGGGGTCTGAAGAGGGGACGGTCGAGAGCGGCAAGACGGGAATGGGAGGGCGGGTTGGGGTGTGCCGTGGAGTCGTAAGGGCTCAGACTGTGTGACTCTGGCTCTGCTAGCGCGCAAGCCTGTTCGTAGTGAGTCTGCGACCGTTTGAAGTTAGGTTCACTGATGAGGCTGTGGGAGGCCTGGCGACGCACCGACGGTCTCGTGAGCGCGCGAGTACAATGCTACGTGTTTCACGAATGCCAGAGCGTGGCCTGCAGTAAGCTGGGCGGAAGGATCCGTCGAAAAGCGTGAGGTGTCGACACAAAAGAAGAGGAGAGGTGTTGAAGCGTAAGGCCAGGAAGCCTGGCGCGATTGACGGTAACTGAGCGAGACTGCGCCTCTCAGAGCGAGCGGAGGCGTTGAAGCGAGGAAGCGACGAAGCGGAGGCGAAGGAGCAAGAGAGCGTCGACGGCAAGACTTTCCAAACTTTCGCGAGCTGAGCCTGACCGACGGCGCTCTGCATGCCTCTCAGCTAAACTGTCGCTCGACGCGCTGCACAGATGAATTGGTGTAGAATGCAGGACGAGGTAATCTTGCGGAAGACGGCGAAGCGGGACGCGATCGGTACTGTCGAAGAAAGTGCTGAGTGGGTTTCTGAAGAGCAGAACAGTCAGCATCGAGGAGAAGCCGAGCAAGAGAGGCGCGCACCAGAAGAAAGAGATCTGCGTGCGCATAAGCGGGTGGTAACCTGTTCCCGGCAGACCCTGCAACTCGACCCCGCGGCTGCGACACACGTCGACCAAAGCGGCGTACTCGCGCTTAACTTCGTCGCCTGAGCTCTCGGGGTCGGGAACGCGTAGCGTTGAGTAGGGAAGGGGAGTCCAGCTGGTGCTCAAGGCTGCCTGAAGACTTCGGAGAAAAGGGGCAGACGGTCGCCGCCGTGTCTCGTCGGTCCAGTAGCCTAAATCTTGCACCTTTGATGGGGCAGCCAAAAGAGTTGAGACATCCGCAAAGTGGATGTTCACGGCAAGACGCTTGAGAGAGCCCAATTTCGGGAGGATCGTCGAAAACCAGCTCGTCTCGCCGCCCTCGATGTTCACCCGCACGAACACGTCCAACTCTGTGAGAAGAGAGAGCGAGGCAAAGATCGGGGCGAAGATGTGGCCGGGAAGAGGATTACGGGAGACAATGCTGAGGCGACGCAAAGTCGCTGCTGCCATCGCAATCAGCCTGCGTGCGTCTTGCGTGTGCGAGATTTGCATGCTGAGGGCGGTCAGGTGGGAGTGAAGGCCGGGGATAGGTACAAACGGCGAAGTGTAGGCGTGCTCGTCCCTGTGGGAAAAGACGGCAAGGTTCCGAAGCGTCGGTCGTTGCGCCAGGCTGCACAACTCGAGTACCGAAAGCCATACAAGCCCCCGAGAGGAAGGATAGTATCGGGACGAGTCCACCTCGACGTCGATGAGCGACTTGAGGGGCAAGCTGTCGAGAATCCCGACGAGGCGTTCGCGTTGCGAAGGCACAACGTCGCCGATGACGAGATGGCACGCTCGCGTGCAGAGCTCGAGTATGGATAGCCGAGTGTTGCAGAGGGCTTCGATCCGCCGGATCGCGCTGGCGCAGTCATCGGACTCGAGGTCGATGACGAAGTCCTTCGACACCAGCTGGATGTCCAGGACTCGCACCGCTGCGGCCAGCTCAGGCTGGATTCGGAGCTGGTTCAGAAGCTTCTTGTCGTCCACTTCCCGCATCGCAATTGAGCGGAACAGCATTTGCTGGGCCTGAGGGCGCCAGCGTCGACAGACGAGAGTGCAGTCGCGCAAGTCCGGGATGTTGGCAGTCCACGGCCACTCGACGAGGTTCTTTATGTTGGCTCTGAGAAAGTTGGGTTTTTCGCCAGACCTGATCTCGACGAGCCAGCCGAAGATGCGCGAGAGGAGTTCAGGCGGGAGAGTCTGGGCGAGGGAGAGGCGGGGCATGGCGCGGGTGAAGACTGAAGGCGAGGCGATGGTATGTGAACGGTTCTGTTGTCGTGCTCGGCGTGTTCTGCGCTGCGGCTGGGCGAGTGGTTGGGTCTGTGCGAGCGAGAACTGATGAGAATCGCGAGTGGGTGAGGGAGGGCGTGGGAGAGCGTGCGCACCTCGTAGACCGTTCCGGCGAGCAGAAGAGGAGTCAGAAGACCACAGCAAGCCAGTCAAAGTGCGCAACCCAGCGAGAGCAGTGAACAGTCCCGGTCCAAGGAGGACGAGGAGAGGTTCGAGTGCTTGTACGCTCGCCGCCTCGCTCGTTGACTTCGCCTGACAGCGCTACAGACTTGCAGGATGGTCTTGAGTCCGGCGCTACTCTCGCCGCTCCACCGCTTCCCCGTGTTGTGGTGTTCGTACCGCCCTCTCCTCCGGGCAGCGAGGACGGCTCCTCTCGACGAGCACCATCGCCTGGCTATCGAGCAGTACATCAAGCGCGAGTTCAGGCAGTGGAGGAGCTTACGGACGGTGAACAAGGTCAAACCGAAGCTGCGCGAGGCTGAGGAGGTGCGTTCTTCCGCTCTTCCCCTCCTCGAACTGGCTGGCAAGGCGAGCTGACGCCTTCCTCCTCCTACTACAGCTCCTACACCAGCTAGAGAGCACCTCTCATTCGTCGGTACACCTCGAACGGATGCGCGAACTGGCAGACCACCTCATCCTCCTTCACGCAAAGAAGCCCACACACGTCGTCAAGCCCCGACAAGTCCCAAGACCCGCTCCTTCCATCATCCGAGCGACCGCCTTCAACCCGCCGATGCAGCGGATGCGGCCACAGCCCATCAAGACCACCATGATGATCTTTGACCGTCGGCGGGCGAGTCAGCGACGGTACGACAAGCAGGCAATCGCCAAGGAGTTCGTGGAGATGGCTTCGGAGGAGGAGCGGATCGAGCGAGCAGCCGGAGTGAGGGAACCGAGGTATCAGGCGATGCCGACGACTCGGGTCGCGGACGAATGGCGCGGCTGGATCCGCACAGCACAAAAGCAAGAGCAGCGCGAGTACAAGCGCAGGGATGTGAGTCGGCTTACGGTCCTCCTTTGGTCGCGGGAGACTGGCTCGCTGACCCGCGTTCTTGCCTCTTCTCTTCCAGATGCGCATCTCACCCGAGCTGTACGCGACGGTCCGCGGGTTGCGGCGGTCTATCGCTCAGAAGAAGTCTGCAGCGGGACAGGCGCGGCGACAGGAGGCTCAGCTGGCGGCGGAGCGAGCGGGCGGAGCAGAATCGGAGTAGACTAACTTGGAGGCATCGAGCGGGTGCTGCAGGTCGACAACGTCCACCTCGTTGGCACACGGTCGTCATTGCGACATTCGCGTCGCTGTCGAGCGCTGCGCTGCTCCACGGCGTCGCTCCTCTCGTCCAACGCCCTCCTCCGAGCCATTCCGCTTCGACTCCTCGCAACTCCGCCTCTCTCGCCTTGCCTCGACTCCCTCGACTCCCCTCGTCCTCGTCGACGTCTCCTCGTCGCCCGCACCACTCCCACAGTCTCTACGACGCCGTCCTTGCGCAACATTCCCTTTGCGACCGTTCGCCGCCGACGGCTCGCCGTTGCCCCCACCTCGACTTTCGTTCGGCAGCGAGTTCGAGTCGCTCTTCGTCCTTCGCACGCAACGCAGACACGCTCGCAGGGACGCGGACGACGAGCCAGACGCAATGCTCGCACCAGCCAGGCTCACGATGCGGCGAGGAGCTCGCATCGCCAACCCGCGACCGCTCTCGTTGCTCGCTTCTTCGGCTCGAGTGCACGCGCTTGCCAGCTCTCGAGGGCGCATGCAGCAGCTCAGCAGTCACCTAAACTTCACTACTACACCCTCCCGACTTTTCAGCGCATCAGCAGCCGCAGCGGGGCAGGTCAAGCCGTTCGTCCTCGCCGACATTGGAGAGGGAATCACCGAGTGCGAGATCGTCAAGTGGTGCGTACGCATCTTCTTGAGTGTTCGGTGTCTTTCATGGGCAACGGGAGGCGTTTGCAGGCGAAGGAGCGGGACCTCGTCCTCCTCGACCTGGACGGCGTGCCGAAGGATGTCAACCTTTCACAAATCACTCGTTGCCAGACTCGCTCGAGCATGAGGAGCAGACACTTAACCAGACTCTGACGGGCGAGGCGGAAGGAGGGAGGCTGAGGGAGCAGCGCATGCGAGAGACCGGACGAAGAGCTGACGAAGAACTTCCTTCCCGCAGGCTCGTCAAGGAGGGCGACGTGATCGAGGAGTTTGACCCCGTCGTCGAGGTTATGTGCGTGTGCTCCTCTTGGCAGACAGCGCTCTCCAAGCTGACAACGCGAACAACAGGTCCGACAAGGCGTCTGTCGAGATCACCTCCCCGTTCTCCGGCAAGATTGCCAGCTTAGCAGGAGCAGCGGGCGACATGCTCAAAGTCGGAAGTGTGTTGTGCAGCATTGAGGTAGAGGGCGGCGAGGGAGAGGCGGACGCGGCGGTAGAGTCGGCACCCGAACCTTCGCCAGCTCCCGCCTCGCCTCCAGCTACGCCATCCTCTTCCTCCTCAGCTACCACCTTGTCACCATCATCGCCTGCCCACTCTCGACCGTCAAATATCGAAGTCCTCGCCACGCCGGCGACTCGAAGGTTTGCCCGCGAGCACAACGTCGACCTCGCTTCCATCGCTGGCACGGGTCGAGACGGCCGCGTCACGAAGGAGGACATCTGGAAGTTCGTGTCGGAGGGTGCTTCAGCCGCCTCTCCCGCACCTAAGCAGGCATCCGCCCCTACCGCAACTTCCGCCCCGGCAGCTCCCGCTGAATCAACCACCATCCCGCTCAACTCGACTCGCAAGGCCATGTACCGCGCCATGTCGGCGTCGCTCCAGATCCCGCATTTCTCGTACTCGGACGTTGTCGACGTGACCGAGATCGAGCGGATGCGCCTCACGCTCGCCGCGAACATCCCCCTTCAGTACCGCAAGACACTAAAACCGGCAGACGAGGCGACTCTCGCACGACATGAGCAATGGTCGGGTGCCGCTCACGTCGAGCCAACTCGCCAGTTCGACCGCATTACCCTCCTCCCGCTCCTACTCAAGGCGCTCTCGCTCGCCATGTCCGAGCACCCGATCTTCACTTGCACCCTTTCCCCTCCGCCGTCTGCCGGGCCAGCCTCCACTGATCCCTCGCTCGTCCACCGCCCAACCCACGACATCTCGGTCGCCCTCTCAAACCCTTCTCCCGCCGGTGGCCTCTTCACGCCCGTCCTCCGCTCCGTCGACTCTTCCTCCGTCTTCGACCTTGCCTCTCGCCTCGCGCACCTCCAGTCTCTCCTTCCGACGTCCGGCAACGGCGCACCCAAGTTCCCGCCAGAATACCAAGGCGCCGGCACCCTCACCCTCTCGAATATCGGCGTCATTGGCGGGCGGACGACGCACCCGGTCGTGCCGCCGACGGGCCAGCTTGCGATTGGAGCGATCGGGCGGACGAGGGTCGAGCCGCGTTTCGTTGATGAGGCCAAGGCGAAGCGGGTTGCGAGCGGGTTGGAAGAGGCTGGAGCTCGCGAATTGAAGGTCGAGCCACGGCTGGTGATGGTGCGTCTCAGGCTCCTTCTGAGTAACTTGAGACTCAGTTCTGCTCCCAAAACAACGAGGACTAACAGTTCGCTCGCCGCTTTCGCAGGACGTGACTTTCTCGGCGGATCACCGCGTCGTCGAGGGCGTCGAGCTCGCCCGGCTGGTCGAGTCGTGGAAGCGCATCGTAGAGTACCCCGCCAGGCTCGCCGCCTAGCGCTCAGATGTGCGCTGCAATCCTCGTTCTTTCAGCAGTTTGCGAAGGTCCCGCCGGTTCGCTTCTCTCGGCGCTGCTGCCGATCCGCCAAAGCTTGAGAGGTTTATTGCGCAGACAGGATAGAAGCAAGCCCAACCGAAACGCTCCATCTCAAGCGAGATCCATCCATCGTATGCAACTCCAGCTACTTTGCCTTGCCGCTCGCCTTCTTCGACTCGGACACCTTCACGCTCTTGACAGGCTTCGGCGCGGGCTGTTGTGTCGTCCAAGCGATCAGCGACATCTGAAGAGACACCCTCTCCTCGAGGAAAGCGCCAGTAAGCGAGCAGGTCATGGAGAAAAGCGTCGCGCACCTCGTCGTCCTCCTGCTCCGAGCTGGTCTCGTACTGCCCGCGGTAGAACTCGTCTCCAGCGTCAGTCAGATACCACGAGTTCTTGTCCTGGGCGTAGTAGCCTTGGTTCATGCGTTTCTCGGGGGCGGACTTGACGTTCTTCTTGAAGGCGTCGGTGTCGCTCTTGATGTGGTAGTTGTCCTGTGCAAGAAGATCGGGTCGATGCGTCAAGGTCTGCCAGCCCGCCGAGCACAACCGCTGTGCTCACCCGCAAGTACGAGGCAATCCTCTGGCGGGAGACCTTCTCGCTGCAGAACGGGTCGGGAGCGGGTCAGCGAGCTTGCTGCGTCCCCTGGCATCCTCGTGAAACCTGTCACGCGCCCATCCGAGCCAGTCCCAGCCCATACGACTGCTTTTGACGTGCAAGCGGGGAGGAGGAGCGGGACCAGACGCACCCGTTGTTGGCGCGGTGGAGAGCAGCGTCGAGCATCTCGACGTACGGAGGGTGTTCCTTTGAGCCAGCCATAGTGAGCCTGGAGCGAAGTGAGCGGAGTGACGTGAGGAGGAGGAAGAAGAGAGCAAGTTGCGAAGGTCGACCCGGACGACGTCGCTCACAACTCGCCACAGACGGAGCTGGCAGGTGCAGTATGCTTTCCAATGCAAGGGAAGAGAGATGGAACGGTCGAGAAAGCGCGCAGATGGTACAGGGAAAGACGAAAATAAAAACCAGCTCGTCCTCCGGCGAACTGTCTACCGCGACATCGAATAGATCTCCCTGGACGACGCAGAGAGCGTCAGTCCACGCTTAGCGAGCGGAAAACGACGAGAGGAGCACGCACAGCTTCTTCAGCATGCCTCGCAAGCTCTTGCCGCCTTTCTCCCCATTCACCTTGAGGTACTCCTCCATCTCGGACCGTACAGACGCAAGCTCATCGATAATTGGCAATGCGCCGTCAGCCTTGACCGACCGCGGGTTCAGCAGTGTGTCGAAGAGCTTGGTCCAGAGGTCGACCTGATAGTAGCGCTTCCAGGTGTGCGCGAGGACCCACTTCGACGGCCCATCAGGTTGTGCGTCGTCGAGAGGAACCCGCTTCGTCTCGATGTAGCGGCCGAAAAGCGCGTTGTAGGCGATCGAGGCGACGCCGAAGTAGTCGGGCTCGAAGGTCCACGGTCGTCCCTCGCGCATCTCGGCGCAGTCGAACTGGTCTGCCTCGATGTTGGTAGAGAAGGTCTGGCCGGCAGGGAATGCGGACGTGTCGATGGTGCGGCCGTAGTCGATGATCTTGAGGCCCTTCGAACCCCAGCCATTCGCGCCGGACGGGTCGTAGGAGGACGACCAGGCGCGAGCGCCGCCCGGCACTTCCTCGAGGCGAAGCAAGCAGTTGTCGATCTTGAGATCTCCGTGGATGAAGCCGACCGAGTGGAAGCCCTCGACGATGCGGAGGAGCTCGACGACGAAGAACATGGCGAGGATCTCGTCGAGACCTTGCGAGGCGCCGCCGGTCGCGCTCGCCGCGACTCCCGAATCGTTCGCCCGGTTGACGGCGTCGAGGAGGCTGCCCTGGTCGCAGTAGTCGAGGAAGAGGAAGGACTCGTCTTGGAAGGCGTAGAGCCGCTGAGCCGAGATGACGGAGGACCGGATTCGTTCGGGTAGTCGCGAGTGGAGCTGCGAGAGAACGTAGAACTCCCACAGGTTTGCCGGCCGCTCGACCTTGACCGCCAGCGAGACTTCGTCGTCCGCGTCCACGTCAAAGTCATCGTCGTCGCCCGCTCCCATCGCGACGCGGAAGACGGCGCCGTACGAGCCCTCGCCGAGCTTCTCGCGTACCGAGATGACCTCGCCGGCGAGCTCGAGATCCCACGCCTCGTCAATGGTGCCGGTCCTGTCCTTGCCGCCCTTGCCCTTCTCCCGCTTCCTCGCAGCGAGCTGGAGACTTGCAAGACGATCGGCGACGTCGGTGCGGTGGTCGTAGATGCCAGGTCGGGAGAGGAGAGGAGGATTGGCGGCGCGCAGGATTGTCGAGAGGGTGGAAGCGCTGTAAGGGTCAATGGCGGCGGAAGATGTCGGAGTCGTGTCGGCGGATGGTGACTGGGGCTGTCCAGTCGTAGTCGAGTCGTTCACGACCATGTTGGTCGTCATGCCGCTCTGATTACCGGTAATGGTCAAGCCTTCGGGAAGCGAAGTGTTGGGCGAGACGTCGTAGGAGGTGTCCTGGCCGAGCGACGAACGGCTCGGTGCAGCATGGTCGGTGAAAGAGATCTGAGGCGGCAGGGAAGTCGGCGGAAGCATGGGCTGAGGCTGCAAGTCCTGCTCGTCGTCCGAGTCTGAATCGCTGCTGCTGTCCGAACTGTCCGACGTGCTGTCCTGGTCGTGTCCTTGCTGCTGGAAATCGCCTCCCACGTTCTGGGGGGGCTGCTGGACGAACGAAGGCTGAGCGAAGCTGCCCATGAAGGCGCGGTCGCCCTCGTCGTCGTCCTCCTCCGTGCTCGGCCCGTCCTCGTCTTCGTCCTCTTCGCGCACCGTCGCACTCGCCGCGCCGGTCGGGTAGTAACTGTCCCTCCGACTACGCTGGCTCGATGCGAGACTCGTCGCGGCGGTGAACTCGAGAGTCCGCTCGACGATGGGCGTCATCTGCTCGACGAAGGGAGCGTAACGACTCGGTTGACCTGGCACTCGTCGCCCAAGGTCGTACCCGTCGCCGCGGAAGCGCTCGCCGTCCTCCTGCGACCCGCGAAGAGGGGCCTCAAAGTCGCCTGGCTCGACGTACGAGTCTTCCGACGCCTCAAGGCCACCGAGCGGCAGCTGCGACTCGCTCACTTGAGATGACGGAACGACGTCACCGCCGAAGACGTTCTCCTCGTCGTTCTCCTGCACCGGCTTGTCCTGGAAGACGCTGATGGCAGGCTGCTTCGGAGGCTGGCCAAGCGGCGTGCCGACCTTGATACCGAGCGGTGCGCGCGCCGAGCCCGGTCTCGTGACGAGACGGAAGGCACCTGCGCTCGGAGTGGCAGGAATGGCAGCCGAGGACGAGTCGCGGAAGACCTGAACGGGAGCAGGGGCAGGCGGCGCGGCGGATGCAGCAGCGACAGGCGAATTCTCGGCGTCCTCGTCGACTTCGTCGAGCGTGATGAGGCGGTTCTGAACCGGCTCCGGCGGGACTTGCAACGACGCGCCTGGTCGTTGACTGCCATAGTACGCCGAGTCGTCGTCCATCTGGCTCCTGGTCTGGCTGAAAGGCACGAACTGTGCATCCGACACGTCGCTCTGCTGCGTGGCACCCTGCGTCGAGTACTGGCTTGCTGCGCCAGGGACGCCGCCGAAAGGCGCGTCGTCGTCGTCCGAGTCGTCCGTCGAGGTATCGTCGAACGAGTCACCGTCTCCGCCGCTTCCTCGGTTCACCTTCGTGAAGTCGAGCGTCTTGGCGAAGAGGTGGTCCAGAAGGGCGTTGGCGGCTTTGGTGTTCATCGTCGGTGAGGGGGTACGGTTTGGGTCGAGCGGCTCGGGAGAAGGTGAGCGAGGGGGAGATGGCGGAGCGACCGCCTGCGAGACTTGTCGAGGAGGCGACGGCGAGAGCAGGTTGCGCTGCGTAGCGGGCTGGGCGAGAGGCGAAGCAGGAGAAGGCGATGGAGGGGCCGCCTCGACGAAGGCGACTGGAGTGGGTTCGGGCTCGGGAGTCGGCGGAGCTGGACGGGGGAGGAAGTCGTAGAGGGGAGCTACACGCAGCGATGGTCAGCGGAAGGTTCCCTGGAGGAGCATCAAAGAACTAACCTCCAGTCTGTTGGTCGTGAAGGACAGGCCAGCCGGTCGCCGGGTCGATAACGTAAGTCGTTCCTGCAAATTCAGCCGGTCAGCGCTTCCGTTAGGGCTCGCTAGCATCCAAACTCACTCTCCGTCCTCTTACACTCCTCATCCCACTTCTCCGCCCATTCCCATCCATTCCACCTCTCGACATCCTCAACAACATACTTCTTTTTCCGCCTCGCAGCCTTGATCTCCTCAAAGGAGAACTCGGTGCCGGGCTTAGGATAGACGGCGTGGAGGTTACATGCGACGCGTTCTTTGGGTTTGGCGGAGGAGTCGGTCGAAGCGGAGGGGGACGGTCTGGAGGAGGACGAAGCGCGGGTCTTCGAGGTCGACGAGGCGGAAGTTGTGGAAGAGGACGCGACCTTCTCCTTCTTAACCTTGCGCTCCGCATCTTTCACATTTCCCGCCGACGACGACGACGAACTCTTGACCTTCGTCGCCGCCGAACTCGAAGCGAGCACCTGCAACCCCTCAAGCGGGTCACGAGCGATCAGGTCGGCATCGGAGGACGAGTAGTTCTTGAAAGGGTTCGAGCGGAGGAGCTCGGCTTCTGTTGGTGCGCGGATGGAGCGAGAGAAGACGTCGGTTTCGTCGAGGCGGTGAGAGGAAGGGCCGTCCGAGGCGGTCTGTGAGATGACAGCCCTCGTCAGCTCTCGATCGCCGCTGTTGAGAGAGTCGAGACTCACCTCGTCGCGGTACACCTCCAGCTTGAACCCTCCCGGTTTCGCCAGCCCCGTCTTCTGCGGCAGTACTTCCCCACCCCACTCCTTCTTCTCCTCGTTATTCTCCCTCGTCCGACTCTTGACAGTCCCCATATCCTCCCAACCTCCCTTCGTCGCTCCATTCTCATCCGCACTCGCATCGCGGAAGACAGCAAAGGACGCGCCGTTCCCTTTGGCGCCGATACCGGTTCCGCCTTGAGCGGGTCGGGAAGTCGAGGAGGAAGCGAGGATCGGTCGGAAATCAGTGCTGGTAGAAGAGGAGGTCGTCGCTCGGGGAGGTGAGGGAGGAGGAGGCGCGACGAGCATGCGTGCTTGGAAGTCGAGGTAGGATCGCTTCAGGCGGTCGAGAGGGGTCGCACGGCGGTTGATGCCTAGGTTGTACACCTGATCGGCTTGCTGGCGTCTATGGACACGTAAAACGTGACTTCGAGACTCTGGAGATCAAATGAGAGGGCGACGCACTTGTGCTTCGCCTCGAGGACCTTGGCGTACTCCTCGTACAAGGCCGCCAATTTCTCGCCGATGCCCTTGGCAAAGAGGAAGCGGTAGCAATCCTCGGGATTCTCCATGTTCTTCGCATAGTGCGCCCACAAGCGGAAGTAACGCGGATCGTTGGTGTACCTCCCGTCGCCGAGGAACTTGCGCGTTGTCGCCTCAAGCACGGGGACAAGCTTGTTCGACGCGCTTGCTCCGGCGGGGTAGTTGGCGACAATGAACCGGACGTACTGGTGCGAGATGTCGAGCGGGTCCTCGGCCATCAACGCGACATCGTCTGCACTGAGGCCGTCCTTGCCATCCTCCCATGTGCCCGTCTGCTCGTACACCTCGACCGCGTCAATCTGCGCCTGGAAACGAGCGTGCTCTGCATCGAGCTTGACGCCGAGGCCGGAGCGAGTCGAGGACGAGAGGGCGGCGAGTTGGGATGCGGAGCGGCCCGACTGAAGCGGGACGATGTTCTCCTTGGCTGCTTCGATGGTCGAGATGTCCACCGAGATAGGTGGCTTCGAGGGCGTCTCGAACGGCGTCTGTGTCGTCTCCATCTGTGCGAGGCGGGTGTTGAAGGAAGCGGGCGAACGGGGTGGACTCGATGGATGGGGGTTTCGCAGGGCAGCAGGGGTGGTTTGTCCGGTCTAAACGAGTGTGCTGACCATGCACAGCAGTCCAGCGAGCGGGTCCAGCGAGTACGAGGGTCGTTGTCGATGGCGAGAGCAAGGTCGCGAGCAGCGCGCGTCGAGCGATTTCACCGCACGTGACCCACGTCCAAGTCGCTCGTTCTCTTCTTGCTTGCGCAGGAGTTGTCGTAGCAGCGTCTCTTACAGTCTGCCGGATTTACTGGAGACGAGTGCGAGGCGAGCGAAGGAGGTTGAGGAAAAGCAAGCGAAATTCACCTCGACTCGCTCAGACTGCGGCAGCAAAGAGCTAGCAAATCCTAATACACGGTACACATTCACTCGGAGACACATACAGGCCTTCAGACGGCGACTGAGGCAATCACCTTGCGACTTGCTCCCGCTGGGCACGCTCTTGCGGTCGTCTCTTCGCGCTCTCACCCTCGCTGCGACTGTCGCTGCACAGCTAGACACGCTCAGAGCTCTACAGATTAGCACAAGCGACTCGGCCATCCCGCTGCGCTTGTCGCCGTCTCTCTCCAGCCCCTCCGCACACCACATCGCAGCTCCACCTCTTCCCCTCGCTCACACCCGCCAGACCAGCCAGAGTCCCTTCACCATGACCTCCACACACCACGCCTACGAGATCGCAGCAGACGACGACGAAGACGACCTCGTCGCGACCGCGGGACAGGGTCTCCTCCCCACCCATACCGTGCCCGCTTCGTCCTCGACTGACAAGGGCAAGGGGCGCGCGACGAGTCCGCTGCTGGAAGGAAAGATTGGGAGCGCACCCGGTGGAGGACCGAGTGTCGGGACCAGGACGCAGAGGCAGACGACGTTTGGGGGGATCCAGACAGAGACGAGGTGAGTCGGCGTTCGAGGGGCCTTTGAGTCCAGTATGCGCCGATGGAGGCGTTGTACGATACTCTGGTGACTCCCCTCCCAGTCTGCTGACCCCGATGTTCTTGCAGGTACACCGGAACCGACACGCTGGACGAGCCCGTCTCGGAAACCATCGTTCGTTCACTCTCGCTCGCTCACTCCTCGCTTCCGTGCTTACCAAGAACGCCTTCCATAGATGCGCGACCTGCGAGCCATCGGGAACAAGATCGTGCAAGTCCTGCATCCGACATCGGAGAATGCGGTTCTGAGGGATTGGGATCTCTGGGGACCGCTCATCGTGCGTTGCGGCTCTCTGTCAAGTACGCATGACCACACTGACACTGCTGTGCTACCGCAGTTCTGCCTACTACTTGCCATCCTCCTCTCGACAAACGGTCCGCTTCCCCTCTGCCTGCACCCTCCGTGAAGAACTCGCTCACCCGTGATCCTCGCCCGCAGCTCCCGCCGAACAATCCCTCCCCATCTTCACCGGCGTCTTCGTCATCGTCTGGCTTGGCTCGGTCGTCGTTACGCTGAATGCGAAGTTGCTCGGCGGCAAAGTGTGAGTTGTCACGTCTCGCTTTCTCAGCTCCTTCGCCTGGCGCTACCTCGAGGCGGACTCGTTTGCCGTGATAGAGATCGGCGAGATCGGCCAGCGCTGACATCTCGCGTCTCCGCGCACAGCTCCTTCTTCCAATCCCTCTGCGTCCTCGGCTACTGCATCTTCCCCCTCGACCTCGCCGCGCTCGTCTCGGTCTTTGTGCGGATGCTCTGGGTTCGACTGCCGGTGTGTGCGGCTGCGTTTGGGTGGAGCGTATGGGGTGAGTCCGGCTAGTCTCGCGCTTCCTGGGAAACGATGCTGCTGTTGCCGCGGCGTTTTCCTAGATGATGTCGAAGGTTTTACTGACTCGCTTGGCCGTGCGATAGCCGCGGTCAACTTCCTCGGTGGCACCCGACTCGAGAAGGACCGCGCAGTCCTCGCCGTCTTCCCACTCTTCATGCTCTTCTTCCTCCTCGCTTGGATGACCATGCTGTCATGAGGCGCTGAAGAGGCCAATGTGCGGAGATGGGCGGGAGCGGTAGACGGTTGTGCAATGCGGTATGCTCGTGAGATACGCTGGCGAGGCGAGAGGAAGATGAGGAGACGCTCACCGAGAATACGAGCCCTGCATTCCCTGCCGCTCCCACCGCTTCTGCTACGTGCATTCGAACGTCTCTACCCACTCGCACTGCTCGTAAGCCACTCCGGCGCCACTCAAGTCGCCTCGCCCCCTCGACCTTCGCAACCCTCTCCTCTCCGTCTTCTTCTCTCACAGCACCCGCTCTCGCTCCGCCCGTACAATGACAGGCTCAAGTGCCCGGCCTCCGTACGTTGAGATGCTCGATGCTGCGCTCCGACGCGCCAACAACGGGTGCGTGTCGCTTTCACTCTTGGCCCTTTCTGGTCGCCAAGTCGTGCAGGCTCCGCTCGGAGGGCTGCTTGAGGCTCGAGTACGCACGGAAGAGACGCAGACGAGGTACTGACGCCCTCGCTCGGATCGAACAGCGGCAAAGTCTCTCGTATCAAGCTTGCGCACTACTTCAGGGTGAGGCGAACGACGTCGTCTCCTCGTCCTCTCGCTCCAAGGCGACTGACGGAGTTACCCGTCTTGTTCTTGCCCTCACAGGACGAATGCGACGTCGACACGGACCACGCTTCGTACAAGAACTCGCTGAAGAAGGCGCTCGAGAGGCGGATGAAGGAGGGCTACGTCAAGCAGGAGGGACAGTCTTTCTTGTTCACGGAAGAGGGTGAGAAGTGGTATCGCGAGGAGTATGAGACCACGGCGGAGGAGGAGGAGGTACGTTCGCTCTCGAGTAGCGTTTCGAGGGAGAAGCATCTTCGCAACTCTCGAATGCCGTCCCGCTAGCGAGTGTACTGAAGCAGCGACCCCATGATATACAGCCCAAGGCGAAGCCCGTCAAGAGCAAGAAGGCGTCGACGTCGAAGAAGGCCAACGGCGGGAGGAAAGGGAAATGAGGAGGATGTGTTTCTCAAGCCTGGTTGGGTCTCTTGGCTTGCGTCTACTCGCGCAATGGATTGCACGTTTGAACACGGCAGCGGAACGGCAGCAGCGACGACGAGAGAAGCGACTCGGCGGGACCTTCGCAAGCTGCTGAAAGAACGAGGACTGCAATGCGCTTCTACGGCTATGCAGCGAGCCGAGCGGGGTTCTCTACGATGCGCTTCCACGACTCGACCAACCGAGCGAGCTCGACGCCCTCGACGACGCGGTGGTCCGCCGAGAAAGTCACGTCCTGCAAAAGAGGTGAGCGCACTGTCAGTCCTCGTCCCTTCGGGAGCAGACATAACTGTTGAGAAAGTCAGAAGCAGCGTGAGACGCACCATGACCAGCCGCGGCTCGACCTTCAACTCGCCAGCTCCAGCCTCTTCCAACCCGCTCGCAACCCGCTTCGCCTTGGCCTCATCTACAAAGCGCGGTTCGACCCTCGTCCGCCCAATCGCTCCAATCGCAAGCTGACCCGTCGGCGGCACGACCGGGTGCGTTGTCCGTCCACCAATGACGCCAATATTCGAGAGGGTGAGGGTGCCGGCGCCTTGGTATTCCGGAGGGAACTTGGGTGCGCCGTTGTCGGACGTCGGGAGGAGAGACTGGAGGTGCACGAGGCGAGAGGCGAGATCGAAGACGGAGGAAGAGTTGACGGAGCGGAGGACGGGCGTGAAGAGGCCGCCGGCTGGAGAGGGGTTCGAGAGGGCGACCGAGATGTCGTGGGTTGGGCGGCGGACGAGCGAGGGGTCGGTAGATGCGGGACCGGCGGCTGGCGGAGGGGAGAGGGTGCAGGTGAAGATGGGGTGCTCGGACATGGCGAGCGAGAGCGCCTTGAGCAGGAGCGGGAGGAGGGTAATGCGGTCAAACTGGCGGTTGGGGTCGACGCGAGCGGCACCCGACCACTGCTCATGTCGTGCGAGAGTCGCCTCGTCTGCCGGCTTGAGCGTCTTGCGGTACTGAAGGGGGATGTTGGCTGCGAGCGTGAGGCGCATCCGCTCGATCTCGGTCACGTCGACGACGTCCGAGTACGAGAAGTGCGGGATCTGGAGCGACGCTGACATGGCGCGGTACATGGCCTTGCGAGTCGAGTTGAGCGTGATAGTGGTCGATTCAGCGGGAGCTGTCGGGGCGGAAGTTGGCGCTGGAGCGAACGCTGGAGCTGCGGAAGAGGCGGCCGAAGCACCTTCCGACACGAAATTCCAGATGTCCTCCTTCGTGACACGGCCGTCTCGACCCGTGCCAGCAATCGAAGCCAGGTCGACGTTGTGCTCGCGGGCGAACCTTCGAGTGGCTGGAGTGGCGAGCACTTCCGCGCCCGATGTTCGCGAGGGTGATGATGAAGGTGAGGGAGTGCTGGAGGAGGAGGGTGTGGTCGCTGGCGGTTCGGGAGCTGGCGAAAGCTCGGGTGCGGACTCTACCGCTGCAGGCGCCGCGTCGGCCTCTGCCTCACCGCCCTCTACCTCAATTCTGCACAACACACTTCCGACCTTGAGCATGTCGCCCGCTGCTCCTGCCAAGCTGGCGATCGTGCCGGAGAACGGGGAAGTGATCTCCACAGACGCCTTATCGGACCTGTCGTTCGCGTTGTCAGCTCGGAGAGCGCTGTTTGCCAAGAGAATCACACGCACATGACCTCGACGACGGGGTCAAACTCCTCAATCACGTCGCCCTCCTTGACGAGCCTGCGGGAAGGAAGTCCTTCGTCAGCTCTTCGCCCGGTCTTTCGCACGAGCTGCTCCCTTCGCCTCCCTCCTTCCGCCTCGCCCGTCAGAGTCTGGTTAAGTGTCTGTTCCTCATGCTCGAGCGAGTCTGGCGACGAGTGATTTGTGAAAGGTTGACATCCTTCGGCACGCCGTCCAGGTCGAGGAGGACAAGGTCCCGCTCATTCCCTCGCCAATGCCTTCCATTGCCGATGAAAGACACTGAGGACACAAGAGCAGCCGTACGCACCACTTGACGATCTCGCACTCGGTGATTCCCTCTCCAATGTCGGCGAGGACGAACGGCTTGACCTGCCCCGCTGCATTTGCTGTTGCGCTGAAAAGTCGGGAGGGTGTAGTAGGGACATTGAAACGCCTGCTGAGCTCCTGCACGCGCCCTCGGGAGCTGACAGGCGTGTGCAGTCGACCCGAAGAAGCGAGCGACGAGAGCGGTCGCGGGTTGGCGATGCGAGCTCCTCGCCGCATCGTGAGCCTGGCTGGTGCGAGCATTGCGTCTGGCTCGTCGTCCGCGTCCCTGCGAGCGTGTCTGCGTTGCGTGCGAAGGACGAAGAGCGACTCGAACTCGCTGCCGAACGAAAGTCGAGGTGGGGGCAACGGCGAGCCGTCGGCGGCGAACGGTCGCAAAGGGAATGTTGCGCAAGGACGGCGTCGTAGAGACTGTGGGAGTGGTGCGGGCGACGAGGAGACGTCGACGAGGACGAGGGGAGTCGAGGGAGGCGAGGCAAGGCGAGGGAGGCGGAGTTGCGAGGAGTTGAAGCGGTGAATGGCTTGGAGGAGGGCATTGGACGAGAGGAGCGGCGCCGTAGAGCAGCGCAGCGCTTGACAGCGACGTGAACGTGACGAAGACGACCTTCCGCCGCCGAGGTGGACGATGTCGACCTTGCAGCACCCGCTCGACCACTCCAAGTTCGTCTACTCTGACCCTGCTTCGTCCGCTCACTCCGCCGCCAGCTGAGCCTCCTGTCGCCGCGCCTGTCCCGCTGCAGACTTCTTCTGTGCGATAGACCGCCGCAACCCGCGGACCGTCGCGTACAGCTCGGGTGAGATGCGCATCTGGAAGAGGAGCGGCAAGAACGCGGGTCAGCGAGCGATGCTCAAGCGACCAAAGCAGGACCGCACGCCGACTCACATCCCTGCGCTTGTACTCGCGCTGCTCCTGCTTCTGTGCTGTGCGGATCCAGCTGCGCCATTCGTCCGCGACCCGAGTCGTTGGCATCGCCTGATACCTCGACTCCCTCACGCCAGCTGCCCGCTCGATCCGCTCCTCCTCCGAAGCCATCTCCACAAACTCCTTCGCGAGAGCCTGCTTGTCGTACCGTCGCTGGCTCGCCGCCGACGGTCAAAGATCATCATGGT